TCTTCTTGGGCCGGGCGTAGGGAAGCAGTTTTACAAGCTCCTGACAGGTCATTACGGGAAGACAAACAATCCGTTTTACTTACCTCCGTCTGTCCTCAAAAAGATTGGTGCATGCATGGAGAAATCGAGAAGGCTGGTTCCTTCTGGATTCGCCGGTGATTGCGCTGATATCACCAAAAAGGCCGGATTTTACAAAGCCGTGGATTGGATACATTTTATGCGCTTTATCGTGCCGACTCTGGTGCTCGAGCATATCGACGATGTTGATGCAAAAAAGGCAGTAAAGAATTTATCACGACTGTACAACCTTGCTTGTCGTCGAGAAATCGATACTGCTGGCATTAAAGAGATCAAAGAAAAGGCTAAGGCATGGCTCCACAGTCTATCAAATTTCACAGAACAGAACAAAATCACTCACCACGTTTTTACAATATCACAACATTACCTCTTGCATCTATATAAGCACATCCAGTTTATGTAACCATTGCCGATATATGCAGCTTTTTCGATGGAGCGAGCCGTTGGCGTAATAAAGCGAAACATCACATCGAGAAAAGAACCTGCCGCCAATTCGCAGAATGTCGTTGTAGCTCTTGCTGCAATGAGATATATGCAAAGAAAGAAAAACGACGATCCACCAAGCAGCCAAAAAGTGATATCCACATCGAACGACGAATCGGCGCCCGAGCTTTGGGGTCCATTTGACGAGAAAACAGTAATCGAGCTAGGGATCAAAGATGCTTTGGCTTTTTACTGGGCTAATCGTTTGGGCGGCTATGACAAAGTGAGTGTCACAGGCGATCAATCGGTGCAAAGAGCCAGTCGGTGCTTTGCAGACCAGCAAATCTGGGGCAGTACGTTTCGCCAGGACGAGTCTGATAGCAAAAGTCGAAATCGTTCCTGTGTTCGTTTGGCTGTACGCCTGAATACCGATAGAAGCCGCAGCGCGAGGAAGAATATGAAATACATCACCTATTTTGGTGATGTCCGTTTTTTCTTTTGCCACGAGCATGACGGTATAAAGGTGTTGCTCGCTGCTGTTGAGGTCGAGCGTACTTTGCCTGATGACATTTGGCCATATAGAACGTCATCCAGCTCAACCAAACTTGTAGTTATCGGGATCGAGTCCTTGGTGACATCTGCTGGTCGAATAGTGAACGAAAACGAGCGACAGTATTTCTACTATCACTTTGACTCGTTTTCAGATAAAGAGCTGCTTACACTCGATCCTAATTTTCTTTATATTTAAACAAATTTTAAAAAGCATCCTTTTCCTCTTTCGTCTCCCCACTCCTCTTTCTTTTTGCTTCCTCGCTCTCTCTCTTCTTTCTCTTCCCTCTTTAACCCTCGACGTCAAAATACGCGCACGCACAGCCTCTTTTTATCTCCTTCATTTTCACTAAGTATAATCAGCATTAAGTAGAATCAGAAATCATATAGCGTCTTTTTATCAAAAACAATTGAACAACTAACGCCAACGCTGTTTAGCATACCAATCCTCTTCTGTCATCATTTGTAAACCGTCGAGTTCTCTATCCTCTAGTGACACTGTTGTGCGATTATCGACATCCTCAGTTACAACATCACTGACATCGTTGGCGCCGTACATTACAGGAAAACTAGGTGATGGGGGCGGGAGACAAAATGACGATGACGATGACGGGGTATCGATATTTTCAACCTGATTGTGTGACAGTTCTTGAATTGGTGGAGCCAGAAACTCGTGATCGGTACCATCATGATCAACTATCCAGATCTGATCCGCTGCTACAGATCGTCTAAAGAACCTAACATTGTAATGATAGTCGGATAGCTCTCTATAGAGTACGTACAAATGTAAGTGCTTTTGCCGCATAATAGTCGCCGAAACACACCTTTGTTGTTGTATAAATCTTGCCATATCAGGATCGCTGTCAAAATCCCCTCTGCTATGCTCCTCAAGCAGCTCACGTAGGACTTTACTGCAATGGGCCTTTGAACTAGAACGTCCTCCCCGAGTAGCTTCAAACAAAGCTTTTATACTAGAATCAATGTATGTTATTAGTTTCTTTTGTTGGTTTCTTCATGTTCTTTTCATTGTGTTTCTAGAACGGATGTTATACATACAGCGAGCGTTCCCTGTTATACTGGTGTCGCATCAGTCGATTTACCATTATGAGCCTTTGGTCACAGTGTCTGCATAGTATGTCAGAATCGTCGCTGTTAGTGGGTTGGATTGGTGACATTGTTGCGTAGTACCAAGGCGGTGTCCAAAAGAAGACCAAAAAGAAAGAGAAAATAAAGACCTCAGAAAATTTAATCAACATGTACTTACTAAGGGGTATGGATTGCTGCACACCCAATCGGGAAGATATTGTCTGTGAATCTATGCATAATGCATCCCCTTTATTTGTTTCCTGGAAAAGCAAATCACCATTTTAATTTAATGTATTTTCTATCCTTTGACTATTTGAGATATATCAGCAAATGTGTATTATGTTAAAAATGGATACATAGTAACCACTAAGACATATGCGTATCACATAAAACAAAAGCATTATCAGAAAAACTATCGCATTCCATTAATCAATCTGTATTGCAATAAGAACTGAACTTGGAAAAGAAAATACTAAATACTTCATTCCTAACGTGAATATCGCTGCTTCCTTTTTGCGTTTCTTTTACTTTCACATCACCCACATACACCATGTACTCTGACCCAGCTTACACTAGACTTCTTGAAACTATTGGGGATATCCAAAGAAGCTTTTCTGAATACAGACGCAAATCCGAAGAAGATCGTGAGCAACTACGCGATATCATCTATCAAACGCAGGAAGAGCGCTCTGAATTATTAGAAAAGGTCAACTGTATGGCAAAAGAAATGGAAACAATGAAGACCCTCCTGCGTTGCGCTCTTCAACAGAACGCAACTAGTCCTGTTGACCTGTCGCATGTGCCAGCATCACGCTTACCGACCTTTCCTCCTCTCGAGCGTACTACAGAACAGCCAACGTACAAGAATAACAAGGGGCAAATCGTCGATATGCAATTTGGCTGGGACATATTCAAATCATTGTTAAAGAAAGCTTTAGGCCCTGGATACAAAGAACAATACTTCAGGTTGATGAAAGCCAGCTGTAAACCACTTGCGGAGCAAGCATCCTTGACGCTGATGAATAAGTACAAGATTAAAAACAAACCGTTGCCTCGTTTTTGGAAGGACGTTAGCACCGACATGCAGCTTATTACTTTACAAGAGTTTGAGCAGGCAGCGCAACCATACCTTCCTCTGGCCATGTGCGTAGACCACTGGGGGGCGCGTCTATTTATCCGAAAGTTCTGGCTGAAGGGTGACGATGACTCCACGGATCGTAAGTAACACACTATCAAAAAAAGCTGGCTGTTTATGTCAACTATAACTTCATTGTCAATAGAGCAAAACCCGGCATCATCATCATTAACACCAGAAGTAGAAGCAGCAGTAGCTTCACCATCGCCATCACTATCATCATCGTCGTCATCGTCAGTAGAGGCAGCAGCAGCACCATCATCTTCGTCATCAGTAACAGCAGCAGCAGCAGCACAAGTCGTCACAGGGGATGCTAGCATCACGGTTGGGCAACAGTAAGAATAAAAAAATCTTGTACTTACATCACATTACACGTTTCTAACTCTGTAATTTAATAGAGCTGAGCGTCATCGTCAACCCTTGCTTCCGTTGCCGGATGTTGCTCATACGGATGATGAGGACGAACAGCAGCAACCGAGACCAACAGCAAAGAGACAAAGAAGAACAGCATCAGGTAGGCAGTGTATGTATGTACTCTTCAAGTTACCTTAAACGTATTCATAACTTCGTTCTTCGTTCTTAATGAATCTTCATTGAATAGTGGCTCATGATACTGAGAACGAAGGACGGCGCAGAGCACGCAAAACTGGCAAGAATAAATAATTTTGGTGTAAGTATTGTTATCGTGATCTGCTTTTGCGTGTTTTCTGCTCGTATCGCTAAAATAAACAATTCCTTTATTAACAAGGTCGTCTATCCGCTAAACTTCTTTTTAATTACGATAAAGTCTGTACTACTACACAATTTTTGTTCCTCTCTTCTTCCGTCATAGTCTTTGCATCGCCATCGTTCTTTTATTATTTGTTTCCCTATGAATATTCCCATCACAGATTTTTGTTGTCCTAAAAAAAGAATAAAACGCTATATCCTATATCTATAAAAAAGCAATTGAATAGTATGTTTGGTCCAATGATAATCGGGAGTTACTTTCTGTCGTTGTACGGCTCGTCCAGTGAGAAGCCTGTTTTTGGAGAAATGCTGTTGTATCTACCCAATGAAACGCTAGTGTTACTCTGTCAGACGTTGAAGGTGTGTGTAAAAACGTACAAAACCAGCACAGTTGTGTGCAATGAGTGTGCAAAAGGATACATATCCTGCACAAAGCTGTGTGCAAAAAATGTCCAAAAAACTACGTAAACGCACATTCTTACACATCGCTCAAATTCCGCACATTTTTGCACAAATCCTGCACACTTTTTTCCTATGGTGCATATACGTGATATTGAATCAAACTCGATACTCAAGGACAAAATAAAGTAGTATAAATAAGAAATTGCCAGAGTGTTCCACAATAGCCACTGTTGATCTAGAACGGCTAGCACAGCTTTGTCCCTAAAAAACAGGTGCATACTCCGTACCTGATATCGGAGGAGCAATTTAGTATTAAATAATTTTATGATCACGTTGTTTCAAAGTATGGCCCTCAGTTCCTAATTAGGAACAGAAATGTTTTGGATCGAAACATCTTTGGCTGCTCACTGTTTCTGTTGACATGACAACACATATGAAATGGAAGACAAAGCAGTATGTAGCAATGACTACACTTGAGCCCAACATCACGTCAACTGTAGCTCTTTTTTGCGACGGAAAAGAAAGCCGAAGCAAAAGAGACCGGCCTAGCAATAATGGCAGTGTTGGCACGGTAGCGAATTCTATAGCTAGGGTTGCCATGGCCAATACGCATCCAGCATTGAGTGTCGACAGCGATGGTGCAATTGTGGCATACGGTGGATTCTCTGGAAACAAAAAGATATGTACTTCATTATAAAACTATTTCACAGTTGTATCAGAAAAGGTTATACATCTTTCTAAACCTTTTTTCCCTTTTTTTTGCAATAAAATAAGAAAACCATCTTTTGTATATTGGATCATCAGATTTGGATGTGATCCACTTTAATTTGTTTGTGATTTGTTTGAGAGACAAAGATGGCAGCAAGATAAAAGGTTTACCGAATAAGCGCGTACAACTGGAATCCTTAGACAATAAAGAAGCGTCTTGCGTTCCGAAGAAACCGAGAAAGCGCTGGGCAAGCGATTTCACTGGTTAGACATAACACCGATGTAAACGCAGTTAACCTTTACTTTTGCGCCATTACTAAACCCTTGCTTCTTACTGGATGAAAATCGCAACATCCCTCTCTTTTTAATCCCCCCCACAAAATCAAGCACCCCCGATCTGGAGGTGTCAAAGCTAAGGTAACACTTTGATGGAATCGTGCGAAATTTCATGTATTAGAGGGTTATCACGATCTTATATAAAAAGAAGGTTGGGATCTTGTCCTGTCAAAAGAAAGGATTTTTTGTTGTTTTTCTTGACACAAAAAAAATTGCAACTTAAACCATCCGGGTCTCTGGCCACGACGACAATTTATACTACCTTACTTTTATCACAATATACCCATTAAAATGGACAGTAACAAAACAGCAGTAGAGACACCAACAGTAGCGGAATCAAAATCGTTTTACGCCTCATCGATCGATGTTGCTGAAAGCGTAAACTCGTCTGCAAACGCAAACGGCGAGAAAAACCAAGATCATGAATTAAGACGCGGTTTGAAGGCACGCCACATCCAAATGATTGCCCTTGGTGGCACTATTGGTAAGTAGTGATACTAGAAGAGCCCCACCTCCATCATCCGTTTTCTAAGTAGAAATGCACATATCATCGGTTCCTAATACACTATACAAATTCCTTTTTTCAATTTAGGTACCGGTCTTTTCTTGGCTTCTGGTCGAGCTATATCCAATGGAGGTCCAGGTGGTGCATTGGTTGCCTAGTAAGCTCCCTTGATGATTTGTTCTTCAAAATATATCCTTCTTATAGTAATACACGAACTAATATTTATCAACTACACTCAAAACCATCTATAGTGCTGTTCTTGGTATTCTTGTATATTGTGTCATGATGAGCATGGGTGAAATGGCCGCCTACATTCCTGTGGCTGGCAGTTTTGCTCACTTTGCCTCTCGGTTTTCTGATCCATCGCTTGGATTTTGCGTTGGCTGGGTCTACTGGGCCAATTGGGCTGTTGGCGTTGCTGTCCAAGTTACCGGTGTTGCCATGTTCGTATCGGAAGAAAAAAGAAGAAACCATACCTTATCTTGTTATTAACGTGACTTTTCCTAACAGGTTAATGGAATTTTGGCTTCCAGACTTTCCGAGTTATGTTTGGTCAATCATATGTCTTGTGATTCTTATCGGCTTCAATGTTTTTGCTGTCAAAGGCTATGGTGAAATTGAGTAAGTTACCTGTTTAGATGTATTACATGGTTAAAGTTGTCACAGTTATGCATCAATACTCATGTATATACTCTCTCTACTACTATCAGGTACTGGTTGTCTGCCATCAAGATCCTTACGGTTATCATCTTTATCATCGTCGGCTTTTGCGTTGTTACCGGTACCGCTGGCGGTAACGAAATTGGCAACCGCAACTTTCATTTAGAAGGCGGAGCATTCCCTAATGGCTTTCTTGGTTTCTTCAATGTCTTGGTAACAGCCGCTTTCTCTTTCAACGGTGTTGAAATTGTCGGTATCGCAGCTGGTGAATCCGAGAATCCCCACAAAACTGTTCCTACTGCCGTCAACCAAGTGTTTTACCGTATCGTTGTATTTTATATGATGTGCATCCTGGTGATCGGTCTCTGCATCCCGTACACCGATCCAGATCTGCTCCGCGGCAACGACGATATTTCCGTCAGTCCTTTTACACTTGTGTTTCGACTTGCTGGTGCAGAATGGGCTGCTCACTTGATGAACGCCATTATCCTGACTACGATGATCAGTGCAGGCAATTCAGGCGTCTACTCTTCCAGCCGGACTTTACTTGCCATGGCCGAAAACGGCAGCGCTCCCAGATTTTTCACCCGCTTGAACAGATGGGGCGTTCCATTATGGTGTGTCCTTGCAAGCTGCTTGATTGGCTGCTTGGCATTTTTGACATCGCTGTTCAGCTCAGGTGTCGTATTCAACTGGCTCACCAACTTGACTTCGGTTGCTGGTTTAGTCACCTGGGTTTCCATCTCAATCACTCATATTCGTTTCCGTATCGGTTATCGACGACAAAAGCTGCCGCTGGATCAGTTGCCATACAAGTCGCCCTTGTTTCCGTTCCTCGATTTGTTTGTCATTGTCATTGGAACGATCATTATCTTTGGCCAAGGATACCATACATTCTTGGATCCAATCGATGGTGCCGATGTGGTTGCCGCTTACATCGGTCTAATCTTTGCTGTTGTGATCTACGTTGGCCACAAGGTGATTATGCGCCCAGCATTTGTAAAATCGCTCGACATGGACTTTGTCACTGGAACGATACCCATCGATCATAACAAAGCGGAACAAGAAAAGAAGCTTCCTTTGAAAAAGCGTATCTGGAAGACTTTCCTTACCTATGTGATCTAATTCACCCCCACCTCTATACTCATCATCCCTCAACACATCACTGGACCATCTAGTCTTCTCGCATTCTTCACCCGCACTATTCTTTACTTCATGTATACTGTATAAATTATTGACCTGTATGTACATTTAATTCGTTCATATCTTAATTTACTTTATTTCAGATAAATTACCAAACACATATTTAGCTGACCTCTGTATATGGCAAAAGCTGCGTCTATCATCCATCAAAGCTGATGCCTCTTTTTTATAATAGTGCATACTCTTTATGTAAGGGAGGAGGCGGAGTATCGATCAATGCTCTCCGGAAACTCTGGAATCCGTTAAATGAACCAGAAAAGTGCGATCTTCTTGGCGTAAAAAAAGCAGGTTGTAAAGAAGGGATATCCGTAAGGAAGAAGCAAAAAGAAAACCAGTAGAAAAAACTTTGCCTGTTTTACGACTACTTGGATTGTTGTCTGGTTGCAACTTACTTTCTTCAAGTTCGATAAGGTTTACCGATCACACTTGGCGAAAACCAACAAATAATTACCACATTTAGGTGTCCCTTCTATTCCGGGGAAAATGTCTTATCAAAAATAATCCGACCAACCGATTCTCTTTCCAAACTTACAAATTTAGGGCAGCGTGGCTCGGATTAAAACCCCGTTTACTACACTGCTGTTGCTCAGTTATGGGGGTCTAAGGAAACGCCATACATGATAACGAAACGTTGGGTTCGCGGGACCAGCCGAATGTAGGTAACGCTTCTATGAAATTACAGGTAATTATTGCCGTGAAAAGGGCCAAGTTGATCGTACCCGATACGCGTCCAGTTTTTACGCGATTGCGCCATCCGTGCGTGGGAAACGAAAGCTAAGATAATCATTGAAAGGGCAATAATCATACCGTACTAGGTTATTTTATTTGCTTGTCTTACCAAATTGGGTATAAGAGACAGCAGAAGATTAGAGCAAACGAATGAAGCATACGCAAAGGTGCTGCATCCTTTCTGCATATTCAAACACTACACCACATATCCACTCTGTGGAGTGGGATGAGTGGTCGATAGAACTCAACCCTGCTGACCAAGAAAATGAGATTGGGAGCTAAGCAGCTTGGCAACGCAACGTATTTACGTACGTAAACCGCCGATTCAAAAAAAAGAAAAAGAAAATGTTCGTACGCGCAACCAGGTTTAATAGTTGCCTCATTTTCCGGATGCTTGTTTATGTATCATACCCCTATTTAAAGATAAGGCGTTTTAAGGCAACCTCACCGTCATACTAGTACATACCCGACATTCCTTGTTAATGACAGTCTAGTTTTTGCGCTTGAACTCGTAATCGATCAAAAGAAGAGACGGACATCCTAAAAAAGACCATTTAGGCTGTCGTAGTTACAAGAATTTTTTCTCGGTGGGGATCGTCGACCAATTGCAGCCGCCTGTCAAAGACACAATCATGGCGGCGTACGTGCGAAATTTCATGTCGCAAGCAAACGCTTCTGTTATTCGTGCGGTGATTTACACAGTTTTTGTTTGTTTTAAAAGGGGTTTCTGCCTTATTCGACCTATTTTTTGATCTTTCAGTTTCTTTTTCACTTAGAGAGGAAATAACTACGCATCCGGGTCTCTGGCCTCAACAAATCGAACAAACTTCATCCTTTCACAACCCCTTCCATCAACTTCTCTTTATATACCCACTGCAATGGACAACGAGAAAACAGCAGCGGATACGAAGTCAAACTACGCCTCGTCAGTCGAGATTGCCGAAAGCCTTGGGTCATCGAACGCCCCTGGTGTTGCTAAGAAGCATGAGCTTCAGCGTGGTCTGAAGGCGCGCCATATCCAGATGATTGCCCTTGGTGGCACTATTGGTAAATTTCATTGCAGTAATATGTATATGTCTACGTCTATGTGTTTGCGTTATTCTAAACCTAACTTTTTTTACTGCTATTAGGTACGGGTCTTTTCATGGCCTCTGGTAAAGCCATCGTTAATGGTGGTCCTGGTGGTGCTTTAGTTGCCTAGTAAGTAGTTTTTGTCAGCTAGTCAAAGACTGATCGTTCAACTGTCGCCTTACATGTATTGATTAATCCTTTTTTTTTTATTATAGTGGCGTTCTCGGTATCCTCGTTTTTTGCGTCATGATGAGCTTGGGTGAAATGGCCGCCTACATTCCTGTGGCTGGTAGTTTCGCTCATTTCGCAACTCGATTTGCCGACCCTTCACTCGGCTTTTGTGTTGGCTGGGTCTACTGGGCCAACTGGGCTGTTGGTGTTGCCGTCGAATTGACCGGTGTAGCAATGTTCGTATCAGAAAATCCCAAGATGTTTCTTTTTTCGCTATTTAACATGTTTGTTATTTTTCTATTTGAATAGGTTAATGGAATTTTGGCTTCCTGACTTCCCTAGTGTTGTTTGGTCTGTCATTTGTCTGGTCATTCTCGTCGCTATCAATGTTTTCTCCGTCAAGGGTTATGGTGAAATTGAGTAAGTAGAGTATATTTTGTTTACCCTCTTCTTTTATGCACATAATAATTGAAGTACTCATAATTTTTTGAAATATCTAGATACTGGTTCTCCTTCATCAAAGTCCTCGTTGTAGTTATCTTTATTATTGTCGGTTTCTGCGTCGTCACCGGTACCGCTGGCGGTGACTATATCGGCGTACGCAATTTTCATCTCGAAGGAGGTGCGTTTCCAAACGGCTTTATCGGCTTCTTCAACGTCCTATTGACCGCTGCCTTTTCGTTCAACGGTGTTGAAATCGTCGGTATCGCTGCTGGTGAATCGCAAAACCCACACAAGACTGTCCCTAGTGCTGTCAACCAAGTTTTTATCCGTATTGTCCTTTTCTACATCATGTCAATCCTCGTCATTGGCCTGTGCATCCCTTACACCGACCCAAATCTGCTCCGTGGCAGCGACGATATATCCGTCAGTCCCTTCACCTTGGTCTTTAAACTCGCAGGCGCCGATTGGGCTGCCCATTTGATGAACGCAATCATTTTGGTCACCATGATCAGTGCTGGTAACTCTGGCGTCTACTCGTCTAGCAGAACCCTGCTAGCCTTGGCTGAAAACGGCAATGCTCCACGTTTCTTCACACGTCTGAACCGTTGGGGTGTGCCTCTTTGGTCTGTCCTTGCCAGTTGCGTGATCGGTTGCCTGGCCTTCTTGACATCTTTGTTTGGTTCTGGTGTTGTGTTCACCTGGCTCACCAACTTGACATCTGTGGCCGGTTTGATTACTTGGGTTTCCATTTCGATCACCCACATTCGTTTCCGTATCGGCTTTAAGCGCCAACAGGTGTCAGAAGATCAATTGCCTTACAAATCACCCTTGTTTCCGCTGTGCGATGCCTTTGTCATTATCATTGGTACAATTATTATCTTTGGTCAAGGCTATCATACATTTGAGCAGCCTATTGTGGCCGCAGATGTCATTGCTGCATACATTGGTGTCATTTTTGCCGTCGTCTTATATTTCGGCCACAAGATCATCATGCGTCCGGCATTTAACAAATCCTTGGAAATGGACTTTACAAGTGGAACGATACCTATCGATCCTGTAAAGGAAGCCGAAGAAAAGCTAGCACATAAGTCACTTCCTTTCGCTAAGCGCTTATTCGCTAAGCTTCACGAGTATTTCGCGTAGAAATCTATCATCATCATCGTCGTTATCATCACATACTTCAACATTGTATTATCATCCCTCCTCCCTCTTTCTTTTTTGCTCCCTTCTCTCTCCGCATCATTCCGTATATCCTGTCGTGTATTTAGCTCAACCTGTACATTACTTGTTTATTATTTCTTTAATTTAATTTTTGTATGTATTTACTGTTTACTTATAAAATGTCTATCTTGCTTGTAGTATTATGTAATCGTGCTTGTCCTGGATGTGACACCACTACATTTAATTGCGGGGAGGTAAGACACAGGGCGATGCTACGTAATAGTGATAGGGGTGTAGCGGATAGTGAGTAGGAGACGTGTGATGATGCTATTCATTTTCTTACAGAGATGACATCTTCTTTTCCATTCACGCACGTGCCCGATGTGTTTAAACGGTGATTCTAATTATTATACACCTTTTCCCACTCTCTCTTTTACTTTCTTTCTCTCACTTTTAAATTGTCAAGGGAGCAAAAGAAAAGAAAGCAGACATAGTAGCCATATTTCTTCTTCAACTCGACAGATTCTTCAGATGGTACAGATGACACGTGCCTTTATCTCAAAAGTTGTGTAGCGCTTCCTTTGTGTCCTGCTTCACAAGTACTACTAGCACTGTATACTTTCGCTATACAATTAACTGATATACCCCAATGAGTTTCTGGAAAGAATGGATCTCATCTGCTTAGTACTTCTGAGCTTTTAATCCGACAGTAACATAGTGGAAAGAGTGACATGAGGCAAGTAGATATCAGCAGATTTCAAGGAGCTTTTTCAAAGATTATACACGCTCTTCTCTGTTTTAGGAATTCTTATACCAGAAAAACACGAACATTTCAAACACCGCAGGAAATTAGGCGTGCCATCGTCTCCTGCCCTGCCTTTCTTCTCTTAAACCCCACCCGCATACTTCAGCCAAAAGGAACGGTTTCTTTCTCTCTCTTCTTTTCTCCATTATATATTTTTGAGTCTGCCTCGTTATCTCTCTCTATCTTGGTCATTTAGAGAACCATTCTTATTTTCTCCCCTTTTAACTAGTAAGTCATCAATACACGAAAGAAAAAAAAAGGAAAAAAGAGCCGAAGAAGCCAAGAAAAATCATTAAATATTCATCTGGAAATTTGTGTGATTGTTTAGGAATAATTAGTAACAAACCGAAATGCAGACGATAAAGTGTGTCGTAGTTGGAGATGGTGCTGTGGGAAAAGTAACGTATAGATCCTTTCTATAAGAATATAATGCACCTTTTGTCACTGTACACTCCCCACATTGCAAGGATAAAAGAATGAGCCACTAACTGGCGGATATTATACTGACATTGTATAGACCTGTCTTTTGATATCGTACACCACAAACAAATTTCCTTCTGAATATGTGCCTACGGTAAGGAGGACTGGGAGAGAAAAGGCGGTTTAAACGGGGAGAAAGAGAGAGAGAGAGAGAGAGAGAGAGGATGAGCGTGTGTATGTGTGTCTGATATGGTAAATATATCAAGCGCCAGGGCAAGGGGGAGGGGCTCGGGTGAGACAGAAAGAGAGAGAAAGAGGGAGAGATATTAAGGAAGTGGGTTAGAGAACATGCTGTTTCATGTTTTTGAAATGCTAACCCAACACTGTGTTTTCCACTAAACTATGCCCATCACAACTGTTTTCATACGTCTAGGTCTTTGACAACTACGCAGTAACGGTGATGATTGGTAAATGGCTTATTATGCACGCAACCCACGCGCTCTTGTGACATCTCTTTGATAGATGGATGATCTTGCTAATACGTATTTCTTCATGTACAAAGGTGATGAGCCGTACACTTTGGGACTGTTCGATACAGCAGGTAAAAGATGATTGCAGGAAAAAGGAGCTAAGGCCGTGGGGGGGAGGAGATGAGTCAATATGTCTGGGGGTTTAGCAAAAGTTAGCGAAGGGAGGATCTGTGATTTGGTAGATCGTGGGTAGGTGGGGTACACAATTAGAAATGAATTAAAGGGTACTTACTGGGCACTCTGTATATTCCAGGCCAAGAGGATTATGACCGACTCCGCCCGCTGTCATACCCACAAACCGACGTCTTTCTGGTCTGCTTCTCGGTCACGTCCCCTGCGTCGTTCGAAAACGTCAAAGAAAAGTGGTTTCCTGAAGTCCACCACCATTGCCCTGGCGTCCCGTGCCTAATTGTCGGTACACAGATCGATTTGCGCGATGATCCCAGTGTCACCGAAAAACTGGCTCGGCAGAAACAACGGCCTATCAGCTTTGATGCCGGTGAGCGACTTGCACGAGAGTTGGGCGCTGTCAAGTACGTCGAGTGCTCGGCCCTGACGCAGAAGGGATTGAAGAACGTATTTGATGAGGCTATCGTGGCAGCGTTGGAGCCGCCTGTCAAGAAAAAATCGAAAAAGTGCACGATTTTGTAGACAAAACGAAACGAAACGAAACGAAATGATAAAAAAAGACACACACAAACTCACGCACGATTCACACACGGCAAGCACGTACGCGTTTCTTCTTCTTGTTCTTCTTGCCCAGATAACGTGTTGAAGGACTATTTCTCTCTTCTATTTCAAACCACCACACGCGCACACACAACATCTACTTTTGTATTCTATCCAAGTTTCTAATCTCTCGCTCTCTCTCGCTCTCTCTCTCTCTCTCGACCATCGCTCTTTATATCGTCTAGCTAGCCTTTTCCTCTCTCTTTTTCTTCTTCTTCTTCTTTACCCATCTTCTTTCTTCTTTTTTTCGCCAACTCCTTTCTTCTCTCTCTCTCTCTTCATTTATACTCTTTACTTCAATATTTTCTCTGTCTCTTTTTTAGTTTCGAAATAAGAAGGCAAGAATTTTCTCTATCCATCTTTCCACAAAACTGCTCTTCGTATATCTTTGGCGTGTGTGAGAGTGGGGTTTTTAGAACTCTTTCTTTTTATTGTAGACGAAAGGGAAGGTCTCAAAGAGTTTGAGGCGGGTGGTGGTGGTAGTGGTGGTGATATATGGCTCAGTTTGGTTAATGGTTGTTGGCAGGGTGGATGATTTGCAATGTCGATTGAACTAGTGTTACAAGAAATACTGGCTACCAGGCCCAGCAGCATACGACTCATTATCGAAAAACTGGGTATCATTTTCTAGAAATATCCGATAATCGCTTTCCTCAATCTGTTCACGGTCGTCGGGTACTTTTAGAATGGCTGCCTTGTTGCCGCATCTATAGCAATAGTTGGGTGCAGACCACAATGTGACGAGATTCTTGTCTGCGAAAGGATAGTTGTATCCTTCATCCACAAGCTGATGGCTGCGAACAATTAAGCCCACATCATTGTTGTGACAGAACTATGCATATCATGGTCCATTAGATCCCAATAGGGCTTAGATATAGATCTCACCGGACGTTTAATAACTTACGGCATTGGTAGGTAGGTGGCCAAACAAGAAACCACCACCTCTTGGACTTATTGCCCATGAATCGACTTGTGACTCCGGATCAGACCACAATAGATCTGCAGATAATGTCAAATTTAATCCCTCATTGTTTATTACCTCAAGACAACAAGCACGCGTATCAACTGCTGCGAAAAGGCACGAGACTTACCACAGGTACCGCCTGTTTGAGGTAGCTCTTGCATTCGGAATAATGTCCTATCAAAAATTTCAGTTTCATGAGTCTCCACGACATCAAGAAGATCGTTACATCAGGAAAAACTTCTCTCTTTTATCTTACCGAATAGAATCAACAGAAGGTAGTTCAGGTGATAACCCACCATGGACACAGAATATATTTCCATCAACAAGCTAAATACGAAAGATCAGTAACGATCTCCTTAATATATTGGGCCATCCAGCAATTTTTTTGATACTTACCGCTGCCAAAGGAAGATAATCGAAAACTGTACAGCACCATTCCCACACCTTAGAGCTTTGATATTTGGCTAGACATTCATCTAACATCGACCACGTCAAGTCATTAACTTTCTAAGATTACTTAGGTTACGTATAGCACATTCAGAAAATTAAAGGAGAGGCTTACCATAGAAGCCATATACTCGCGTAACATTTCGACTTTCGTGGTTACCGCGCGTTAATGTAATACGATCTGGGTACCTGATAACAAACACACATATATTGGCGAATATCAATATACACACATGCATATGTTCTTCAATAGTAGGTAGTGTTACATTGCATCATTTATCTAAATAAATAGCAACTTACTTGACTTTAAGCAACAATAACAACGTCAACGTTTCTAATGAATAACGACCGCGATCGACAAAATCACCCTGTGTAATAAGCTTTTGTGTTAAAGGTTTGCTCATTTGCTTTTTGGATAACCTCTTGGACTACTTCACTCGGAATATACCATAAAAATATAGGATGTTTCAGGCAGATCACCACCGACTTCGAAAAGCTTCAACAAGTCATAAAACTGACCATGAATATCACCGCATAACGTCACTGGTGCTCGTACAGGCACGACTGTTGATTCCTCGGCCAAGATTTCCTTCAACTAATTACATACAAATACACGTTTTTTTTTGGTTTTTATAAACCAAATTTTGTAAAAGTTCAAAAAATAAACGCATTAGTACGATCTACTGTATATTGCCAATGCCTCCTGTCTGTTTCTGGTGAGGGGTAAGTGGGCAAAAGGTAAGTCAGGTAATAATCACCTTGTTACATAGCTGACGCATGTCATTTTCGGGTAGATATTTGCAAGCCTTGATGGATTCAATGCAAGCGTCTACATCCATGGCTGTTTGGAAAGGTCGTCAGAATGTGAGAGAAGAATTGCGTTAAACCAAGAAAAGACGAACCGAATATAGAGTCACCTCCCCGCTCCTTTCTTTCGTTCAAGCACGAATGCAGCTGGAATTAAAGTCAGCGGGCAATCTTTTATATTCATATCATGCATGTGCTGTAGCCAATAACCCGAACAGCCTTGAGCATTTCTCTTTAGGGTTGAATTAAACACTTGTTTACCATGATGATCTGTGGGTACAGACTTAGTATTACTGATGCTGGAAATGTACCTGACAACGGAAAGACTACTACACTAAGTATTGATGATATCAGCACGGGCAGTATAAAGTAGTAGTGGCACACGGCTCATGATCTCACCGGACCCGTTATTGTATGTAAATGTAGGATGTACTTGACGAAACTTTGTTCGGGCCCTTTCTTTTAATAGCGTGACAGCGGTCAGTGCGTGCGTTTTTGTTATTTACGTTCGCTAGTATGTACCATTATTTACTTGCGGGCAAAGTGTACGAAACGAAGAAGTGATTAATCATTGTATACACTCAACGAAAAACAATGTATGGCAAAATAAACAAAGTAAGTAGAATTCATTATGGAAGAACCTCTTACCCTATCACACCGTTGAGCGCGAGATTCATTATTACAATGTGACAATCTACTAAGATGGCAGGAGAAAGCAGGAGGAATATTTTGTCTCTACAAACAAACGGCATTCCTCAATACGTACAGGCATATGTGTGGTAGCCATGCATCCATCACGGTAGTTGAGACGAGAAACAGACAGCCGAGGTAGTTATTTCAAACAAATGTTTATATAGTAGAAGGTTGCGATGATAAACGGTCGTGTTGAGAAGATATGTACAGATGAAAAAAGGGGCTATTAACATGTAAATTCGTTGGATGTTTGGTGGCAGTGGTAGTGGTGGAGGTAGAGGTAGAGATTTTGGTTTAGATTGTTACTCAAAGTGCGATGAGCAAGAGCGTTGGCGATTTTTGGTAGAGTCAATCATTGAGTAAATGTTAGCGTAAGTCGGGCGGCGTTTCCTTTCTCAGATATCTACTTCTTCTTCTTTCATAGTTCGACACAAGCGCCAGAAAGTGTCGGTCACCGCCAGCAGAGTGTGTATATTCTTCAGATTTACAAAAGATGCCAGTTCGTCCAAAGAGCGTGGGAAAGTGAGCAGACCATTTTCCTGCCGAAGGCGCGTCAAGAAAAAGGTAATGTTGAAACCGTTGATTTGGAAAGTCAACGCGGCTTGCAGCTTGTTAGCATCAACAGTATCCTTAGCAAAAATCGCTAAACGCAGGAGATCGTGGCATAGAGCATGCTTATCGGTGGAGGGGTGCGCCAACTTCACTTCACCGAATCCGCGGCTTGGCCCTAGTTCGCGCTGGCTCAACTTGGAAGTGGTGCCATCAAGACGCATCTCCCCAGTTTCACCAGCTATGATGTTCGAACATCGCAACAAGGCGCTTTTCTCAGGATCGCAGAACAAAGCAGACAAAATGGGGTCAAAGTACATAGTAAAGAGCTCGCATTGGGGGGTAGTGTGTTTTACAGGAAACAGTTATTTACATATCCTCCTTAGAAGGAAAGAAAACAAACATACTTCTTTCCTTCTAGATAGGATCTTATTCAGACATACCTTTTCGAGGTGGATTCTATAAGTATCATTATTTAATGAGAAACTAAATGTCTTTATTTTAAAATTTTAGCGATCGCTGGTGGAGAAGAAGCTTCTGGTGCAGAGCGATTACTCATAATAGAGCGTTTTCGCCAAAGAACTCCTGTCGGTGGCAATGCAATTGAGTCTACTTGGTAACTTCCCCCATAAACTTGGTTGTGTTGTCTTTCAATAGTGCTCGCATTACTTCCTTGGTATGATTCTAGAATCAAGGTAAGTGTGTTGTTGGCTTCATCTCGCTCAAGCAAAACTGCTGAGACACTTACCCCAACCAAGCGCACACGCGCAACCATAAACATCGCCTGACCCAGGCGTACACGACAGCGTCAAGCACGGCACCAGAGGAAAAGAAAAATACACGCGGAAAAGAGGAGACAGCGGCACAAACGGCGGATTCAAAGTGGGCGACACCAGGAAAGGGAAAGGGGAGAGACCAAAGGAACGGAGAGAAACACGCACACAGACAGAACAAATGCCTAAAAAAGGCCATCTAAAAAGGACATTGCAATTAGCATCAATCTGGGGCAATACGAAAGCACTCGACAGCGAAATAAAAGAGGATGTAGCCACTTACACGCCGACAAGACCTGCTCCATCTCGGAGACTCGGTCGATGTCACCACGAGCAGCCTGCAGCAGACTAGCAAAGAGCGCCTCATCGTCGCCAGACTCGAGGAGACGCTGCAACTCCTCATACTCGTTCAACGTGACACCCAAGTTTGCTGCCATCACTGCAGCAAACTCTGCACCTTCGTCGTCGTCTTCCTCGGTGCGCACGTCGTACTCTTCTTCTCCTTCTTCGACATCTTCCATGCTCTCCGGGCCGCAAAAACAGGAACGTGAGCCAGTGGCTCCGGCGCGACGACGGACATGGGGATGTTTGCGGAGGCGTAAGTGGTGGATGCAGCGATAGGGCAGGAAGAGACGAAAGGGAAGAATAGCTGCAAGGTGTTGCGCTGGCGGATGTGGCGGTGGTGGCGGCGACGGGTGGAGCTGAGGAGGTGCGCAGAAGGATAAGGACGGGAACGGACTTGTTGATGAGGATTGGTGGTGGCGGTGGGTTGAAGGAGCGACTGCGGGACGAACGGAACGGAAGGAGCGAACAGCGGCAAGTAGTGGTGGTGACGGTGGCGGTGGTGGCGGCGACGGGTGGAGCTGAGGAGGTGCGCAGAAGGATAAGGACGGGAACGGACTTGTTGATGAGGACGGTGGTGGCGGTGGGTTGAAGGAGCGACTGCGGGGACGAACGGAACGGAAGGAGCGAACAGCGGCAAGTAGTGGTGGTGACGGTGGCGGTGGCGGATTTCACGCTGGCGGGTGTGATGACGAGGTGCGCGGAAGGAGGAAAAGACTGTGTGGTTGCGGCGGTGATGGTGGTGGTGTCGATGATGGGGATGTTGTTGGCGGCGGCGTTAATGGCGGTGGTGTTGACGATTGACTAGGGCAAAGAAGGAGGATACTTGACAGGGCCAAAAGCTCGTGCACGGATGATTCAATGAAGAACAGTTGGCTGCATGACAGTTGATGAGCATCTTTTTGAAATATAAGAAGAGCTCTGTCACGTTCACGTTTATCAACATCCATGGCGTTACTGGTTCGCATTTTCCATGTTTTCTGAGAAGTAGCTTATAAATTTAGTTTCTATTTCTTCGTGACATGGTTTCTTCTTTGCTACCGACCATCTGTTAGCACCCACACATCCGCACACAGAAAAAAGAGAGGACTCACCTAAAAACATGGAAAGTGCGAAGAAGTAAGGAAGCAACATGCTGCAGAAAATGGGTGCCTTTATGTGCTTCCTTTTCTTTTCAAAAAGCAAAAAAGTAAGCAATGTATATATTCAACGAAAATTAGTGTATGAGAAAACAAAACAATTTGAATTCATTATGTAAAAACCTCTTACTCCATCGATGAGCGAGAGATTCATCTGAGAGTGACAATCGATGCAATACACTGCACCCGTAAAGAGGTCCATAAGTTTGAAAAGTTATGGATTTTCAATAAATTGAAGTTGGGAGTTGGGAGTTGGGGAAAGCCGGTTCCCCAAAGTTGTGGAGTATCAAAGCATCGTGCATTTTGCGCAGCTGCTCCAAACAAACGCTTGCGTGGTATAAATCCAATTATTACGAGCTCTCGTTACAAGGTATAGGGAGAAACTGGTTTACCAGAAACAGCTTATTGTTAGATAAACTTGGACGCATCAGATTTTGTAACCAACAAGAAATGTCTACTACGCACTTATTTAAAACTGTCAACAATACACATGATATAGCACAGCATTAAAGAATTGAAAAGTTATGTTAACTGGCAAGCATTTGCGTATATTTCGTACGAGTCAGGAAAGAATGTGGCGAAATAACACTGCAGTAGAATCTTTTTAGGAAAAGGAAACTACAGTGATTCTACATGTATAATGTAACTATTGAGCTCATAGATAAATTTAGAGTATATCTTTGTACGGATAGCAGGGAAATAATATCCAGGACATACTATAGATTAGAACTAATAAATGTTCTACATGGCAGCGAAACGCCTGTACATTTCATGCTTTTCAAATAAATAAAGGATGTGTATAAAATGTTAGAACTTCACCGTTATTTACTTCATTTTTAATAGAACGAAAATTTCAAAGAATGTAGCGTGTTCAGCCTTCGCTAAGCAACCTTTCCAGTGAGCACAACGAGGATGGAATACTTCTTGCTCTGTATCTTCTTTTCAGAGGACGTATGGCTATGGCCTCGCGTTAGTTGTCTCCTGGGTCATGGAAGGCCACTATCTATTTCCTGTGGACTAACACACAGATAACCATAATCCAATAGCCGCAACAACAACAACAACTGCGAGGAAGCTAACCATTCAAAGTCGATTAGTGTGGCAACGAAACGGGAAGAAACCGTGACTTCTTCAGGAAGGAGACGCACTAGTGATTGAACGAGGGATTGAACACAAAGCAGCGTCCATTCTGGTTTTCTGGAGAGATCTAGCATAGGCTGCGCCCACTCCGGCTCTGGAGAAATTGGGCAGTGCAGCCACCTCCACGTCAAGTGATGGAGATCCTGAGACCATTGATCGTAGCGTTCCCAACAAAAAGCTAAAAGAGCGGTTGGTACAAAAAGGATGATAGGCAACTGCGTCTGTAGTTTAACCTGCTTAAATTAAAAAGAAAAAAAGTTCGTGCCCTTTGCTGCCACAGCTGGGTTGTATGTATAATTTTCTTTTTTCTTCTCTTTCTTTAAGGGTTCTTTCTCTCTCACTCATTAATCGCCCTCCCAACTCCAGTACATAAACGATATATAAAATATAAAGAAATGGCAACACATAAAGAATTAAACAAACGACGTGACGCAGCAGCAGCTACGGAAAAGTCAACGTCCACGTCGTCGACGTCGTCGTCCGATAGCTCTTCTCCAAAGCAGAAAGTTGATCCACCACGACCTGGTCATTTCTCTATGGTTCGGTAAGCCGTTTTTCCTGTTCACCGGGTGTGCCAAGACATTTTGCTTAGACCTTAAACACACTTTTGACACAACCCTCTATACCACTGTATACCACTTTTCTTACTTCCATAGAAACTTTTACATCGCCGATGTCATTACACTCATGAATGGCGTGTGCGGAATCATGTCCGTGTTTGGATCTATGCGGTACTTGTTGTCGAGTGACATTTCGGATTTATACTCGGCCATGGGCTTTATGCCGTTTGGTCTCTTTTTTGACTTCATGGACGGTCGTGTTGCACGCTGGCGAAACAATTCATCGTTACTCGGTCAAGAATTAGACAGTCTTGCAGATTTGGTTCGTATATTCCTTACTTTCTTTCGCGCCATGATAATGATTATATGTGTGTGCATGCATACAGAGAGGTGGATGAATGTATCTATCTCTAATACGACGTATATTATAATCAGATTTCATTTGGCGTTGCACCCGCATCACTTGGCTTTGCAGGTTAGGATCTAGGATGTTGATGATGATGATGATGACGGTGATATGATAATGATGCGGGTATCTTTGCTGTGATGAGAATTTCAAAAGGGGGTTATAGCATCATCAGAGAAAACAAGCATTTAAGTAACTAAGAACGGGTACTACTATTATAGTGGGCATGCGCACATACCTTGACACGGTGGTCTTGACATACTTTGTCTGCTGTGGCATCGCACGTCTCGCACGTTTCAACGCAACGGTGGCCTTGCAACCCAAAGACGTAACTGGCAAAATCTCGTTTTTCGAAGGCACGCCTATACCTACTTCGCTGTCACTTGTCGCAATCATTGCGTATCTGGTGATGAACAATCAGTATTTGGACGCACTTCCCGGTCAGATCATCCAGCTTGCTCCGACCTGGGACATGCATCCACTCGTGCTCATTTATGCACTCAGTGGCACGCTCATGGTCAGCAAAACCCTGCGTATCCCAAAGCCTTGATTTATGCCGTATAAATTTTTTCTTTTCTTCTCATTGTTGTGTGACACATATAAAATCGTTGCTCCGTTGAATTGTTGTACAGTACAATAAACAAACCCTCTCTTTTCATGTTTACATGTGAATATCACTAATACTTTTATTATTATAAATAAGTTTATTACTAGGGTTAACTTTGTACTGTAAAGGGAAAAAAACTAAAAAGAACTGTACATTATATATAGCAACAAAAACAGGTTACACAGCATGGTTAAACACCACAATGATGTAATCTCCTCTCTATGACGCATCATTAGATTTCTCAAGTCTTCTTCTTTTCTTAGTTTAGCGGCAACGATTCAGTCGCGCTGCAATGCAGTTTCAGCATTCCCGTCTTGTTGCGGAACAGTGTCCCAATCATCATCATCATCATCATCATCATCATCGTCAACTTGGTCTTGTTGATACGCATTGCCAGTGTTTGATGACTTTGCCACAGGGATAGGACTCTTGCCCTTATCTTGCTGATGCGTCTCATCTGACTCTACCTGTGATGCTTGCTGGGTCTTGTCGCTCTGATCGACTTGAGGAGTAGCAACCGCTTGCTGCGGTTGGATGTATTCAACAGGTACTTGGATCACTTGAGGCTGCTGCTGCTGCTGCTGCTGATTGTTCTGTTGGCCTTGTTGCTGATAACCCGATGACGATGGCTCTTGTTCTTCGGGCATAGGTGGCAAAGCACGCTCAGATCCTTGCTGCTGTTGTTCATAACCGCCCTGTTGCTGATCATGATCATAATCATCATCATCATCATCATCATGCTGTTGTTGTTGTTGTTGTTGTTGTTGCTGACCAAATTGACCCTGCTGAATAAGGGGCTCGGGACGGAATCGATCCGACATTTGGACTAGTCTATTGAACCAATCCTGCAAATCGTTCTGGTCTTGTGATCTGAGCATAAAGCTCTTTTCCATGCCAACCAAGGATTGTGCGTTCTTGCCGCGGATTTCAAAGGCGTTCTCCTGATACATCGAGTCGTAGTTTCTGCTGCAATCGATGTTCGTGTGCGGAATGAAAATCGACACTTCGGGGCTCAATGGATCCTCATCGAATTGTCGGGTCGATTTGTAACTGTGCAAAAAGCCGGCTTATATCCGAATAGTCGTTATTGCCAATCCTTCTTCTCCTTTAAGGAAAACAGCGATTAAGGAGAGAAAAAGGATATTACTTACATGGAGTCAAAACATACAGTCCTTCCGCCCAGTTGCGCATAATGCTCGTTCGGCGCTCCAGCAGGCCAACCTTGACAGGCTGCACGAGATCGTGGTTCTGGTTTGGATAGCTGATATCCTGGTCAGTCTTGTACGCAGCTTCTGTACTGATCAAGTTCCCCGAGTTACGACGAGCAAACTCGTCCCATTCAGTATCGGCACCAATGTTGCCGAACGTTGTGGTCACTTGGCCGAACGCACTGTGGGCTTCTAGCTTCTCCATCCGGAACTGTTGCAATTGATGCGTGATTGATCGAATGCTCTCGACCAAGTTGCGTTCAAACAAGTGGATTTCATGTTGCAAGTTTAAAATATTCTCATGCAACGTGTTTTCGCTGTCAAACAGATTCTTGTTGGCTTGGAAAACAGCTATGAAGAAGATTCACTTAGCAGGAAGAAACGCTTTTTATAAACAACTTTTTAACGTACCGCAATTGATCAACAATGGATCTTGACGCTGGTGGGCCGAATCAGGCATTTGGGTGTTGTACTGAATCGCGCTATCCAGCTTGGAGACAAGTGCGTCCATGCGACGACGGCCCTCGTACAAGCTGGTCGTCTTCAAGTTCTTGTCATGACCAATGGCCTTGAGCATAGACTTGATATCGTTCTTGATACTGCGCAGACTTGGCAGCACAGAGCGATCCAAGTAATTGACATAATCTTGATGGCGCACACTTTGTTCCACAGTGTAGTTGCGGAACGACATCCATAGGTCTTGGATACCACCGGATTCCATGAACTGACCATTAGCCTCGGGTAGTGGAATCACAATCGTCTTGCTAGACTTGCTGTAGCGACCGGCCGTTCTGGATTCGATTCCTTCTATCTGCTGGAACAATTTGATCTGTTTTGAGCAACACATATTGCATTCACAAAAATAATTGAATGTGTGTTAGTCAAGTGTCTTCATGAACCAGCATAATAACCCTAGTAACATTACGTAGCTGTGGATTAAACCCTCCCCCCCCCACACATCCCTCAGTGCCCTTACACCAAACCTCTTCGAAATTCTTTTTTTACCAAATCCTTGATGGCAAGTCGCCAAGCGCTCAGACGCGAAGACAGCAGATCCGTAGGATGAATACCACCATTCATGCGATACACTTGCTGCTGTACCGTCGAGCCGCGATGTGTCGACAATTTCATGCTGGGTTTGGGCTGAGCCATAAAAACCGGTGCTTCGGATCCCTTGGATGTGGTCGTCAACGCCTTACTGGGCGCTCTTTGCAACTGTTGCTGTCCTTGCTGTTGTTGGTTGCTTGACTTACGACCCTCGGGCACGGGTGTCCCCATTTCGTTGGCACCAGCATTATTGTCGTCATCTTGGAACGTCGGAAGAGGCTTAGACGTCATTACCATACTTTTGGGCAAATGAGGCAAACTCTTTTGTTGCCCCGTCTGTTGTTGGTTTAATAGTTGTGTTGCCATAGTGTTTTTTTACGTCGTCGTTGTTGTTGTTGTTGTTGTTGTTTTTGTCGTGATGAGGATAGTAAGAAAACACGATTAGAAAAGAAAAAGGCGCGTTAAAGCAACGGTTGGCTCGTACATGTAATGGCCAAGGCTCTTCATGTCCCTTGCACTAAATTGTGAAACCGATGCTGCATAAGGGGATTGATTTCGTGAATGGAGATCGTGGGGGGAAACGAGAGAAGCGGTTGTTATAATATTAGCAGCAGCAACACTGTACATAAAGAAGGCCTCAATGCAACGTGCTTGAATATAAAACAAGCGTTTCCCGCTTTGCTTTCCTAAAGGTGTCACAAGCCGCTGACAGTGCATGAATGCACAGCATCATGCTGCTTTGTGTCTACGCCTTTGGGAAGACCCATGCTCAAACCATCTCCCCTTTCCCCCGTTTTGCATTGCCACACACGAGAGGGAGCAATTAACGACTATAACAATGCTATATACTGTGGATCGGTTCCTTGCAATGGCCAATGAGCAATCCAAAAGAAAAAAGATATTTTTAATGTATAAACACACGAACATGAGTTACCAATGTTACGGCATTGTTGTTATCATATGCACTGCTGCTACGATAACTTTGTTAGCAGCTTTTGCACAGCCCATCGATAAGTAATAATGAAATATACTTCAATACGTTTCACAGCGACATCAACAGGGGAATAGTTGTCGCTTGGGCGTGAGATAGCATACGCAGCAAATGTTTCTGCAGTTGTAATCGCCTAAATGTTCGATGTTACTGTAATAATCTAATATCACTACACCGCTCTTGTACTATTACGACGGTGCCATATATATATAAGAACCCCAGTACATTGATAAGTGCTTCTTTGATTCAAAAGTATATGTTAATAATAGCCTTTTTGTGTTACAAATATCAACTGTTACTCGTATTTTCGATAACAATAATGTTTATGGTGCTGCTACTGCAATGTTGATGATAATTACTGCTGTTATACGAAGTACTAAATTTCGTAAAATGTTATAAGCCGCACAATCCTGCAACTCGACAATTTTGGTATTTTTAGCCTGGCTTAGAGCAGACTCCTCGCTCGTTATTAATTTAGACTGGGCGACAGCAAACAAAGTGTTGACAGACCAGAAGCAACCATGTGATAAAATATGGCTTTTATCCCTATATCTCTATTTTCCAAGGTGGAATTCGAACGTACACACATAAAGGTACAATGTAAATCTTTTTCTTCATAGTGGAAATTGCTATAAGCTGCTGCTCTCCTGTTAGCCAAAGTAAATAAACGAAAAGGTTTGAGAAAAGGGGGATTGTTGGGGAAGGGGTGCAGATGATGGGCAACCAGCTTGCATAAAATTGTGAAGCGTCACTGAGCCCGCGCGCTAGTTAGTGATCGTTCCGTAATACGTTAATGTTCCCCTGTTCTGGGGATTGAGTCCGAGTGACTTTGTGAATAGTCCGAGGGAGAGTGAGAGGGAGAAGGAGTGTCTGTATAGTAGAAAAAGCTCTTAGTTCCACTACCAATTTCCCAGGCCAGTTAGCAACAATGCATCGAGAGAGAAAGGGAAGAGGAGGCTTGGTCCATTATTTGTTGGTAGCATGGCCAAACGAAAGACACACGCAATAAAAAGGACTGCAGGTTTCTTTGTCTATAAATACAGACGTTTTGGTTTTGTTGGAATTATTTTTTCGTTACGAGATACATTCAACTCTTCTTTCTCTTACTGAGCACATAACAACATGACTATCGGATTCGACCAAGATCTTCCCAAGGATGTCTATGAGTTCAACGAAATGCGTCGCAAGTTCGTCTATGAAAAGTCTGGCATTGCCTCCTTGCTCAAGCCTGCCCCTGTGACGCAGCACTTGCCCTCTTATGACACGGAAGGAACGCCCACTTTCAAACAGTATGTTGGCTCTGGCAAACTCGAGGGTCGTCATGCTTTGATTACAGGTAAGACAATGGTCATTACTATATATCTACTGTTGCTGCTGTTGTCAATACATCGTATACATATGTGAGTGTGCTCTGTCCTGCTCTATATCCTAATAACACTACATTTCTTAGGCGCTGACAGTGGTATCGGCCGAGCGATTGCCACCCTGTTTGCTTTGGAAGGCTGTGCCGGTATCACCATTGTCTATCGGGATTCGCGCGAGGATGCCGATGCAAAGTACACCAAAGATACCATTGAAGCGCAGAGCAAGTGTCAGGTCCACTTAATTGCCCGTGACATTGGTTACGAACATAACTGTCGCGAGATTCTGGATGCTCACTTGAACACGTTTGGCAGTATTGACATCTTGATTAATAATGCCGCTGAACAGCACAAGGTGGATAAGATCGAGGATCTCGTTGGTGAAACTATGGAGCGCACATTTAGAACCAATGGTAAAGTCAATATCTGGAATCATTAATTCAGTCTGTGTGTACGTGTGTGCGTGTGACCAAAAAGGTCGGATGGATGGATTGGGGCGGACGGAATAAATGGCGATCTTTTTCCTTTTGCTAACTACACGTATCTTAATTAACGTGCGGGCTAATTCTTGGTTGGGGTTGTCGATCGATGATGATGTCTTCATATTATCAACAGTGTTCGGACCGATCTATATGACCAAGCACGCTGCCAAACACATGAAGGCCGGTGCATGTATTGTTAACACTGCTTCCGTAGCAGCTTATCGAGGCATGGATGTGCTTGTCGACTATTCGGCCACCAAGGGCGCTGTTGTCGCCTACACGCGTGCGTTGTCGCAGCAATTGGCACCTCGACATATCAGAGTGAACGCAGTTGCCCCGGGACCCGTGTGGACGCCCTTGATTCCAAACACGTTCTCGCAAGAAGAAATCCAAAACTTTGGTTCATTCCCACCTTTCAAGCGCCCAGCCCAACCGGCCGAGATTGCCGCTGCCTTTGTCTTCTTGGCATCGGCCGACAGCTCTTACATCAGTGGTCAAACCATCCACCCCAACGGTGGTCAGACCCTTAACACATAAAAAGAATAAAAAGGAAAGAAAACGGCAGCCGGCGTAAAAACTAGTATTGACTTGTTTGCTTGTAGTGCTGAATTGTATTACACAACACATCCCAAATTTTTACACTACTACAACAATCTACAAACTACATAGTAGAAACAACTTCAAACATACAAAATAAAGATTCGTACTTTGTGACAAATGAACCGAGTATGGTGATGATGGTTGGCAGTATATATATCCAAACGATGATGATCGTTGCACTTTGGAATAAAGCCGGGTTGGCGATCCATGCACACCAAAATGTGCAAAAAGGCTTTGTGTAACCACCGGAAACAAGTATGATGGTATTTTTAGAAGCCAGATTTTGTTTTCTTCTTTTCAACAATCATACTTGATTGAAATACACATAGTAGAATGAAAGCACATGGAGAGAGAGCGTGTGGTAAGAAAGTAATCCTGTCACCTCCCTCCTTTCCTGACCCTACATCCTGCTACATGCTTCATTCAGCGCATAGACCCGTTTTTCTTATCACATAGAAGAAGAAAAGGGTCACTTTATAGAATACTACCTACTACCAGTATATGAGCATCATAGCACTCTACTGGTTTTAGACAGTTTCCACTAACGCTCCCCGAGATTAATTATGAACCTGTTTGAGCTCTTCCTGATTGATTACTTGTCAAAATGAGCATTTGCCAACACAAATCGCTCACCGTCTTTCTATCTATCTATCATGGAAAACCACCAGAAGAACATAAGGCAGTCAGGATGGTATCCAATCAAGTTGGAGCGAATGCTATTGGACAGAGCCACGCAACGATCTGCATCGTCTGTAGTGGAATGTGTGTCACGCTTCGCAACTCTATTTGGTCTCTCTCTCTCTCTCTCTCTCTCTCTCTGTGTGTGTGTGTCTCCTTATAACACACCAATACAGTAGCTCTTCTTCTTTGTCTTCACTCTCCCCCATTAAACCTAGCCCCTTTCCCTGCCCCTCCCCCCCTGGAAACTGTAGTATATGTTAAAGAGAACAGTACAAGCATCCTTTTGCATCATATATTCTCTATACACCCACCATCATCATGCCAGCTCCTTGCTTGCTTTATGACGGATGACTGCTACTAATTTCTAAAAAACAACCAGTAGTAGTAGCATCGTTGCTTAGGGGCTCAACAGAGAAGCACGTCCGTGGCGACAGTGCAAGGCAAAGAGAGTGTTTTAGAACGAAAGCACGTTTGACAAGAAAGTGAACACAAGTGCCGATCCTGCTGTTGTGGTGCCCAACCCGTACTCACACTACGCAATAATAAAGCAGCCTCTCTGTTTATTGTTCAACCTTCGCTTCTTCTTCTTTTTTATTTGCCCTCCTGTCCTCCTTTTTCCTTCTTTCTTTCTCTCTTTCTCTCTTTCTCTCGCTCGCACAAAAACTTTTGCTCTTCTTCGTTTCTTTTCTTTTGCTATTTTATTTTCTTTTATATTTTTCTTCTGTTATTGCTCGCTCAAGTTCTCTTCTTCTTCCACTCATAACAACCACCAACAACAACCCCATTTTTATTACCCCTACGTAAAGCAAAAAAGCACACATTCTGTATACCTATACTACTTTTACAAAGCACAAAACACATCCCAACCAATTTCACATTCCATAAAAGAAAAGAAAGCAGAAAATGACAACGCATGATGTTCACCGAGCCATGGAAGAGAACCTATTCAACTCATTTCACCACCGCCACAATCCGCTCCAGTCGCCAGGCAGCCTAGCCGGATCATCACCGGCATTTCGATCCATGACAGCATCCGACCTCATTAACTTATTGCCAAGCACTCCGTCTGCTGCTATGCCACCACAACAACACCAACAGCACCATAACAACCACCACCACCACCACCAGCAACAGACACGTCATAGCCGTCCTGCATCCGATGTTTTGCAGAACCCACAGCTTAGCGGTCATGCTGCTGAAGGTACAAACATGTTTCCTCCGTAACCCGTCGTGTTTCTTTGAAGAAGAGGAAAACTAACAACTGAATACTTTCTGTAGAAGCCATCGATGAATGGTTTGAGAACATCCAGCGATACGAGAAGATGCTCGAAGAGGTGGCCGCAGCTAGTCTCGACCAAGCGTTCAAGGACGAACTCAACCATGTGAATCAATGGTTCCGATGCCGATCTGATCCTGAGCGAACGGCTGCCCTGTACAGTGTTGTCCAGAATGCCTCACAGATCCAGATCCGCTTCTTGATCACTGTGTTGCAGCAACTGGCGAACCAGGATCCATTGGGCGCATTGCTTTCCCCTGCTGGACAGGAAAAAGGTAAATGTCTACGACGAAGCAATGTAGAGAGAGAAAACAAGCCTGAAAGAAAGAAAGCGGGATACCCACTTTCTATAAACATTTGCACTAAAGAAGTATCTGTTGTGAATTTATTACAAATCCTCTAGCTCGTGCAGCGGCGTCGACACCCGCGCCAGTAACCGTGGCGGGTTCAGTCGTATCGACGGAGTCTCAGTACGAAATGCGGAAGCGACAGATGTACCCACCCAGCCGACGGGCCACACGGTCGAACTTGTGCAACCGACTTACGTCCGCGTTGAGTGAGCCTGATGATCTCCGACGTCGTAACAGAGACATGATGCTACCACGATCCTTGGGCTTGAGCCATCAGCAAGGATTATTGTATGAAAAGGCCCTGGCTGCGCGTGCACAGATCCAGGCCGCCAACAACGGAAGCAACTCAAACCGTTCTTCCACTGCATCAAGTGGTGCAAGCACCACCTCTTCTTCTTCTGCATCCGTCGGTAGCGGGTTTGCACCTCGTCTGAAGGCTTCCACCTCCGAAGTTACGCCTTCATCACGTAGCGGCTCGCTCTTTGGCACAACGACCTCTGCTGCTGCTGCTGCCGCTGCTGCTGCTGCCGCCGCCGCCGCTGCCGGTAATGACTGGCCTTTCCCGCTGGCACGAGGAAATCATCATCAACATCCTCAACAACAGCAACATCATCATCATCATCATCATAGCAACTCTGCTGAAAAACCATTGGTGGGCCGTATTGGCGATCGTGGGTCTGTAAACGACGATAGCTGGTCGTTTGGCTCGCTTTCGTCGAAGAAAAAGCGAGAAATGGATCTCCCCTGGACACGCAAGAGTGATACCATCAGGGAAGAGCAAGAGTATCCTTCTACTACGGCTTCTGCACGTGAACTTGCAGCAGCAACAAACAGCTTGACCGCACTGGAGCAAGCGCAGGCACGCCTCCGCCGCGATACACATCATCAGCAACAACATCCTACCAACAACAACAACAACAACAACCATCATAACCAGCATTCGAGAATCGGTCAAAAAGTTGAACAGCTTGAACGTCTCATATCAGCTCGAAACAACAGCAACAACAATAATAATACCACTTCTACTACTACTACTTCTTCCCTTCTATCTAATAAACATGCTACTACCACTACCACTGCTACTACCACCGATCAACGAACTACTCCTTCAAAACCAGCTCCACCACCAGGATTGTCTCCTATTCCTACTCCTTTGCCACAGTCATTCACTACAACGCCTACAACGACTACAACTACTGCTTCACCCACAACGACAACAATCAGTACTACCGCTCCTTCAACTACGCCTGGTGACAATACGCCGCCAACACCAGTAACGAGTACATCCACATCAACAACTGCTACTACTGCTACTACTACTACCAAAAAAGAGGTCCAGTTTGGACAGTTCTTGACACCGCCCGCTATTTATGACCACGACAACAACGACTACCTGAGCGACCATAGTGATACCTCGAATGTGAGCGCCAAAGATCAGCAGCTGACTGGTGCAGCACGCAGACGTAAACGCTCATCGGCTGCACGCGCATTAAAAGATAAATTGGCTGCAGAAACTATTGATTTTGAACTGATGAAAGGTAAAGCTAATCTATGTGCTGCTTTACCAAGTTTATGCTCCAAGATAGCTAATCGATCACATTGTAGATGTCCAAAATTGGCTGAGAAGTTTAAGATTACACAAGTACAGTCATGCTTTTGATGGCATGCAGTGGCAGCAAGTCGTTCGGATGACGGACGAAGACATGCTTCAGGCTGGTGTCAGCACTCTGGGCGCTAGACGCAAGCTTTTGAAAGTATTCGAAAACGTCATGCGACACTGTGATGAGAATGTAAGTTTTACCAATGATCCCTCCCTTTTACCTTTGTTGTTGTTGCGGTGTTCTTCTACTAGAAATGTGTGCACTGACATTCGTCTCCTCCCATCTTGTAGAACATTGAATACTAAAAAAAGTAAACCCCGTAATAAAAAATAACTCCTTTTCCGTCTCTCTACGCTCGTCCCACCCTTCTCCAATCACAAACTTTGTCCTCTCTACCCTTTTTTTTGTTTACATGCTGTGGAACATTTGTCTTTTTATACACACAAACTTTGTGCATATCATCTTTGTTGCTCAGAATACAAAACTATATTTAAAAAAAGCATCTGGATGACCACATACTATCATCTGAATATAGGCATGCTTTCGAGCGATAATGAGCCATTATTTGAAATTGAACTATATACCAGGATATATGGCTACTATGTACCATACGTCAGACAAGCAACCTTTTATAGTACTGTCGAGGAGGACTTTATGCGCAATTGTTTTTCTGAAATTCTACTTTTGATACTCTAAGAAATTTCTGTACATATAGGTCACCGTGGTACACACAAAGAAAGACATCTGGACCAGCATTATAAACTTTACATTGAAAACGGAAGCTATCATAGCAAAAATATATTAACAGGCAAGTACATATACGCATGCATTACATTTCGAAGCATTGAACAGAGATCCACGAGGCTGAAGCGCTGAAAACGCAAAGTATAGCAATGACCTAAGAGGAGAAATACAAAGCGCGCTATGCCCTACGACAACGGAAGGCTCATTAGCAAGTTTTGAAGAATCTCGAGCGCTATGCGTTAACGGTAATTATTGCCGAAGCATTTGTTGTGTATGTCGGGATAGGTGATTTCTTTCCGCTGTTATCAATAATTCAACATAGTGCAACATTTATAGGTAGTGAAAACCGCCAAATCCAGCTTTTTCAACCAATTTCGAAATAGGACAACTCAAAAGCGAATTACGAGAGTGTATTGTTAAGCTGCAAGAAGTCTTATTGATTAACTACATCGTATATCACTTTGGTGGCAGTGGCCCTAAGCAATGCTGCTTCTAATCATCTGGCGTAACTTGACGGTGCTACTGTATACTGGCGGATATCTAGGAAGATTTAGGTCAGGATGACGAGTAGACGGTTTTAGATGATAAATCAAAAAAGTTGCGTGATGTTTTAATAGAGGTAAAAAAAATGTTACTTAGTTATCTTGATGACCCGTCGTTCAAAGATCAGCTACTGTGCTTACGAAAAGGTGGGCAGAATCAGGAGAAGCAAAGCTCGTTTTGGAAACCATACGAAAACATGCAAGGAATTCCTGTGTTGGTATAAGGAACTTGTTTCTGCTTTTGAAAAGTGTCAGAGGAGAAAATGAAATTGTATGTCTATAACATTGCGCCTCAGCAGCAAGAACGCCAAAGATCATATCGCTTCCTCTCGCTCCTCAGCACACACGACTTCCTAGAAGCAAAGCTTAGTATGTTCATCATGTTGGATCTGGCGCCTTTGTAGAAGGTAAGTATTTGCACGTGGTAAAGAAGGCCACGATATACTAAACTATGCTTGAACGCCTGTAGGTTTACGGTACGTATTGTACGTTCAAATGAACCTTAAGTAAGAGTATCATAGTTGTACAGATTTATCAATCCACGATCATGTTTTCTGCCTACAAGACGAAGCAATATGGGCATGCTGAAGGGAACTCTGCGAGTGCATATAAGCAATTCGAGGTTGGAATATGTATAAAATCCGTGTGTCAATTGCAAATGTCTAACTGTTACAGTACTATAGTGTGATAAGAACAGAGCCTCGAAGAACAAGCCGTCGTGATATTCAGAAAGGAATGTGTGCAGATTGACCACCCACTGTCGCGGATGTCTTGCACAAGGATTTAAACGTAATTGATCAAGTATAACTTCTCATTTTGTAGCAAAACTTAAACGAGTGGATACTACTGCTATTAGAACAGCAGCGCCACATCACTCATACTGGTGTAAACCTTAACCAGTCCAAATGGTTCTTGTGGTCTACATGACGAAGCATGTATTTTATTAGGTATAAAGTTGTGAAAAATGTGAAAACCGCAATGTTCACATTAAGCGTACATATAAGTCAAGCCTATATGCTACGTTATGATGAAAAGTTTGTCTGGTCCTTGCACTCACGCACTTGGTTCATCTCCGAGAGTGGTGGGTAATTTTCGCTCAGGAGCCGGACGCCAATCAGAATGACAGTCAGTGTTCATATCTTGTGACTTAAGATCAGCTTCCTACTCTGCCATGTAATATTCACATCGTGTAGTGTCATGAATTCTTTCAACCATGATTATCATTGCTTTGGGCGCATCATCGTCAGCACCGTCGTCACGAGGAGGCCATAATAACGATGTATGCCAATCTCCACAATAGGAAATGATCGACAAATGCATGTGTAACTGGTATCCGTTCCGATGCAGCGCTGTTATCTATCGTTTTTGAAATCTGCATATGATTAATACTACCACAGTCTCCTGTACAGTATTCATTTGATATCCTTTATTTTGCGGCACTGATGTTTATTAGATGAGTCCTGCTACATATGATTAAGCACAAAGTTTGTCGCTATTACAGTAGTCATTAATAGTTTTGGGATTGTCTTTGACGTGAAAAACTAGAAAAAAATGACATGTTTCGATGTTCGACGTTTGCTTTTCTGCCTTCATTGCTGATATTATCATATCATATTAGTATGTACAATATGTACAGTATCTGATCGTATACTGTACCCTGATGCCGACTTTAATCCTTGAGAACTGTCGCGTAAATTATTATGAATAAACACATGACGGTACAGTAACTGCAGTTTGATCACGGCTAAAATAACATCACTTTATGCCCACAAATGCTTTCAAAATGAAGATAGAGTTTTATTGTCCCAGAAAAAATATACAGTAAAAATAGTAGTAGTAAAGTATTTATGAGAGTAATAATGTAATAAATAGACGTAATGTCGATACCCTCATTGATGACAAGTGCTACAGAACAGAATGGATTAGCGTGCGTTATAGCTTTTTTTTTATAATCTTTGTCTTTTTTTCTATTCTTTTTTTCCTTTTTCCTTTTTCCTTTTTTCTTTTTTCTTTTTTCTTCATTTTTTTTAGTTTCGTTTCGTTTCTCTATTTTGTAACATATTATGATATCAAGGTATGGTAAAATGGACGGCACACACGATCGATTCGCTTGATGGCACGCGTAAAACACAGACAGTACCCGGTTTTGGACGTGGTATGTAGTTTGCATCGTGTAAGGTGTCAGGTATGCCATCAATTTGGTCGTCTTGTAGTCGTGTAAGAAATGATAGCTTGTTCTGAAAATGTCTTGAGACAATCGTCGCCGCTAACGCAAGAATAGACCTTGTATAATTTTTTCTCGTATGTGATGTTTGAATAAAGCTTCTACGTCACTGGGGCTAAAGCTGCCAATCTAATGAGTAGTATGTTAGTCGTTATGCTTGATGGATGGTGCGTTGGAATGTACAATATCGTATGAAGCTCTATATTAACAACCGTACCTGACGGATGATGTATTTGTTTTGGTTGTTGCAAACTTATTTTTTAATTTGCAATCATGTACGTCAGCGCGGTGACAGGCACCTACGATCTGTGGGAACACATACAATAAAGAGAGATTAGTATCTTGTTCTTCAAAAAAGAATTAAAGGAAGATCTTTCTAACACTTACCTGACTGAATCTTTTTTATGTTCTTGCTTTGTGTATGTTTTTGACTGTATAATTTTTGGGCTATTGCGCTGGCGACTTTGGTCATATCTTGTTCATTTTGTATTTAAAAAGTTGTATCTGTCGACGTGTTTTGTACCAATCCGATCCGTGTGTGCCGTTGGGTTTTGTGCTTATGTATAAGGATGTATACGGGGTGTTTTTTTTCTATACTATTAAAAATAAACATTGTCAGCTTTTCCAATCGATCGTTGCACTTACAATCAATGAGGGGGGACGACATATGAAGCGAAAAATAGCATATAGAAAAAGAAAAGAGGGTAAAGGAAATTGGGACAATGTAGGATGTAAATTCTTGTGACAGGCTGAATGATGGTCTATTTTCGTATCAATGCTTTAGTTCATATACGCTCTTCACATGGCAATGGCATTCCTTTAATCATGACAAAAATTAGTAACTTACCACAATTTGCAGTATTGACGATACATCTGCAGACGTTATTAGTCGCGTATGGCGAGCATCGCATCCGTGGATTGTTCGTTCGCATTTGGCACAATAAGCCTTGACCAGTGTGTAAGGTGGCAGCTGCTTTCTGTAAGCTTGGATCCGAAATGGTTCGTCCATAGTATCTTTACCACACCGACAGTACGGCATGTTGAGCTGTAGCTTTTGGTGTCTGCACTGTCGTTGCAATTGATGATCAAGCCAGCACGACGCACACAGACCTCACATGGATCTTGATGGTGAGAGTAGTCCTGCTGCTGCTGCTTATCTTGGATGTTGGTGACAACCGTGAGTCATTGGTTGTGCCGTTTGGTAAACCATCTTGGCACTTGTCGTATGTCGACGACAGCCGCAAAAATGGCCGATGAACGTACTGACTACTTGAGCACCTTAGCATCCCTTGACGATCCATATGGATTGCTGTGTGTGCTGCATGCCAAGCGTGTTGTAGTTACTGTCACTTGCTGCTGCCATTACAAGTTCACAATGACACGTCCTTGGAATTCCCTCTTGTGATCGTTGGTAGTGTTTCCAAGTTTGATTGATCCGCTTTGTTGTGTGTGTTGCTTATCCAAGGACCTAGTGTTGAAGCCAATCATTGACAGCAGACCATCTGTTGTGGATAGCCGCGTGGATGGACCGGCCCGTGAAGTGGCAGACATGTCATTGTGTGTTGGACGATGATAAGTTACTAGGGTGGTTGTGTCATACGTGGCGTTTTCCGGCAACGTTGATTTATTTGTTGATTGCTGCCGTCATAAATGCTCGCGGATGATATGCCTCGGCTGTGTGTGCTGTCGTTTCGCCGCGTTCGATGATTATCATTGGATTTCCGATCGCTTGTTGTTGACCAGCATAAGGGGGGAAACAGTTGTAGATGAACAAAGATTGGTGCCATTCGTTGCTTTGTCGCATTCAAGGTTGCTTACTCTTCGCAGCTGAAATGCGCTAGCCTCACATTGGGACCGCCAAACCCCAAAGTGCCTCCTCCGTGGCTGGGCTGGGCTGCTGTCGCATTTGAAGATTGGATGGTAAAACGTCCATGTCCATAGAGATAGAGACATATAGGAACATGATTGTGCACACCAAGTTGAACTGTCTGACCTTCAGAAAGCTTTCTTGACCAGCTTCTTTCTGATTATCATTTCGCCTGAGCTTGAGTTGGTGATATCGATTTGCCAGACTTGATATCCACGGCTAATACTTGAATCGCTGTCACACTGCTGTCAAATATACTGTGATCCTCGGATTGTAGGTCGATAGCCTCCGCATGAGAACCGATTGTTGGTAGATTTCATGCGTCTCCTCCATATTGCTATGTTCTTCTATCGCACATCTGGTCGCTGCTCTTCTGTTCAAAGACATAACCGATCATGACGGTTTGGTTGATGACATGAACGATAGGTTGCCTTGGTTCGATTGATAGAAAGCGAAGCGGATATACCAATTTCGCTCGATGGAATTGCTCTGCTTGTAAAGACCAAGGGAATGCGCGTCTTGGACATGGCCGGCAGGATGCCAAATACTTGGGATAGGTGCCATATTCTTGATGAGTTGTCCCGGCTCGATGATTTGTCTTCGTGATAATAGCATTCTTTTAAAAACTCTTTTCGCCGATTTGATATAGCAGCAGAAGCAGAAGCAGCAGCGACCCACTCGAAATGAACGTCTTTGACTTTTTTGAAAGCCGCTCGAGAAAGATAGGTTTCGATCATTTGAAGATCAAGCGCGTGCTTTCAGGAAACACCCGGTTTCGTCTCCAATACCAGGATCAAGCCAAAGACGGGATTCTCCACTCCTCCAAGCGGAAACATTCCCTTGCCAGGGGAAAACGTTCCAAGCCGCCAAAGCCCACAGTAGTAACCATCACTGGCACCACCCGCCAACGGAAGACACCCCAGCTTCAGGAATCCCCAAAGCAAAGGCAAGGAATGAACGGGGACTTACATGGCACACTGAACTACAACCGGTGGGAGATCCAGATTTTGAAGAGCAATGGGGATAGCGAGGACGGTACAGCCGGTGGTGGGGAGGGGAACACCGCTCTGGTTGCAAGGGTATTGCAGGAACACCATCCACATGAGCTGGAACTGACTGAAAAGACAACCTTGAGAAGGAATGATTTAATCCCTAGTAATGGATGCTTCTTCGCCTTCTTCACACCACATCCGAGTTGAATGCGATATGAAGAAGGGAAGAGTGAATGGAAAAAGGATTATCAGTTAGTAAGTCTCTTCTTATTGAGATGTTCGTCTTTCATTGAGTATTAAAAAAAATATAGTACTTCCCGTAATCATACAAGCCCGACGCCTTGGGTTGTCTTTTCAGTCAGTTCCAGCTCATGTGGATGGTATTCCTGCAATACCCAAACAACCAGAGCGGTGTTCCCCTCCCCACCATCGACTGTGCCGTCCTCGCTATCCCCATTGCTCTTCATACCCCTTCACCCCCGGTGGCTGTAGCCAGTGCCACCAATGCCCCACCCACCCCTTACCTTTACCCGAGGAAACCATCCACTGAGGTGTCTTCCAAACCCGTCCCGCCAGACGGTCGCCACACACAGAGTGCAGCGCACACAAGGCCGCAACAGCTATGACCTATTAACAATTCCCTTTAATCAACGACATGCACACACTGAAGACTTGGGCTGATGTTATCAAGGCATCTATATTTACCTGTTGTCCTACACGGACTCGCGTCCAGAGACAGACATGAAAGTATCTGCCCACAACAAAGACAGCAGCACAAATAGCAGCCTATTTAAATAAAAAGATTTAGTATCCAACGATTACTCCTGACACCTACAGCCACACTTTAAACACGTACCGGAACCGTTGCCCACGTAGATACACCATATGGCGCACCAAAAAACGCCAAAAAAAAAGCAGCACACACAGCAAGAGCAGCAGAGCGGAAAAGTAGGAGTAAGAACAAACGGAGGAGGAGGACCAGGAGGAAGAGGAGGAGAACACCGACAAACCACGAAGCACCAAAACCAAAAGAAAACAACCACAGAACCCAAATCGCGCCCAGAAAGAACACCAACAGAACGCGCAGCACCGACAACACGACACGACAAAACACCTAGTAATCGACTAAAAAATCAAAGCATTCATTAGAATTGGTAAATACAACGCGTGGATTCATGATGTGTCAATGTAAATAAAACTTACCGATCAACTCGTCGAACCACGCATCATCCTCGTCCGCTTCGGCTTGAAGCTGAAAACGGACGGCATCTACATCAACATCACCGGAGGGGGAGGGCGGAGACAGAGGGGCGGATCCAACGGCGGTTGCCGTGGCAGGTTGTGTGGTGATAGTGGCGGAAGTAATGGTCGTGGCAGGAATGTCGGGATTTGCGGCACTCAAGAGGTCAGAGACCTCTTCGTCGAGCACCGTTGCCCGTTGTAAAATTCTAGACCAAAAGGAGGCAATACCCTCATCATTTGGCTGCACAGCAGGAGTGTCCTCACGCGTAGCGGCAGAAGGCATAAATACAGGTTGATTGCCGATAAACAGCGCATCATCCGCTTGCACAACGCCAGCCTCAAGTGTATCCTCGACTGCTGCGGGTTCATCATCGTCATCTGGCAGAGGCACACTTGCAGAAGCGTCTTGCGCAGATCTGTATTGTCTCATCGGGACAGGCACTGCAAAGGAATCATCCTGAGCTGGCCCCACGGGAGCGTCCACAACCGAAGCGAGAGAAGGCATTGGGTTGGAGGATTGAGCGTCATGCGACATAGAGTCACACGACTCCTCCATTTGCACATCCTCGTGGATCAGTGTATCCTCAACCGTGTTGTCAATTGGCAGGGACGCACGCACCGAAGTGGTGGTTTGCTCTTCAGGCAGGGACGCACGCACCGAAGTGGTGGTTTGCTCTTCAGGCAGGGACTCGCACGCCGAAGCGGGAGTATGCTCTTGGTGCAGGGACTCGTATGCCGAAGCGTGAGTTTGCAAAGCGTATGGGTTTTGAATGGCAGAAGAATCATCTTCATACCACGCGGAAGCGTCCATCCCCAAAGTCAGGGAAGCCATTAAGTTGGCGAGCTCATCGTCATACGACGGCTCCTCCATCTGGACATCCTCGTCAATGGGTGTGTCCTCGACCGCGTTTTCATGCAGGGACGCGCGCACCGAAGTGGCCGTTTGCTCATGCAGGGACTGACACGCCGAAGCGGCAGTATGCTCAGAAGGCAGGGACTCGCACGCCGAAGCGGGAGTATGCTCAGAAGGCAGGGACTCGCACGCCGAAGCGGGAGTATGCTCAACGTCAGAAAAATGCATCGTTTGCACAGCTGTGGAATCACCCAAGACAGCCGGCGCAGCAGGAGCGTCCTCCATCACAGGCAGCACTGAAGGCATTTCCGAAGGCATCGCGTGGACTTCGGGATCAAGAAGACGGGAGCCATGCAATTGCAGAGGGGCCACAGACTCTTCGATCACCGAAACTTGTTCAGGAACCCGGGAGCAATGCAAGTGCAGAGGGGCCGCAGGCTGTTCCATCATTACATCCATGTGCGCAACGGGCACTGTAGTCGTGTCCTCGACTGCTGCAGAAGAAAGTGAGGGATCAACATGCACAGTTGCTGTGGAATCAACCACGGTAGCAGCCGGCACAGGGCGAGTACGAGTAGGAGAGTTTTGCACAGGCGGCTGAACAGGTGTCGTCTGAACCTCATAAGAAGAGCGTCTGAGCACAAGTCGTCGCAATGCGTCCTCAACTACAGTAACTCTGCGCGAAACTGGGAAACCACACCACTCCTTCAACTGTTTCAAGTATTCACGCTCAGCCAATATGTCCATCGGGTCAGGATACAAAGTAAACGCTGGCCGAGAATCAAACATATCGGGAGGAAGACGACTAGCCGCACGTCTGTAGACCTCGTTGTCGATTTCACGATCTATGCCCTCCAAAATCCGCGAAGGATTGGGGCGATGCTTACCATACGAAGAAAAATAGTTGCGCTGGAACACATTCACAGGTGCAGGAGCAGGTTGCGATGGCGGCAAGATGGGGCGCGACGGCGGAGGCGGGAGCAGACCTAACAACGTACACAAGGAACGGATCAACGTGCGCACCGAAGTGCAACACTCAGCGCGAGAGACAAAGGCCACAAGGGCGACGGAACCAGCAAAGTTACAAAGTAGTGGGTGGGCCCGCCAGAGGAGCATAAAGCAGCCAATGACGAGGGTACCACAGTACATAGCGAGCGTAATTGCGAATAATTCGAGCATTGCGATAAAAGAAATAAGAAGCTGGTGAAGAAGAGATGTGCGCTGCGGCGGGCGACGTAACTCATATACTGTTGCCTCCGCAGCAAATTGAAATCCCGCCAACTTTTTCGCGTGTGTTTTCTATGCGTGCACCACAGTAGCGCTACTGCCATGGAACTGTGCTGTAAGTCTTAGATACTCACTTGGTCTATGCCTTTCTTTATCATAGCAACTGTTCAGTGAATGGCATTACAAGAATAAAACTTGTTTCATCGTGTAGTAGCATAGCTTTAAATTAAAATGTAGACTGGGATATCATTGGTATCCGTTAATTTTTCATGTTAATGCTGCTATACCTATCTAAAATTTACTACAGAAACATATCTTTTGCGCTTGTGTGAGGTTCACACTTACTACTTGACCTAAAAAGCTTGTCTGTCGTGCTCACTTTGGAGAGCGCCTCTGCTTTATAAGTGTGACGAGCACTATGAGAAATCAGAAGAGCAAGGGGTGTCATCTTATTATATTGTTGGTATATTCACAAAAATCGAGGGTAAGCCCTCACATCTTTAGATATACTAGATTGCCAAAGTACATTATAATACTTTTACTTGTCTATGCACTTCTGGTTAAGAAAGGGCATAGCACCTGATCCACGCAGAGCGAGCTTGTCCGGTATATTTCATAACTAGACAACGTACATGAAGTAGAGGCCTTCAATCACTGCAGCCAGCTAAAAGGGTTGTTCCCTCTCTTCGTCATGTCATACTGATAAATAGTTATCTAATACTTTGTACATATCTAGCTCACTTTCGATATGAAACCTGGTTCTTTATTTATAAAATTGTTTGCTCGCGTTCAACTAGTGTTAGAGCATATTATGATGTTAAAGTATACAAAGTGCTTAAAGCTGCAATATAATTATAATGGTGTTAGACAGCTCTCATTGCCCTTAACAGTACCTTTTCTTTTAAAATCATCATTATATTGTTTGTTAAAAAACATAGCAAAACAGGAGGTGGGCTTTGACAAAAATCCAGAAATCGAACTTTCTTTTGAAACAGAGTAAATTCTATCCACGCAGAATTTTATACAGGCACTCTTTCTCCGTGAACTTCCTCCTTCTCCGTGAACTTTAAGAAAAGGTACGTCTATAAAACAACTTTGTTTGATCATTGGAGGGCGCTTGTTGGCGTTTTTCATGAATGCGTACACGCCAAATTCTTTTTCTGCTCTTTGGTGTGATTGCGTTGTGTCAGTATAAAGGAGCAGGAGTTTTGACAGGTATTTTCTTCATTGTAGTAAAGGAACAAATCACAATGGAAAGCATCAACGTTCGTCTTGGCGACTTAACTGGTAAGTCGAATAATCGAACAGTGAACAAGTGAATTATCAATTTGAAAATACTTGTATTTAATAAAAAAACCATTAGGAGCGTCAAGGTGGAGCAACGACCAAGGTTCTTATTAACTTTGGGCAATGGGCAGGGATCAGTGATCGTGGTACGATATCCGCAGCACTGACACACATTCAACGCACATTATAGGCATCGATCAACACCAACCTCGTTTTGATCTAGCACCCAGTGGTAAGTACAGTTTTTTTTTGCTTGATATATCTTTGTCCTGCTGCTGGTATTCTATTTCACCATATATATTAAAGTCGAAACCATATACGTTGTTACAGGAAACACAGGTTTATTGGACAGCAGTTTCGACGTACACGTTCGCACTGCGGGTCAAGACAGCTCTCCGTTGTCTTCAGTTAAAAGCTTTGAAGAATTGGGCCTGTAAGTTTGTATATTTTATCGGTTTTTTTTGTATATGGGTGATTGTGGGTGTGCGGTATGAGAAGGGGATTTGGATATCTGATATTACAATATAGGCACCCGGATTTGTTGCAAGGCATATATGCGATGGGATTCAGCAAGCCATCCAAGATCCAAGAAAGAGCCTTGCCAATGCTACTCGCCAATCCGTAAGTAATTCAGTATTTTGCAAAAGTGCCTAGCTAATCAAATATCTTATATCTCGGTCTACAAAGGCCAAAAAACATGATCGGCCAATCACAAAGCGGAACTGGTTAGTCAATGTAATTTACACGACTCGGCTGTTGCTTGTATTTAACTAACGATAAATCGTTCACAATATTTAACATAGGCAAAACTGCAGCTTTCTCGCTAAACATTCTCAACCGTGTCGACTCCAGTTTGCGTGTACCACAGGTAATTATATAAAGACATCGAATTTTGGTGGTTGTTGCTGCCGCAGCACTAGCTAATTTTCGACATTTCGCATATGCTAGGCTATCGTCTTGGTCCCGTCTCGCGAACTTGCGAGACAGATCGCTGATGTTTTGCAAACCATGGCCAAGTTCACTAAGATCAACATCGGCATGGCTGTCAAGGGTGGTCTACATCGTGGTAGACGGCTCGATGAGCACGTGATCGTTGGCACGCCTGGTTCTGTCCAAGACGCAATTCGACGTGGTCTACTCCCTACCCAACAAATCAAGGTGTTTGTCTTGGATGAAGCAGACAACATGTTGGACCAAGACGGTTTGGGCGACCAAAGCATTCGTATTAAAGGGTGAGGATCCCCGGGATTGAAGATGAATAAGGATCGAAGGGGGGGATTGTCAGAAAGTGCAAAGATGAGTTCGTGACTAAACGTGGGATGTGTTTAGATCTTTGAAAGTCGAACCTCAAATTGTTTTATTTTCTGCCACGTTCCCTGATAATGTCCGCAAGTTTGCTCCACGCTTTGCTCCTGATGCTAACGAAATCTCCTTGCGTCGCGAAGAACTGAGTGTTGATACTATCAAGCAGTTCTATATGGATTGTCAAAATGAGGAACACAAGTATGAGGTACTCTGCAATTTGTATGACATCCTGACTGTCAGTCAAAGTATCATTTTTTGCCGTGTAAGTATCCTTTTTTGCTTTCTCAACTGCTTTACCGAGGAAAATAGCATATCAATTCAATATGTATACGTATAGCGCCGTGAAACTGCTGATGAGATCGCCAGACGCATGACAGAGCAAGGCCATGCTGTTCTCTCACTGCACGGTATGATGTCTCCTGAAGAGCGTGACGAGGTGATGGATCATTTCAGACGCGGCGAATCCAAAGTGTTGGTGACCACAAACGTCCTTTCGCGTGGTATCGATATCATGCAGATCAGCGTTGTGATCAACTATGACATGCCATTGGATCACTACAACAACCCTGAACCAGAAACATATCTCCATCGTGTGGGTCGAACGGGTCGCTTTGGTCGTACCGGTGCTAGTATCAACTTTGTGCACGATCGTGAGAGCTGGGAGCATATGAACGCTATCGAAGAACATTTCCAGAAACGTATTGAACGCGTACCAACTGATAACTGGGAACAAGTTGAACGCATTCTGAAAACGATCCTGTAAAGCTTGCTTACTCGCACATGAACTCTCTTTCTCTCTTTTACATATAATCCACCTCGCGCATCCATCATCCTTCCTTACACAAACCATTGCTTGAAATGAAAAAGTACAATTTACACACGTAAAATTTGCGTTGTAACTTAAGCATATAGTGTCACAGCATTAAAAACTAACTCTATCGTATACAGGACGCTGACATAGGATGAATGAAAGTGATGGTGAGAGATTACGGCAGAATGGATAGATAGTATGGCTGTGATGCAAAAGTGGTTGATATAGAGAGGGGAAACATACGTCTACATGCATACAATAGTATTCCTCACTCATCGGTTCATCATGCAAAAAGTTCTGATGTCGATATCATACTTTGTAACAAATTAAGTACTTTAAAACATATTTGAGGGAAGATTTTTCACATACAGTTTTGTACTATACTAAGTTCTGTAGACTATGGTAAATCATAGTTTACAAAAGCTTCTCGATGTCGGCATCAATGGACTTGGGTTCGGTGAGCGATGCATAGCGCTTCACAACGTTGCCTTCACGGTCAACCAAGAATTTCTTTGAGAACATGAAAAAGCATAATTAGTATCACACGATCGTATCACTTACTATCCCTCTAATCACCGGTTTCTTTTACCTCAAAATTCCACTTGACTCGCTTCATGCTAATTCACAACAAAAGAAAACCACAATTTAATATGATTTCTGGTATACTTAAAACCCATCGGTCTTGACTGACCATTGCCACTTTGTTTTGTTATTATCTGAGAAACTTACCCAAGCAAACCAGGCTGCGATTCCTTCAGAAACTTGTAAAGAGGAGCCTCATTATCGCCATTAACGTCACTAATAACAACAGATTTGTCAGCATTATCCCTGATAGTCTTTATTATCTTGACACATATAACATGAAGAAATCAAACTTACAGCTTAGCAGTGAGAGGGAAGCTGACATCGTAAGTCAGCTTGCAGAACTCTTGGATCTGTTCTTCGTTGCCAGGTTCTTGATAACGGAAAGAACATATTAAGAGAGAGTTGATAAGCCGGCTGTTAACTTGCTGTTTAAGCTATTCTAAAGTTTATCTTTTTACCTTGGCCGGCAAATTGGTTGCATGGACAGCCAACAATGGTGAAACCACGATCCTTATACTTCTTGTAAAGTTCTTCAAGACCCGAGTATTGCTTGGTGAAGCCGCACTTTGACGCGACATTAACGACAAGGACAACCTGGTAAATTCTCCCCAAAAGGTGAGTATTCAAATCATACACGCGAAGGATCATCAGAGAAGGCAAATGCTATGGATATAACTTACATTGCCCTTGAGGGCGTTCAAGTTCCAGTCCTGGTTCTTGATATCTTTGACGGTGAAATCGAAAAACTTGTTCATTGTGCTTTGGTGATGGGAAAAGAAAACCTTGGAACTCCTTTTATATATATTTTTGTGGTTGCCGCGGTATTCGAAATGGTTTCACAGCACACCGCAACCCTTAAGAAATCAGAATAATGCAGGAAAAAAGTTATACATAGGGTGACATTGTTAACACGTCATTTTCAACAAGCTAACAGTGCATACGCGTGTTTCCTTTTTTAAAAATGTGTCTGGGATTGTCTGCGGGCATGAGTGGGGAGAAGATACAATTTTTTAGATAACGTTTTCGCGCGAAAGGCTTGTCGCATTAGCGACATGAGACACTTCATTGGATCCTTTAGCAACAGGCTTGCTTGGTAATCAGCTCACGTGTAGCACCAGCTATGCCGGGTAAACCGTTCGGACCGGATCTTTATCGATAATTCGCTCAACGTTAAAATTTTCATGTGCCGAAACGGCGCATGCAAGATCAGAGAGCTCGATATGATCGCATTACGCGATGCACGTATATTACTTACAATAATGGGTGTTGGCTCTTGTACCATGAAGCTGTCGATCGCTTCTTCATTGCTGCCGTCAATTTTCATTTGTAAGCATTGCGTACGTATCACATCATATCTATGCTACCGCTATTTGCTTCAAGAGCGAAATCCTTTGTCACCATTAAATAAACATTTCGTCGCCAGATATACGCTTAAACCCGCAAATTCATACACGATGAAAAGTATAAATAGATATCAATTCTAATTTTGCAAAAGCTCAATAGACTCCTAAAACAGTATTCGTGCGTTTCTGCTCAGTGGCGCATTTTTCAAAGGTGCCAAATCCCCCATCCCATTGTCTATAATTTATACAAAGAGACGTTATCGCGATATGCAACTGATCTTTGTTCAATCCATTTAAAATGCTAACCTAGTAGTTAGCACTCCTTGTAATGCTGCCATTTATGTCCCATGCTTCTTGTGCAGTAAGAAGCAACCACAATTTTCCAACAAGAGAGTCTTCCACTTTTCCTTTATGAGACTATCTGATAGACAATCTGTCATCCACAGATATTCTCTGCTAAAAAATGCCTAAGTGTGTGCGTATGCCGGTTGGTTTTTTATTGCTATTCACATGATATCCCAAAGGTCTTCCAACGCGCAGCACACCTTGCTGCATGCAACTGAAGCCGAGAGTGAGTAGTCCGATATACCTAGAATATCATCATAAAAAATTAGAAAGTCTCACTCTTCATTGCCAAGAAATTCTAATGCCAAGTATGAAACTCACCGATTTTGTCTTCTACGTAGGAGTCAGCAAACGTGTCGGCACCCTTTGCCATTGCACCCACAGCAACCACGACAGGTCCATCACCTGAATTCTTCTTAAAGTAGTCATACAATCTCACTTTTTCCGAGTTCCATGACAAGGCTAAAATAGAAGAGGAGTGAGATAGAAGCCTTAGTTTTGATTCTTCCACTTAGATCACTGCATGAATGCTCTTTTTTTTACCTATTTTCCGGGCGTTTGATGGAAGGTAGCTTGTTACGGGAGGGGGAACAATTTCAAGAAGCTTGTTTGTACCTTCAGAGTCGCTAACAATGCAGCCCTTTTCCAATAATTGTACTAAACAGTAATTTAACAGGTAAATAAACTTCTTTGACACTTCCGATGACTTAGAAAATGTAGTGTCTCACTTACCCATCAAGCCTGAAAATCGCTTGATAGTTCTTGGTATACGGCACTCGGGATTGATCCGAATGACTACGCCCTTGGCTGTGTGGATGTATACCTGTTGTACGCGTAACGCGCCTTAGAGATATGATATGGCACTCTTTGTTTTCTCATTTTACAGATATTTTCGCAGTGCAACCCAGAAACTTTACCTCCAAGTGCCCGGACTTGTTTAAAGGGCTATCAAGGAGAGCAAGGAGACACTGATATTTGTACAATAGCCTTTTTTAGCATTCACATAGCGCTATACATATCAAGTTTCAAAGCTTCGGCAGTAGTTTATACAACCAACCTGGTGAACAATATCAGGTCGCGCATCGGCAATGTCTCGACCCAGTCGTTTTAGAATTGATTGATGTTCATCGCAGTTGAGCAGTTGCATTTTAGAGTCATATCGGTAAGGGTTTAATCTTGCTGCTTCTAATGAAGCATTTTCAAGGACAATAATCAATCGTCGCCGAGTGTCAACCGTGTCTGTCTCCATGAAGTTTAAAGTTGAGGTTCTGTGTATCTCGCTCTCAAACAATTTTTTTCCTTTAAAATCGTTCTTTTGAAATGCCGCATTACACCTCTTCTCTTCTCTCAAGATGGGCCCAGTATACCCTTCGTCTCCGAACCGAGCATACCACAGTTTCGGACAAAAGCGTCGCTATTGGGTGTACATTGGTGCAAACAATAAACAGATCAAAGTTTTACTGCGAAATGAAACGAGAAAGGCTCCTGTTGGGTTTTATCTCTGCATAATACAGGGCTAAAACTAAAATGTAATGTACGCAATAGCTGGCTGCTGAAGACTACAAGAAACCGCTCAATGCGAAGTAACAAAGCACACGCCTGATAGATCAACAATATACATGTGGCTAACATAATGTATTATCAATATTCATGTAATGACTGAAGTATGCATATCTATTCGACGCGCTTATCATTAACTCACCAACCCTCCCACGTTTGCTTGAACCACAATTGGTGCAATTTCCGGATTCAAAAGATAGAGTACGCAATTGAAAGCTGTATACAGAGGGTAGAAAAGCTGGACATCCGCACATCTTTCGGTATCTTTCTGTGTTTTATGTCCACGAAACCGCTTCTATCGGTACGCACATATAAGTATCGTAGTCGAGAACTTGTGGGAAGCACTCAACATGCTAGTCGTAATCCATCCGGTTATGTCAATTCTAGGTTGGCCGGTTGAGTCTTACTTACAATATATGGGATCTTTTATTGCTGGCAATAGTGAGAATGGTTGGAAGCTAACGCGTGCGCTCAACGATGAAGTAGCAACTATCGTTGCCCGCCAGCGCAAACGAATGTCCTTTTTTGCGTCTACACCAGATTGGACGGAGTTACAAGGAATGCTTGATTTACGGTACGAAAGAAGATTGTGGGTATGGTCGTGATGACAATATATGGTGATCGGCTGCTTGGTGACCCCATGTCCAAGCCCATCTGGAGGAAACAAAGCGACTACAGATAGTTTTCAGTTGCTGAATAAAAAACGTTTCTTTGTCGTCTTAAGGTTTGGTAGTGTAACCGATGCGCACCGCAGGCAACTTTGGTGGCCATCGGTATAACCAATGGGCAAAAACAGAAAAGATAAGTTTTACATGTTCTATATTTGTCTCCCAATACCACCGGACAAAAGTGTCTGTGTACATTAGGCATCAAGCGGCCGCCGCGTCGAGGTCATCCACGTACATGGATTAGAGCCTATTTCCGTACCAGCTAGGCTAAAACACAGGGTGCAGGTATTTAGGTAGGACCCCTTGCCTTTTCGAAGTGATGTTCTCGACATACTAACGTTCCTTTGCCGCAGACTACGCATAAAGACGCTTTAACACAAAGGCGTTCATTGAGGGAAGCATTCAAATAATAAACCATGCGTAGAACGCCCAAATACCGTAGCCAGACTTTTGAATATTTTCGCAGGATCGCAGACGCCAACAAAGCTGTTTGTCACATATTCGCAAAATAATTCTACATAAGCATTCCTTCATTAGCCTGTTCACCTGTCCCATCATAAACTTGTTTGTTTCTGGCGCACGGATCTGCTCGTGTTTCATAGTGAATGGTTTAGGCAGTTTCGAATTCTTGATTGTAGTAAGCGTATCGAGATAGATAATACATTGCTGCTGCTTTGTCCGCTGTTGTTCCTCCTGCTGATGTTGCTGCTGTGAATTTTTGATATCATATCACCGAATCTCCTCTTCCAAATCACGTTGCTTGAGCAACATAGCAAGGCTGTCTTCCAGATTTTCAGCTCTGATTGAAAGTGCAGCGTTTGATTCTATCCTGTGATGCTTGCTTACGTTCCGTCTCTTTGCTGTTTGCCGGTAGTTATCTTCAGCTCAGCATGTCTTAGCAGGCTCTAATAATAAGGAACACCTCCGGCCTTTGGGATTTTCTTCCTCTTGCAGTTGAGAAAAGCCGCTGTGCAAGTTCACGAAGAGCAAAACTGAAAATCACACTCAATACACAACTTTCCAGTTGACAGTCCATGGTATTTTCCAAGAACAGTATTCGCAAAACTATAATTCTATTCAAATTTTTATTACACAATAGAAATATCGCGACCGAATAGTGCTCGTTTAGACCAATCCAAGCTCAGATTCATGCGTGTACGTGTGCTGACCTATAAAAATCAAGACATGATTTATTAGAGAAATCGGTAGAAAACTTACTTTCCTAGTGGTTATTATATATATTACAAACCTGCTCACTCCAGTAAACACTGCGCCATAAATACATAGAATACAATCCACCGATCATCTTGTAGCCCCAGCTAAACTCGCCAACAGCAGTGTTGCCCAGGTATGCCAACGTACCCAAGTGTCGATACATGAATGGTTGCTCGCTATTACCACCTACAAATTTAGCAATAAATTGTCCTTGTTGGCTTGCAACTTGGGCCGTCTATGCGGAACAAAATTAATTATATCGATTAGTGCCATATTTCCTTAGCTCTTTCTCTTTCTCACAAACCACAGATCTGTCCATCCAGACTAGATATATCAACCCAGATAACATACCGCAGGCAATTGCGTCATTTTGCTGTCAATTTCACGCGCAAATTTACCCAGTTCCTCAATTTCGATTGTGCCGCTATGATCCAGATCGTAGTTTTCAAATGCACGTTCAAGTTTGTTGAAATGCTGTCTCGTCAATGGGAACTTTTTCTTCATGTATGTAACCGCGTTATTAAACTCTGCGGCATTCAATCGGCCATCCTTGTCACTACATGCATAATCAATTAACCCAGCCCATTTAGTTGAACCATATTTCCCTGCACGGATACTAGCCTGTAGACGTCTTTTTTCTGTACCTGTCTGCGCTTTCAAAAATCTCGCGAATATGCTCTACCAGTTTCGGATTGTCGATGGTAGCACAATCACCTACGGCATAGATTGACATATCAGGCACACCCTTGACACGAAGATACTCGTCCGTCAATAGTACACGTCGATGGTTTTGCTGGCCCAGCTTGTCGGATAGCGCTTGTACAAAGGGTGTCATGGCAATACCGGTGGACCACAGACATAAGCCATAAGGGATATCATGCGTCCCCTCGTCCGCTTTACCCTTGAATTTGTACACGACCTTGTCATCCTCAATTCGTTGCACGCGTGCATTTGTGATAACGTTAATATTCTCACGTCTGAAGCGCTTTTCTGCGTATTCGCTTATCCGGACATCAAACATATTCAGGATATGGTCGCGTGACTGGATGATGGTCACAGAAACGTCTTCTCGTAGAAGCTTGGGAAACTATTCCATGCAGCATTTTTGTGCTCCTGTTGGTTAGTACCTGTGTCTCCTCTAACAATCCCAAAAAGGTAAACACTTTGAATACAAACCCATTTAACAAGGTCCTCGTTAATCCAATCAAACAACTCGGCCGCAAATTCAACACCTGTTGGGCCTCCACCGCACACCTAAAATAGCGTACATGTAAACAAATTTACAATTGATTTGAGCAAACCTGTATAGCTAATTGACGAATTTACGTACCACAAAGCTTAGTAGTTTCTTGCGTTCGTCAGGGGTGGTTGTAGGCAAACAAGCTTTCTCGACGTTCTCCATCACTTTGCGTCGGATAGCCATGGCATCCTGGACAGTTTTGAGTTGAAACGTGTGGTCGAGACCCTGGATACCGTGTGTGATGCTCGTGGCGCCGACAGCGAGGACCAGTTGGTCATAGGGTACATAAAAATGTTCGCGCTCACCATCCGCACCATTTACGCCAGTGCTTTTCACTTCAACTAGCTTGTTCTCAATATCCACATCGACTGCCCGTGCTTCCAAGAAGTGACCTCGGACTCGTGCTGCAATTTTTCGAATGGGCTCCAATAACGATCTTTTGTTTTTTACGATTTGTTAATATCGAATGTGTGTGCGTGTTTGTGCGACAGTTCTTTCGGAAAGAAAGAATGAGTGTATGCATACCTTGGTTCGTTCGTGCCGACTGTGGCACTCGGTAATAGTGGCGTAAATAGAAAATAGTTGTTTGGACTGATGACGGTGACATTGAACTTGTCCTTGTCAAGGTTACGTAGAACCGAGACAGCACCCCAGCCAGACCCGATAATCACCAGTCGAGGCTTTTCCTGGTCTTGCTCATGCTCGTCCAGTTGATGGGTTACGATCTGCAAGTCTTTGGCACCACCACGTTGTGGATGCAGGGCCAGGAACGGAACTTGCTCGCGCGCGCCCTTTGCTTCTTCAAGGAACATATAATCCTGGGCCATTAGGTATGTGGATGCACCAACCAAAGCAGCACCGCCGGCGGTCCATCCTAGAATACGTCGACGACGTGATGACGACGAGGACGAACCTCCTTGCTTCGTTGAAGTTGCAAGTGCTCGGTAGTAGGTTCTGGCCGAGAACGACTGGCGGGGTGCTGAAGCAGTTCGCGACAGTACTCGGAACATGGAAAAGATTCAGAATGGATTAAAGAAAAGGGAAAAGAAAAACGACTGTGTCTGGGATAAGAACGGGACTCTGAGCCTATTTTAGCAAAGGTTGGAGGGTCGATGATTTCATATCTATGCATGCATGTAAAAAAGATTCTCCGACAGACAACGCTAACCATAGAAAACAGCAGTAGTAATAAGATCTTGGTCGGATAAATGTATTAAAAGTAATATATAAATAGCAATATGAAAGGGAGTATATAACAAACAAAAGTATCTATGCTGTAGGAGGCGGTCGTTTTTTCTTCCGCAATGATATCTTAAGACTACGTGATATGCTTTCCGCCCGGGACGCCATCGGCGGGGCATGATGCGAAGGCGCGGCTCCATCCACAATGGATTCCATCATGATGCTTGGAGGACGTGTATCGGTTGGTGAGCGCATAGATGAAAAGACTGGCGACATGGGGAGACTGGCGGATACATTGCTCAGTGTGCTTTGTTGGGAATTTTGCCTTGCGATTGGAGGGCGTGGCCCTTGTTGCTGCTGCTGCTGCTGCTGCTGTTGATGATGATGATGCTGATGTTGGTGCTGCTGTTGTGGTTGTTGTTGTGGTTGCTGCTGCTGAAGCGGTTGTGGGTGTTGTTCGTGATGGGATGCTGTTGCTGATTCTTCGTTGGGATGATGGTAGTCTAAAGGATGCACTTCACTGTCTTGTGAAGATTGTTGCTGGGTATCTTTGTGTCTATGGACGTATTCAATTTCGTCCTTGAAATTCTTTTTGAAGACTGTAACAATCACGTCAGTAACTAGCCTAGTATCCACACTCAGCATCCAAAACTTACAGTCAACAAGCGTATCGTGGAATGGTTTCATATCAGAGGATACAAGTTTGCGGTGGATTTCTAGACATTGCTCGATAATCTCGACCTGTGTTGAAAAAAATGTTGAGTCCGGATAATTTATCTACCACACTTCTTTTTCCCGTCAAGCTTACCTGGTCATTAATGGCGGTCTTTAACCGACGCACCCAAGGGCGCATCTCGGGGTTCTTTTCCCAGTATCCATCGGTCAAAAAGGCCTTCTTGTACAAGGTCACGCCGCCGTTGACAGGAGCATCCACAGCACCATTCAATGCCATTGAGAACGGGCTGATGTTGACGGAACCACCCCCGCGCTGCTTCAAATGCACCGAGTACTTGTTGGCCAGTGCGCACAGTTCCTCGTTCTTCTTTTCCATTGCCAAGACCGCGTTTTCAATCGGCGAAATCTCAACATCCTCGACGAAAACCACCTTGGACCGCCGTGCCGTTGTCGGGAACGCCTCTTCGCACGTAAACATGGTCTTTTTCGTCCACAGATTCAAAAAGTCCATCTCGGGCTTCTTGCTAGCATCCGACGACGACAGTTGTTGCACGTTGCCCTTGTCGAACGGTCGCGAATACGAAAAATGCGAGATTTGGTTGGCCATGTAGTACTTTTTGATCGTTTCAGGCACCAGTGGGTTATTGAGGATCTCGATACTGCCCGTAGGTTCTGCGGTGACGGCAGTGATCTGCAGATATTGAGCATCCACCTCTTCGTCGACCTCGCGTATCTGCTCGTCGCTCAACGTTGACTGTGTTGCATACTTGCTCGGCAAAAGCTGCGCATTTGGATGCTGATTCTGCATCCGCTCCACAAACGATGCCATCTTTTCCCACTCGAGGCCACGGTAGATAAACTGCTGGTGCCGCACACTGGCAGGAAAGCCACGTCCATAGAATGCCACACGGAAATACTCGGCAAAATAGCGCTCCTTTTTGACAATGTCTTGGGCGTATTGTGCCTGTCGCTGCAGGATCTCGCTGAGTTTCACATAGTCATAAAGCGTAAATTCGTACTCGTGTGCAAGCTCCTTGCATAACCCGATGCACAGCTCCCAGGCGCTGCCCTTCTCCAAGTACGAGATCATGTCCTTGTACAGCTTCTCCTTGCGGATGAATGCCGTTTGTGCTGGAAAGTTGAGCTCAGGGATTGCTGGCAGTTCTTCTTGTGGATCCCAGGACAACAGGTCGCCGTGGAAACGCAGTGTCAACGCTGCCTCGACATAATTACTGCTGCTTACGTGCAGCTCGACCAGCTGATGCACATACTTGACATAGATATCTTCGCGCTGGATGACTTGGATAAACTCCATCAGCTTCAACGTGGCACTGATGCGGTCCTCGACAAACTCGTCATTCTCCAGCGGAAGACCACGTATTTGCAGCAGCAGACCCAGGAACTTGCTGATGGATTCGACCACCTTGACTCCCCCTTGCACGAGTTCGGGGGCAAGCTTCTGCTCGTCCAACTTCTGCTCTAATGTACTGAGCAGTTCGGGAATCAGCTTGTTCTTGATTGTCTCGTCGCCCTTGTTCTCGGTCATCACCAGCAAATCAACTGTGCTAATCAGCAGATTCTGCACGCGCGTCAGGGATTCAAAGGAGCGCAGCTCGATGGCAATGATATCCGCCAAGATGCCAACGGCCGTGTATCGAACCTTGTCATGCAGGGTCAGGCTCACACCGCACAGTGGTCGCAGGATGGCTGGAATTAGTGCTAGCTGCAGTTGCGATACAGCAGGCTGCTGCTGTTCTGCTTCTTTTTCCTCGCCATGTTCCGCTTGCTCCTGCTTTTCTTTCTCGTCGTTCAAACGACTGATCAACACCTTGGCCTGGTATGCATCCGCCGCTTCCTCTTCGTCGTAAAGCACCTTGGATCCGCTGCTTCCACGTCTGTTTGTCAGGTCCTCTGTACTCGACATCTCTTCTTCGGCTGACATATATCGCTCTTCTTCAGCAATCGTATCGACCGATGTATTGTTGTTGATACCTAAGCCGTTCGTTTTGTTGCTATAGTTGCCAATCATCGCTGAAAGCATCGATGCTGACTTGACTGTTCGTGGCGCTTTCTTTGGTCCAGCTAGTTTCCACAACGATTGCAATGTCTTGGCACCCACCGAGCCCTTCATATTACCGGCCAATTTCCACACGACCCGCTGTGTCTGAGGCAAGAATTCTTCGATATCCAGTCGAGGGCTCGACATGACCCGCAAGAGGCCGACGAAAAACGCACGCCACAGGTCTTCGATCTGTTCACTCGTCGGCTGCTCTTCACTGGGATGAAAGTCGGGCAACTCAAACACACAGATGGCTGGCGCCATGATATGGTTCAATACAATCTGATGGCCAGTCACCGACATGTTCAACCAGCTGTCAGGCAGCTTGCGCGTTTCGGTCGTAGCATCTTGTTCGTGATGGATACTGTCGTCCTTGGCATTGGATTCTTCGAGCTTTTGCATGCTGTCACCAAACAGAATTGCCATGCAGGCATGCACCAACTGCCGCAAAAACAGTGCCACGTGCGTCGATCCTTCGTTTTCGTACATGTGATGCAAATAATCGACCCACTGTTGCCGCGGAGTCAGATAGAACAGCTCAAGGATGACCACCGTGATATCAAACAGACCCGTTGTCACCATAGCCGCCAGATTGCCCGTTGCTGCGATTGCTGGATTGTTCTTAATTGATGTTGCATGGAACGGATATGTCGACGGGAAGGGTGTAGTTGGCGATGTCGCTAATGCCTGGAGTACGACCGCAAACTTGGATTCCCCACTACTGGCTGCTGTGTTACCCGTCATCACATCCTTCACCATCGACGGCGAATGTTTTAAACTTGTTGAATTGGATCGATCGCGGAGGACACTGAGCGAGTGTCTAGAGCTGTTGCGTGCAGGTGGGATCACATCCGCCGCTGTCGCTGCTGTGTTCTCCGTCGCAATGCCTGTTGCATGGATCGCCTGTATCGTCAGCCGCTGCAGATCCTTGTACGCATTGAGCAGTTGTGGAACTAGCTGCAACGCCAGCTCAGTAATCGTCATCAACTCCGTATGCGACTCGTCTATCAGTTCTTCATCACCACTTGTCGCCATCGAAATTGGACGTGACAATGTCGACAATGACGGTGATGATATCGACGATGTGGACAATCCAAGCGAAGCCATGCCTGAAAGTCGTCGAACCTTGTCCAGGATCTCGCTCATGATCGTCAATGACAGCCGTAGATACTCGAGCCACTGCACCCTGGGCAACCGCATCTGTTGATGATCCGCTGCCTCGCCCCCTTGTCCATCAACGTTACGCGAGAAAATGACATTCTTGGCGGCAGACATGTACGAGTTGAGCCACACCGTGATCCACTTGAAAACGTGCTTGGCTAGTCCCAAACGACACGTATGGTCATTGAAAACAGGACCCTTGACGATCGCCAGAATCATGCATAAACGGTAGCCGACGAGTTTTCCGGTTACATGAGAGCACGCATTCACAAAGCTGGTGGTGATATCGACAAGCTGCCGTGGCGAAAACACGCGGCGCAACTCTCCCAAGATTTCTGCAAAATGCTGCAACGCCATTGTCTGAGTGCCAATCATGACACTCGGCTGTTCAGGCGACATCATGTCGTTGATCAGCTGTAACAGTTGTTGTAGCTCTTCTTTGAACATGACATCGCGCAGTCCTCGCTCGCCGTCGTCTTCTTTCTGTTGCTGCATGCCGCGCGACCGCACGATGAATCGGAATAGGTACTCCCACACCTTCATGCTGCTTCTCAGCCGCTTTGCCTTTTTAGGGTCGCTTGGGTTCGTGCACAGACGCAGCATGCCCTTGAGCATGTAATCGTACACCATCTCATGCTTTGTCACACGCAACCGCTTTGTTGTTCCGTCTGCCATCCGGTCGTCTACCGAGAACCGCTGTTCGACATAAACGTCCAATACGGGCCTGAAGTTGCTGAACCGTCGATCTTGCACGATACCAAGGACCCACATGATCGCTGCCAATGCCTCGTCTCGAAGCCGCTCGCCCTTCATTTCATCCTTGTGTTTGTACACCAAAATATCCAGTAGCGCATCAAAAATGTCGTTCAAAAACTTGACCACCTCCACCTCGCCAACGAACGTGAACTTATCCAGAATCGACAACAGCTCGCTATTGTCGCCACTCTCGTTGATCGTGGATCGCCAGTTTAACAGTTTCACTAGCGTCTCATTCTGGGTGAACTGCGTTGAGCACAGCAGTGTAGTCATTGTGATCGTGTCCTTGGCGGTACTGAGCTTTGCGGCTGCAGCCATGGCAGAAGCATCCGACCACGATGATTGGTCGGACAAATTGCTGCTACTACTGCTGTTGTGCAATGACGACGAGCTGAATGTACGATGCGATCCTTTCAGGCTGTTAATTGACGACGAGTGCTGATGCTGTGGCTTCCGTGGCAGCGTAACGTCTTGGTTCTGCATGTTAAACGGTGCGGATGAACGCGAGAACCATTGTACATGATCGAGATAGATACGTGGATGTGCAAGATGTCTGTCGTACTTGTACAAGTTGAGTGTGTGTGTACCGTCGGCGACAAAGTATCGATGCAGAGGCGGAAGGAACAGAGGCAGAAATCCCATTGCAACGATCTTTTCACCAGCAAATCCGCTTCCTTCTTGCGAAGCAGTTGTTCCCGGGCTTGTCGGAGAGCTGCTGTAGTGGTGATGGTGGTAGGTGCTGTTACTGCTGCTGCGATGTCGCACCGTAAAGAACAGATGCGTCCGCTCCCACTGCCGCTGGTCCTTGATCTGCACCTTGAGCATTTCGCCCCACCGTGGCCGCTGCTCATGGTAAAACACCATGCTCTCCCAATAGGTAACATGGGGTGCACCCGCACCCGCCGTTAGCGCATTCTCAATCACATCACCGGTGATGTTGTCTCTGGCGCAGATCGTCACCTGGATATTCTTGGACCTGGCAAACTGGACAAAGTCGCCGGCATTGAGCGTCAAGTAGAGCTCGTTCCTTTCGTCATTGGGAAACACCACATCGGGAAATCCAAGGCGTGACGTTCGTGGCACTCCCTGAAGCAGAGCAGCATTCGTCTTGAGCACGTCGTCGAGTTGGCCGTAAAACATGCGCAGATACACACACACCATCTCTGCTCGAGCATTCTTGACAAAGTCTTTGGTGTTGTTGTTGATAATGTCCTCGTGAAGCGTGGCAAAAGTTGACTCGGACGTGGCTGTGTAGATGCGAATATCGTGTTCTGCTGGTGCAATACGGGTGAACGGCCCGCCATTGCCATGGCCATTAGCGTTGCTACCATTCGTTGAAGGTATGCTGCTTGGTGACATCAAATCTGTTCCCGAACCTGCAGGCGATTGATCCGACTTTTGTAGCAAAGGTGCCAAATGAAGCACAGCACATCCAAACGGACGTCGGCACAGGTTGTCACTGGACTGTCGCTGATGATGCCTTTTGTTGTTGTTGTTGTTGTTGTTGTTGCTACTACTGCCAGTGCTTGCTGCCGCTGAATCAATATAGTTGGCTACGCGCTGCGCATCTGCACTACCAAACAGCATGGATGCGTGGCTCCCGATCGATCCCAGATGATCCTTCTCCTTGTCCGAATATTTCATGCTCCCCAGTCTAACAACACGACACACCAAATACAAGCCGTCGTTCAGATCATGCGCTGATAGATCTGAAAACAATGTCTGGAGCTTGCCAATCTGTCTCTCATCCGTCGGCATTCCCTGATATGTCAGCGTTACTGAAAACTGTTCAGTGACAAATCCGCCTCCGAGTTTGTTGTAAAGCGAAAAATACAGTTCAGTGAACTCGCCTGGCTGACATATTTGAGCCACAAACGCCTTTAACTCGAAAAACAAGTGGTGAAATTTCGCGCCCTTAGGTTGTTGCTGTTGCTGTGAGGTCGATGTTTGTGATTGTTGTTGTTGCTGCTGTTGCTGCTGCTGCTGTGGTGTCGCCGAATCAACACCTGATGATGGTGTTGTAGATTTCGTCGAAGACGCAATGAATGGCCGTGCAATCGACGCGGCTGACGACGACGTAAACGAGGTAGTGAGAGGAACATGTTCCATCAATGCATACTTCCAATGCTTTTGCAGCAGCACGGCCAGCGAAGTGCTGTTGGCATCCAATATATAACCACGCTCTGGGTGCCGAATAATCATCTCACGCATCTGTGAAATGTTGAGCATCACCATCCGATGAATGATTTCTTTTCTCAACCGTGACAATTCTTCTTTTGACAGCGCCTGATCCAGCAGTTGTCGCCGCGCTTGAAATAGATAATTGATGTGATACCGCACCGAATTGAAAGCTCCGTACCGTCGTTCCTCGAGGTACTTGTACAACAAGCAATTCCACTCGCTGACGCACGCGCCAATTTCGTCAACGAGCGGTTCTGAACTGCCCGTGATGGTCGACTGATCGAATCGTGCCAGCAACAAGGACGGAACCGGACGGTGCTGGTCATCTGCTGTGTGATCATCCTCGTCATCTTCATGTAATGGGAAACGCGCCAGTTCCATCACAGCACTTTCCGGTCGATTCGACGACGGCAATGGTGGAGGAAGTGGATGGTGAGGATGGTGATCGAAATAGGACGACAGTTTCCGATGCTGTGGGCCTTGGATGTGCGACTCGGATAACGAACGAGACAAGTTGGGAGCCTCAGTAGACGGCGTTTGGGCCATCCAGGGCGCTGTTGGAGACATGGGCCTGTCATCAATGAGCGAGTCTGTGCGACGCAGCGACTCGCCTGGATCCAGGTCGAGATATTCCTTGATCTGCACATGCGTTCGAGGAAAGCAGCCAATAGGTGCCGTGTTTGGCTTTTTGCCCTCTTCCAAGGATGAAAGCACGTATCCCCTGTACCAGTTGCCCTGCTGCTCCAAGATGAACAGCTCATCCCCGACCTCGAGCGGAATTAGGCTGGCATAATCTGCAGGATTCACAGGTGCATTGTTCTCCGGCGCGGATGATGACGATGTGGTCGTGAATATAGACGCAGCGTCTATATTATTTGGCGAAAGCAGCGGTGAGTGAATGGTGGAGTAGGCCGTGGTGGGGCGTGAAGTCGACAAGAAAGCGCCCGAAGAAGATTGCTGTACTGTCGACGGAGTAAATGGGTATACAGCAATGCCATGAGCGATCTTGGGTAGCGGCTGCCACTTCATGACAACAGAAATATTGCAAGTGCTGCTGTAATTATTGTTGTTGTTATTGTTGTTGTTGTTATTATTATTAGACGTGTGTTGTGTGGTATAGTATTAAGAAAAAGAGGAACGAAAGGGGGGGGAGAGAAGAAAGAAAGAGAGAGAGAGAGAGAGAGAGAGGGGACAACTGTTGTATGTATGTGGAGTAACAACAAAAAAAGAGAGAGTGAGCGGGTTTTGTTGGAAAAAGGGTCCTGAAGGAGTTTTTTTTTTTGAATATGTATAATCAATGTGTGCACTACTGTGTGTAAGGCACTGTCTGTGAGCACTGCTGCCTGGTTGGCGGGGTGTGTATGGCAATAAAAGAGGTCTGTTACACCACATCAACAAACATCATCCGCATCCGCATCATCTGGCTACTTTCTACAAGAAAGTCTAGCTCTTTGCTACTGCTGCTGCTGCTGCAGTGGGTGTGCCTCTTGACCTCTTGCCCCTTTTGCCCTTGAACATCCTGTACATCTTTAGTGTTTCATTAAACGCAGTCTGGCTGCACGCCTTATCCTGCCACGCGTGGGGTGCCAGCTCCTCCACTGTAAACCGTTCCTTGGCCTCCTCCATGAACTTTTCCTGCGCTGCCTCGTTACGCACTTCGCTTACACAAATCACCGACGTTGACTCTGTGGCCAGGGCATCCATCGTCAACACCAAATCAACCGCACTCGCTTCTGAATAAATACAATCGCACGCGAGCAAATAATCAATAGGTCCTGCTGACTGGATATGAGCTATCGCCTCTGCATCGTTCCACAACAACGGTTCCACCACCACCGAGTGATCCTGCTCCGCGTCGTTCTTGCGCCGGCCACTCAACGATCGTACTCGCAGACCATTGGCTTCGACATTACGTTCCATAATATCCACCAAATCTGCAATATCCGTAATAATGACATTTTCGATACCGAGCTTGGCCAACATGATGCCAATCAAGCCGACGCCCGATCCAAGCTCGACCCATCGCTTGCCGTGATCCATATGAATCCACTCGTGTCGCTTCTTCCCTTTCCCTCCTTTCTTGTTAACACTGGCCAGCACACTTTCCAAGTAGGTGCAAAACACAATTGCTGTCAGCCAAATGTATCCTCCCAAGTGGTTTGAATGCGGATCTTGGACGAGTACGACTTGGGTTGTATTGAAATGAAATGTCAAACGATCCGCAGACTGTAACTCCCAACGGTCGAGTTTCGTTACAGCACGCTGGTAATATTCGCCGTCTTCCCAACCTTCTATCGTAGCAATGGATCGTTGGCCGGGTTCATCATCTCCAACTGCAGCACTACCATTGCCTTGTTGCCCTTTGGCTCGGCGACCCATCGCAAAGAAAAAGTAAAAAGAGTCGAAAAGAAAAATTCTACCTTTTTCCAGAAATCCGGTTTTTCGACAAGACCGCGAGCATGTTTGAAGGGCAGCGGGCATTTATAAACAGATTACCCGTAGACTACTGGCTATATAGCTTGATGATGTGTTCCTCGCATGTGCCACATCTCTACGATACACCGTTCGTCATAGCACGCAACACGCCTCTGTCCATATTGCGGCATGCGTGACTGCAGAGAAGATTAACTCTCAATTGGGGTCTTCCTTCATAATGTATATATATAGCTTGATGATTTATCAAACTTGCTTGAATCTTTTGCATATAACGGTTAGATCAATACGAGATTTTAAAGCTTGAAAGGGACGTGAATCGTTTCAGTATGTAACTGAAAACTAAGCTGTTTGAACATAATTAACAAAGTATAAAAATTACAACCGCTGGCTGGCAATGTGTCATATTCAACGAATGGAAGATACAACAAAGCGACTGCTAGGTCTACAAACGGAACATTCTAACAGACTGAGTGCCTCTCAGTACGAAACACTAGGTAATAAGCAAGCAATCCATAAATTTCAAAGTGGAAAAAAGAAACAACCATGCTGCAACGCGAAAGGTTTCGGCTGATCTGGCACTAACCATCACCAAACTGGTATTGTTCTAAAACTCGCTGTTATAGCTAGCTGTAACCGCCGTGCTTCACAACTGATTACTGTTGTATATACAGACAAAGAAGAAGTAAAACCACTGCTACTGCCTACGATAATGCATAGTAATTTGGTAGCCTTCTACGGCTTGAGAAACACGAAACAAGATGGTCTCTGCTTTCTTGAAGGGTTCTTTTGGCTTGAGCCTGCTATCTTGAACGATAAACATGAGATTTTTTCCTTAAAGCACTTTTTTTCCCCATCCAACTTACTTGAAAAAGTCAAGTAAAGTGTACAAAAAGACTTGTGGTATCTTTCCTACATAGCGCTTAGTTCGGTTGATATACTATAGCCGTCCGATCTGAAGCGCATGACATCGTTAATAGCCACGCGATACTGCTGCTCTCTAGGAAAGACGAGAAATCCGATAGCAACCGCTGTAGCGCTTTTACCCATTGTTTTATGATTTTGGGTACTGTTTCTACTCCCACAAAATTCCTTAAAAAAAACGAGAATCAAAAAGAAAGGATCCAAAATCCAACAAAGCGAACAGCAAACCAGCACAAGGTGGGTTTGACTTTTTATGTGTGTACTTGGCATATTAAAATCTGTTTTCACCTTTTAAGATATGTGAAATTGATGGCTTCTTAGGCACGTATTTTGATAAGAGATGGAGCAAACATATTATATAGCATTACTTGTTAAAGATTCTATTTGTTTGTTACGAGTACCATATCTGATTTCACAGAGTAATAGCCTCGTCTACTACAAAAGTCATAACCCTTGACAAGTCGTCCAAGTTTACCAATGTGCTCTTCTTTTCCTATGCTGTTTACGCGTCGGGGGCGGAAAACGTTTGCTGGAGTTGAAAATAAACGCGCGTGTAGATGCCTCTGTGTGCGAGGGGCGAAAAGACACGACAAGTGTGGTCCTTTTATACACAAAATAAAAAGAAAGGTAAAATTGATTCCACCATGAAAAGAGACACCAATGACATGCACACAGTATAAATCACAAATATGTATCTATATGTATTAAACATTATTACTGGGTCCCCTTGTTCTTTTCCAAAGATGACGGATTACGAGGACGACATTTCTATTGATGACGAGATTTATTCGGAAGGCGGAAACGACAGTTATTACAGTTACGATGCCGAGGCTGAATGGGAAGAAACCAAGGAACAGTTCAACGCTTTATTCTCGCTCGTCGTATTTCCGTTTGTAGGAAGATGGTTTGGTAAAAAGTTTTCGTTTTGGCGTAAGTATCTCCTTTTCATGTGTGGATGTGGATGTGCGTATGCGGGGGATATACAAATGTCAGGTTGGGAGCGACCCTATTTCCTCTTTGCATATACAATTGTCACTCATCTGTAAATCTCGGATTATTACTGCACTCATAGTTTGGTCAAGATATTCATCATCACCTTTGGGCACATCTATCCTTTCGCTGCAATGGTTAAATGATATCAAGCGCATCGCCAACTAGAGAAACGGGGATCTGCTTCTATCTCCAGATTCTTTTGCACTCTTTCCTCTCTACCATTCCTAACCCAACCCATTTCCATACATACCACCTCGCGATTTTTGTTCTTTTTTGTATTCCGGCAAAGTTTTCGGATAAAGCTCTTTGTTCTATATTATCATATTAAACATTCAATTACTTACAAGTACATTGTTGAAATTGGTTCTGTACAACTCCCTCCCCCAGCATGAATGATCATGTTGATCTACTCGAATATCAAAGTAGGTAAGAAATTCGTGTACTTTCATCTTTAGTTAAGAATATCTACCTCAACAAGGTTCATTTCTCTCAGGTTCTAATGTGATCCAAGCCGATTACTTTCTGTCTGTCAACATCAAAATGGGACTCTTTGTATTTTACCCTCTAACAACAACAACAACCAGGACACTATAAGACATTTATCCTTTTCCTATATGATGTATGGACCCTGTGCTGTGCTTTTGACTTGAAATACGTAAGCTGAAGACGAATTGCAAGTTAGCAGCCGGGAACCCTGTGTCATACCGTAGAACGGCATACTTTTTGGAACAATTTAGCCCTGTTTTCTAGTGTCGGCTCTGTGTAAGCCTTCATTTACCCTTCAAGAAAAAAAAAGGGACTATCACCACCATCATCCGATGAACTTTAGGTGGTAATTGTTTCCAGTGGGACCTTTTTGAATAAAGAGAGGGTTTCCCTTTTGTTCCTGTGTTCCCCCTGCTTCGCCTTAAACCCCCACCACCCCGAACTTTTTCCCGGGTTGTTTGGCGGTTAATTCGTATTTCCTTCCCTTGGTGGGGGGGGGTGTAAACTGGGAAGGGGCATATACATCAATAGATAGCATAATACGGCCTCTTTGTTTTTTTTCTCTCTCTCTCTCTCTCTTGCGCCAATCACCAGTTAGTGCCATGCATTGCATACGCATGCATGTTCATAAGGTATATACTAATAATAATCACCACAGACATAATTGTTCGCGTGTACGTAACGTTTTAAGATAAGCTGCATATTTGCTTATACCGTACACGAATGTACTTCTTGCCAGCCCGCCCACGGAAGGATAGGAGGATGGCCTACTGAAACAACGTGGGGTCAGTCGATCTTTTTTTCTTTTTCTTTTTATTGGTGATGTGCATAAAGAGTTTAGATTCATTTATCTCATTTATGGATAAAATAATACAAATTTATCAAGTCGACATTAGTTTTGTTGGTCCCACTCTTGGACGAATAATAGTCCAGGTCCTGAAATTAGTATGAGCTTTTGACGACCCATAGATAAGTAGTAGTGCTGCACGACGAAGAAAACCTTTTTTTTTTTTGCTTTTAAGGAGTAAAGGGAGCATCACTTTATTATTTTAAGCTAACAAAAAATGCTATGTGTACTGTAGCATAATTTTGAAAATGGTTATATTAGAAATATCAAGAGCCAATATACTACTCGATGGTACAGTATATAATATATAGAAATGCATTGTCTTGGAATGTTCTGAATATTCTGTGTGCTTTGTATGAATAGTAGAAATATGGTAGTATATAATAACAAGCGACCAAGTCCTTTTGATTTCTAGCAGTTTCGTTGCTACCACTGTTCCAGGTTCATCGTACGCATTTATAGGTCTCATGTTGCTGCAGTGCTTCATCCTGAGGATATGTATTTGTTGATGTTTGTCAAAAACAAAAGAGAAGATCATTTTTTGACTCTATCTCTCTCTTTTATACACAACTTAAATTTTCTTTTACACGAACAATGATCATAGTGGGTACAGTATATAGGATGAGTATAGACGGTAATGGAAAAAACGGGAATAAGAAAATGATTGAATGAAATGGGTGTTCTTCCCGTAACATGGTAAAACTTGGTAACTTTACAACTTACCATTACTGTGGGCTCTCTCTCTCTCTCTCTGTGTGTGTGTGTTTATTTGGTGTCTGGTGAGCATTATGTCAATTTACCAAACAGCTGGGTTTTAGCACACAGGTACACATTTACTTTTTGTTGATCTACCACACAACTGGAAAAAAAAAGCGGGGAGACAGAGAGATGAAGAGTAGTTTTATGTCGCACAATGTATTGGTAGTAATCATTGTTTTCTCAAAGGAACCGTTCGTCGTCAATACTGTCTTCGTCAGCTGCTTCAAGTTTTTTTGTTTATTTGCGAAAAGTAGTACCAGTGCAACGTTTGTATCAGGTCATGAGAACGGGTCCAAAGCTTTTTATTTTTCATGAAAAGAATAAAGCGGAGAAATAGGCTTGCTGTTGCTAGACAACTCGTTTTCCAAGGTGGTCATAAGAAGAACATAGCAACGGTATCCTAGCGACCAATGACCCATTGCTTTGAATGTTGCCCAGGGTTGCTACATATACGAGACGTTGATGACAATTTTGGTCTCACTGGGCGCTATGCATGACACATAAAGAGAGAAAGTGTGTGTGGGGGGTGGGATGGAGAACAAAGATGGAAAAGCGGCCCGAGCATAGCAAATCTCAACGGCCAAAAGAATGGGATCAATCTTAGCAGCTGTTTTTACTATATTTTTGTCTAGCAATGGAATGGGATTATCATCGAAAGAATATTGTACATAGTTTACCTCCTTCTTTTTTTCATTACCGCTCTTTACAACCCCTCCTCCTGCAAACACGACTCGCTCCCAGGCTCATCGAAAATCTATATAAGCATGGCAGCCACGTTGTCTCTTCCGCCACACGCAGATTTACACACACGCACACACAATAAAAGAGCAAATTGAAAGAGGAGCAAGTTCCAAACCCCACCCCCCACATTATCATATCTTTTTTGACACGGTCATGATTCTAGAGTCAAACTTGAAATGAAAAACAACAACAACAACAACGCACATTTTCTTTGTCTTGAGAATCATGAGGATCGACCACGACCATCGCCCTTTTTCGCTTCCCTTGTGGAATGTAATTTGTTACACCACGTTATAAAGGCTTGTGTGACCGTGACACAAGAGAGTCTAACCTTGTTTCTCTTTTTGTACCATCATCGACACCATGATTTGCTCTCAGTATAATTGTGATCAAAGTCAAGAGGAAGGACCAGACATGTATTCTGGATTGAGATACCAAAGTATGTGAGGAGGAGTGGGTGGGTGGGTGGGAAGAGAAAAGGGAACAAAAAAGAAAAAGCCTGTTTTTGGATTTGTTGTTAGAGTGACACGACGCACAAGAAGCACCCGGAAAAGTACGGGAGCAGGCTGTTGGGGGGGGGGGTGGTGGGTGAGGATGGTGGGGGGGAGAGAGAGAGAGAGAGCGAGAAGACGGTGATGATGAAATTGATCGGTTATAAAGCAGGGGCACTTGGGGCATGATGATGATGATGATGATGGATGCTTACCTTCTTTTTCGCAGTGGCAGATTGCTCATGAGTGCTGATGTATCAAAAGGAGGAGGAGGAGGAGGGTGCTCGACGGTTATATTGTGTGTGGACTGTGTGGAGAAGAGTGAGAGTATAACAGAGAGAGAAAGAAAGAGGTTGAACAATGGTAAGGCCCCTGCTTGGGGTAAGCGCGCAAAGTAAAAAAAAGGTGCCACGTGCGAAACCATCACAAAGGTTTCCCGTCACTCTGCTTTTTTTCTGCGCTCTCTCTCTCTCTCTTACTTGCTCTTTCTTGGGTAGTCTTGTAACACGCACACACACACGCACACACACACATTCACACAAGAGCCAAGACTAACCTCACCTCTCGTTTCGCTCGCCCATACTTATTACACGACGCACAGCAGCAGCAGCAGCAGCAGTGGGGGTTTGGAAATCCCACACAACACCACAGAGCCTCTCTTTCTTTTTTCCAGTACCACCGGCACTCACAAAAGAGAATACGCCCATTCTCTCTTTCTCTTCTTCTTCTTCTTCTTCTCCTCCCTTTCCTCTTTTCTTCCTTCTCTCTCTTTCTCTCTTTCTTAATTCCACTCTCACTTTGAAGCCATCTCGAAGAAAATCAAAGAGCATTAACGCTTTCCATTCGCCCAACAACGAAAACGAGACTTGAGTGCGATTACGGATCAGCACAATTAGGCCCTCCTCCCCCCCTTCCTCCTCCTCCTCCCCCACCATTTCTTCTTCTTCTTCTTCAACAACAATCCCATTACAACCTTCTACCACCGACGACTCGCACCGTTCCGCCTATACGACGCAAAAAAACAACAACCCCACACCATTTTGAAAAAATAGATACGGCAATCTTGTCTTTCTTCAAAAGATTATAATTATGGACCCTTCTCGCTGTTCAGTCGTCGTATCTTTTCAACCTGCACCACCTCCGTTTGTTATTGAGGATCAAGTCTACAATAACAACAACAACAACAACGAACCTTCATACACGTCGTTATTACAATCCATATTTGGCCAAGGTTAGAATGAAAGACACACACACACACAAAGAAAAAGCTCTACAAAAGACAATAACAAAAACAATGACGAACGTCTCTGTCATCCTATAATATTAACCTTTCTTTGTTGTGTCTCTCCAAAAAAAAAAACCAGTCTTTGTCCATTCGAACCCTACAGACGCTTTAGAACGAGTGAAACATATACGACATGGGTCTCCCACCGTCCTGTTGATCGACCTCGATGCACCCGTCGACACTAATAACAACGACCCCACTATCGACCAAGACGACGACGACGATGACGATGACGATGACGATGACGACACCGTATATACCCCTTCTTGCTCCTCTTCTTGCTCCACAGCGTCGTCTTCCTCCGGCATAGCCGACTCGCGGATCGCTTGGATCAAAAAGAGCTGCCATACCCTTTCAAAAGACGTGCCTGTCATTGGTACGTGCTCCTCTAGCATCTATGATTGAGATATTTCACACAATGAGAAAGCAAGAGTGATCCTTATTGTTTGTTCTTGTTGCTGCTGCTGCTACTACTACTACTACTACTACTAGCCTGCGCATCCGACGATAACACTGCGTTTATGCTGGACTGTATCCATGCGGGCGCTGCAGATTACTTGCTCAAGCCCTTGCGTTTGGATGTCATTAAAACGTTGTTCCTGGTAGGTTTTTCCTTTCGTTACTACATTCTAAAAAGCACATGGAGAGTCCACAAACGGCAGGCAAGCCACACGAGACACACTCCATACAGCATACATGCATGTACCTGAAGCGCGGCTTCGTTACTTTCAATTAGAGATTGCTCACAACAAATACAACTTTGACTAGAAATTACACCGATGCCGACCCGATTCCAAAATGCACCAAGGTGATGCAGCAGCAGCAGCAGCAACATCCACCTTTCTTCCATCATCCCCCTCATTGCCCGATAATGTCTCGACGCTTTGTCCTGACGACGGTCTTCAGCATCGCATCAAGGAAATATTCACCAAAGATACTCGGTAATTTAAATGAAGATTTTAATATGACCCTATTGTTCGTTTCTACAAAGTTAGGTTGCCCACCCCCCCCCCTTTGTTCTGAAATAGATACTAACGAAACAAACAAACCAGATTTGCACAGTCAGTCATGGACATTTACGCCATCCCGCCAGTGGCTGCACGTACAAACCATCGGGGATTGTCTGGGTAAGCGCGGGCCAAGAGAGAGAGAGAGAGAGAGAAAAGGGGAACTTGTGTATGTGCTCTCGGAAGAAGATCGCCTTTATTATTTGATGGCTAATGGAATCAAGGGGGGGATTTGTTATGTTATGGTTTTTTTATTTCTTGGGGGGGGGGAACCTCGATAAAGTGAACGTGCCACTATGCTGCAACACAAGGTTTCAAGTTGGGACTTCAATCCCTTTGACTTTAGCCACGACGATCTGATCCACTGCGCGTATCTGATATTCGAACAAGCTCTGGTGCTACCAGAGTTAGCGCACTTGAACATTACGCAAGGTAAGTAGGACCAACCTTTGAGAATGGGAGACCACTCTCGTAGACATGGGCAATGTGAGAGAAAGAACAGACAATTAACATTGCGTAACCGCTTCCAGACCAGTTGTACGACTTTATCATCGAACTTTCGGGCGCCTACCACGATGGAAATCCATATCATAATTTCGCACATGCTGTCGATGTGTTGCAGTGCTTGTACTACTTTCTCTGCCGTCTCGGCCTACTGTCATTCGCCAATATGCGGACAAATCACGCGACTCCAAACAACGTGTCACGCCTGCTGCTGCTGCCGCCCTCCTCCTCGCCGCGGCGGCGGCCACAGGATCTGCTACGTCCCAAAGATATCTTCGCTCTTTTAATTGCTGCTCTAGGTCACGATGCCGCTCATCCGGGCGTCAATAACGCGTTTTTGGTAAGTCTATCCGTTGCGCACGTCCACGCCCTTTTTTTTTTATTTTTTTTTTTAGTGGGTGTGTGTGCCACTCTTTGTAGTGGTGGATCTAAAAGGCATTCATCTTGACAACCTCCTTTGTGTTTACCTCCTCCTCCCCCGTTCCCTTCCCTCCCCCCCTTTTTTTTATTATTTCTTCTGTACCTGACAGATTAACGCGGGTGCTCCCCTTGCTCTCCTATACAATGATCGGTCTGTGCTCGAAAGCTTCCATTCCATGACGTTGTTTCAAATCATCAAGAAGCATGGTCTTGACCAGATCGGAGGTGGCCCTGGCTCAGCTGATTACCTAGGTAAAGTTACCCCCACGCAATGAGCAAATGAGATATGGACTTAACCCTTCCCCCCCCCCTGTTTTTTTTTGTTGTTGTTGCTATAGAATTTCGGAAAATTGTCGTGACCAGCATTCTTGCCACCGACATGTCGCTGAATGCAGAATACGTTGAACGTATCAATGCACAGGCCCATCAACCCGGTACGGACTGGATGGCTTTAGATGACCAGGCGTGTGAGAAGGAACGGTTGCTCTTGTGCAGCGCCATCATCAAATGTGCCGATATCAGTAATGTGGTAAGTTCTTGGTTTATCAAAACATCAATCTTATTTTGACTAAAAAATCATTCGATTTGTTTAAAAAAAAAAACAGACGCGACCGTTTCTACGAGCAAAGAAATGGGCCGAATTACTAGTGGAAGAATCGGTCTCACAAGGCGACTTGGAACGCGTCATGGGCTTACCCGTGCTGCCGATGAACGACCGAGACAAGATTGCACTGGAAGACTCACAGATAGGATTCATTCGCTTTGTGGCACTGGAACTGTTTGATAGCGTGCGCAAAGTGCTGCCGGAAATGTCATTCACGGTCGATTGCATGCGTGACAATCTTAAGCGATGGGAAAGCCGCAAGCATGCAGCTGCACATCATGATTCTGGCGTGGCGAGTCTAGCAGCAGCAGCAGCAGCCGACGGAGGAGCGAGAGGTGGAGGTGGTGTTGCTATTGTTGTTGGCAGTGGTGATAATGATAGAGACGGCCATGATGGCGAGTCTTCACCGGTACGGTCCCCCTTAATAACAGCAGGATGTAAACGCCGGAGTAGTAATAGTTTGGATTACCATTCACAGGCCGTTGAAGTCCTTCGCAAACGTCTTTCTTTGGACACGACGTCGACGCGGGCCCAAGCAGCAGCAGCAGCAGCAGCCGCACGAAGACGTAGCAGTGCAGGCGACTTTCGTAGTCGATTGACAGTCCCCACTGCTGCAGCAGCAGCAACAGCAGTCGCCATGCAAACGTTCCATGAAGCATCTCCTCCACCTCCGTTGTTTTCGCCGCCCTCTCCACCGCACCCATCCTTGGAACAACAGCAGCAGCAGCAGCCGCAGTCAGTGATGGATCGGCACCATCACCACCACCACCATCATCACCATCACGAATGGGCGCCTTCACATGACGATGCCAATCCAGTCTACTGCCAGTGCAATATCCAGTGAGCAACCGTTCCATCCCGTGTCTTTATATATCATCCATATCAAAAAGAAAAGAAGCGTCCAAAAAGAAATACTGCATATACAACACACACACACACACACAGCATACACACACACACTCACACACACTCTAAATACACACAAACAAACAAACAAGCAACAAACACACACACACACACATCACATATATTATATACATATCCCCCCCCTTCTTCCTCTTTTCCCGCCCTTTTTTTCTCTTTCTTTTGCATGCATACAACCATACATTTCTTCATAAACTATCTCTCTGCCCCCCACCCCTCCCCTTGTGGAACTCCCAACCTTATTTTTTAAAGCATTCTTCACCACATTTGTATTTTTCCTCCGTTCTGGTGTACAAATTTTTTCTTGTTGTTGCTTGTTATTGTACAAGTAAATCATTTCTCTTTTTTAGATCACCAATTAAACTTTATATTCATAGCGCCCTGAAAAGAAAAAAAAAAGTATATGTGGGAGGTGGAGAGAGGCATAAGAAAAAGGCATATCAATTTTTGTGTGTGTGGAGTTGGCGGGTTGTCTGTGTTGTGTGTATACATAGCGGGAAGGAAGAAAAAAGAAAAAAAAGACAAAGGGACGTTGTTTTGTTGTGCGCGATTAAGAAAAGAAGATAGCATAAAGTCTTTAGAAACGATGGTAATGGTTTGTCTTGTACACGATAACACCTTCCCCTCTGACCAGCAAGATGGGCAGCTTCAGACTTCCATCGAGCTCACGTTCGACGTGGACCGACTCGATCAATTCATGCCGCGGCGGGACATGGCACAGGACCACCTCGCGTCCCCTGTACTCGGTATGCGAGGCTTTGACATCTGCAAACCAAACCTGGAGATCGCGCGTGAAATTCTCACCGTGGAGTGTCATTAGTGGTGTCGTCGTCGCCGTCGTCGTCGTCGCTTCATTGTTGTTTGCGGTGCTCATTGACAAGTGCGAGAGTGAAGGGAACGGCGTCATGGTGGTTGCTTCAGTAGGTTGCGGTGCCCAGAACTTGAATGTGGCACAGTCTAATGGTTCGTAAAGAAAAGAGAAAGCATTAAAAAGATAGAAGAGAGAGAAAGAGAGAGAGAGAGAGAGGCATGGTTTTTTTTGTTTACCTGTTCCAACGATCGTCCACACTGCTGCATCCGTTACATCTTCTGACCAATATGCACCCAAACCATGATGATGACTGGCACCATTAACACCACCACCACCATTACCACCACTGCCTGTGCTGCTCGTGCTTGCAACCGACATACGACGACTAGCACTCGTAGGTCGATGATGCATAATACTAGCACCACTACCAGACGAAATGGAATGGGACCGTGCTCGGTTGAAGAGATGATCGTATTCATACACGTCATTATTACTGCTGTTTGTATGACTGAACAGACCGCTCGTGCTATCCAACGTATTCGTGCGTCGTCGAAACATGCTTTCCATGTCACCAATCTGGTCCGTCGACACACGTCGTTTGCGCACAACCTTACCACTCGCTTCTTGCGACGTAATGTCTTCCCATCCCAACACGGGCTTGCGTCGTTCCACCGTCTTGTGCATGCCAACCATGTCGTTCAAACAAGCCAGGTAGGTGATGGGGTGCTGACTCTTTGGCAACATCCATCCATCTGACATCGACAACGACGGCAAAGACGACGACGACGGTGACGATAAAGTTGAAAGTAAAGGATCCATGCTACCACTACCACCACCACCATTATTCTGTTGTTGTTGTTGTTGTTGTTGTTGTTGATGATGGTGTACAGCCTGAGATGGATCTTGCACGATTTGCAATGCAACCTTGTGGAGTTGTGAAACAGGATCTCCAAGCATTTCGTCGCCAAATTCACCGCCACCGGCTTGGTCCATAGGAGCGCGTGCACCGCCCACCACAGTGGATGCCTTGTCGACTTTGCGGATAATCATGACGGGACTCACGAGTCCGGTGGTCAGACATTGGAGGACGATATGCTGGTTGTAATGGATGGCGATCGGCTGGTCGGTCGTGTTCCGAAGAGCAATGGCCGGCGGTGGAGGGTAGCTGACATTGCGATTGTTGTTCACATGCACATTGTGGCCGATATAGTCTTCTGGAGACTCGCTCTCTGGCTGTTGTGCCATATCGCCCGGTGCACGCGTCGTGTCCACGATCCAGATCACAAACGGATCCCAGCTTGTTGTTCTTGCCACAAAACAAGTTCCGCTATTACTTGCATCGTTACCACCCTGGGTCGATGATTTATTGCCACAGCCATTCCTGCTGCTGTTGCTGTTGCTGTTGTTGTTGATGTTCTCATGATAGCCCGGTGCAGCAAATGCGGATCCGCATGAGACACCCAAATACTTTGTGCTCACTGTTTGTGACCGAATACGATTAAACAAGGAAACCGTTGTACCATGATGAATGCAGAGCTCCATGTTTTTCACACTCTGTCGTTTCTTGCTCGGCTTGCTAATCACTTTGATGCCCTTGCTTGCTAACGTGCCAAGGAGCGACCCGTCGCCGAGTTGGATCCGCACAAGACATTCAACGCGTTTGCGTTTTTCGTCGGCGTCATTGATGTACAGGTTCTTGGCAACACATCGACCGGCCGTCAAGGGATCTTGTTCGTGGTTGTGGTACCAGTCCACATCAGCTCTTTGTTGTTTTTGCAGGCCAAGTGGATCTCCACTTCCGCTGCTGCTGCTGCTGCCAACGGTAGTGGCCACACCATTCGTAGTATTGCTAGTGCTACGGAAACGGGGTGAGGCAGTAGAGGAGGATGATGATGACAGAGGGGGTGATCTTGGATGGCCCGTTTGACCAACGGCTGCACCGGCCGAGTTGTACCATTCCACCTGGCCCGGCTGGCTCGTGGCTTCACCCGAAATACACACGGTCAGCAAAGGTGGGCTATACTCGCCGCTTTCGTCGAACGGTGGTTTCCACCACGACGTGCCCATAATAATAGCCGTGGGTGGGGGACATAGAAACCTAAGGTATCGACCCTATTTTATAAATACCTCTTTTTCCCCACATAAAAAGGGAGTTGTACAAAAGGAAAAGAAAAAAAAATATACCTTTTCTCAGTTCCATAGGATTTCTGTGCCACTTTGCTCGTCAGCAAAATGACAGTTTTCTCACCGGCAGCAATTGGGTCAGGCGATTGCAAATAACTTTGAATCAACGGTTTGAGTCGAGTGGCATTGGCAGTGCTTTGCATCATACGAGCGGTTGCAAGGCCGGCTTTCAGACTACGTAGCTCCAAGTGGGGATGATGAGTACGACCCCCATACTCGTTATTATTGCTGTTACTGTCGTCGTCTTGCTCTTCGGGAATAGGACGTGCGCGCAGTGAGGATGAGTTGCTTCGAATGAATGGACTCGGTGAAGAGGGTGATTGAGGCGGTGAAAGGATCGATGTGGTGGATGAAGAGTGGAACAAGGAGAGTGGCTCGCTATGACTATGGGTCCGTGCTCGATCCATCTGTAATAACGATATGTTTTGCATCATGATGAGCATCAATTCTATACAACTTCAACCCCACCCCCACTATCTTCCAAAGACTACCACCAGCGGGTGGTTGGTGCAGCTAACAGCATAGTCTCTGTTCAAAATACGGACCATAGAATCCATGGAAGGAGGGAACTCGTACGAGTGTTGTTGTGGATGGGGAGGATGATGGTGTTGTGGTGGTGGTACGGGCGGCCAAGCATCCAAGGAGGACGACGAGGACGGCTCTTGATGCTGCATAAATTGTCTACTTGTAGGATCATCTTCATGCTGCAACGACTCGAGAAAACTGGGCGAAAAGAACGCTGGTGTTGTAGGCGAGAAGCTTGTTTGTGGCGAATGTTGTCGTCCACTGCTGTTATTACCACCACCACCGCCAACCCACGATTGAATCAGTTGTTGCTGATTGCGCTCATGAATACTTTGCAGATCGTTCAAGCGAAGTTGTTCGTGTTGTTGTTGTTGTTGGCGGCGTTGATGGTCGTTATACGAGATAAATTCATCGGCCGCCGCTGTACTCACCAATTCGCCGGATTGGTGCTGATCATGACGATGATGATGTGTTGTGGTTGTGCTAATAGGAGGAGGAGGAGGAGGAGGAGGAGGAGGAGGAGGAAGAAACTCGAAGCCAAGACCATGGGATGACGCAGAGGTTGAGTGATGAAGCTGATCCAGAAACTGGCTTGGACTCTCACGACCTGTCGTTGTCGCAAACCACGAGTTGTTGTTGTTGTTGTTGCTGTTGTCTTCATAGTGTACATCTTGCTTGCGTTTTCGTGAATACGCTGCTAATTCTCCATGGTGCTGTTCTGTCATGTTCTCCTCCGTTTTCTGTTTCTGTAAGGATCGGAAAAAGAAAAACCAAGGCAGAGCTAAAAGAAAAGAAAGAGAGAAAGAGAGAGAGGGGGGGAAGGAGGAGAAAGAAGAAAGAAAGCGTGTGTATGTGTGTGCTTGTGTGTGTGTTATGTGTTTAAAAATGAGTTGGACTGGCTGGTTGGTAGGCTGCAATAAAAAAGAGCGGGACGACCCCGCACACAACTTTAATTCTCTTTTGCTGCGAGTGTCTGTTCTGTGCTGCATAATTTGATGATGGAAGCTGTGTGAGGGTGCATTGGAAGAGACTGCTACTGCTACTACTGCTACTAGAAAACAAAGATCCCAAACTGCCTTTGGCCCCCTCTGTGCACCCTTTCCCTTCTGTCGCTCTCTTTCTGTGCGTGTGTGTTTCTTTCCCCACATCATCCATTCCATATTACGCGGAATCCCTGCGCCGAGGGTCGACCGTGAGAGTATCCCAAACACCGTTACATTTGACACAGCCCTTTTTGCATAACACACATCATGACGGTCGTACATGCGGGCGCTGCTGCTAAAACAACAACAACAACAACAAACATACCGGATTATCATTCTTCTATCTCGTATATGCAACCCAACCCACTCTTTCTTGTTACAAGAAGTTGCAGATCAGTTCTTTTTGGGCGGGCAATTAATGAGGGAGAGTATATAGCAGCAGCTGGTACGGGCAGTTACAGCCATATCGACATTGCACGCCAAGAGGGCTGTTACAGGTACGTATGATACTCGGTACAAACAAAGACAACGAACAAGACGTGTTGTACCTTACAGTGAATGAGGTGTGCTGGACTGCTGCTTCTTCTATTACGTCAAGCTTTCCTAATCCTCATGGCATCATCTGAACATAAAGAGCAAATCACCTGACCCAAGCAAAAAAAAAAAAAAAACATGGTATCACGCTTCTTTCTTTCTTCCCCGGTCCACCCCACCTCACACAACCAATCACCGCTTTTAAGCGCGCGTTTTTTTTTTGTTTATTCAACGTCGCACGGGCCCATCGTCATCATCATCAGCAGCAGCACCTTTTTTTTTGTGCATAACTAATCACTACTACTTTTATTGTTTCTTCTTGGCGTACTCGCAGCAGCAGCAGCAGCAGCAGCAGCCTGTTGTCGTTCTTGTTCCTGGATAGCCATACGCGCCAAACACACAATGTTTTCATCCCGGAAGCGCTGCAGTGACTCCACCTCGGATTCCAGTTGACGGACATGTTGCTCAAGCTGAAGGTACTTGTCAATAGCCTGTTGCAATGAAAGTTCCGACGATTCCACCCTGCTGGGCACACTACTACCACTGCCAATGATCAATGCAGTATGTAAGCATGATGAATACACCCTTATTTTCCCGTTTCAAACTTGACACACAAATCACATTATGCTACTCCTACTACTCCTACATACGAAACGTGTTTTCTCTCCGTTGTCGTCGTTGTTGTTGGTGTTACTCTTGCCTTGTTGTTGTTGTCGTTGTTGTTGTTGCTGCTGAACGACCGAGACGACGGCAATGGCTGTCCCATGGTGGACTGTTGCGGCTTGAGTTCTTGCTGCAACAAGACCTTAATCACTTGTTGAACTTTAAAAAGTAGTGGAGGGTGCTGGTGACTTTAGCTTTGTTCTCTTTATTCTCTGTGCAACATACTCACGGTGTAGATCAGCCTGCTGAGGCTCGATTTGGACAAGCGCTTGTACGAGATGGCCACTGCAAACAACCATGGTTTGTGTAAAGCGTTCGTATAAGCATCTTTATAAGTAAAAGAAACTCCATGAGTCAGTATGACAAGTAGTTATTCTCTATGGCTTGATCTGATCAACAAGGATTCATATTCTCACAAAACGTCATGCTCGATGCTGCGTAAGCGACTCAGTGTAGCTCGAATGCCGTCGAGCGTTCCTTGTGCCTCACGAAGAAGCGATGGTGGCGACATGGTATATAGCAGACGATGGCTTGTTCACTCGTAGATGTACAGCAAACTTTAATTCGTATTTTGTTATAGGATAGAGAGGTGATATATAAAATGTGGTTGGTGGAATTCTTGTGTGTCTGTGTTCTTTGTGTCGGGTAACTCTTCCCTTTTCTGGTATAACACCGTAAATAGGAAAAAATCGAGAGAGAGAGAGAGAGTGTGTGTGTGTATGTGTGTGTGTGGATGAAGGAAGAAAGGAGAATTTAATTTTTCGCTCAAGATGACATGGCAAAGTATTTCTGCGTGGCAGATAATGCATAGTAGCGCACTTCTTGATCTTCATGCGTCATCAGTTCCATCACACGCTGCTTTGCGCCCAGATCATGGAGGTACTTTTTACCATCGGCACCTGCGTATTTGGCATACTGGCCCACGTCATGGCAGGCAATGGCAAGGATCTCGGTCTTGTTCGAGCTCAACAGACGAGCGAGCATTCTACAAAGATGAGCGTGAATGATGTTGCTGTCAAAAGGGAGGTTTGGGGGCAGCGTGTGTGTGTGTGAAAGTGAATTCGTTTTTTTACTTTAGTAATTGGTGATCATTTTCGTTTAACCGAACGGCATTTTTTTGCCAGAAATTTTCGGATTGATGCGGTGGCGACCATTCCAGCTTCCCGGTTTCCAGTTCCGAGGCATACACTTCAAACGTCCTAAAAGCATCCTCCCCACCCACACACATTAGCCTTCCACTTCACCTCATAAGACATACACACCCATCCCGGTCAATAATACTTTACGTGAGACTTTGAAAGTTGTTTTGCAACTCGGCCTGAATCAAGTCAATGTCATTGACAACTTCTTGATCCGACCATTTTCTTGTGTGCAAGTGCTCAGTAAACGGCAATAGTTTGGCTACCAGCATGGCAGACAAGTTGGCCTTGGGTGCTTTCTCCACAAGGTTCTATGTTGTCAGCCCCACTCGCATCAATTAATAGGCTGATATTAGATTTCCCATTTCCCTTCATGATTGTACCTTGAACGTGGCCACGACCACACGAATGATCTTTTCCTTGACAGCCGACTTTGCTATTTCGACCAGCATAGGGATCACATCGTATTTTCTATACAGCGTCATACATGGTCAAGTCATCTGATGTTATTACAGCAACAGAAAATTCTTTGCCTTTGGTTTATCAGGCTAGTCTCTTACCTGTTCAAGTTTGCGGCAATTTCTTCGTCAAATGTCAATAGCCATAAAGCAAAAACAGCTTCATACGTCACTTGTGGATTTGAAGTGCCTTTCTTCAATACATTGATAAACCTATTTACATGAAGAAAAGAGTAAGAGATAAGTATCGTTCTTCGCCAGCTTCCTATATCGAAATTCCATACGTCTCTTATTTCTAATGCCACTTTTAAAAACTTACGAATCCATGGCGTGGAGTGTATTCCAGAAAGATTTTCGGTAGGCGGGTATATGGAACAAGGCATCAAGAATTTGGATATTCAGCTCGATAAGACTGGGATTACGACTTTGCAGCTGGAACGTCATCCACCGGAAAAAGTCATCAATGTCGATGTCTCGGTTCTTGGTCGAGCTGTGTAGCATGATATGTTGTCCAAAGGTCGATACAGAAGAAGTTTTAGTACATAGCTGAAATGTATGTATATGAGTGATATGTTTCTTTTTTACCAGACAAGAAGCGCCAGAAGTTTGCTAGATTGGATACCAATGAATTCATCATTGATACGCAAGGCCCTATGTTGGTGGATTGAATCAGACAAAAACACGTGAAGTTCAAGTGCACATGGTCTATGGGGCTTTGATGGGGAACAATGCTAGCAAAGTCACTTTTGAAAGGTTGCTCCACCCCTTGCATGGTTTCTTTCTCTATATCCTCAGTCCCCTTTTCTCCTTCTCCTTACTTGTGAAACGGCGCAAAAGGATAGCCAGGACGGCCTTCTGACGCTTGATGAAACAGCACAATCCTTTCATCGTGTTCTAGAATTTGTATAAATTTAATAGTTGTAAAAAATGAATGAAACGCTCGTAATAGCATATAATTGGTACTGCTAACAACAACAAAACAAATCAATATTGTATACCATTCAGCATGTCTTGAATCATGACCAGCACCTTTTGAACTGCGTCCACGCGTGCCAGTTTATGCATCAAATCCAGGTACATACCCGCATAATAGAGTCCGTGCTTATTTTTTACAATACAATATACACACATTTAGAGCCTTGATACTTTCTTTGATACGAAAACCTTCAAGCATTAGAGAAAATAAAACATACCTCGGACATGACGTGTGTGATTTCCTCTGATGACTTATTTTCGACATGTTGAATCATTGCCACTTCGTCTGCTGTAATTAAACCGGCACGTTCATAACCCTATTGTATAGTTACCATAGCAACAACCACACTCTATGTTAAGTTACACGCGTTTGCAAAAGATTAGTGTTTTTATCATACCTCCCAAGGAATGGGCTCGTTTCGAATTTTGTCAGCCAATTCATCAAGGTATGGATGGGCTATAATGGTCAGTGTAACATCCTCAATGAGACTGCTCGTCGCGGTGTCGGGTGCAGGAGTTGGCGTGTCATTAATGGTAGTATCGTTATTGTTGGAATCAAGTACAGCTGTGTCGACAAGGGGCGCTTCTGCAGAAAGCATTGTTTTTTTTTTCTTTGCTTCTTCTGGAGAAGTGAGGAAGTTTTTACTCAAAAGGAGAGAGGGAGAGCAAGCAAAAAAAAATCAGGGTACCCATTTGTTTCAGGAGCCCTATCTACTGTCGATGGCAAATGCGGAGCTTTTATTATTATTCTTGACTATAGCATAGCTCATGCATACCAAAGCTTATTATCCACATTAAGTTTCTGGTCCTCCCTTCACTCGTTGTAAGACTTGATGCTGAATTATGCAGTGTACTCTACTTACACAGCAACAACATGCTCCGAATAATCAGTAGCGTTTATCTAAATTTGTCTTTCTTTGGCATAACTTGTTGGTTATTTTTTTTCAAGTACTTTACATGCAAGCATTCTTCTTTTGTATCATTGTAACAGCATATTTACGGTATACACGTTAGCGTCTTCGAGACTGATACACTATCCTCTTTTATGTCTGTTAGTCCTTCGATGTTGCATGTAATAAAGCAATGCGTGCACCTCCAAACAACGTGCGCGCATTGTGACACAGCAGCAGATCCAAGGACCAAAAAAAGGTCGCGTACTCGAGTTCTACATTGCGATATAACGGTTCGTCGACTTCGACTACTACTTACTGCTACTGCTTCTTTGTGATTAAGTACTCTGTGATGTGCTATAATACTGTATATGAAACTCTATTGGTTTATGGATGTATTATATTTGACAAAAATGATGTAAAGGATGGGTTGCGTGTCAATAACTGTTTATATATGATAGACACGGTATTTAAACTTATTATTTTCATACGGGCATTTATCCCAATGTGTATTCATGATTCGTTTGTACCATTTATTGCCGTTTTAGCATTATGCTCTTGTTGCTGTCGATGTCAGAGTAGTTGATGCAGAAAACTAGTATGATGTAGTACATGCTCATAGATATTCAGAGGCCTGCGCTGTCGAAGTTCTTCTGGTAGGGTGTACGATAGTGTCGCATTGAAAAGCGATGTGTCTGGGATGAACTTGGTTTGGTGACAAGATCGGCCACTTTGTACATCTCCTTAGTCTTGTATTGTTGAGAACCTACAAGAAAATGTTGGGTACATTGACAGGGTGCTGATATATCAAGATATCAAGATATCGCGTATTTTGTCTTTTTCAGCATTATGCCAAAGGTGATCAGCCGTGGTTATCCAAGACTTCTTGTTTTCTGCGCTATTCGCATGCTTTTACCCACCCCGTTGTCATTGCCTTTAATTCCAGTATCATCGTGAAACGTATCACGAGCAGAAGCTTTGTGTTTTGCTCAAGCTTCAAGTACACAGTACACTTTACATTTCGGATGGCGTCTCTCGTTTTTGCTCTATTTGGTTCAAATGGTAACATAAACCGTTAGCATAAACGTATATATAACCAATAATGAGAAGGATTCTAACTACCACAGATGTGTAGCTTGGTTTCCCAGGTTAATTTCAGTGAGAGTGGTGTCGATTGTGTACACTTATGCTTTGCTTATTTTCGCCGATGTTGACCCTTGTGCAGATGATGGATCGATTCGCGCGCCTCTCAAGAAAAAAAGAGCGGTCCAAAATGACCTGGCTGGTCCAAGAAAGCATTCGATATACAGTAGTGAGATGATAATAAGTCCGTCTGTTTCTGCGTTAATACTCATTTTCAAGAGTGAATGATTCGTAGCTCGCTTACGTTAAGCACAAAGGTACACGGAGGAAAAGCATGAATGACGGTATTTAGTACCGTGATTCATGCAGCGGAAAAAATAAGCTTGTAGCACTGGCAACCTACTACTACTGAAAATTGCTAAAAGTGGTGAAAAACAATCTTTAAGGCAAAAGCAGCAAAACGTTGTTTTAATGAAGAATTAGCCATTTTATACAGTATATTCTAGCAATGTGCAATGTATATTGACTCTAATTGACATTTCTCTCTTCTAATACCCTTTGATGCGGTCTTCAATTCATTACGAAGCCACACACGACCCTCAAGCGATACTCTTGCCATGACGGACTGATGTTTCCTTTCAAACGTTGTGAAGCAGGATAAAATGAGGAGCGAAAGAATGAGAACGTTGATGCGGAGTGCTGAATAGCTATCGATACAATTCCATGCAAGCAAAACTTTGTATCTCGAGGCAACCACGGACTGACAGATGGATCGGTTTGGAATCAAAGCAAGAAATTACTGCCTTTGAGGCGGAACTTGATCCATCATTTACAATGTAAAAGCAATAGCATGTGTGATGAATTGAAACGAAGAAGGTCGTTCCATCAGCATTTGCTATATGTATCTTTCTCGGTTACAAAAATAATGGATGAGAATAAAAGATAGAATAGAAAGATTAGATTACTCTACTTGGTATTATAATAGTATAAGATGTAGCTAAAAGTAAGGGAAGATGCAGAAATTGTAACAATGGTAAAAGGAGGTAGCGTTAGGTTAGTGGGGTGTGTGTGTGTTCAAGGGAAAATTTATGCCGAAGCGACAACAGCAGCAGGTTGCTCATCTGCCTTTGCAGCAGCAGCCTTCTCGTCGGTATCCTCCTTCTTGGCTTCTTCGACCTTGACATCGTCATCCTTCTTGTCCTCGGCCTTCTTGTTATCGTTGTCTTCTTCCTTCTTTGGTTGCTGCTGTTCCTCCTCCTCTTCTTCCTCGAGGACTACTTCGACAGTCTCAGGTTCCTTAGGAGCAGCGTCAGCAGGCTTGGACTTTTTGTTCTTCTTGCCACCACCAAAGAGAGCGGTCAAGCGACGGCCCAGACGAGGCGATAAGGACTTCTTTTCGGCAGCAGCAGGAGTTTCTTCCTTTTTGGCGGCGGGCTGTTCCTCGGTAGCAGGCTCTTCATCCTTCTTGGGCTCTTCCTTGGCTTCTTCCTTGGGCTGCTGCTCTTCTTCATTGTCCTTCTTGGGTGCTTCTTCTGGTTGCTGCTGCTGCTGCTCCTCGGCTTGTTGTGCGGGCTCCTCTCTGGATTCTTCCTCCTTGACAGGGGCAGGCTTCTGTTCGGGCTTCTTGGATTTGTTGCTAAAGAGCTTGTGGATGAACGACTGACGTTTCACATGTGCAGGAGTCTCCTCCTTGCTCTTGTCTTCCTCCTTCTTTGCTTGTTCCTCAGTAACCTCAGCAGTAGTGGCAGCAGCAGGCTGCTCTTCTTGCTGCTGTTCCTGATCCTTGTGAGTAGTGTCTTGTGCTTGGGATGACTCAGCAGCAGCAGCAGCGGGCTGCTCCTCCTTCTTGTCGTCATATTTCTTGGATTCTTCGTCCTTGACAACGGCATCAGCCTGGATGGGCTCCATTTGTTCAATCTTGGGCAATTCGACGTTGGTGGTGGTTGTCTCAGCGGCAGCTTCGGGCTCTTCTTCAGCCTTGGCTTGCTTGGATGGCTCAGGCGACTGAGATATGCATAATGGGAAAAGAATGGCATGTATAAGTATTATTTATCAATGATCAATCACTGCTGTCATCACCCTTGTCTGATCCAAAGTATCACCACATACCTTGCTGCGACCAAAGAGGCCACCAAGACCCTTGCCCTTCTTGAACAAAGTGAATCGCTTGCTGTTCTTGGCTTCAGATGTAGGCTTTTCTTCGTCCTTGGCCTCTTCCTTGGACTCTTCCTTGGCCTCGCCATCATCCTCCTTCTTTGGCTCCTCGGAAGAAGAGGGCTCATCCTTCTGTTCGTCCTTCTTGGGCTCTTCAGAAGATGCTGCCGCTACGTTTTCATCGTCTTTCTTGGCATCGTCCTGCTCCTTGGGCTGCTCGTCTTCCTTCTTATCGTTGTTGACAGCAGGAGCAGTTGTGTCGTCTTCGGGCTTGGCCTCCTCCTTTTGTACAACGGGATCGGCAGCGGCGGGGGTGGTAGCAGTGTTCTCGGCGGCAGACATTGTGTTGTTGTTGTTGTTGTTGATAATGCAGAAAAGAGAATATACAGACTGTAGAAGTAAAGAGAAAGAGGAAGAAAAGAAAAGAAAAAAAGAAAATGGACTCCTTTTAGAGGTACGCTTTATATATCAATTGCAACAGCGGCTATGTCGCACCTTGCACGCGGGTTTACTAAAATTATCAAATGTGTGCATGGGGTCACGCAATGAACCAGAAGACATCTGCTTTGCTGTCGTAACATTAGCCTTTATTTGTGTGCGCGAGTCACATACGCAGCTTGTGCGTGTGCATGTATGATGTATGCGCACTTGCAACGCGAATCATCCTATTGCTTGGCAGTAGATATTAATCCCATCCACCCAACATTTCTCTAACGTCTTTACGCCTCTATCAGTGCTGCTTGATCCGCTTGATCAATGAATTTGATGGACTGATCCAGCGCCAAAAAAAAAAAAAAGACCTCCTTTTGCTGATCTATAGTTTTTGACATCGCGCGCTCTTTTTTTTAGAGAGAGAGAGAAAGAACGAGAACCAGAAAAGAGACCGGGTTGAGTGCGGCCGTTGAAATTGTTGCATCCTCCATCCAGCAGGGAGAGGCCGTAACCTTTTAAGGCACAAGCCAACTCTTTTCAATCCTGGTTACAGCTGTTTCGTGCAACATCTGTCAAAATTTTTTTTTATTAAATCCACTTTGCATGCTGTTGCACCTTTATTTTATCCGCAACGAGATTTTCCTCTGCGTGTGCCTGCTTTTGCCGAGCGGATCTGCATTGTTTTTTTGAAAAATTTATTTTGTGCTCACCTTTGGTTTCTTCATCTTTGTTACGTGATAAACAGCTTTGAGGCAGTGCTTGCAGTAATAGCATAGCTAATGATGCTATATACATACAACAGGTGGTAAATGCGCGTGTGCGAATCTTTTTCTGATCTGATGGTGCGGATCCACAGCAACGGCACGCATTACTTTTTGTTTCCGATCTACCACGCCTTCCAACCCGATATAAACCCCTTCCCTTGCTTGATGGGCATCAGAAAACACGTGTTCAACTATTGTCCGTTCATTAAACAAACTTTATGCTCTGTGGTCGTACACGACGCACCCGATTGAACCTCAACCAGTGTCTTACATTTATTGGCATCATATATCACTCTGTGCGTCGCTCGTGTTTCTCTCAAATATCATTATCACCGTTATAAATCTTTCTGTTATTGGCCGATCGTGACCCGGGCTCCCAGTATATTTTCAGTAAACAAATAAGTGGGAAATAAGAAAAAACATATGTTCTGGCCATTACCAAGAACTAGATGATGCTGACTTTTGCCGGATTACCGGGATGGATAGAGTAACGCTACTATTACCGGCTGCTGCAATATGCAAGAAGTAAATTAAGCGATGAAGCACAGCAATCAAGTGTGCAACCATGCCAATAAAAACCCATTTTAGGATAAGCAGCAGTAGCCAAGGAAGCAACAGCCCTTAACAACACGAAGAAAGAAAAATTAGAAACACTGCTGGTAACAACCACGCAGAAAACACTTTTTAAATGGGTAACGCTCACATTTTATTTTAGTGCATGTATTTTTATATGCTCTTTGTTCTAATCTTAGGCCCCTTCGCTTTAGTGTGTAGGAAAGTGTTTTTTTTTAAAAAAAAATATACCAACTGCTAATCAGAGGTATAATGTGACCTATATCATCGAGTAGATATTAATCGCTCGCGCCGTTATTGGAAAGGACGAAAGAGCAAGCATATCTATGAGTTGCTAACGATGGGCATGCCACTAGCTTTAACGGAACTCGAGTGGAAACGGAAAAATTATGGAGTATAACTAAATTCATTACGACATGAACGTCTCTGACGGCGAGAACTTGGTGGAAGCCAATCATAGAAATATGTCTGAACGGAAGATTCGTTGAGTAAACTTCAAGAGTACTGGAAAAGGGAATGCAGCAGCAAACCAAACTCTCTAGACATTTGCACCATACGATGCATAAAGGAAACAAGCACGATAATGGTCTAATACTTACACTGCTGTCGAGGTAAAGGGCGGTAATGAAACTACGGCTCTCTCTCACATTTATCTCTCCAAGTCTGTGCGTGATGGCATCTGCTTTCACATGCACCAACAAATGGTTAGGTAACACGCACCAAACAATATTCAGGCTGGATGGTTTCTCAATACTAGGGCCACACCAGCTTTAATTAGGTTAAAATCCATTCTAAGCAAAAACTCATGTGTATACTGATGCAAACAATAACGAAAGGAGACTTTACCGATTGAACCGGTGTACCCTTAGCAGTTCTACCTCGGACAAACCCCAATTCTCATAGTATCATGTACAAATATGAGAGAGGTGGAAAGGAAACCGCCCCCTTTATCTCTAGAACGAGCCGCCTATGCCAAATTCGGGCAGGCATTCATATGAAGCGAAATGCAACGGCTCGATATCAAAGGTACGTAGGTGTAGAAGGCTCGTCAATCATAATATGGCATATACTATTCTCTAACAAATTTTACCACCGGAATGCCGCAGATTTGAATTCGCATATCGAGGGCGCAACTTATAATACTCGGATGAATGCAAAGCAGCTGACAGAATAAACGATCCTTTCCGATAGCGTACTGTGGTTTATGTACAGTAACTGCAACGAGAATATGAACGAGACTAGTAGGGTGGTTCACTAGACAATGATGAAACTTGCTTACACTCGGAAGGGGGGTTCCTTTTAAAGATTACCGGCGTCGATAAAGAATATATGTAGTCACTAAATAGCAAGTTCCAAACATACATAAAATAGAGGTCACAAGTAGTAGTATGTGTACATGTCTACTTGCCGCACAGTCGAAAATAGATAAATGATATTTAACGCCACTACTGTATCGTCGCCATTTAGCGTGTAATTATGTCTATCAATAGGATAATGAATGAGAACCCTATCTAGCGCATTGCGGGATAAGTTAACAAAACGCATGACATGATATGTATCTGTGCCTGCCTGTCAAAAAATGCTGAAAATCAACGACAGACGGCAGTGATTGGGTGACTCTCTTTTGTACCTTCTTTCTCCTTCTCTAGCTTTTCTTAACAAAAAAAGAAGGAAGATTTAAAGTGGATACAATAATGCCAACATAACTTTTCGCTTCTAGTCTAAAACTTATGCGTCACCGTGAACAGTCTTCGTCAAGAGCTTGTAGCCTTTGTGCGCGGAGTGGCCAGTGAGTTACCCAACTTGGGGACAATCGCTGAACTGAGTAAGCCATCCTCGTCACCCTCACTTTTCAATCATGAGAAGCGGCAAAATAAGATGAAATACCAATTAGAAAGTTAAAGATATACTATAGTGGTATGAAAGAAAAACGTAAACATTGACACAGATTATCTATCATATAGTCGTCCAATCGCTTGTGAGTATGGTCGACGACTATATATATACGCGCTCATGAAACATTTTCATCGGTTCAGTTGCAAAACGCAAGTCCTCCCTTGTTTTTTCTTACACAACGGATCTGTACGTGTCATAATATAATCAATCTAAAATATCTTATATCTCTAATACGAGTTCTCTGATAAAACGTATAAGAGATAGAATTGATTAAGCGATAACAATCAAGAAGCGTCACTGGAAGAATCGAGAGCCTGTATCTAAACAGTGGTTTCCCGTTTAATTTTACCCTTCATTAAGAGAAACCCTCAGTTATTTTAACTTTCTTCTATATCCCCTTTAAGCATAGTACACTGCCTGAATCACGCTCGTTTTGTGCCAACCCTCAGTAGTTTCAACAATTTATATACCCTCTTTGCGGCTGAAATTAAACGAAGAACCACTGTATGTGAGGCACCATACTTAGGACTCTTTGTCATATGATAGTATATCTTCATTGGTGACATAGAAGGCCAAGAAACCAATTTTCGGGTTTCCATCAAACGAATTGTTCTCTTACTATTAACAATTTATTATCTTTAGTACTTGTAGAGAAGAGGAGGAGGACCTTCTCGCAAAATATACCCAATGCAAGGTTGACGACATCCAAGCGAAACTGAAAGTGCAACAGAGAAGGCTCGTGTGATACATTGTTGGGCTGCATTAAAAGCTGTAGAAATTTTCCAAAGGAGAAAGAATAACAATGTGCTCAAAAGCTTCTTAGCTGTATAATAAAAATTAGCTAGCATTACAAACGTCTTTTATTCTATATTATGGTGTGACTGAAAGAGCATTTATCGACTCAACAAAACTTTTAAGCAGTGCTTATTAGCAATAGTCGTGATTATTATGGACGGGAAGATTGTCTTTTAGTTGCTCAAAGTACGACGACACACAGACGATAGAAGGTTTTGCTACGGAAAGGCATGCTACGCAAGATTTTCTCTTTCATGTTTACTACTAGGATTAGCATTATCGATAGTCTAAAGAAGAGAGAACCAAAGGAAGAGGAGGGGTTCTTTTATATTCACCAAATTTACGTGTTAGAGCTAATTTCTTGGTAAAATCATTATAGAACAGACAATGTTGATAAAATGCAGGGAAGAAGGAAAAGGGATCCAGGACAACGCAACGAAAAAGAAAGATTAAAAAAAGAAAACTATTCGATCAATGTACAATTTAAAAGAGAGAAGATGTCGTAACCGAGAAAGAATAGGGAACTTATTGCTTAAAACTCTCGAGAAACCTCGCCAGACTTCTTGTTCGTCTTTTTAAGGAGCAACTCGCTGTGGATGTTGGGTAAGACATCACTTTGCAGGACCGTGGTATGGCCGAGTAGCTTGTTCAGTTCCTCATTGTTTCGAATAGCTATCTTGAGATGATGTGGTAAGATTTGATGCTCTTCGTTACCATGTGCAGCATTACCCGCCAGTTCTACAATTCCAGTCACCAAATATTCCAGGGTGGCAGCGACAAAGACGGCTGAAACTCTGCAGACTTCCTTGGAGCCATGACTCCTCTTGAGATAGCAATGAATACGGTTCACGGGAAAGTTTAATCCAGCCTTGGCCGAACCAGCCCTCCTTGCTCTCTTGCCGTGGCATTGCCACCGGTAGTACTTTTGATTGATCTTCTGTCGGTCATTCGTGAGAAGTGAAGGAAAGTAGACGATGAAAGGAGTAGATTGAGTTGAGGCGGGAAGAAAGAAAAAGAGAAATGGATGCACCTCAAAAGAAAAGATCACATGGCCGACAAAATACGGTTTTGGATTCCTGTATTGTGAACCACCCACTAACTTACGGCGCTTCTTTTTTTGCTTGCTTCATCGTTTTTTGAAGGAGACCTTTTGGTTTCGTTATTGATATTAGAGGATGTCAAAAAGAGAGAATCTGGGGGTATTCAGGCACCACAAAATGTTTGTGTTCATGTTATGGAAGTGTACTAACTAGAACATAAAGAGCCAAGAGCCGAAAATCATTGCTGATTAATAGCATATCCTAAGTATAGCTGCTATTATACACAGGCAAACCGTCACCTTCAATGATAAGATACTGTACACGCTTGACAAACTTCATTCTAACTTGCAAATTCAGCAAATACAAGCAAAAAAGTTTTTCCACACATAGAGAATTCGCAAAATACTATAAGCATTCGCTTACGAACAGAATACATAGTATCATAGATGCTTTATAAATAGTGGTTCCGTGTAAATATTTGCAGGTCATGTCTCACAATCCGTGTGTTCAAGGTACTTTATTGCATTGGTTTGAATCAGCATGTTTTATTTAAAGCTGCTGTAACACTTTAGCCAACTTGGAGAGGCCAGTCTCTAGCTTTTGGCGATCGAGAGTAAAGGTCAGTCGGAAATAGCCTGGCTTGCGCGTGTGGAAGATATGTCCAGGAGCAATGTATACGCCTTGCTCCAATAAAGCAAAGAAAACTGCCTTTTCATCGTCAACAGTGGATATTTTAGGATGAGACGTTGCGTCAACCATTAAAAAGTGACCAGCCTGGGATGGGATGTAATTCAGTCCGTGCTTGTCGAGTAGACTTGTCGCACACTTGTATGCATCGGCGATCCGTCGTTGGTTTGTGGCAAAGAAACTATACATATTCACAAAGATATGAGCGTCTTTTCCGGACTTGGGTATCTTACTATACCTATATCCTCATACCTATCCACCCATTCGGCATCTTCTAGCATATTGCGCAGCAGTCGGTCCATAATAGATGAGATATAACTGAACAAACTATTATAGCAATAGAATGTACACGAGGGAGTATAGTGAGTTCCTTGTTTGAAATAAGTCACCAGAAGCGATAGTGTAGTATAGAAAGAAAGACTTACGCTGACGATTTCAAATATTGGCGCAGTTTGGTATTGTGTTGGTCAATGATGAAGCCGACGCGGAATCCATTCAAACAGAAATCCTTGGAAAACCCATATATCACGTGCACCAAGGCTGGGTCAATCAATTGATCGAGATTTCCAAAGCTTAGCAGAGAGGTAAAAGGATTCTCCTGCTTTTCATCCAGAATGTGGCTAAATGTGGATAAGGCATACACTTCATCCGAGATGACGTGTAAAGTGTGCTTTGACGCAAACTTGAGCACTGTTTCCAACGACTCACGCGAGAAGCACCTTGTGTGAAAAGAACATAATGGGGTGAGTTTCTTCCCTGATGTACATGTCTGTGCGTATTACCCAAATAGGAAAACACATATCTTATGACGTACTTGCCCAACGGGTTGTGTGGATTTGTAATCAATACCGCCTTTATATTCTTGTTGTTCTTTTCTTTAGCGTTTTGGAAACATTCTTCCAGCCGGTCCATGTCAATGGAAACGTCGCCATCGTCTGTAACCGACGGATAAAAGGGAACATTATCGACTTGGGTGCCAACACAGACGTCCGAGTCAAAGTTGCCGTAGTATGGCGCAATGACCAAGACGCTGTCGCCTGGATTAGTAATGCCTAGCGTAAGGAAAAACACGGCTGCGCCAGCACCGGTTGTGGTCAGGATGTGGTCCGTGATCAAGGGCAAAACAGGCTGGAAGTTGCGGTTGATGAGCCCGGCAACCAAGTCCCGAAGTTTTTTGGAACCATGTGGATCGCCATAGCCCGTGTCCTATTTTTTTGTTGGATTTTGTCAGCAATATGACAAGGCGCATTCCCTCTGTTATTTTACCTTAGCCTGGAACTCAAGCGACGTCGAAACCTGATAATTATCATCATTGTAGCAGACGAGCAAGTCTGATTAGTCTATTCAAAAGCTTGCATGAAAGTTCTTATCATATCATACTTTGTCTTTCAACACATCCTGCATAAGGTCGTTTTGAGCCACGCCAATGTTTAGTATTTCTGCGTCCGGGTTGAATATGAGGTGCGCCGAAGCGTTGAATGTCTCTCGCATGGGATTGACATTGGTCATGGACACAATGGCGCGATCAGAGACATAGCCCTCCTGAGAATTCATTGCTGTGTTTTCACCGAAAAGAAGAGAGAAGAAGCAGGTTTATGCTAGGGTCGTCTTTGTACACTCGGCAGTTTAAAATAAGAAAAGAAAGGAAAGAAGCTGGAAAAAAGCTTGCCGGATAAATTTATAAAGAGACAATCGCTGCTGTATACCTAATTGTATGGCTATTGTTTTCTGATAGTGCTGTGTCATGGTGGTACAAAGTATGCAAATCCGTAAATCTTGGAAGGACACATGTGGCATGACAGTGCTTCATTACAAGCAGCCCCCCTTGTGCGCATGGATCTCAAACAAATTAAACTTCTCAACAGGCATACCAAGACCCCTGGCTACCGCTGCTGACGACAGCTACAGATGATCCATTTACTGCCACCTCTCAATTGATACGCTCATAACGCTCGAAACATGGCATCGCTGACAGCAGCTCTTTGTTGATATGGCCACAGACTTAATTGCCTCGTCCATTACACGCACCGATGGTGCATACACGCAGCACCATGCCATCCTCTCTTCAAAAACCATCTACACAAACTGATATATAAGCTATTAACATTGTTCGAATAATAATTATAGGAAACCAACAGATTAAACCTTTTTAATGTAACTTTTAGTCTGCTCCCCGTGCTCTTCCATCCACTTCTTCACGTTGCACGTCAAGAGCGCTTGATAGTTGCCCATCAGCGTCTTTTCCTTCTCCACCTGCTTGAAACCATGTCGCTTGATCAAAACCTGCTCTGCTGCCATCGTCATTTCATTTGTCGTTGCCAGTACTTCTTCGATGCCGTTCTCGTTGGCGAACGTCATGACGCGGTTGATCAACAAGGTGGACAGACCACAGCTCTGATAATCATTTTCGATAGCCAATCGCTGCAACACCGCCAGTTTGTTCCCCGTCGCCTCCGCAAATACTCGATACGACATTTTCGGCTGGCAAAAGCGCGGCACGGACAGACCATACTTGCGATAGATGGAGGCGCAAAGCTCTTGCATTGGAGTACCCAGCGGTTTCCGTTTGCTCAAGACGCGTTCTTCATACATGGCCAGACCAGCCATACCAATAACTTGACCATCCACCGAAAGGACCCAGAAATGCGACGGCAGTTGCTCCGATGCGGGCTTGCGGACCCGTTCGCCTTCTTCGTTAATCTCGTAGTTCAAGTAATAGACCTCAGGGTCGCTCAAATCGTTCTCCCGGCCCTCCTCTACCATGTCTCGCAGGTCGTAGCGCTCTGTCTTTAGGAAAAGAATGGCGAAACCAATGGCCGCCCACGCTGCTGAAATGAACAGCTTTAAAAAGTATTCGGTCCATGATTCTGGACGTGGCCCCGGTCCAAGGAGTGTACTTGGTACAACAGTCATCAAGCCGGTGTAGCCAAATAGCCATAATATCCACGTCATGGGTGCCCATAGCTTTGCTCGTATGCCTTCGAGGACAAGTGCATAGGACGTGCTGGTAAACACGGCATTCACGGCTTCTCGATCGCCGGGCTGGTATGTTCGTAGGATAAGCTTGGGATTACGAATGTTAGTGTCGTCGTTGTCGCTATTCTTGGGTGGCATGACGAAACCTTGAAAAATGAAAGACGGATTGTGTGATGGAATGAGACAAGGAAAGAAGAAACCAACAAACAAGAAAAAAAAAAATGCAGAAGTTATGCCCCGGCAAAATTATTCTACCACGCACACACGTGTTTGGGCTTTCATTTGGTTCGGCTAAATAGGACCCGTTCAATGGAATTCGGCTTCCTGCATGGTGGGGTTTATTTTCCGGCTGAACCTGCTGGCTGGTTTTGCTTCCGGCTGATGCTTGACAACTGCTGCGGCCGTCTTGAACTTTTTTTTCGCTTTGTCAAAGAAGGCAAGCAATAAAGTCTCTGCTGTTGATACAGCTATGACCTGGTCTACTGGACGAGTCTCTTTCTTTTGGGTACAATTGTCCTTTTGCGTTACGCATAAGACAACCAAAAAGGGCAGTAATTGCCAACCTGAGTCCTTTGAGCGCGCTTCTTTAATTCTTCAGGGAGAGGAGGTGTAGGAGTCTCGATTAGATGTGCGTTTTTGCAACACTCTGCAGCAGTTAATTGGTCACTGGTGTGTTGCCTAGCAAATGCAATTCGCATTATTCTGCCACACGGTCTATGGGGGCTGCGTTGGGAAGAAGGAGCTGCTTAGTTACAGATACCGGAACTGCTACCAGATGATAAGCAAAGTGTAGATAGCCGCATTCTAAAAGACTTGTCGTGATGATATTGGATCAAGGCAATCAAAAGATAATGACATACATGTATGGAAACGATTTATCAAACTCTTTACTTTTATGAGATAGAACCTTTCTTACAAATAAGACGCTTCTCAACTTTTCTGTTGTACAGATGCTTGTTACTTACACAGGTACCGAAATATAGCTGATTGATGCTATGATCCATGTCTAGCCAACAACGGGAGAAACTTAAGAATGTTCACCACTAGTATAAACTTAAAAAGTAATGGATACAGCGGAAAAAGTACTGTACATAACAGCCTTTTCCTCGCTGTGTAGAGTGAGTTCAGTAGATAGGAAGAATGGAACTTTTCGAATAAATGCCACACTTCTCGATCTAAACCAGAACGATACTTTGGTTAAGCCATTTGTCCCTGAGAGTCTTGTACTCTAATAATAAGCTCTGGTAAACGGCGGTTTGATCTCACCTGAGAGCCCTGCAAGTATCCATATTTAGTTGCGCCATCGAAAGATACCAGGTATCTTTTGCTCCTTGTTTCCATTATCGTCCACAGTATTGTGAAATTCGACCTTTTCATTGGCCGTGCGTGTGTAATTTGGACACACAGTCACCAACGATTTAGCATATGTGCCTCTTTAAAAGAGTGCATGATTTTCAGTTCTTCTCGCACTCCTCCTTGTTTATCTTTATACACAACAAGATGGTATTCATTTCCGAGATTACTTACACTACCAGCTGCAACTTTCTTAAAGAAAAACTGCCAGAACACTTTCACAATGTTCGGCTTGGCATTATCTGTGGTTCCGGTCTCGGTGGTCTTGTCGACACGATTGAACAGTCGTCCAAAGTAGAGTTTCTTTATGGTGACATTCCTGGTTTTGTTACTAGCACAGGTAAATTGGGTTGCTCGGCCTCATTCTCTCCATCCATAGTAAATGAATTTCGTTAAACTCATTCAGTTGTTTTGTTGTTTCAAAAACAGTGAGTGGTCATTCCGGAAAGCTGGTTTTTGGTTACCTTGGTGATTCAAGAACGCCTACAGTATTTATGGTCGGCCGTATCCATTTGTACGAAGGCTATTCGCCACAACAATGCACATTCCCTGTCCGGGTCATGAAACTCTTGGGCGTTCAAACATTAGTGGTGACAAACGCTTGCGGCGCACTGAATCCAGAGTTCAAGGTCGGCGACCTGATGGTGATCAATGATCATTTGTCGCTTGCTGCCGTGACAGCCGAGAATCCTTTGATCGGCCCCAATTTGGATACATTTGGCCCACGCTTTCCGCCTGTCTCAGATGCATATACCTACGCCCTGCGCAAATTGGCATTTAGAGCTGCGTTCGAGACCGGTATCGCCAAGGATGATATTCGTGAAGGTGTCTATACTTATTCTTCAGGTCCCATGTATGAAAGCCGTTCTGAAGCACGCTTCTTGAAATCCATCGGCGCTGATGTCGTGGGAATGTCGACGGTTCACGAAGTCATTGTCGCGCGTCATGCTGGCATGCAGGTGCTTGGTCTTAGTCTGATTACCAATCCTGTCGTTGTCGCCAGGGGTAAAGATGCTAAAAAGGAAGTAATGACCGAGATGGGCATTGAGACGGTCGTTGACGATGGTGTGGATACCGAACTGATTAAGGCAAACCATGAAGAGGTGCTTGAAGCCAGTGCTAGACGTGCTGATGATTTGCAGCGAATGATGACTCGGTTCGCTGACTTGTGGGCAAAGGAGCAGTAACAATAAGGGAGGGTTGCAAGTCATACTTTGTTCATTTCGTTCTCGTTAGATAGAAAACAATCTTTAATGTATTCTGTCATTTGTATGTTGTATACGCATATAAGCAAATGTAAACTACGGTGGTGATTCTTGCTTGGGGGCCGCCTTCTTCTTTGCCACGCGCTTGCGCTTGCGGCTGGATGTTGCTAATGGCTTTGCATTGGCAGCAATTTCTTCGTCCTCTCGTAAAATTTCCTGTTATAGAATAGTGTGGAAGATTAAGCTGAAGAGTCCACTTCTAGATACATAGTAGGTAATTCTAAACTTACTCTCCAGTGAGCCAAGATAACTTCGAGATCTTTCCTCCAGAATTGCTTGGGCGTAGTAGCCTGGATTGTTTCCATCTCTTCCAATTTCTTCTCTCGTTGCCTTCGAAGCTCTTCGACCTGAATACATTACAAAAGTAGCGTATTAATTTCTCAGCATTCTTTGCAAGATAGGACACAGGCAGGAATTGTATATACCTTTTGACGAGTGAAGCCACGGACGCTGATGGAAAAGAGATATTCATAACCAGATCCGCTTTCCTTGGCTGCATTGTCCTCGTCTGCATCTTCAGTGGCCAAGACGCTTCTCTTCTTGAGTGGGTAGATACGCTGCAAATCATGCTTCACAAAGTCAGCAACAACATCTTCCTCCTTGCGATTGACGTAGGCGAGCTCCTTGTTAATAACCAGCTCAATGAATCGAGCCTTGTTATCCAGTTGGGAGAACTCGTGCTTAAGAACGTGAACGAGATGGTCCTAGACATTACGGTCGTAAAAGACATGTTAGAAACCACGCATACAATCTCTTTTTCTGTGTTCTCCTCTTTCTATCAACCATTCTCAGTTAAATACGGTGCTGTCTTTATACCTTTCGCTTTTGATAATATTCTAAACGAATAGGATAAAATTCCTTGAGAATTTCCTCGGCGCTTTCGTATTTCCTGAGTCGACCATCCTTGTCGAAGCACACAATGTTTGTAGTGGCAAGAGAGGATGTGATTTTGAGAGCCTTCAAGATACCAATATTTTCGGCCGTCTCGAGCTGCTTAAGTTCGAGTTGAATTGTAAATTCGATAGCACAATCTGTAGAGTTGTTACTGTAATCCTACATACAAAAGAAAAATTACAGTAAGTCGATACGCGATAATTGGTAGAGTTGCTGCATAGCTAAATCACTTACGACGATGTTAATTTCTGGTTTCTTGTCCTTGGGATCACGACAGACTTCGAGGTAGTCTTTGAAAGTGTCGGTCCATAGACGAACAGGAAGTTCTGTGACCTTAATGTTGCCTTCTTCCGTGACCTCTGCAATACCGTTGCACGTGAATCGGCCAGCAGTAGAGGCAGTAGTGATCTCGCCCTTTTTTTTTGCATAAATATTTCAAAATAAAGTTTGCCTTTATGCTAATCGTAAATCTCGTTGTATATACTTTACCTTGAATCCGCGATACCATGGCTTCATTGGCTCTGGTTCCTGATCATCCATCATGCGTATCAAATTATTGACGATATCCTCAGGGCTGTAGTTAGGGATAGTTGTACTCCAGCCTTTTTAGAAACAATTGTATGATATTATTATCAACTAAGAAGATCGTAATGGCATTTTTTAGGTATATGAAGAGCATGGAAACAAGTCTTACCAGTGCCAATACCATCAGCGCCGTTCACTAAAACCATGGGAATGACAGGCATGTACCACTGCGGTTCAATCGACTTGTTTTCTTCGATAAGATAGTCCAGAATATCGTCATCTTCCGGGTGGAAGATGGTTCGACTGATCTTGGAAAGACGAGTGAACAGGTAACGAGGACTGGCAGCAGCCTTACCGCCTTCGTGACGAGTACCGAACTGACCGGACGGAACCAACAGATTAATGTTGTTGCTGCCGACAAAGTCTTGTGCCATATTAATTACAGTGGATGCCACGCTGTTTTCACCATGATGGTATTGCGTTTCGCCAGCAACATAGTTGGCGAATTGCGCAACCTAGGACAGAAACTATGTTAGAAATTTCACATAATTATCTTCATGTTTTTATGTAGCTAGGTACCACACCATACCTTCACTTCAGTGTTCTTGCCACGCTTAATCGCACCATAAAGAACCTTTCGCTGACCGGGCTTGAAACCATCAATGACAGATGGAATGGATCGAATGTTATCCGCCATACTGAAAAGCATCAACTCACGGTTCACAAAGTCAGAAATTTTGATCTTGTTGACGTTGTGATCGATGTAAATGCCAGGCTATACGAACAGAATACAGTTATAGTTGGTTAAAAATACTTATATTCATACAGGCTATTCCTTTTCCCTCTCTCTCCTATTGTCAACTTACAGAGTAACCAGTGAGCCAGTCTTTACGATCATTGACCTTTTTCTTGTTGAAAGCCATGTCGATAAGGCCGCGATCATCGGTATCAGGCACTTGGAACTCTTTCATGTGGATCTCAGGTGCCGAGAAATATTTGCGAGCATCAGCACGGTCAGAAGTACCCAAACCCTGTCATTACCATCATACATAGGGAAATCAAAAGACATAAGAAGATATTCGTGCTGCATTCTCGAGCACTGTAAAGTACCATCCTCCTGCTTTACCTTGAAGTACTTGGGAAGCCAACTGTTGTCTTGATTATTCGCGAGAGCCCATGATTCGTATTCAGGAATGGTGAAGAAAGAGACTTCTTCCTTGGTGCGCTTGTGCTTGCACTAGAGCAATAGTACTAAATGAGCATCGGTGCAATTACGGCACTTAAATACCGGAGAAGCAATATATACGAACCCGGATAATAGGGGTGATGAACTCCAACAAGAAACCAGGAATATCGAGCAAGGATGGGAACATTTCATCAAGCAAGTTGATGATAAGACCCTTGATGTGAGAACCATCATGATCCTAACAAGAGCAACATTCAAAGAGCAATTTCATGGTCAGACCTAATACAAGATTTCCACCTTTTTTTGATATATTACCTGATCGGTCATAATCATGAGTTTGCCGTAGCGCAAATCATCAACGCTCGTATATGTGTTTCCGTGCTTCAAGCCCAAGATCTGCTTGATATAACCAATTTCCGCGTTGTTCATGATTTGGCTGTTGTTAGCATCTCGGACGTTAAGAAGCTTACCACGGAGTGGGAAGACGCCGTAGTGATCGCGACCGACCACAGACAGACCACTGAGCACAAGTGCTTTGGCGGAGTCACCTTCGGTCAAGATCAACGTGCACTTTTTGTTATGAGGCTTATAACCGGCAAGGTTGGCATCTTCAAGCTTGGGAATCTTTAGACGCCTTTTGAAATTCCATGGTAAAGGTGTAGACTATTAGCTCTTAACGATCTTGGGTTCTTGTGCAACATCTCCAGAGAAATTCACTTACCGAGACATCTTACCGCCGTCAGCACGGGCCATCTGTTCCTCTTCCTTTATCTTAAATGATCGGACGATGTTGTCAATGATACCGGACTTGGCGACTAAAGCACACATTAGTTTTATGTTTCAATAAAATACATCCAAATCTGACAACTTACTTTGGCTGAGGAATTTGTCGCTTAGCTCGTACTTTGAGCCAAATGCACTCTGACGCAGAGTCATGTTCTCCTTGGTCTGCGAATCAAAGGTTGGGTTTTCGATCAAACAGTTGATAAAGATGGCAATGTGATTCTTGACCGTGAAAGGCTTGACGTTTTTGCTACCACACTTCTTTTGAACTTCAGGGAGAAGGCCCTTGACAATTTGATCCACGACATGTGCCACATGAATGCCACCTTTGGCTGTACAGATCGAATTGACAAAGCTGACCTGGTATACATCGCAGGTTAGTCAGTCTGGTCCATTCCATATATAGTTGCTTTTCTCCCTTGTGCACCCGCATTTTTTAATTACCTGGCTAGGCTGTCCATCACTGACAGCAAAACTGACTTGCCAACGATCAGGCGCACTGATATCGTGAATGATGGGTTTTTTGCCCTCGGCATTACGGATCTCCATGGTCTTGGTGTACAGATCGACGTATTTGTTGAAGCCCTTGACAGGAATCTTGGTGCCGTTCAAATAGACAGACACACCTTCAACAGTGCCAGCCATATCATACACACGCTTCTTGATTAACGCCTCGAAATCCGCATCCATTTCCGTCATGTTGAACTTTGCAAGGTCAGGCTTGAAGGTGATTCGAGTGTACTCTTCACCCTTCTTGTTGTCGGAAATGCGTGGCGCACCCTTGACGCCCATGTTGTTTTTGAAGATCTGCTTGTATTTCTTCTTCTCTTCCTTGTCTGCCGTCTCGATGATAAACTCGGAACTGAAGATGTTGCAGAGCTTGGCACCATAACCGTTACGACCACCGACGATCTTTTTCTCGCTGTCGTCGTAGTTGGATGAGGTAAGCAAATGGCCGAAAATCAATTCAGGAACATAAACGTTTTCTTCTTTGTGAACGGTAATGGGAATACCCTTGCCGTTGTTGTGAATCGAAATCAGGTTTTGCGAGCGGTCGATGATGACCTTGATAGTATTCATGGTGGGATCGCGGATCTATTATTTACCATGTTAAATAAAAACCATATCAAATCAGGTACAAAAAGACACTATGTCTTCGTTTTTTACCTTATTGTCAGCAGCGTTCACAAGAATTTCATCCACAATCTTGTAAAGACCAGGCACATATTTGATAGTTTTGCGCTTGATGACTTCCTCTTCCGAATCAAAGACCCACATTTCCTGCTCTTCAGCCTCAGTGGATCCGATATAAGTGTCAGGACGCAACAGAATATGTTCCAGCTGACTCTTCTTTTTGTAAATCTCTTCAACAGTGCGCTTTCCAGTAGCAGTAGCAGCAGCTTTCTTTGGATTGGGTTCGGGAGTCGAATTGCTGGCTTCCGCCATGACTTGATCACCATCGTTAGAGGCTGGTGCAGGCGATGAGGCATTCGCATCGTTCTTCAAGAACAAGTCGAGCGTTCCTGATCCACTTTTGGCAGCGGCACTCTTAGCTGCTGGTATCTTTTTGGTCGTCGTTGTTGTCGCTTTGGGTACTGACTTTTCCTTTGGTGCTTTAGGTTGTTTGGGAGTTCTTGGTGTTCTAGGTGCTTTAGGCGCTTTAGGCGCTTTTGGTGGTGGTGTCACTTTGGCCTGCAAAACAAAAAATAAAGAATTGAACAAAAAAAAGTTTAGAAAGACACGCGCGTCTCAACGGGAGATGGGTTGAAAAAAAAATATGGATATATCTATTTGTAGATCGTGGTACACTTACCTTTTTCTTAGGCCTTTCTGGAACGTACTCATCAGATTCTGCACCAGCATCCTCGAAATCAGAGCCACTAGAGGCATTCATAAATTCGTCTTCGTCGGAAATGGTCATGGTAAAGAGGTTAAGAATGTAGACGCGAACTAAAAAAATGCCCCTTTCTCCTTTTTGCGCTGTTCAATTGGCGGAGGTGACTGTTCGAATCACGGTACGCGCGCGTATCACAGTTGCATAGTATTCATAATAGCGTGTCACTCGAGAGGTTGATACGCAGTAGCCGGGTCTCACCTCTCAAAAAAAATTATTTAATATAGAACACGACTGTGTGCGCCACAAGAACAAACATACTGCTAATGTTGTTGGATTTAGAATTATTAGTACTGTAGAATAATGATAAGACAGGCGCGAATGCTGCTCTACGCATACTACTGTTACGGTGAATTTGGGGTATTCCAGGTAGTTGCGTAACGGTTTATGTGTATGTTTTGTAGTGAGCACCAGTAATAATATCGTTTATTACAGACGGGTTGTGAAGTGATATGAGTGTAAAGTAAAGTAAAATGTGGATGGGTTATGTCCAAGGTTGTAAATAGTAGTGAGCTGATGTCTTGATTAAGCTCAGTGAGTAGAAATAAGGATCAGGGATGTTACGTCTGTCCAAAAAGATTGAGAAATAAGGATCAGGAATGCTACGTCTGTCCAAGTAAATGAGAAATAAGAGCAGGAACGTCTGGTCTTTAATAGAAGAGTTTATTTAGCTTCAGTTATGAGCAATAAACAATATGTAAGATAAAACAAGCCGTGTTCAGGTCTTGAGTGATTTAAAACAACACTTGAAAAGTTAAGTCAAAAGTGGGAGGTAGATATTCAATGTCTTTATTCAAATAAAAATGATGGGGTGTTTATATCATATCTTTCTGGTTATTTAATAATGTCTAAGATAATTCATGCTGCGGTTGCTGCGGTTGCTTGCTGTTACTGCGGTAGTTATGTATTGTATTCTGATTGCCGCTTGGTGTGTGGTTCTTTTGTATGTTTGGTTTATTTGTTATGGGTGGTTCTCCGGGTAACACTACTAAGTACGCTAAATCTACAAATAAATGCTAATATGTACCAGAGGAAGCATAGATAACAGAAAATCGTTACTGTGTCTTTGCTGACCCTGAGTTGTATGCTTCATTTAGAGAAGTCGTTTATTTACTACACTCGATGATGCGTGCTTTACTAGCATTAATAATGGAATGCGATCGTGTATCTAATATAACACATGGCAAAATCACTAAAACCATAACTTCTTTCGTAACAAATTAGTTATCTTCACGAGAGATGCATGGCTCGAGACATACGCGAGGCAAATGAGAAAAGTGATTGCAAGAAGAATTTGACAGTGCAGTGCACCTGGGCACTGCGCGCACTATGTTACTTTCCATATTTTATAGGCACGAATTCTACTGAGAAAACTTTCTGGGGTAACACCTAGTTATATAAAATTTACGTGCCATTGCAGATTATCGTAGTTTACACCCGATATATTGCTCAAAGTCAGAGAGTAGATGACGATAATAGTGAGATTCCGCGACAACAAATACAGTACTGTGCCTTGATTGCATCTATTAAGTCAACCTATTTATTGCCGTGTTTGGATGCTGCTGGGCACTTTGTTTTGTCTATCATCGTCATCTATTCTCTGGCTTAGGAAAAAACTCTTATTATGGTAACCATATAGGTAAATTGATTTGACATCTGTTTGCAAAGTACTAGAATAATACCTTTTTCCATTTGCGCCTCAGTTCCTTTGGATCCATCATATAACCTTGGCAGCATGATACACCATATATTTTTTGTGCATTTTTAAACAAATTTGTTTGTGATGGTAGTTATAAAGAAATGGCTGAGCTCCTTAGACTCGGTTGCACAAAAGGGTGTTATTTACTCGAATAGAATCAACTGAGGAACCCCACAGATTATGGTCCCTCACGTGAGGTCCGATATATTTTACGCCCGAATATGATATTATATAAAAAGATTACTTACTGGATCCCTTTCATCGTACATCTTCATTTCTATTGTAATCATCAACCGTTTGCTTATTAGCCTTCTTCCACATATATAATGAGAAGATATAAGCCTTTTCGTTTGTGTGAAGGCAAAAGGATGGGTAAAAAAAGTAGGACAGGAGGAAAAAGTAAGCATGTCGTGCTGCGGATACATGGAACCTGTCTGTGAGTCACATAAACCGACGTACATAACAAGGCGACTTGTTACTAATACGTTTTTTTCTGAAGCAAAAACGTATACAGTGGTCCCCCAACATAGCAAATCGGCAAAACTGCTGAAGCGGTGGAAAAACAGTACAGTATGTTTCCCTACCGGCTTATGCTCACAGACGACGAAGGTGGAATATCGGAAGAATATGTATTGCATGCAAGGATTTATTCAACGTCATCAGGAGGAGCACATTTCTATACCGTGGCTATAATCGAACACCGAAACAAACGATTCCTCGCACGCATGGACAACTTGGCCGGCAATCAAGTGCAGATAATTGCATCCGATCCTGATTCTATTGAAAGCATATTAACAGAAAACAGAAAGCATACGATATCGATACTGTACAAGAAAGCCGACCAGCTAATAGCACCGACGCCTTCATACACGCTTGATGAAGAGCATCATATGCAGGAGGTATTCGACCAAGTGGAACCAGGCAAGTATATAAGCTTTTTGCTGTTATAAGCTCAACGACGTGTAGCTGATTTTTCTAATGGTTTTTAGTGATCGCCTGCTGGAGGTGCTCAACTCCTTTGCCTACACCATTACAAGCATCCTTGTCGCCCAATTATTTCAGCGTCTTTCCGCATTCGAAAGTAAAGAAACCTCATCGACAGAATGATGTTGCTTGGTGTAGACCGCATCTCGACATTATGGTCTACGAGTCAATGCGCCTAGCGAACAAATTCCCTTTGGTCGAATTCGAGGCCTTGCCGGAACGGATCGCAAAATGGATAGACGAGCTCAAGGATTTGATAATGGATAAGCCGTTTCAAAGCTATTTCAAGAAGAAGATCATAGAATACTACAAAAATTCACCGAGCATCAGAGCTGCGAAAAATCCAATGTTAAAGATGAGCATTTTCAAAGACCATATGGTAAGTTTTGCAAAATTGAAATGTATACATAGTAGAACCTATGATATAATAACAATTATCTTTATATTTTATAGCCTGGATACTATGGGTTTAAAGGCAAAAAAATAATCGCAAAAACACTCCAAGACATGCTGGTACACGAGATCGATGCTGCGAATGAGCACATCAAACCGATGGATACCCCGGAATATATAGCCTCTGTTCTTGTTCCAGAGGTCGGTATGCGCCTTATTAGGGAAGATCTTGAGACGGCCGGTGAGACAGAAGAAGATTGTGATTGCACGATTAGGCTAGCAGAAGAATACAGTCCCCTCAGCAACATGGCGCTTTTCCGCATGGAGCGTAGCGTCGACTACGGCTGTTTTAAATATCCAGATGACGATGACTCAGACAGTGAAGATTAGGGCGACCAAGAGCATCATATACTCTGATGAATAAAAAGCAGAACCATACATTATCTTCTCCAACATATCCCTATACACTTTCATTTAATCTTCACTTTTTTTCTCTTTCTCTATATTCTTCTGTTAAAAAAAGAAAAAGAACAATGTTCAATAAAAGAAAATGTCAAACCTGCGTGGTAAATGGCTACCACTCGATATTATATCTCACTTACTGAACGTCACTACAAGGCAACATGATTATTTGGTCTACACAAAGAATTACACTTCCACTTTTTTTTGGTCTACGCAAGGAATTACAGATTGTAAGGAAAATCTGAAATTGGTGTGGGGAGAAGTTTGGTCTCCCGAAGGAGTGAAGATAGTAGAGGAGACATGTGTAACAGATGTTTAAACTCCTATATGTAAAAATTTGGTCTACGCAAGGAAAAATTTGGTCGCTCGAGCAACTCTGGTTTTTTTTATAAAAAGATAATGACGAGTCTCTCTAAAACTCAGACATAAAATAAAATAAAATTGGTTGCTACATAACACACAGCCAACAAACGCTTCTTACACATTCACATATCTCAACAACGAAAGTCTTGCTCAATGAAAAAAAAAAAAACCTTGATGTAATTAACTAATACTTTATATTTTTTTTAAATAGTGCAGCTACTTAAAAGGGCTTTCCAATGCTATTTTTCGAAACTAATTTCGCTTTACCCTCTGGTAGATTTTGCTCCAATTTGTCTATATTATAAATCATTTTAGCTTCACGGCTTTTTATTCAATTTGTTTATATGATAAATCATTAGTTTCACGGTTTTTTATTCAACAGGAATTCTCAAGTACTGACACACGATGCTTATAAACTAGTTGCAGCTCTTGCGACAACCTAGATGGCAATCCTTAATGGCCCCTGTCTAGTCCTCGCTTGTGGTTCTAAGAACTTCAGCTTTGATTATCTGCCTACGCACCAGATTTTCACCTGTTGTTCACGCACTAGTTCGACATGTATTGTTTATTTCAAACTGGTAATGACTTCTATATATTATATATTTGCGGCAGTAATAATAACAGCGGTGCTTTTCTAACTGGATGATATTTTATTCGATAGGAATCCTCAAGTACTGACACATGATGCTTATACACTAGTTGCAGCTCTTGCGACAACCTAGATGGCAATCCTTAACGGCCCCTGTCTAGTCCTCGCTTGTGGTTCTAAGAACTTCAGCTTTGATTATCTGCCTACGCACCAGATTTTCACCTGTTGTTCGCGCACTAGTTCGACATGTATTGTTTATTTCAAACTGGTAATGACTTCTATATATTATATATTTGCGGCAGTAATAATAACAGCGGTGATTTTCTATGGATGATATTTTATTCGATAGGAATCCTCATGTACTGACACATGATGCTTATAAACTAGTTGCAGCTCTTGCGACAACCTAGATGGCAATCCTTAATGGCCCCTGTCTAGTCCTCGCTTGTGGTTCTAAGAACTTCAGCTTTGATTATCTGCCTACGCACCAGATTTTCACCTGTTGTTCACGCACTAGTTCGACATGTATTGTTTATTTCAAACTGGTAATGACTTCTATATATTATATATTTGCGGCAGTAATAATAACAGCGGTGATTTTCTATGGATGATATTTTATTCGATAGGAATCCTCAGTTCATGGAATGGCTATTTCCATTTTGATCCTGCATTTTTATTCTATTTTGTGGAGGTGGTTAATCTTTTAAAATGGTTTCTCCAGAAAATTTGTCACATGAAAATGATATTACATGCCAGTCCTGTTACATTGACAATTTGATATATTTTATAATAAAGATATACAAGCACTTTTATCTATTTAATTTGTGAAAGCACCCTCGCAATGATTTATTATGAGTTTTTATCAGACTGGTCTTTGATTCATATAGAGCCAGTAGTAGTTTTCGTCAACATTTTATAGCTGGCTTGAGGATAGATAGAATCATTACACCTTATGAGATTTGTTACTTTATGGGTATTTCAGAAGTCAAGATGTGATATACATATATTTACTCATGTGCTTAAGCAACAGACATTGAAGACGGTAACTATTTAGTTTAGGAAGCTGACGTACTCACATTGAATGATAGCATCCTGGGAACCAAAGTGGAAACAAAGTATGGCAAAGCTAGCATTCAGCTAGTACAGTATAAATAGTACGTACAAGGTCTAAAAACACTGATGGTTTTCAAGGACATAACAAGCTATGCAAAGGTACAGCATTAGAGTTTTCTCTGGTCGTGATAAATCTCGTACGTTATCCACAAAAGTTTGTAATTAGCTAATAACTAGAAAATAAGAAATTCTGAAGCAACAATGTAGCCTACACAAAGAATACTACTACTTCTATTGTTTGTTGCTTCAGCAGTAGGCACAATATAGGCACTACACCATTCTTAAAAAAAGTTGCGAAATATATAAACTAAATCATTGTCAATTATATATAGCAAAGCACGCCACACGCATACATAATTATTTTATCACTAAGTATACTACATTCCTTAGCATTTGATAAACCATGATGTCGAATGAGTTGTTTTTTACTAATATAAGTGTCAATTTCAATTAATGGACGCTATTGATAACTGGGTATTATTTAATAGCATGCTAACAAATAGATATATGTATAACTTACAATAAAAAGGCATTCAATGCTAGCTTGTTCTTTTTCCATTTTCTACATAAAAGCACATCTTCCCTCTGGACGCAAAGGTTACATCCGAGTGTCCTCTTTATTACATTTTCCTTTGTCTAGTGGCGGTGTTTGCTTGTGCATTGGTGATGATGTCAAATAACACTAACTGTTTGCCAATCTGGATTGACTTTGGCTTCTTGAATAAGCTCTTGACTACTGCTTGAGACCCTCATGGTTTCTACCCAGTGTATCAGCAAATTGTTGTGTCATTATTGACTGTCATAGGTCATGATTATTTTGTCTTACTTTCGCTTCACCTCCGTCATTGCCTTCAACCACCGCCATATTCCTTTGGTTTAATTTTCTATTTACTATCCTGGGGTTCGAGTGAACTCGACTGTTTTTCTTTTTTGGAATCACTGAAGCGATGCGTAACTATATACACTTATGGTGTTTTTTTACTGTTGATGTTTTATATTTGAAATGTTGAAGAGAAGTTGAATGAGTATCATCGAGGCTTATAGCCAGCATGTGAGTATTTTTATTTATTTGATATTAAAGAGTGTTATTGTTTATGCAAAGGGGGTTTCAGGTAAATATTTTACAATGGTTTCATCTTCAAACTAATGATTATTGTTCATGTAGAGTGTAGTAAAGTAGGTATATCATATGTCACCACTAAGTTGTTTTTGGTTTTTTGTTATCCGCGAAAAAGATCCTTGGGCTTTCTTTATCGACCTGATCATTCATGATAGTTTCAAATCGTCTTTTTGTTGTCTTATCCATTAAACCAACGATGTCATTGGCAGCATCAATGATATATTTCTATATAACAATAAACTTTATATTAGCATTATCTCTAATAGCTAAGGAGTTTATACATATGTAGTATAAAAGCAGTAACAACAACTTACCGAATAGTTTAGTAAAAGGTACATACTTTCTTGCTCAATAAACTCATCAAAGTCTGCTAAAGAAGTGGGCAACACAACATAGTTATTCGAAACCTTCGATGCAACAAATACATCTTCAGTTCTGGCAACACTGTATAAATAAGCACGAAGGCCTTGAAAAAAAATTGGGTGAATACATGAATTATGGTGTTATAACATGCTTTTTCTCACACTTTTCCACTCCTTCCTTACCAATTACGTCCATTATCAATGGATTGGTGCTACAATTAACATTGATATCAACCCCAAATCGTTTTCGTAATTGAGACAAGATACAGATGTTGGTGACGATATTCTTGGATTGTTGCTCAGTTACAAGTTCGAATTCTGCATCACCTTTTTTGTGCTCGTTAGCAGAGAGTTCAACGCATCCTTCTTCGCCGTCTTCAGATTGGGTCATAACAAGCATGTCGATCCTTCGACCAAATGATGAAGTTGAAAGGGCGTCGAGCATTTCATTTTTTGTTGCTTGTGAGACTGCTTCACCCCTGAAAAATACAGTTGCATTAGCTCGTTTACGTTTATTATTTCCTTTACATTTATCATCACAAGACGAATGATAAATTGCCAACGTGAAAATGATTCATTTTCTGTCATTACATATTTGTGCTTGCTGTCAAAGTCAAACTGTATCATGTTGAATCTAAAAAATGACGCATTTATAAATAAAATGGGTTGACAGAGATACCATTTTTGATTGTAGGGAAACATATTAAATTCACTTACAGGTAGGTAAAAATATCAAATATTTTTACCTCGATTGAATCAATTGTGTAACCATCTTTATCCAGCAATTCCAATTTTTTCTTATATATGTATTTACGTGCACCAACAATACCTCCTTCATCATAACTCTATAAATATATGCATATTATATCAATATATATATTATAATAAGGGTCATTCTTCATATCTACTTTATCCTCGATTTGCTTACATTTAAAACAGTTTTCACAATAGCATCTGCATGATCATCGAAACACCGTTTATTCATATCTTTTTTCATCATTATATTGGCCAAATCTTGGAACTTTCCTTCACCAAGGTAATCCTTGATATTAATCGTTTCATTTGTTGTAATGGTATTAATGATACCAGATAAGCCAAGCCTACAATAACACATGTTTAACAATACAATCTTTATATTTAGATAATAAAAATCAAAATCAAAATAAACCACTTACTGTAAAGGTCCATCGACAGTTTTGACATTTTTATCGCACTTTATCATCTCAACACAATACTTGAAGAGGTGTTTTTGGTGGCCATTGGGAGAAAGAGTATCAGGAATAGAGGGAAGTACTGGTTTCAAGCCATTTTTCTAATTAATAACAAAACCAAATGTTAAAATGAGCTTGTTTCGAGTGAAGTATAACTAATAAGCGACTGTAACAGTACCTTTTGTTCTAAGTACTTTTTAACTGGGTCTAAAAGTGAGGTATCAATAACTTTTGAAACCTTTACATAATAACAATAATAGTAATAGTTAATATAAATTAAGGTGGTTATATTATTTAGAATTCGATTAAAAATAAATACCTCTAAAGGTTGACGAGTAACACTGCTACTAGTAGAATTCAAATGGGTTGCTTTTTCATCAGAGAATTTGCTCCAATCAATCGAATCCACATCGCTAGAAAAAGAAGTCTGTAACGAAAAAAATGGTCAGATATTCGATTTATTTAAATTCTCTTTTGAAGAAAAATTATAAATTAACTTACGCCTTTCATATAATTGTTTGCAGCTGTGTTGAATACTCTTTTGAATATTTTACGAAGATCTTGAGGATTCATAACGTTGGGTTGGTATTCGAAAACAAGTGGTTTATGTGATATGATAAATAAAGAAAGTTTAGCAAATCGCGTTGAGCATTTGCACCCTTCCAAATAAGTTTGAAGTTTATCTGTAAAAGAAAGTAACAATCAGTTTTTTTTATTTACAAGCCACATTATATGTAACAAAACAACTTACTTTCGAATTCTGTTGGCATGACAACTAGATGCAAATGGCTTGAATGGAAGAGATGAAAGGAAGAAGTAGGGCTGCGGCGCAAAAGGTCAGTTTACTTATTTCATTTGATATAGTAGCCCATTTTTTTCTTTTTTTTTGTATCCCACTTTATGTCAATATTGTAGTTCACATAATCTTGTGATGTTTCCTCTTGCTCCAAAAAGAGAGCGTTTCATTTTTTTGTTTCTTTTTTTTTTCTCTTCTTCAAAAACACATTATTTTACTTTGACCCAACAAGTAAGCTTATAATGAGATATGCCTTACAACTTTATCATTTTTAGTACATATATTAATATCAATAAAAAGACTATATTCTCAGTGTTTATTGCGTCAAATAATTTTTTGTATATCACATTGTTTATCGGAGCACATTGAAATAGATATATATTTTATTAAGACGAAATTGAATGAACACCCGCTGATTTCAGCTTATTGCTCTCGTCAGTTCACAAAGCTCGGTTCTGAAAAACCTGCTGGGTCGCAGGAAAAAGGTGATGGGGTAATGATGGGAAAGGGGAAACAAAAGATATAATCTGTAGTATACTAGAAACTACTATATATTGGGGTACTGTAAATTTTTACGTACTTCACCTTCCTTTTTTGGATTTTTATGTACTTAGCCTCCAAGTTTTTATGTACTTAGCCACTCAAGTACGTAAATCGGTTCTGACGCTGTATATTTGTACTATAAAATTTTACGTACTTCCTATTTGGGGATTTTATGTACCTGCTGTATTTGATTTTTACGTACCTTGAGCGCTAAGAGGACCATACATGTTGTTGTTGTCACTTTTAAGATTTATTTTTTATGCCAACTATTACCACTCTACGCACTATAAGCATACCCTATCCACTTGCATAATAATCACACAAGTACATTTTTTTCTTTTGATTTTAAGAACGTCGTAGCACTCTTTGTATATTATTAAGTTTCAATGGAGGGCAAGGAAGAGCAAACTATATTTTAAGGAAAAGAAAAAAAGGTACATGGATTTAGCAGAAAGGGGAAGAAGCAAAAAAAAAAAGGGAGATTTATACTTGGGATATTATTTATATGATAAAGAGAAGTAGAATATGCTTATTTTCCTGTCTTTTGCAATAGGTATAATACTACTGGATCTTGTAATAGGCTAACAGAAATATAATAGCGGGTTAGCATCAGCTTGACGCTTTATCCCTGTATGGAGATTTATATAGCTCATTACCGCTCAAATTCTTTTTCTTCTTCTTCCGTAATAAACGGTTTGTCAAGATGATTATTGTGCTGTGCGAGTTTACGATATATGACGGAGTGCGTGTATGCTACCTTGCCATGGATTTTCTTGAGTTTTTTAGCGACACGCTTCGTATTATCGAACTCGTAAATGTTGTTGTCAGGCGCTCTGCATGTTGCTATATAGTGAAAACCAGTAGGTCGGGTACAGTAGATTCTGCCACATAGGTGATACTCTGCTTTCATTACACTTATATGCTCTGGATAATAGACCATGCTGGATTCGTTGGACGCGTATTTTTCACGCCACTCGTGATCTTTTCCTAGTATTCGATCGTGAGCGATGATGAAGCTGGCATAGCTGACAATGTTTTGCATATAAAGATTTCTGCTGCTGGTTTCAACACGAGCTTGTATAATCTTTTGTTGCAGTAATTTGTCAAAGCTGCTTTCGGTGGGATCTTCAAGGTCCTCCTCATCGAAATCCTTATCCGTCAAGTGGAAGATGGATGACCGGTTTCGAATCTTGTCTCCTTGAACATAGGCCTCAGCCATTCATGTTTTGGCGCTATTGTCCTTAGGAGTAGATATTTTGGTGGCCTGTGGTCTTGTCTTGAATTGTAGATAGGCACGTAAAATATCATTATTCTTAAGTATACATTGGAGCACGTCTGCTGGGTCTCCGAATACCCCTTTGCACTCGATATTTAACTTTGCACCGTGGTCCCAGATAAATTGGCGGAAGGACAAGACAGGACCTGTAAAGTCCTGCTGTCTGGACGCACTCCAAAGGTCTGATAGTAAATGTGCTCTTTCATCATTATCGATTTTCGGAGGTTCAGGAATGTAAGGCAGAATCACCCTTAACATTATTTGTAAAAAGCAGTCGATGAAGCAAGCATTATCAGCATTGGGAACAATAGCGATTGGATACTTGTTTAGCGAGCTCAAATGCGAAGAACGTTCACTAAAGGTATCAGGTATACATAAGATTTACATTAGGCTTTGAATAATTTCTCTCTCAATTTACGTACGTCATATTTTTCGTTGCATTTTTCTTCGCTCTATATTCTTGCTTCTTTTGCTGTTTGAACAACTCTCGGATATCAGATAGCTTTTTCGCGCGTTCTTCTCGAGCATTGGCCGCTTCTTTTCTTTTTCTGTCACAATCTTCAGCTGCTTCTTTTTGACTACTATAATCGTTTTTTTCGGTATCCTCTCGATATTCAGGTACAGCCAAAGAGTCTATATACATGTTTTAATTAGGTTTCAATTACTGTATTCTCAAACTCTTACAAACAACAAGCTTATTGTTTTACCAAGTGAAGTATCATTAGTTGTTTTTCTTGCTCTTTTGGTTGGCTCATTTTGATCTGAATTATTTTCTGTATAGCGCTTTCTGGTATTAGTGGTAGAACTTCTTGACAATAATTGCTTAAGTTTCTCTGGAGGACGACTGTCGCTTATGTTTTTCTTTTTAGGCGCTTTGAAAGGACTGCATATATAAAGCGTAGAATAAGCCAGATGCTAACTAGTTTTGATGCAATACACACCCTCACTACGCTAAGAAGAAACTTACGAAGGCGCAGATATCTTATAACGTATATTTTTGCCAGCAAGAACATGTTCCAAGTTACTCTCTTCATTTCGCATGTAGTTGAAAAGTTCAGGTAACGTTGAAAGAATCGGCTTGGATTGCTGAACGAAATGGTAGATATTACGATGGAATGATTCTACGCCGTTCGTTGTTCTTGTGGCATTGAGTAAAAGCTCTTCATGCATCGTCGTTTTCGAGCGAAAGATCATACTAGCAACGCCAGGTCGAAGCCACCAGTTTAGCCATTTTTAAGTATGCGGGAATTCTTTCTCCATTTGAGCGGTTACAACATCAAACATCTGTTCCACCGTCGTCTCATACATGACCCTGGTGTATTCCAAGAATATCCTTCGGCGTTCCACTGGTACAACATCACCCATTTTTTGTATATGTTCAACCGACTGTTTCCAGTGAAAATAGCAACCCTTTAAGTAAGTCTCCCCACTTTTGGCACCGGGAAAAATGTTGCTGAACGCGATAAAAAAGCCGGTTCTTTGCGCTTGGGAAAAGTCCATCATTATCCCACACATAGATGGTTCACCGTCGTCGTTTTTCTTTACATTCAAAACTTTGAACATTGTCGTGAAGAACGAAACGAAGTTTTTAGTGGTTAAACCACCAAGAACCGCTTGGAAAACTGGAACATACTTTTCCAGTTTTTCTTGATATATGACAGAGTTGCAGAGGTAATAGCCGTCGCCAAAGCAGGAGTAAGTGACATCCATTAGAATTGGTTGGCGGCTGTAGTCAACATCGTCCAGAATGTACGGCGAAGCGAAAGGAATGCAAAAACTGTCAGGGTGGAGGTCGAGTGGTGAACGAAGATAACCGGGATACTCGACATTAAGCTTCATTACTGAAGCAGTTACTGTTTCGATGCTGGGTATACCTTTAGCGTTGAAGCCATTGGCTGCAAGGATTTTGCAGCGGTGATACGCAACTTTACCAGCATGCTGTAAGTCGCTGTCGATCTCGCGCAGAGGTTGTGGTGGGTTCATTGGTCTTTGAGAGCTGGAGCCTATAACAAGAGCCATGGGTCTTTCCTGCGGGGATCGCAAAACTCTCTTAGCAAGCTTGGCGACGGAGCTCTTGCTGATATGAACGGCTTCATATCGACTGTGCGAATGCACACCACAATGTTCGACACTGCCCACACTGCCAACGAACTTGAAGTGGACACGAACCTTACAGGGAATATGTCGCAACTCCGTATCGCACTTGACACACTTCTGCAGCTTGATAAGTGCTTTGGTGCTGGCTGGCTTGACTGGAAGGTTCTTTCGTACGCAATCGTCTTTTACACATTGCACAGCACCGAGACAAACCTTCGTAATGCTAACACCGCTTTCAGTTTTCTTTTGATTTTGCTGATGTAGCTGCCAGCCGATGTCAGTGGGTCGCGCATAAGTTTGGTCCGTTTTACGAATTAACGTGACCTGCTCAATCTCATCGCCGTCGATCCATTTTGTAAATTCAGATTTCATATTGTAGGACATGGTACGTAAAGGTTGATGTACGTAAAAATTGGTGTCAGTGAGTTTGTATGACTAGTGAGTGTAAGTAGTCAAGGAACGCACTCAGAAAAAAGAGACCGGTTTTCCTGCCAGAGCGACTGCTTTTCCTGCAATCGCTGAAAATGGAAGTACGTAAAAATTCGCGTACCCCTCGTTTCAGTGGTAAGTTTTTTTTATAAAAAGATAATGACGAGTCTCTCTAAAACTCAGACATAAAATAAAATAAAATTGGTTGCTACATAACACACAGCCAACAAATGCTTCTTACACATTCACATATCTCAACAACGAAAGTCTTGCTCAATGAAAACCTTGATGTAATCAACTAATACTTTATATTTTTTTTAAAATAGTGCAGCTACTTAAAAGGGCTTTCCAATGCTATTTTTCGAAACTAATCTTGCTTTACCCTCTGGTAGATTTTGCTCCAATTTGTCTATATCATAGATCATTTTAGCTTAACGGCTTTTTATTCAATTTGGTTATATGATAATTCATTAATATTTTTTTAGTTTCATAGTTTTCTATTTAACAGGAATTCTCAAGTACTGACACACGATGCTTATAAACTAGTTGCAGCTCTTGGCGATATACTAATAGTTTTAGTTTTTTTTTATTTTTATAGATAGTAAGGATTTTATGGGTAATAAAGATTTTATAGTTTGTAGGATTATTTTCTAAAATTAAAACTATTTTATTTTATCATAAAAAAAATTGAATTTTTTTTAATATAAAAATAATAACAATGGATATTAATAAATTGATTACCGATGAAGTAAATTCTATACTTGTAATGCATTGGGCTTTTTTAAATTATAATTGGCCCATCATTAATAATAAGTATAAACATAGAACAGAAATAAAACATATCAAGTACATTGATATTATTAAAAAAAAATTATTAGAAAAATTAGGATATATTGCAGTCTTTTTCTTTTTGGTTGTATTATATACTAATAAAGAATATCCTGCTCCTTATTTTGAAGTAGAAAAAGGTTTATTTTTATTATACTATTTAGTATCTGGTATTTCAGGAAAAGATGATATTGATAAATTTATTCCTCAAAGTTCCTTTTTTAATTTTTATAAAAAATTTTGGATAGATGAAGAAAATTATAAAAGAATAAATAAAATAGTAAATGATGCATTGGATAACATATTTTCAAATATAAAATTAAGAATTTTATCTGCCCATAAATATAATCTAGAATTGTTTAAATATGTAATATTGATTATCGACGGTCATAATTCTAGAATAAATTATACCGATACAGAAATTAAACGTAGCAGATTATATAGTTATAAATTTAAGAAAAATGGATTAAGAACTCAATTTGTTAGTGATATGAATGATATGATTATTTATACTTCTAAAAGTGATTATTGTTCAGATAGCTCTGATGGTAGTATGTTCTTGAATATGAAATTATATAGAAAACTTAATAATAAAGATACTGTTGCAGTTGATGGTGGTTACACTTTATTTTTAAAACAGTTTGTAGATTTATCAGTAACTAAAGGTTATAATTTTACTGATGATAATTTTGTGTATCCTATTAGAAAAAATCCTGGTGAAAGCTTATCAATTACAGAAGAGCATTTTAACAAAACATTTGGAAGTTTCAGAAGTAAAATTGAAAACCAATTTTCAGCAATAGGTAATAAATTTCATAGATTTAATAATAACAAATCAGTTGTGAAAATGGATAATGTAAAGTTTTATAATTTACAATTTAAGGTTGCTTGTTTATTAAAGAATATACAGAAATTTTGTGAGTTATTTAATGTACCAACTATGCCACATCATAAGTTATGGGAAACTAAGAACTTTGATTTTCCTATTGAAAGAAAATTAATAGATATTGTTATCAGTAATGAAAAGCAAAATAAAAATAAATTAAATAAAATGCTTAAATTACAAAGTAGTTTCTTAACTATGGATATATCGGATACTCCTATGATAGATAATGATTATTCAGGTGATGAAATTAATAGTGATGCTAGTAATTCGAGTGATGATTATAAAAAAGGGAAAAAATATCAAAGAAAAGAAAAATTAAAGGTAAAGGAAAACAAAGAGGATATAAATCTTATGAAATTGAAGTAATTGTTACTCATAAAATGGAAAATGAAGTATATTACTTTTTAGTTAAATGGAAAGATTATTCAGAAAGTGAAGATACTTGGTTAACTATTGATAACTTTAATGAAAAGGCAATGCTAAAAGAATACATTGAAAATAATAATCTTGGTTTACTTTAAGTTAATTTCTCTAATATAACTTTATTACCATTTTTAAAAATGCCATACTCTACCTTATATATTTAAAGAGGATAAACTCCTTTATTTTTTTAGTTTTATAATGAATAAAGTCAGCTGCTATTATTATTGCATTATCTTGTTTATAATATCTACAAAGTTAATTATTCCACTATTACAAACATAAATTTTTTTCATTTTTCTTTTTTAACTTTTTTAATAACTTTTTTATGCCCATATTTGCTTACAATAACATAGGGTAATTCTGGTTTTTTATTTTTTTTTTGATCTTTTTTATTTCTTTTTTTTATTATATGCTTTTTACTATGTTTACAGCAAAGATAATCAGGCTTTTGACCTTCTATATTAGTATTGATTTTTTTGTGACACATATATCCTTTTTTATTTCCACGTTTATGTACATATGTACATACATTATTACTACTATTCAAATACTAAAAGTGATTACTTTCAACATCTTGTATTTTTTTTTTATTTTTTTTTCCATCATTTTTTTTTATTTTCTTTTGTTGAAACAAGACATTCATTTTCAAGATATTCTTCCATTACTTCTTCCATTATATTTTTAATAGATTTAGTTAGGTTATCTGTACCCATAAGTATCTCAGAATTTAATAAGACCATTTTAGTTTTTGCTTATAGATTGGATAGTTATTATTTTTATATTAAGAAAAATTCAATTTTTTTTATATGTAAAAATTAATTATATGCACGATTTGAAACTCCGAAATACTTGAAACTTTATAAGTTTCAATAAAAATTATAAGTTATCAAAATTTTATTGCTACGGATATACCCGCCTTGCGACAACCTAGATAGCAATCCTTAATGGCCCTTGTCTAGTCCTCGCTTGTGGTTCTAAGAACTTCAGCTTTGATTATCTGCCTACGCACCAGATTTTCACCTGTTGTTTGCACACTAGTTCGACATGTATTGTTTATTTCAAACTAGTAATGACTTCTATATATTATATATTTGCAGCAGTAATAATAACAGCAGTGATTTTCTATGGATGATATTTTATTCGATAGGAATCCTCAAGTACTGACACATGATGCTTATACACTAGTTGCAGCTCTTGCGACAACCTAGATGGCAATCCTTAATGGCCCCTGTCTAGTCCTCGCTTGTGGTTCTAAGAACTTCAGCTTTGATTATCTGCCTACGCACCAGATTTTCACCTGTTGTTCACACACTAGTTCGACATGTATTGTTTATTTCAAACTGATAATGACTTCTATATATTATATATTTGCAGCAGTAATAATAACAGCGGTGATTTTCTAACTGGATGATATTTTATTCAATAGGAATCCTCAGTTCATGGAATGGCTATTTCCATTTTGATCCTGCATTTTTATTCTATTTTGTGGAGGTGGTTAATCTTTTAAAATGGTTTCTCCAGAAATTTGTCACATGAAAATGATATTACATGCCAGTCCTGTTACATTGACAATTTGATATATTTTATAATAAAGATATACAAGCACTTTTATCTATTTAATTTGTGAAAGCACCCTCGCAATGATTTATTATGAGTTTTTATCAGACTGGTCTTTGATTCATATAGAGCCAGTAGTAGTTTTCGTCAACATTTTATAGCTGGCTTGAGGATAGATAGAATCATTACACCTTATGAGATTTGTTACTTTATGGGTATTTCAGAAGTCAAGATGTGATATACATATATTTACTCATGTGCTTAAGCAACAGACATTGAAGACGGTAACTATTTAGTTTAGGAAGCTGACGTACTCACATTGAATGATAGCATCCTGGGAACCAAAGTGGAAACAAAGTATGGCAAAGCTAGCATTCAGCTAGTACAGTATAAATAGTACGTACAAGGTCTAAAAACACTGATGGTTTTCAAGGACATAACAAGCTATGCAAAGGTACAGCATTAGAGTTTTCTCTGGTCGTGATAAATCTCGTACGTTATCCACAAAAGTTTGTAATTAGCTAATAACTAGAAAATAAGAAATTCTGAAGCAACAATGTAGCCTACACAAAGAATACTACTACTTCTATTGTTTGTTGCTTCAGCAGTAGGCACAATATAGGCACTACACCATTCTTAAAAAAAGTTGCGAAATATATAAACTAAATCATTGTCAATTATATATAGCAAAGCACGCCACACGCATACATAATTATTTTATCACTAAGTATACTACATTCCTTAGCATTTGATAAACCATGATGTCGAATGAGTTGTTTTTTACTAATATAAGTGTCAATTTCAATTAATGGACGCTATTGATAACTGGGTATTATTTAATAGCATGCTAACAAATAGATATATGTATAACTTACAATAAAAAGGCATTCAATGCTAGCTTGTTCTTTTTCCATTTTCTACATAAAAGCACATCTTCCCTCTGGACGCAAAGGTTACATCCGAGTGTCCTCTTTATTACATTTTCCTTTGTCTAGTGGCGGTGTTTGCTTGTGCATTGGTGATGATGTCAAATAACACTAACTGTTTGCCAATCTGGATTGACTTTGGCTTCTTGAATAAGCTCTTGACTACTGCTTGAGACCCTCATGGTTTCTACCCAGTGTATCAGCAAATTGTTGTGTCATTATTGACTGTCATAGGTCATGATTATTTTGTCTTACTTTCGCTTCACCTCCGTCATTGCCTTCAACCACCGCCATATTCCTTTGGTTTAATTTTCTATTTACTATCCTGGGGTTCGAGTGAACTCGACTGTTTTTCTTTTTTGGAATCACTGAAGCGATGCGTAACTATATACACTTATGGTGTTTTTTTACTGTTGATGTTTTATATTTGAAATGTTGAAGAGAAGTTGAATGAGTATCATCGAGGCTTATAGCCAGCATGTGAGTATTTTTATTTATTTGATATTAAAGAGTGTTATTGTTTATGCAAAGGGGGTTTCAGGTAAATATTTTACAATGGTTTCATCTTCAAACTAATGATTATTGTTCATGTAGAGTGTAGTAAAGTAGGTATATCATATGTCACCACTAAGTTGTTTTTGGTTTTTTGTTATCCGCGAAAAAGATCCTTGGGCTTTCTTTATCGACCTGATCATTCATGATAGTTTCAAATCGTCTTTTTGTTGTCTTATCCATTAAACCAACGATGTCATTGGCAGCATCAATGATATATTTCTATATAACAATAAACTTTATATTAGCATTATCTCTAATAGCTAAGGAGTTTATACATATGTAGTATAAAAGCAGTAACAACAACTTACCGAATAGTTTAGTAAAAGGTACATACTTTCTTGCTCAATAAACTCATCAAAGTCTGCTAAAGAAGTGGGCAACACAACATAGTTATTCGAAACCTTCGATGCAACAAATACATCTTCAGTTCTGGCAACACTGTATAAATAAGCACGAAGGCCTTGAAAAAAAATTGGGTGAATACATGAATTATGGTGTTATAACATGCTTTTTCTCACACTTTTCCACTCCTTCCTTACCAATTACGTCCATTATCAATGGATTGGTGCTACAATTAACATTGATATCAACCCCAAATCGTTTTCGTAATTGAGACAAGATACAGATGTTGGTGACGATATTCTTGGATTGTTGCTCAGTTACAAGTTCGAATTCTGCATCACCTTTTTTGTGCTCGTTAGCAGAGAGTTCAACGCATCCTTCTTCGCCGTCTTCAGATTGGGTCATAACAAGCATGTCGATCCTTCGACCAAATGATGAAGTTGAAAGGGCGTCGAGCATTTCATTTTTTGTTGCTTGTGAGACTGCTTCACCCCTGAAAAATACAGTTGCATTAGCTCGTTTACGTTTATTATTTCCTTTACATTTATCATCACAAGACGAATGATAAATTGCCAACGTGAAAATGATTCATTTTCTGTCATTACATATTTGTGCTTGCTGTCAAAGTCAAACTGTATCATGTTGAATCTAAAAAATGACGCATTTATAAATAAAATGGGTTGACAGAGATACCATTTTTGATTGTAGGGAAACATATTAAATTCACTTACAGGTAGGTAAAAATATCAAATATTTTTACCTCGATTGAATCAATTGTGTAACCATCTTTATCCAGCAATTCCAATTTTTTCTTATATATGTATTTACGTGCACCAACAATACCTCCTTCATCATAACTCTATAAATATATGCATATTATATCAATATATATATTATAATAAGGGTCATTCTTCATATCTACTTTATCCTCGATTTGCTTACATTTAAAACAGTTTTCACAATAGCATCTGCATGATCATCGAAACACCGTTTATTCATATCTTTTTTCATCATTATATTGGCCAAATCTTGGAACTTTCCTTCACCAAGGTAATCCTTGATATTAATCGTTTCATTTGTTGTAATGGTATTAATGATACCAGATAAGCCAAGCCTACAATAACACATGTTTAACAATACAATCTTTATATTTAGATAATAAAAATCAAAATCAAAATAAACCACTTACTGTAAAGGTCCATCGACAGTTTTGACATTTTTATCGCACTTTATCATCTCAACACAATACTTGAAGAGGTGTTTTTGGTGGCCATTGGGAGAAAGAGTATCAGGAATAGAGGGAAGTACTGGTTTCAAGCCATTTTTCTAATTAATAACAAAACCAAATGTTAAAATGAGCTTGTTTCGAGTGAAGTATAACTAATAAGCGACTGTAACAGTACCTTTTGTTCTAAGTACTTTTTAACTGGGTCTAAAAGTGAGGTATCAATAACTTTTGAAACCTTTACATAATAACAATAATAGTAATAGTTAATATAAATTAAGGTGGTTATATTATTTAGAATTCGATTAAAAATAAATACTAGGGGTCCTCACGGTTCGGTTCGGTTCGGTTCTTGAAGGGAACCGAACCGAACCGTGAAAAGGATGGAACCGAACCGAACCGAACCGTGAGGAACCGTGGAACCGTAGAACCGAACCGAGCTTATATATAAAAAGAGGAAAATTCAGTTCTTACATGAAAAGCTGATATAGCATCAAATTTTATAATAAATTTTAATGATTAGAGTAAAAGAAAGTTTATTTCAACATGTTGCAGTGAACGATGAGTCAAAATGAGCAGGGGGAACAATGTAAACGAGAAGCAATCAGCTATTAAAGAATCGCAGCATAAAGCCAAGAAAATAACTTATTGAGCTTAAAATATTTGAAGCATGATATCGTTTATTAGTAAAGTATGATATTAACTAGGTATGAATTGGGGGAAAACTATGCAGTAATAGACATGCTAATATGTGTCTGTGAATGTCTGCGCCGTGTATAATATCTAATGATAAAGGAAAGCAAAAACAAAAAAGAAAAGATTTCCAGGAATCTGAAATGCCCAATCTCAGACGAGATGCACAGACTTGATCTGAGCAAAAGAATGGGTTGAGGTACAAGTTGTACGTCATGAGCAAAGGCCGCCGTTAAACAAGCAGTACGTCACGAACAAAAACGCTAATCCTACAAGCAATACGTCATGAACAAAGATGTCGTGAGCGGCAAAGTGAAGTGTAAAGTTGTCTAAAGTTCCGTTTCGATCGGAGATGGTGTACTGACAAAGCAGTATCCTTTTTACTTTGGAGTTTTACTTACATACCACGGTACCGGTAGAAAGCAAGTTATATGCCAATTCACATGTAAAACATATATAGTGTTTTCTTCAAACTTAAAAGATGGGATATAATCCGAGGGTGAAATAGAAGCTCATGTTTAGCTTTGAGGAGAGGTTAGCAAAGATCTGTTTATGATAACTTGACGTCGGAAGAAGTGTGAAAATGATGTCATATTATTCAATCTGTCGGAAGATGTATGCTTAAGTAAGAGAAAGCGATGATATCATTTTCCCTATTTGGTTACCTGCCAGCGGTTATTGTATAGAAGCATTCATAGTTACAGCATTAACCCACCATGATGAGGCGAACTTACATGATATCATCGTTTTGCTAGATTGGAAGAAGTGTATTGTATATAGTAAAACGTGATGATATCATGGACCGGGACTCATTATCCAGAAACACACTAACATCGATGAGATCATCATAGTAATGATTAGCAGCAATCGGTTCATTGCTTTGGATAAAATTGAATGATATATAAAGGGCTTTATTCTTCGCATCATCGATCCGTGTATCCTCTATATACTTGACACACTACTCTACCTCAAACACTTTACCGTTTTCATTCATCTCAAAATATGCCTTACCAAGCTGGTTCTTCTTCCCGCGATGCCCGTGCTGCTCTTCATGATGGGGTAATTATCAATATGTGATCGGTCGTGCCGTGTTGTGTCGTGTTGTGTCGTGTTGTGTTGTATCGTGTTGTATCGCAAATCCCTAACATATATCGATGCTTGTAATATTTTACGTAAGGCGCAAGAAAATCCTGTCCGAGCTCCCACATTACCTCGTATGCCTTCTGCCATGTCGGTGGATAGTGTATCGCTTGCTGCTGAAGAGACGGATGGAGAGGTCATCACTGATTCCGAATCTGTTTCTATGTCCATCGTATGATCGCAAGGCAGTGCTGCTACCAAGGAGAAAAGCTGGGTGATTAAGAACAAGTTAGGCGAGCGCTATGATGACGACAATGGCAAGCCGCGCATCCGATGTCTAGTTGCAAACTGTGGCAAGACGTTTGCATCCGAACAAGGCTCCACGTCCGCCGTTATCAAGCACTTGAACAAGGTCCATAATGTCACCAAGGAACATGGTCCACATACCGGAACTAAGCGTGCTGGCGGTCCACTTGACTCGTTTGTACAATCGAAACGTGCCCGTGTATTCACTGCCGAACTATTCATCAAGGCGTTCATCAAATTTATCGTAAAAAGCAAGTTACCATTTACCATGGCTGAAAATGATGAATTGCAAGAACTTTTGGAAATCGCGCAATCTGCAAGTGACATGGAAATGGTGAAGCTTCCAAGTGCCGATACTATCACAAGAAAGGTAAAGAAATTAGTGATTTTGTTTTTTTTAGTTATTATGCACCATCAAAAAGAAAATAATTCTAATATCCTATTCCTTTGAATTTACCTTTAGACCATTGAAGAGTACAAGCTTTACAAAGCCAAGTTACGTTCCTTATTGGATACGCTTCCTACGATTTCGTGCACACTCGACGGTTGGACCAGCCCATACAACGATGCCTTCTTAACTGTTACTGGGCACTGGATCTCGCAAACGACCTGGAAAATGCATGAAGTTATCCTTGGCTTTGTGCCACTGAACGGACCCCACTCGGCGGAAAACTTGGCCAATGCTTTCATAGGTGTCTTGCACGACTTCGGCTTAGGACCCAAGTTGTTCACGATTACGACGGATAATGCCTCCAACATGAAAAAAATGGCCCGTGTCATCGAAGAGCACGGTAACGAGAACGGATGGTAAGCACTCAAAATTAATATAGCAATGCATAATGTATAGTATAGCCTATTTGTAAACTTACATAATACCATTATAACTGTAGGTCGTTCCGCGCTGATAAGCATCATATACCCTGCCTTGGTCATGTGCTTAACTTGGCTGTCCAGGATATTCTGCGTTGGGGATTGGAACCAGTAACGAACGATGTTTGTGCCGATACCGACGCCGATGATCTAGAAGGAGGGAACGATGGCGATGTCGATGCAACATACGAGGTCAATGCTGAGCAAGTTTTGGAAGAGCAAGAAATAGAAGCGATGAGCGTACTTATCAAGCTGCGCAAAGGAATTACGAAGATTCGGTAAGTTATCACTATCATCAAACAGCCGTTTTTACTACTTGAGATATTCATTAGCACTATGTACTCATCACGCTGTTTAATGACATAGTTCCTCACCCCAACGCTCGGAGAAGTTCATGCGCCAGCAGCAAACTGATTGTTGTACCCAGCTCATCCTCCAACTCGATGTGCGCACCCGCTGGAACTCCACGTACGAGATGCTTGCCCGTGCTTCCTTACTGCGCGAACCGTACAATGTGATGTGCACCAATAGCACCAACGACGAGCTCCTCCCATACATCCTAACGCAAGAAGAGTGGAAGCGAGTTGACCAGCTGAGGGAAATGCTGAAGCCATTTTACGAGTCCACCTTGGACCTCTCAGCAAGTACGAGCCACGCCACCATCAATGTCGCCATTGCACACTACAACAAGCTCATGGATTGCCTGGAAGACGTCGATAACAAGGAATATCCACGAGAATTGAAACGAGCAGCAAGACGCGGCCTGGAAAAGCTTCGAAAATACTACTGCAAGGTCGATGACACGGACGTATACGCCATTGCAACGGCGATGGATCCTCGGATGAAGTTTTCTTGGTGGCGCCAAGCTGGATGGGAACCCGAGTACCAAGTCATGAGCCAAAATATGGTGCACCGAGCCTGGGCTGCATTCCCCAAGGACGTTGCTATGCGGCCGGAGGTGAATGAAGAGGTGCAAAAGCTGTACGATCTATACAGAACATCAACGAGCGGCGACGATTTGGACGATTACTTGGAAGAACGGTTAAGAAGACCAGAACCAAGCCAGGAGGGGCAAGGATCGCCGGTCTTGAACTACTGGAAATCCCAGCCACAGTGGCCCAATTTGGCAGCAATGGCAGCGCAGTACTTGGCGGTTCCGGTCACTTCAACACCCTCAGAACGGTGCTTTTCACGAAGTCGACTGTTACTGCCGTACACGCGCAATCGCCTCCAACCGGAAAGCATCGAACGTTTGATGCTTCTAGATTCATGGTGCTCCTTTGACTTCGACGATTAGTCCTTCCTTTTTTTTCTGTGCTCCTTTTTCTTCTGCCCTTTTTCCCCCTCTTTGCTTTCTCTTTCTTTGCTTCCTCTTTCTGCTTTCCCACTACCTTTTTTTCCTGCCCCTTCCTCCCCTCCGCTCTTCATTTTCTACTTCCTTTTTGTTCCCTTCGTCTTGATATACCGTCCGTGCAACAAAATAAAGATCAGACCTTTATATACAGGGTCTCTTTGGGAAACAAAATATATCTTCGACGTTTTGTGAATGGTCTTTTGCTTCTTTAGTTTAAATTCTAGTCACTCATTGTGTTAATCATGAAATCATTAAAAGCACCATGTAGTCTTCGGTTCTTCGGTTCTACGTAGAAAATGTCGGTTCGGTTCCGGTTCGGTTCTTGATAGGAACCGAACCGTGTTTTTACGGTTCCGGTTCGGTTCGGTTCCGGTTCCACGGTTCTGATGAGGATCCCTAATAAATACCTCTAAAGGTTGACGAGTAACACTGCTACTAGTAGAATTCAAATGGGTTGCTTTTTCATCAGAGAATTTGCTCCAATCAATCGAATCCACATCGCTAGAAAAAGAAGTCTGTAACGAAAAAAATGGTCAGATATTCGATTTATTTAAATTCTCTTTTGAAGAAAAATTATAAATTAACTTACGCCTTTCATATAATTGTTTGCAGCTGTGTTGAATACTCTTTTGAATATTTTACGAAGATCTTGAGGATTCATAACGTTGGGTTGGTATTCGAAAACAAGTGGTTTATGTGATTTGATAAATAAAGAAAGTTTAGCAAATCGCGTTGAGCATTTGCACCCTTCCAAATAAGTTTGAAGTTTATCTGTAAAAGAAAGTAACAATCAGTTTTTTTTATTTACAAGCCACATTATATGTAACAAAACAACTTACTTTCGAATTCTGTTGGCATGACAACTAGATGCAAATGGCTTGAATGGAAGAGATGAAAGGAAGAAGTAGGGCTGCGGCGCAAAAGGTCAGTTTACTTATTTCATTTGATATAGTAGCCCATTTTTTTCTTTTTTTTTGTATCCCACTTTATGTCAATATTGTAGTTCACATAATCTTGTGATGTTTCCTCTTGCTCCAAAAAGAGAGCGTTTCATTTTTTTGTTTCTTTTTTTTTTCTCTTCTTCAAAAACACATTATTTTACTTTGACCCAACAAGTAAGCTTATAATGAGATATGCCTTACAACTTTATCATTTTTAGTACATATATTAATATCAATAAAAAGACTATATTCTCAGTGTTTATTGCGTCAAATAATTTTTTGTATATCACATTGTTTATCGGAGCACATTGAAATAGATATATATTTTATTAAGACGAAATTGAATGAACACCCGCTGATTTCAGCTTATTGCTCTCGTCAGTTCACAAAGCTCGGTTCTGAAAAACCTGCTGGGTCGCAGGAAAAAGGTGATGGGGTAATGATGGGAAAGGGGAAACAAAAGATATAATCTGTAGTATACTAGAAACTACTATATATTAGGATTATGCAGAGGAAAGGAAACTATACTATACTATATGGAGGGGGTAAGATAAAAAGAAAAAGGAAAGGGTGGAACCACTTGGTTTTTTTATTTATTTTATGTGAGTTCTGTGAGTTGGGTTGGTGGTTTCATCCATTGAAGGAGAGGTTGTCCAAAGTCGTTTATTACTAGCAGTGGCGTTGTATATTGGTTGGGTCTGCAGGTACGATGTAATTTATGTATTATGAAACATAATTTTGGCCAGATAATTTTCCAGTATAATTGTTTGTTGGATGATGTGGGTGGTGATTTTGGTAGTAACTTGAGGATAAAGGATATCGGATCGGCAGTATTATTGGAGAAAGATAGAAAAGAGTGAACATTGTGGCACTGGAGTAGGTGTTGTTTTGATAATCTTGTTAATTGGTTGCAGTTGGGACATGGTTGGGTTTGATAGTTGGTAATCCATCCTAGTCGGTAATAAATGCATAGGAAGCGTTCTTGTGGTGTCATTGGTAACCATAGAATTGGGGTCGATTCCTATTTTTGTTCGACATTCTTGTAACAATTTACTATTTTTTTGTTGCCTTTTTTGTTGGTGTCTTGTTTGAATATGTTTCTTTATTATGTTTTTGAGTTCTTTTGGGGTGATAATAGTTGTTATATTGTTTACTGTTGTGGGTGGTGATGTTGTTGTTGTAGCTTTTTTCCAGATTATATTGGTGCGGTGAAAGTGTGTCCATGCGCGAGTTCCTTTATTTTGTTGTAGTGATGGGAGTAAAGTTGGAAATAAAGCATCATTTTCTTCAGTCATGTATTGTGTACGCATTATGAATTTAGCTTGAAGGGTGTTACACGATCTTTCATGTACTCCAAGTTACTGATGTGGTGTATGATGGCCATAGGTTGATTTGTCTTGGTACCAAAAATCTTCCGCAGACATGAATTTTGTGTCTCTTGTAATTGTTGGTATTCGCTTTTTGTAAAGATGGTAACCGCTAAACCATATTCCAATTTTGGTCGTAGGAATTGACGGTATAGACGTGTGCATAATAGTTTTCCAAGACATCGTGCTCTGACACCAATGGATGCCATTATGTTCATTGCTGATATTGTTGTTTGGGTGTTGTGTTCTATTAGTGCCGATCGATCAATGTAGCCATGTTGATTCATTGGTACGCCTAGATATTTAAATATTGTTGTACGTTGGATGTCGATGTTGTATAGTTGTGGTGTATATTGTGATGGAGGCTTGTTTACTGACATATACATGCATTTGGTAGGATTCCACTGGTACCCAAGTTGTTTGCTGTGGTCTTCGCATGCTTTGAGTAATAATGGCATTGTATCCCAAGTACCGATTAGTGCCACATCGTCCGCATATAGTGGTTTTTCGGCCAACTGTTGTATCAAGGGAGTTATATATTGTGTTGTTGAGTAGTGATGCGTATTCTTCTATAGTATCATCAGTAGTTATTATTTGGTTGTTGATATGCTGTTCAATCTTTTGTTGTAGTGGTTTAATATTGGTGGAAATGGTCTTGATATAAAGTGTACGTATATCAGGATCTTTTAATTTTTGTAAGCGCCGCATCGGTCTGGATGTTGTATTCATTGAAGGTATAATATCAGTATATGTGAGTTGGAGTGCTTTGTGGTCGGATGAAAGTGAAGTGTCATCATAAATCGTCATTGATGAGCTGTTTAGCGTGATTGTGCCAAAAAAGAGGTCCACTATGCTGGAGCCACGAGGGTTGAGAGTTTTTGCTTTGCCATATTTATCGGAGTACAGTGGCTCCAGTGCCAAAGTTCGTATTTGTAATTTCCAATGTTCGTTTTTGTGCTAGTTGAAAGTTCGTTTTTGTAGTTTCCAAAGTTCGTTTGAAAGAATCTTGTATTTTTCAATACTGTTTATCTTTAATAAGACAACATGATATGAATAAACGTATAGTTTTATATTAAGTGTATATGAATTGAAAATAATTGTATACTATCTGAGACAGCTTTTAAAATGGGTGTAATAAAAAGTTTATTTTAAAAGGATTCTTTTTGAAGGCACTTCGAAAAATTATTGATAGAGTGTTGAGTGATATTATACAAAGACTTCCTACTAATACTTTCACTACCATCTGCAATTCTAGTCTTCAAATCCTCTGTTTCTTCAAAATGACTACGTTTAACAGCGCGTTTAAGGATTGACCAGAAGTTTTCGATAGGGTTAAGCTCTGGAGAATATGGAGGGAGATATACAGCCGTATAGCCTCTTGTTTCAATCCGTGTTGTTATATCATTTGAAGTATGAATTGGTGCGTTGTCCATCACAATATAATAATTGTTCATTTCAGGAAACTTGTCCATTTCATCCAATATTTTAGAAATGAACTTCATATAGTGGCCGGTAACAGATCCTCTGGGCGTCTTTTTTACTGAAGGCTGTTTTCTCTTCTTACCGCCATGGACCTTCAATTTTTTTGATTTCATCGGCTCTCTGATTTCAATTGCTAGGACGTCATTTGCAGTTATGGCACCTAGAATGGTATGGGATACAGCGCGTGTGGTTGGTGTTTCAACAATTGCTGGTGTGCCACGTAATGAGCGAGCACTAGGACTTCTCATGTTGATGTTGAAGCCTGATTCATCAACAAAAACACAATTTTGTAGATAGTTCATATCCGTTTCGCTCCATTTCTTTACCCAATCATATCGCTTGTTAAGGTTATCAGGACTATTTCTTGCTAAAGGATGCAGGGTCGCTCTCTTCACTGTCATATTGCACTCGTAAAGGATGAAATTACCAACAGATGTCGTCTTTAAACTGAAACTCTCAAATGCTTCTGTTAAACTATCCACCGCGTCTTATCTTGTTGCTTGGGGATATTCATCAAAAAATTCAATGAGATGCTGCTTGTGTTCGTGCTGAAGCTGTGATTGTTTTCGATTAGCCTTATTAGCCTGTTTTTCATAAATATTCCAATCAGGATCTTCTTTGAGACGTTTCGCCCACTTCTGAGCAGTACGAATTTCAACTTGTGCTTTTCGGGCAGAAGGCGCAGCTTTCCAGAGTTTGATTCTATTGAAATACCAAAAAACAGCTTTATGTTTGTCGGTATAAACATTATATTTTCTACCTTTCGCTGTTTCTGTTGCCAATTCTTGTGATGCCTCCTCCATTCGTGCATCAAGATCTTCCCTAGGCTCGGTGTGGAATTGTTCCTGAAAAGATCGGTATTGTGCCAAGGTCATCAAAGTTGCAAGGTTATAAGGATCGATCTCTTCCTCAATGTCCATTGCTTCATTTCCTTGCTCATCAATTATGTTGCCTTGGCCATCTTCATAAAAGAAATGAGTGTTCATTTGTGTGATTAATTAAAAAAAGGCTGAAAAACGAAAAAAAAAACAAAAATTGGAGTAGTGCAAAAGCGAACTTTGGAAACTGCAAAAACGAACTTTGAACCAGCACATAAATGAACATTGGAAATTACAAATACGAAAATTGGGTGGAGAACAAAGCGAATTTTGCTTTTAGATTTACGAACTTTGGCACTGGAGCCACTGTACTGTAGGTCGTGCCATATGCGGAAAGGCTTCATATAAGTTTCGATGATTATCAGACATGTTGATAATAAGTCCACCGAAGCCTCTGATAATAATTACACCGTATTACTATCACTAAACCATTGATGTGAAAGAATGTGCGCAATTTATAGTTGGTAAACTAGACAAGAGACACTTGTACAATGAACGGCCATAATCCGATATGCGCCGACGACATTCATGCATAGGTTTACGTAACTCCTAGCACCTAAAGAAACTTGTAGCCGGCGACGGCGATTATGGTTCTTATAAACTACCATTGTTTACAAAGAAAAAGGCGGCTGTTAAAGGTATCAAGACCGCCACCTTGTAACAAATTATATTATCAACAAAGACAAAAAATAAATCTGGAAGTGGTAGGTGGAAAGGAGGCAATTGCGCGTAAAAGCCGATAGTGTCAGGAACGCGATCCAATAAGAAGTGTAAAAAGAAAAAGCTTATCCCCAGGAAGACCGGTATCACGCGTCATTTTTATTCTCGTGTGCTGTGTGACAAACAACCGGTTCTCTGCTGCAGTTTATCAACAGCTTTTCTTTGACACCAGCTGGCGATTTCTGTGTGACATAAACTTTGCGGCATGAAAGATTGTGCGCAGTATATTTTGATCGCCTGTGGTTTTGTATAAAGCGGTTCTGTAACTGGAAAAAAGGTGCTCTTACAGACACTCAACGTGGGTGGCAGTACGCAATTCGCGCATTGTGTACAACAATCTTTGCAGCTGATCGAGTCGCGGTGTCAGCGAAAGTGTATATTATTTTATCTTTGTTGCACATATAAAGTATTTTTTACAACGAACAATGTCAAAGGCAATGTCAAAGTTAACTTTATTGCAATCGGAATTGTACACTTTAGGGAAACACAAATCTCAAACAATTGCGGATGGTGAATGGTGGAATGAATGGACAGGTACGACCTGAAGGGTAGCAAGCTCTTTATGCCCTCTCTTTGTGTATAAAGCGGGTCCGTCACTCGAAAAAAGGTGCTCTTGTTGCCGTGTGAGTATTATTCTTTCTTTGCTGCACATATATAAAGTAGTTTTTATAACGAACAATGTCAAAGTTAACATTACTGAATCTAGCATTGCAAACGACAACAGAAGTCTCAAGTCATTGCGGTTGGTGAATGGCAGAAGGAAGAGAAGGGTACAGCCTGAAAGCGTGGGAAGCAAGCTTTTGACAGAAGCCCGTCACCATGATCTTTATTACTACTAATTCATATAACTTTCTGTTTTTTTATATACATAGTTGATCAGTTCTTGGCTGTTTTGACGGTTGTACAGCCACTTTCCAAACACACAACATGCTGCGTTGTAGACTTTGGGCTCTATGCTAACTTCTCATACGGCTCTCTGTTTAAAATACCATAGAGCTCTATGCTAAGCGCACATACAAGACACAATGGCTTTCGCGACTAGGGTTACACCAGAGGGTTCTCATTTGTTTTGATGTTGTATTGCACGACAATTCTTATTGCCATTGATTGCTACGATTCTCTTTTCTTTAATAACCATAGTTGGCGATCACGAAACAGCCGAGACCAGTCCTTCAAGGTGATATATATTGGTTTGGATAACATTCTTAAAGGCATACGTGAGGGGAGAAATATAATTGTTATTGCCATTGATTGTTACGATTCTCTTTTCTTTAATATCCATAGTAGGCGATCACGAAAAAGCCGAGACACGTCCTTCAAGGTGATATATAGTGGTTTGGATAACATTCTTAAAGGCATACGTGAGGGGGAGGGGGTAGCAACAATATTATTATTGGTACTTGATATGACCTTTTATTTATAGTTGACAATGAAGATACGGCCGCTGCCAATTTCATCAGCGCAATTTATAACGGTTTGACATTCTCTTTTATGAAAGATGATTATTATAAGTGAAGCCTACCCAGCAATACTATTGATATTCAAATATGACCTTCTTCTCTATATAGTTCACGATCAAGCAATGACCGCTCACAGTTTCATCAGCGCAATTTATAACGGTTTGACATTCTCTTTTATGAAAGATGATTATTATAAGTGAAGCGTACCCAGCAACAGTATTACTATTGATATTCGATATGACCTTCTTCTCTATATAGTTCACGATCAAGCAATGACCGCTCACAGTTTCATCAGCGCAATTTATAACGGTTTGACATTCTCTTTTATGAAACGTGGGGATCGTGATGGATTTTTTATGAGTGAAGCATACCCAGCAACATTATTACTATTGATACTCGATATGAACTTCTTTTCTTTAATGTATATAGGTGACGATGACGTAATCAGCCGGCGATTACGTCCTCAAAGTGACATATAGTGGTTTGGATAACATTTTCAATATACGGTCGGGGGAGGGGGGTGCATCATAATTCTTATTACTATTGATTGCTATTACTCTTAGTCACTGATGGTAACCTGTGTTTTTATACACATAGTTCATCAGCGAAAACTGGATATCCATACACGGTGCATCCACGATTGCTCGATCTCCCAATACTCTTCCTATTTGACCCAACTGCTGACTAACATCATATACAATCCACTTACACTGGTGACGGATAAAGGCCTAAACAAACGGATCCGATCATAGTTGCTACATTGATATCGTATTTGTGTGGATTATTGTTGCAAGGTAAAGACACAAAGGCTGGATGCTGTGATGGCCGATCCATAAGGTACGGTTGGTCATTGTGTAAGAAACTAGAAGTTTACTTAGCTTCTATCCAATGATGTATTAACGTCCATCCCACAATAGCATCCCATCCTTTTGGTTCGCTGGCTACAATATCGTTTCGTATTGGTGCAAAAGGGCTAACTAATCGTATGTGTATGTGCGTATGTGTATGTGCGTATGTGTATGTGCTGTACAATCTATGGATCGTGTATGTATAACGAATCGTGTTTGTGACGTGTGGTGTAGGGTATAACATAAACGCGGTGCAGAACGTAAAGAATTGAAAAAGCAAAAATACGTGCTAACTTCATATACCACATATTTTGTTCCCTTGCATAGCTTGTTAGTTTTCCATCCATAAGACAAGTGTCAGCAGTACTTGTGGATACTTAATACAATGGGTGGGCGGTAAGGACGAGTTGAGAGCAGGCAAGAACAGTGTTAAATATTCTTGCTGCACTCTACAAAGAATTAACGAACGAAAAAGACCCTCACCCTGACCTCTTCCTTTTCCATCAACTAATGAGTCTTGATTTCTGTAATTAATTGAGTTCAAATGATCCAGCAACGATGTCGCAGCCAGAAATGCGCCCACAATGTGCTTTTTGAAACACAAACAAGAGCAAGCGTGTGGTAGTTGCTTTACCGCGTTCTATAAAAGCAAGGAGGAAAACTTTTGCAATTCGTAGCAAGTCAATCTAGCAAATCGTTCGAGTAAAATGGGTTGTGTGCCAATGCCAACAATGCTGCTTCGATTAATCCCTTGAAAATGAGTGTGTCGCAACAATGAATACGTTCTATAAATCATTAAGAAAGTAACCGTCGTGTTTGTTGCTATTACCGCGTTATACAGAATTAAATAGAAAAAAAGCACTTTTCCAACATTTTCGCCCCTCCATTTAAAATCGTTACCTTTTGATTTAGATCAACATGCTGGCATTTTCATGAGGATCTGCAACTGAAAACGGTTTCTTTGTTGCAAACGTTTTTAAAGGAACACAGACACTTGGGTAAAATCCTCTCGTCTCAAATGCCCCTCTGCTCCCAGCACAATGTCTGTGGTGGCTGACTTTGAAATTCCAATAGAAAATGGGTGGGGGGATTACCAACTCGGAATTGGCAGACAGCGGGGCATCACGAGTAGCTGATATAACTTTCTTTTTCAATATACATAGATGATGGATCGAAAAACCGCCGGATTCGACTTCTTTAAGAAATTGTATAATGGTTCGGATAACATCTGGCATAGTGGAGGATCATAATTCTTTATTACGGGTAACTGAATGACTTTCCTTTTTACTATACATAGATGATGAAGAAGAAACGTCCGTATTCGACTTCTTTAGCCACCTACCTCGCACCCCATATACGCGTTAGCATGATTTGCTTATTCGCCATATCCCAAAGCATGACACTGTGAAAAAGAGAACTTTGAAATATGTAAATGCCAAAAGAAGTTCAAGTGTCTTAGGCAAGATGCTTTATTGCGCCACAAAAGAGATTCCTGTCCTAAAAGAGATGCCAGAAGCGAAGAGTAGCAAGTAGCTTTCCATATGTTTCTGTGTGTTCAGCTCGCAATAAATAATTACATTGTATCGCTTATAATTCGATTCTTAGATTCGTAAATTTTACTTCAGAAGTTCGAAGAAGTGTCTGTTGTGTAAGCGCTACTGTAATGTGCCATATTCGCATGTACCAATCAATACGAGATTGAGGGCATTACATTGTTTCTGGGTTCTGTCAAAACTTGTTTTAAATGTATTTATTTGTGACTGATAGTGAAGCACAACTGACATTCATGATACAGATATAAGAGCGAAAGTTAACATTTGTGTACTACTGGCAGGCAATTTTATTGAACTATTTGACATGTACACGCAAAATTTGCTAAAAAAATCTATGTGTTGAGAACGGAACCGCCATTGGCTATGTATATATTTTACGATGATTAGTAGATGTATAAATATATGGAAGATGATTAGTAGAGCTATAAACGAAGGGAAGAAGCTTTACTTACGGTGGAAGACTTGCCCAGTATAGTAGCTAGAATCGGGCGATGCTAAAAAGACATATGCTGTAGCCACTTCACTTGGTTGTCCCGCACGCTCCATAGGCACTTGTTTGCCGAATGTTTCAATCTTCTCAGGTGGGAACGAGGCGGGAATCAGCGGTGTCCAGATAGGGCCAGGTGCGACACCATTGACTCGAATTTGCTTGGATACAAGCTGCTGTGATAGTGAGCGAGTAAAAGCCAAAATTGCACCTTTGGTTGAAGAGTAATCCAACAGTGTGGCAGATCCACGATATGCCGTTACGGACGTTGTGTTAATGATTGCAGAACCAGGCTTCATATGTGGAAGTGCATATTTGGTTACATAAAATTGGCCGAAAACTGTATAATCATAAATAATGGTAAGTGACATTCAATGCAAATAGCTATGACGACATAATGACCCGTTGATGGTATCATTTTTGTATCAAGCTTCGACAACTAAACTTACTGTTAGTTTTAAAGGTTCGCTCAATCTGCTCCTCAGGCAGATCTTCAATAGATGGGACGACATGCTGTTCGGCAGCATTGTTCACAAGGATATCAATCTGCCCAAACTTGTCGACGTGCTGCTGGATACCCTTTTTGACCAGCTCAACCTCACCAACATCCAGAGATACTGTGAGCACCTTGCACTTTGCGTTGCTGCCCTCCACGTCCTTCTTCGTGTCTGCTGCGTCCTTTTCTTCACGAGGATGATAAAAAATGGTAATGCCATCAGCGCCTTCTTTGGCATATAAGAAGGCAACCGAGCGACCAATGCCAGAATCGCCACCTGTTGAAATATGTGTTTTTTTGATGTGTGAAAAGAGTTTCGTGTATTGCATGTCGCCCAGACCGCAAAATCGGCTGTACATTTTTCATACCTGTGATCAACGCTTTTTTACCCTGCAATTTTCCACCAGCCTTGTATGGTTCCAAGTGTCCTTCGCCGCCCACCATATCATAGTTGATAGGATGTGGGGTCATCTCGGTCTGCAACCCAGGTTGCGACTGAGGTCCTTGCTTCGGGGGATCGGAAACTTGCGAAACGTTCTGTGCCATTTTTTTAGCGTATGATTGTGTTGAAGTAGAAAAATGTTGTAACAAGGAATTTTTGACGGTTATATATTTATGAACATTATTGAGATGAAGTAATGTTGAGTTAACATTACTACTTCTCCCTTGCCTAAGAACAGACACCGAAAACATGGGTTATGAGAAAGAAGTATAAATCTAACCAATCGCTCATATTACGTACATATTAAATATTCAGATATATTTCGTCAGCATTAGGTTATTATTTGTTGTAAAGAATAAGCATTTCATACTTAACTAGCCTTGATGTAATATGCGATAAATACATACTGGGAAATAGTAAACTGTTAAGATGAGTGTACTGCTGTATAGATACACGCCAATTTGTTGCGATACTCAACAAGTCTTCAATTTTATTTACGAACACGCGTCGGACATATAGTCAGACAGGTTTTCTTACTGTACCTTCCTGAATGAAAGTTTTCCAGAAAAGCAAGTGTCTATGATATATGGAACTCGAAAGATCTAGAAGAGAACAAAAAGTTTACAAGCAAACAGACCCTTGTCAATTTCCATCACCCGATGGAATAATAATGTGTAGTGTAGACTTATAGCAAAGCGATACGATGTAAACCGCCTGCACATTCTTGTTAGCCGCAGTATCTCACTGCTAAATTTTCGGTGCATACGGATGGCTTAATACATAGATTATATGAAGAGATTGCATACTCATTAAATGAGGCAACTCGCCTGATAGTTCCCGGGTCCCGCATCCCGACGCCAAAATCTTGCATTGGAGGAAAAGTTCCAGTATCTAGGATTGAGTCACCCACAATCGGAGAATACTTGCTAAAAGCAAGACAAAGTGACAACCTCTTGGTCGATCTTAAGCGGCTAAATCTCGGCTTGATGTGTAGTATTTCTGTCTGTTGAGGTCATGTGCTCTTGCAACACTGGCCCGATCATCTTTTTCTACTAGTAACACGCAGCACGTTGCAGATCATGAATTTGAGTTCAGGCAAGATACGCCAACGGATCAACCCTTCATTCCGATGTGCAGGTGAGAAGAAGGTCAACCTTTAACTCTTATTTAAAAGCAGAGAAGGATAAAGTGCTTTTTTTGTAAACACAGTGAGCGATTTTTGAAGCCCTCTTTTTTCTTTTATTTATTTTTCGAGACAATATGAATACTCTTCAAATAACATGTCATTTCTTATGGACAAGTATAGTATTTACTCTTGCGATGCTGATGAGTATTCCTATCGCTGCAGCCATCACAGATCCAGAAAGTAAAAGAGTTGAAACCCCCTTGCCAAAAGACAGTATGGATACTAGTGGCATGGATGTCACCATTAGCAATATTGGTGATACCAGTAATCTCTCTCCGTATGACCATCTTATACCCATGATCACCATCAACAATAATCCGTTTCTTGCCGGTGTAAGGCGACTGTTCGCGATTGGTGATGTCCATGGTTGTATCGACGAGTTCAATGAACTTATATCTAAGATCGCCTATAACCACGACCAAGGTGATCGGATTATCCTACTGGGTGACCTTATGAACAAAGGGCCTGACAGTGTGGGAGTCATCCTACGAGCAAAAGAGCTCAAAGCTTGGTGTGTTCGAGGCAATCATGACGATGTGACACTTCGCATCATGGCGTATCTACGAGAAAAACAACATTTCTGCTTCGATCCAAAGCAACAATACAATTCCAGAAGACCCAGCAAAAGATCCAATTACCCTTTCTCACGAGCATATTCGTATCGTTCGGTAAGTGATTATTCTTGTATGTGCTAATCCACTATTATCATTTTGAATAATTTTTATAAAACTCGTCTTATCACCTTTAGTAATATGACAGCTGAAGATTACCAATTTCTCAACTCCTGTCCGCTGATCCTGGGTATCCCTGCACTCAATAGTCTATTTGTGCATGGCGGGGTAGATCCCAGAAACTCATTTGAGAGCCAAGTACCTTACCTTGTTATGAACATGCGATCTATCCAAGCAGATAGAACGCCCACTCGTGAGCGAACCCCGGTGAATTGGGCAGATGAATGGAATCGGTATCAAGAAGCAAAGGCTCGGCTGTCGAACCACCATACACAGATGTTTACTACGGACATGATTCTAAACTCGGGTTACAGCTAAAGATGCATACGTTCGGCCTTGATTCAGGATGCGTATATGGTGAGCAGGTTACAGCATTGGAGCTTAGATCGCGCACGAGGGCTCAAGTACAATGCAAACGCTATGCAGAGCATTCCTCTTCTTAGAATAGTGCATCATTTGCCGTATTTTGTATTGGATAATTCGATTATTTGGCGTACTGTAACTACTTTATCCACGACTATCAAATATATAAATTCCGGTCTTCGTCAATGACGCGTCCAATATATTCTATGGTGCGTTCGCCTTATAACCGTCAATTTTTTACCTCAGCTTTACTCTCCTATAACGTCCCCAAAAAGCAATTACACAGTCCAACGTGCTTCAAAATACCTTTTTTAACTCGTTTGCTTTCGTTATTGAAGAATAAAAAAAATAATCATGCATGTAAAAGAAAAATTATGGGAAGCCAAAAGTTGCCAATTTAGCTGGGCCGGCAGAAATTTGAAACAACTCACGTACCTGAAACAAGAATGAGTAAACAACTCCTATACGTATATATACTCGCCTATCGCCTACGTCCTACACATCTTTTCTTTTATGATACCTTTCATTTAAAAGATGCCGCCATTAAGACGAAAGCAGAAGGCCACCCGAAGAAGGACGCGTGCGCCCAGTTTCAGGGTATACGCCGTTTTTTTATTGCTATTCCTATACATCTTTGTGTTTAACCATATATACCTATCATTGTTCTTTGAAGTTCAAACACTTCTGAAACTTTTGTATTCGTTAAATATCTGTATCCAGCTAAACACAGTGTTTTTCAATAAAATCACGAACTACCTTATAAGGTTAGTGCTTAAGAATCAAATTGAAACAAAATATAGCTTTGACGGTTACAAGGCGAACGCACCATAGCCATCCAATTTAAAACATCGGTTTGCAGTTTGTACATATCACATTTCATGAGTATCAAATGAAGCCCTAACTTGACCAGGTGTACTTGGGTGTATATAATTTGCATAGTGATCGACAATTGTGCTTTATATAAGTGCCGTACAAGATATATTATGTATTTAAACATTTCAGCTTACGCTTGCTCATCCAGCTCTTCACAAATCCCAAATACTGTATATATCTTTCACTTCAGTGCTCGTACCTCCTGCAAGTACTGTACCCATACAGTACGCAACAAATCAATTTGATATTGACTTTGTATATTATGCAATTATATGTCATCTTCTTTGCCAGAATGAGGGCAACATGTGTTACGGATTTCTTTCAATATGGCCCTATCTTAATGATACAAGTATAATAATAAGTGTAGTAATAGAGATGCATGAATGAGTCGCAATATGTAACTTATACCAATAAACAGTTAAAATATGACAGAACCTACTGTTGCAGGGTCATTGTAGTCTTTGTATGTAAACAACGATGATCATGTGCGTCATCATTTTGTTAATGGTATCTTTAAAATCGATATTTGGTGCATGTAGCTTCAAATAGAACAAAAGTTTTTGGATGGTTGCAATGTTTTGACGCTTGATATATCGTAGCAATTGATATGACTTTTATAGTAGCGAGCAGAATATTGAAAGGTACGATATCAGAATCTGCAGTTGTGACCTTAAATGTCTTGTCTATTTAATACTACATGCACCATACAAGTCTCGAACTAAATTTTATATTATTTACATACAAACTTCTCATGATGTAAGTCATATAGCTTCTCGGTTAATTGATATAATATGCATTTGTCTATCATTGTGCGTTGTAATTGTTGTGCCCGTGCGAGTAAGAATATATTTGCTCCAATTCAACCATCTTGATGGGACGCTAAAGCCGACCACATCCCCAATCCAGACCTTTGATGATCTGTTGAACCTTGCTGCTTTTTTTCTGCGAAGAAGCCTATAAAAATAAATTTATCAACTCAAACTAATCCGCTGCATATTTCATGATTCCATGAGCTAATCAGCGCAACCAAGAGTTGTATCTATGAGTCACCTTGAGTTGATTGAATATTGATGGTAGTATATCGGTATAATGCCCATTTCATCACTTACTTGGCAAAGTACTTATTTGACGGCTGAGCCAGGACGTATGTCTTCGAGCTCTTTGTACTAATATGTTAGAGTGTATATACTGTCTTAAATGCTAAAATGCCAAATCCAACCGGGTACACGATACAAGTCTTCGGAAGCGATCTGATATCAAGTGCATCTCTTTACTTAACTTCGCTTGGTCGGGCTCGAGATATTGTTGACTTCTCAATAGTTTAATATTTGGTCTAAAGTATTTACATAAACCACATCATGATTGGGCTTGTAATCTTTGGATCACTCGTCCACAAGAACCGCTTGCCCTAACCACGAAAAGAATATTAACTATCTAAATTTTGCATAATATAATTACAATAGAAGAGGCTGTATAAATTAAGCTCATCGTAGCTTATCTAGTATGTATGCTGGAAATCGATGTTACGAAGGGAGAAAGTACGTTATGAACAGGTATAATCTTTTCGGTTTTGTAGCACATTTCAACTAATTTTAAAAGCCAAAAGGAAGATACTGTAAAACAAGAGCTTAATGAGGCCGACTTACGTCCCAATCACGGAGGATGATAGCTGAAAATCAACTCAAAGTCGTATCCAGATCAATTGCTTATTAGTACGCGTTGAGGACTTCACACAAATTCAAATATGAGCGTTAATTATATGATACACCAATTATCACGTCAGCATAATATCACATGAAACAAAATCAATTTCATTGTAATATTACAGCATGCCTACTTTTGCAGTTGATGATCAGCAAATCAAAGATGCTGCATCTGTCTTTACAACTGTCAAGTTTGCTTTCATGATGGGAAGACGGTATGATGGCGGCGTTGCCAACATGCTTTCGCAATCAAACTTGGAATATTTTCTGTACAACAGTACTGTAAATGTAATTGACTGTGCTTTTGAGATATGCAGTTTCTATACTACTACTGTCGACACGACCCTCTGTTTAAAGCCCTTCCCTGCCTGCCTACAGTAGGTTTGTGAGGTAAAGTGATTAACACTCAATAAGAATAACGTTTTTGGTAGTGCACTTCTTGCAACTTTAGCTCAGTGTCCATACTTGTTTTCCCGCTGCCTAACGTCAACACTTCCATCTGGATTTCAGGGTCGAAATTACTAGTGGTCGACTGTTCATTTGATCGCGACTTGACGACAATTTGTGCTACGCTCTTTGCGCCCGACATCAATATCAACATCACCACCTTCCACAGTCCAAAAATACTACATAGATTAAGAGATAAATAAATTCAGTTTCGCTTTGCAAAAATTTTGTTGTTAGTACGACAACCTTATTTTGGTTGATCAAGCAAAATTGTATGCCAAAACCTGTATACATGTTTATCCCCTGAGCGAGCTACTTCAAGGGGCCACTTGTTTGCAAATCTGACCCTTTAATGTGCTCTGTCGAGTGTAGCGACGAAACACCATTCTGATTTCTAGTGTGTATAGAGGGGTGTAAGCTCGTCTTCTGCAGTTAGTTGCGCTTTTTGCTGTATATAGACGATACTTAATAAGAGATAAACCGAAACAGGGCACTGAATATATATACTATAAACAATAGCGCACAGTATTTTTAAAGCTATGATGAATTTTGAGCCGGTGCTGCCGCCTAATAAAGCATGGAGGTGCATGAATAAGTTACTCGTGCATGACAGCACCTCGAACAGTAGGAACTCCGTTTCTTGACAGAAATGTGCTCCGATGAAGCATATGCTTTCTTTCTTTTGATCATGGCGCTCGAGGAAAATGAGAAAAGCAGAATGACGTGCTTCCGTCACGCGTTCGATGTATTGCAATCATATATTTCGCTAAAGACGATGTCTATTTCTACGGTCTGTGTTTTAATAACACGACGTCCGGACCATCCGATTGTGTGTGTGTTACATTTCCTTCAATCTGATTCGTCGCACGTGTGGTCATTTCGTCGCTTCTCAGCTGGGGTTAGCTGTGTGTTACAATTGACAGCTTTTTTTTCTTTTCTTATTTCAGCGTCGAAACCGAACACAAAAGCAACACACCCCTTCTCTCACGCACCCACGCACCCACTACACAACGCAAAAGCGGCGAATGTCGGAAGGTCATGAAGTTTGGCAAACAGTTAGAGAACGAAGCGGAAGATATTCCTTCGGAATGGCGGCCGTATCTGATCCGATATAAGGCGCTTAAAAAGTTGATCGCCAAGGTTGCCTTGGAGATCGAACGACGTGGTTTATCTGCAACGTTCTTGCGCGAATGCTTGAAGAACAACAACCTTCAAGACGACAGTGGCCCCAAGATTCGGTACTATTTTGCAGGTTCGCATTGTTTGTTTAAGTAAATCTTTATATTTTTGTAGTAACTCATTAGATATTGTTCCCTTTGTTATGTTGCTAGGCGAACCGCCTAATGTGCACCCGTGCATTCAGTTCATTTATGATCCCGGTCAATCCCGAATCGATGAATTGCTGAATCGCGTAGTCGCCAGTAATTCGACGCAGGACTCCATTGTATCCGACACGAAGCCGAAGTTGCATTATAGGCGTACAGAAAACGATACCGACTTTTTTACCCTGATCCGAAATGCTGATACGGCTCCTGTTGCCTCCTTCACAGCCGACAGAGGGCATCCCACTAGCGATGCCGAAAGCGTCCAGTCAGACGATTCCGATTCCTCCTCCATCGAACAGCGACGGCGAAGCGATGCAGCACTTCTCTTTCGTGAATTGATGGACAGCACTTTACCGAAGGATCGGATTACAGAATTGACAACCGACGGCGAGCTTGAAATCGTATCATCACCACCGGATCAAGAAAAGAAAGGAGAGAACGATAGCAACGATCGCGATGAAAACGACTACTCTTCTTTGACACCAAAGAAGGCAATGCGCAGTTTAGTCATTGAGCTCGAGCGCGACGATGAATTTTTCACTGCGCTGATGAAGGAATTGGATCAAGCAGCACTTCTCCAAGATATAAACAGTCAACAGTTCGAGCATGACGTGAATGAACTTGAGCGAAGGATGGCAAAAACTGTAAGCGTTTTAGTATAACAAGGAATGATTATTTTACTAGAATATCTATATTGATCAGTTACCGCTATTAGGCGTCTCCAAGTCACATATCGGATATGTACGCATGGCGTGCAATCTTCAATCTCTATATGGACGCACAGGTTTTCAGAGGCAAAGTAGAGAAAGATCGAAGCATACGATCTGTACAGAAATCCAAAGATCAAATGGAATGGTTCACAGAGCAGTTGAAAACGCAAAATATCTTGTCACAACTCAAGAGCAAGGCATCCAAGGATACATTTGAGCAGTTTATCGCGCTAAATACCGAATTGATCACCATGAAGCATTATCAATTACTAAATCAGACCGCTGTTACCAAGATTTTGAAGAAGCATGACAAACGAAGTGGTCTTACGTAAGTATTGATCTTCCCCTCATGAAGCCAAACGACATGTACAGTGTGATTAACAGTTTACAAATTTTCAATTTTTTTAGTGCTAGCTCAAGTTTTCCGATGGTCATTCAAAATAGTCATTTTTTCAACGTCAAGTTGGCAGATATCCTTTGCGCCTCGCTTTTGAACAGGCTGATAACCATTATACCACAACCGGATGATTATTGTAAGGATTTTGAGGAAAGGGTTGTTCAAAGAGAAAGAAATTTTGAAAGGTATTGACTGTAATCGATATTTGTAGTATGCCCGGTCTGCATGATGGTTGCATGGAGGCCAATTCGACTCGTGTGTGGGCATGTATTCTGCGTTCGCTGCTTGCTTAAAGCGCAGCGCAAGAAAATGGCAAACTGCCCGCTGTGTCGGCACAAGAATGCCGTTTTTGTTGCAAGCTCGAACAATCTGGACATGCCGATGCAGAACTTTTTGAAGCAATACTTCCCTAGAGAAATCAAACAAAAGAAGCGAGACGCAGAACGTGAACAAGCCATGGAGGATGTACAAGTCATGACTGGTCGCAAATATACCGAAGAACAATTGATGCGAATGAGTCAACACGACCAGCAGTGTCATATTATGTAAATAGCATTGAAAGCAATAACTTTTTGTAATTCCTAGATCGAATAACCCTTCCCTTTTTTTCAATTTTATCCTATCCATTTGTTTTTTGTATCCCTGTAACATTATCCTTTCTCCGTATTAACCTATTGTACAAGTATTCTATTATAATCACTCAGTAAAAGTATCATTCATTGCATGTTGTACTACATTATCAATGCTATTTGCCCCAAGAAAAGCTAGATGATCAGCTGTAACATAGTTTTGAACGGTACATGATTTAATTTCGAAAGAGACTCTGTCGTCAAAATCCAAGGATGAGTAGTCCACGTAAGATACAACGAAAAGGTCAACATGACACTATAGGAAATCACAGAAAATAAATATAAGCACAATGTTGTTTACACATAATAAATAGCAGCATGATATGTCTTAGCATCAAATGACCAGGCCACATCGTCTACTCTTAAGCATCCGTTATGCGTTGCGTTACTTGATAGCTCAATCCCATCCAGTTCGTTTAGATATCGTTCGCGGCCACACTAACAAATGGCACCAAGTTTTGTTTCCTGAAACCTAATCCGAAAAGATTATGCTGCCGCTCTCGTGGTCCTATTATTCGAAACGCATCACCCGTATTCGTACTAGGATTGATCAAGTCACCGTTCACTAAAAGACACTATATAGTATTTATAGCAAGGTAGTTTTTAGCTTTTGAGGAAAGCATGTACACCTTGATACTATAATCTTTGTCCATACGATATCATACAGCTGATACAACCAAAATAAAAGCAGTAAGAGAAGAGGAACACAAAGTAAAATTATGCGCCGGACTCCATAGGATCCATCTAATTTATTAGTATGCTTTAAACTATATAAGTAAAACATCCTGTTGTTTTGTTCCATTGCTTTCCTCAATATAGCCATGAAGCATAGTGGATATACACTCTTACAAATTAATATTAACTACACCACAGGAACAAGAACTAGCGAGCCTAATACACAGTAGATTTCATGCACATTATTGGTCATAAAAATTCATTGATGGGGAATCGATTCATATATACATTCTTGGTGAAAGAAAGAATATTGACCACAAGGAAATAAAATATATAAAGAACCATTAACACCTTCACTCTTATAGCCTTAAGAGATACGGAGCTCATTATCCATATTCGCATCTTGTGCGATCCACAAAACTGCCGTGCTATACATCCATTGCGCGGATCAGTAGATATTCCAGAAACGTTGTATTCATATAGAAAAAGGTCAGTCGTACCTGAGCATAATTAACCCACATTGAACAACGGTGCCTATACCAATGTAGGAATCTATAAGCTCTAGATCGTGCATTACATACTTTACCACAAGTACGCTCTAACGGCGGCGATATATTTTCATTAGGAATTTTGTGTGATCTGCTTATCCATGTGAACTATTGTATTTCTTACCACAGATCCAGCAAATCCGCCTGCCATCAGAGCAAACCCCTAGATAAAAAGCCTTGGGTTAAACGAATAAAGGACCATGCACTTATTTTCTCTTTCGTTCTGCCCCTTTTTCTTTTATCACTTATACAAACCACAAAAAGGAAGAAACGGGCTCGCCAGGGAATGCCATCATCAAATGTTGAACCCCGTAGAGCTTCTTTATCGATTAAGCAGACTCTATGTTTCCCCGATTTTGTCAGCCACACAGCAACATACGCATACATGACATAACTAAGCTGTCGTTTTTTATAGCTACTTACATAATCATGCCGAAAGTAGTTATGATGCCAGGCGCCCAATCCTCGAAACCAGCATATGCTTTACGATCCGGTAAAGTAGAAGAAAAGCTTAGGCCATCTATGAACATCCACCATCCCAAAGCAAACTGTCAAAAATAAACTTTCAATGTTGGTTAAACCAGTTTTAAATGTAACTCAAACGAAAAATTAGAGAAAGTGAGGAACGACTTTTTTTACCAGCATGCCGGCAACGTAGATGCCCATTTGGCGACTCTTTGTACCACAGCATTGAAATTGCCCACAGATAAATATACTGTTGTTGTTATCGAAGGAGTTCATTTCTAGAGAAGTGGTGGTTATGGTGGTCACTGCGCTCGTGAGTTTTTCTTAGCATCTCTATGCATGCTGATTTTGAATCCTGTGACACCAGGCTGCATATGGTATTATGGGTGGGTTGCTATGGAACAAGCTTATAATTGAAATTCATAATTCAACACTATGCATTTCCTTACCGAAAAAGCGCATTATTTCTATTACTTGTTGGGACGCCATAAACATTGAAATGAATACGAGGAAGTTGTTTCTAATGATATACATGACATCCACTACTTGTGAAGGATATATTAGTACGATATGATGTTGGAAAAAAACAGCAATACATCATTACATAGCACTTTTGAAATACGTACGTGCTTTATGCCGCATAGTCCTTTCATAGACATGTTTACTAGACATACCTTTACTAGCTGCATTGTTTCCAAAATCTCATCAATGCAGCCAGCGTGGAATAATTTTCGAAAAGGTCAAAGTGAGCCGTATAAGTGTACCTATAGCAACCACACAATCAAAAATGAACAATGTTGTATCTGTCACTTTAAATGTTATCAGTAGTAGTGAATTTCATTTTTTTATGATATCATATATCACCGATGTATTACGATCTAACAATTAGGCTAAGCGTTGGATGGATTTTTAAGACAAAGAAATTGCGTTCATTCGCAACGACTATCCAATACGCATGTGCTGCAGCAGCACTTTAATATAAACTACTGTATGCAGCCAGCATGGATGTACCTAAGAGTATGCAGTCACCGAATTATCTGTGCACGCAAATTTCAAGCATGCATATATACATCCAACATCCAAGAGGAAAGCATCAATATGTAGTATACAGACAATATCTGGTTTTTATGATAATACATATTGGTGGTCAATTTACAATGATACCTTGCTGAATTATTCTAGTGACAGATAAAGGGGTAGGGGAATCAAAACGATAAAAATCACAATTCTGGATTAGAAGAAGAGTGTGAAGCATCCTCAGGAAATGGTGGTGGGGATGATGACTATACAAGGTAGTAAGTTAGTGATTGTTCATTCTCGAGGCAATAAATCCACACATTTACCTTTTTTCGCACATATTCGTCGTAAACCGTTACTTCATTAAACGGCCGTTTGCCCAGTAAATTCTCCATATCTTCCCGACTAATGACTTCCTTGTGTAATAACAACTGGGCAACCTTTTCCACCTCCTCCTTGCGTTCTGTCAACAGATTGACTGTACGATCATATGCACCGTTAACCAAATTACGGACCTCGTCGTCTATCAATGTAGCCGTCTCTTCCGAAAATGGCTTTTGAAATTGTTGCTCGGCCTGTGGATCATGGAAGGACATGGGTCCGACCTTTTCATTCATGCCATAGGTGGTCACTTGTGCATAAGCCATCTTTGTCACCTTTTGCAGATCATCATGCGCGCCAGTGGTTACGCTTTCGAAAAATATTTGTTCTGACACACGGCCACCGAGCGTCATGCACATGCGATCTAGCAACTGCTTGACGGAATACAGGTATTGGTCCTTTGGAAGATACTGTGCATAGCCAAGCGCAGCGACACCGCGTGGAATGATGGAGACCTTGAGTAAAGGATCTGCATGCTTAAGGTACCAGCCCGCCACTGCATGTCCAGCCTCGTGATAAGCGACCGTTTTTTTCTCCTCAGCTGATAAGACGCGCGATTTCTTTTCCAATCCTGCAATCACCCGCTCAATGGCTTGTTCAAAGTCGGTTTCAGATACTTCGTCCTTCATGTGACGCGCGGCAATCAGCGCAGCTTCATTGCACACATTGTGTATATCCGCCCCTGAGAACCCAGGAGTTAATGCAGCCAGCTTACGCGACAGCTGCTCCATGTCCTCGCTCGTCTTGATTGGTTTGAGATGTACCTTGAATATTTGTGCGCGGCCACCAATGTCCGGTCGGTCTATCGCAATGTGTCTGTCAAAACGACCAGGTCGCATCAGTGCTGGATCAAGCACATCAGGTCGATTGGTACCAGCCAAAACAACAACGTGCTCGTTCGAGTCAAATCCATCCATTTCTACCAATAACTGGTTCAGCGTGCTTTCGCGCTCATCGTTCCCGCCCAGTTGACCACCCTTGCCGCGTGCTTTGCCAATCGCGTCGATTTCGTCCACAAAGATAATACAAGGCGCGTTCTTCTTGGCTGTGGCAAACAGATCACGTACGCGTGAGGGACCAACACCAACAAACATTTCCACAAATTCGGAACCGGATACGCTCAAGAAGGGCACACCAGCCTCGCCTGCTGTGGCCTTTGCCAAAAGAGTTTTACCGGTACCGGGTGGGCCCGACAAGATGGCGCCCTTGGGGATAGTAGCGCCCAATCGCTCATACGCTGCCGGATTCTTTAAAAACTTGACAAACTCCATAATTTCCTCCTTGGCCTCGTCCGCGCCCGCGACATCCTTGAATTTGACCTTCACTTGAGATTCCTGGTTAAACATTTTTGCCTTGCTCTTGCCGATACCAAACAGACCCTGGCCACCACCGCCTCCACCGCCTCCTGCAGCTCCGGTGCGCCGACTCAGGTACAGGAATGTGCCTATAAGCAGGAGCGTCGGTGCGAAATGGATCAAGGCGTTGGCAAGACTAACTTCGTCGCGGAAAGTGACTGGAATACGCTCATTGGACGGGATCCCTAGTTCGTCCTGTGCTGCTTCAAGTGCGTTTTCAAAGCTGTTCACAGAGCCAATACTGAAATAAATTGTCTGGTTTTGGTTCAGGCCTAGCGACAAAGCTTCAGGCCTTAGATACACTCTGACCATGTCCCGATTGACAACCACAAGTTTGTCCACCATCCCCCTGTCCAGCAATGATGACCGAAATGACTGCCAAGTCAATTCTCGTCCGTTTTCGCTTGGTTCTGTCATCTTGTATACCACATACGTGCCTACCAACGTCCCGAGTAAAATATTGGTTTTAGGGGGTTGTGGGGATGGCGGCTCGGGTCGTCCTCCTGAACGTCCTGGTCGCTGTTGCTGCTGGTTCTGCTGTTGACCAGTGCCTTTCTTGTTATTGCCAAAAAACTCGTCAAATGCCTTAGGAATCTCGAATGGTTTGTTGTCTTCTTCCTGCTCCGGCTTCTTACGCTTGTTGCCAGGTGACGACGAATAACAGCGTTGGTGTGGGGCGTTCCTGTTGCTATGCAGCAATAGCTGTCGTTGGCTTATCAGTAACGGAGTGCCCTGCGGTAGTGCATTGGTCCATTTAACCAACGTTTCCGTGGCTCTGCGCCCTAGTCTTGAAAGCATAAATGTTATATATAATAAAGAGAAAAATGTGTATTACGACAGTCAATCATCTGATAAAGCTTATAACACATAAGTTCTGAGCTTGAAGCGAGCCTGTTCGGCGGCATTGAGTCAAATTCGGCACCCAAATCCCATCATAACATCGGAAGAATACGGCTGTCGAAAACGATTGGAGAACAGCAGAGCCAACACAGTCCCTGCTTTTTCACGTTACAAGATCCGGCTATTGAGAACGATGTTAGAATTTGGTAAGACAAATAGGAGCAGTGTACATGGTACAAGGAAAGACGCATGTATGCTGGTGACATATAAAGGAGGAAGCATGAAAAACACAATGAAATATGTTTAGCCAATTGCGCCTCGCTACCAAAACTGTGCTAACCTGTAACTAACTATCCATACCCGAAATCAGGCAGATTTTTCTTTGATATTACACGCTAAGCCAAATACAAACTGTTGTCAGTGGCGGCATCATGATACACCTTGGGAAAGGGCGGTGCTGCATAAATTATCAAGGCGCAGCAAGAAGAAACAAGTACGCGAAAAATATATACGTGCCTGCTCATATGTTGTTGTTGTAGTACATGACGGAGAGGGAAGCAACCATTGCCTGCAGATCTGGCAGATACAAACCGGATACTGGGAACTATATACGTACACCATGAGACAACTTGCTTCCTTCCGCAGAGATATATGCGAATGCTCTATATAAGAAAAGTACATGGTATTATACTGTATAAACATGCACGTTCCAAACTTAGAATACAGAAAAAAGGTTTCTTAGATGACTAGAAATACACACACTCTCTGCAAACGTGACAGTATCAGAAGGTTCGCAGTCTCGCACAATGGAGTTTCCTATATAAGTGTAGACATTCTTAATGCGAGCTTCATTCGTTGTTTGTCCACAACAGGACAAGAGCTGACTTTATACTATCACACTACAACATCCCCACTATTCATCGCTACCATGCCTCATCCAAAACCAACTTACTGTTACAACTGTGGCTCAAGTATAAATGATTTTCTTTCCTGAGTAGTACTTTTTCGCTATTATATTTTCACTCACAGTCTATTTCGTCGTCTCATCCTTCTAGCTTCTCACACGAGAAGTCAATGCGTAAGTCTATTAAACCTCTTATAGATATTCTCAGTATCGTGTTGGCAAAACAACGAAGCTTGTCTACTGTCGTGCGTCATGAAGGATTTAGAAAATATAAGATGCTTTGGCGATCGTTCTCTAAATACGTTCTCCTTGATGCTCTTCTTTTTTGCTTACCGCGTAATACGCCCTCATCACCCGGGCTTTAATATAATAGCCACAGTACGTACCAGATCGAACACCTGTGATGAAAACTTAATAGCTCAAATATTATGCACATGCATGCATTTTTAGGGAACTGAAAAAGCCTCGTCCTTATTGAAGTATTTACTGTAACATTCCCAACATGTTCCCACTACTATCGTTGGCGTCGTTCCCTACTTCTTTTTTCTTACCATATCCGGACCTAAGCTTCTGTGCAACTTTCAGCTGCCCCACATCCCTTCTTTTACCTCCTTTGGGTAGTAGTACATAGTACATACACAGTTTACATATCAAACCCCCTTTTCATACCGTTACCCCCAACAACAGACCGCTGTATCTTCTACTGATTTGACTCATGTATATGTTTTACCAGAAAAGCAGTAATTTAATATGAGTGAATTACATCGTTTCTTTTGCCATGTTCTTTCGTGTTCGACGGGAATTTGAAGGTAAAGATTTAGCGTTGGGCGTTACATACAATATGTACGAGTGAGTAAAAGTTTTTGTCGTTACGTAAATACAGTCGTCGCAACGAGGGTTCCCGAGCATATATAGAAACTTAGTCTGGTTTAAGGGAGGCGACAGAAAAGTGTCAAGTTCTGAATTGCGCTACTCAAGTAAATTACGTGTCTGATGCACCGCCACAATTGTCAAGACTCCCTTCTTCCATAGTGTAAGACTTAATAACACTGTTGTGTACCGGATTTCGGGTTTTTGCAGATAAAATAAAAAGTTACACTAAACAACTCGACGGTTTGACGACCAAAAAGAGAAGAGGATGAATATCAAGCTTGGCATAGACTTATCCGTTTAGTCGGACACAGTAACAGTTTTCCTAAGTTGCTGATCAATGGTAGAAGAATGACGAATGTGGTGATTGCTACGGCTCGTTTCTTTCCAGGATTTGTTAATATGTACACTTTGCGTCAAGGTACCACACAATACACCAACTTGACTATGTACCATACGTACACATCCAGGAATTTAGTTCTCGGACGGACGATCTTTTTTTGTTAAAGTGCGATAATGAAGATTCCAGAGAACGCGACCGGGATCCCAAAGGAAGTGTGATGATAACAGATGACTCGCAGGAAAATATATACAGCATACATAAAAGAAGGATAAATACCTTCACATTTAAAAACAGACCTCTCGTCTTTTCTCGTTGTAGACAAATCTGCACCCTTATCTTTACCCCCCCCCCCTCTCGTTCACTTTTTACCTTCTTTGAAGAGAATGTAGCAAACAAAAGTTTATGTGTGTATATAAAAACAGAGAAGTAAGAGAAAAACACGTAACGTTTAGAGACCCAGCTCCTCCTTGGTCAAGAGACCAAGCTCTTCCTTGATAGGTGCCAACTCTTCCAAATATTGCTGATACTGCTTATCGCTCTCGACCTTTTCCTTGATACCTTCAAAGATGCGAACGGAAGTGGCAAAATCGTCAACGCGGCGCGAGGCTCTCAGTGCTGATTCGACAACCGAAGGTGCAGGGACAAGATCATAAGCAAAGGCGTTGTTCAAGCCACGTTGGAGTTCAAACAAATCGTCAACACCGTCAAAGAACTTGACATAGCGCTCGGTGAACGACTCAAAGCTTTCGTCTTCGTGACCAGCAGAGTAAAAACGTTTGCCTAAAACATATAATACCATTTTGTGTTTATATTATACAATGATATGTCATTAATAAAGGGAAAGAACCGCGTGTAGATAATATTATTATCTAACAACGACAACGGAGTAATTTTTTTTGCTAATAATGTGGAAAATGCATGCAAGGTCAATTACCAACAACAGCCGATCGGGCAATGGGGGCAACAGCGCGGACAGCAGTTGCACGAGGAGCGACACCGGTAAGAGCAGCGCGAAGCATTGTGTTAATTGATATATATATATAGAGTTGATGAGAGGGGAGTGGAGTCAAAGAAAGAGCCTTACACACACAGTGAGGAAAGCAAATTTTGAATTCCTGTGACTGGATTCGAATTGACCTGACGGGCTGACTGGCTGATATCTCAATGCAGCCGGTGCAATAACTGCTGCAAGCCAGCCTTCAGTGGCACATGGTTGTCTTCAATAACCATTGACGTTTAACGCTGCTGCTATGTGTGCCTTAATTAAATCCTCTCCCCACCTGTGCATAATAATTCCGTGTGTTGCATAGCAACAGCAACTAATGAGTTGTTATTACCCTACCAACGGACACCTACAGCAACTCCACCTTTTATAAGCGCAGTGTGGGGCAGAATATATTACGCGTGTGGCGTACACATCATGCCTCAAACGGGGACTTCCTTCCGTCCCATTGTTTCAATAACGGGACGGAAGTGCGCCTTTTTCAGGAATGCCGAGCACGATAGGCTCTTGTAAAGGGTGTCCCGTTCAAGGTTGTACAGCAGAAATAACAGCGAAAACGATGGTCTGCGCCAAGTACATCTGTAGTGCAAAAGACAATATAATCTTGTAAAGTTTCCTTTACTGCGCTCGACTATCAGCATTTCCCGTCATTGATAAAGCTGCTGCAGCAGGAAATGTGTCCTTTCATTAGCTGTTTGGTAATAATGACGCGTGCATCAACATGTTACCTATTCCGTAATGCTCCGCATAAACCTCCCTTTTACGCATCGGATAAATCATTTATACCAACATTCAAGCAACCCTCTTGTTTCGCTTTTTTCATGTTCTGGCCACCTACTAAAGGGCAAGTAAAGGTAATTAGATGAAACAAAACGATGAAGGGCGTTGTTGTTGTGTTGGTGGTATGTTGTTGGCGCAAATAGGATCTCGACCAACCACAACACCGTGGGAAACTTGGTGATCATCGGGTTTGCAGCCAACAAACGCGGTGCATGACGACGACAACGGCAACGGTGATGACGATATCTTCTTAAAAAGTCAATACCTGCCATAACAATCACGTCCGGTTCGACAGACGGCACAAGCATACAGTAATAAAAGTTCGCGACGGGAATGAAATCACGTCAAGTCACAAATGAAGACGAGAAGAAGTTGAAAGTGAAAGAGAAAAAAGAAACAACGTGGTGAATAGCAGCAAATTAGGATTGGTCTTGATTCTGATGGGTTCAGGGGGTGCATCAAGTTTGCAAGAGTAAGTGTGTGCTTACACGAAATAGAAGTGGGGGAACAGGGAAAATAAATAAATTCTGCTGCTTATTCCGTTTGTTTCGCATCTTTGTTTTCTTCATTTTTCTTTTCTCTCCCAGACTCTCCAACCATCATGGCTTACTTGTGTCGTCGATTGCCAACCCTTCTCCCTGCCGGTTCATTAAGGTATATGCCACATATAGGTCGCATGTCCCCTTTCCTTATCCGCAAACTAGAATCATAGCACTGTTACTAATATTTGACAACATGCTGACAGGAATGCAGCTTGTGTTGGATGGAAACATGTCTGTGACAGACCTCGCTTCATGACGACAGGTAAGACTGTTAATATAAGAGTGGGTGGAGTGGGGAGGGTACGAATACGCGTTTATCGCTAACTGCTCATTTGTACTGTAGCCGCTACGCAAACTGCATGCGAATCTCATGAGCCACACTTTTTGCAGTCTGTGGAAAGCTACTTTGACCATGCTGCCAAGCTGAGCAACGTATCTGAAGGCACACTCAGTCATATCCGTGCCGTCGACAGTATGATTCGTGTCACTTTTCCTATAGAATTGGATGATGGAAGGACTGAGGTGATTGAAGGTACCGTTTTCAAGCTATATTACAGGAATAAATTGCAAAATTATTGATAAACGCGGGAAACGAGGACGATGAGGAGCTAAAAATGTTCATGGCGTATCATATCAGGCTACCGCGCTCAGCATTCTCGTCACCGCTTGCCTGTTAAGGGAGGCATCCGATACTCCGAGGAAGTAGATCTACAAGAAGTGGAAGGTAAAAGAAATCCCGTCATCACTGCCTTTATCTTGACCTCCCAGTAACAAACACTTACTAATGGAAGCTTCTCTAAACCTTCAACCCATCTGTAGCTCTGGCGTCACTAATGACGTATAAATGTGCTGTAGTTGATGTACCATGTGAGTGTCTTGGTAAAAAACCGTTTCAGATATATGCACCTTTACAAATGTTTGGACGCGCACCCTTCTTTTTTCCTAGTCGGTGGTGCCAAGGGCGGTATCAAGATTGACCCATCACGCTATACATTGGACCAGCTGGAGCGAATAACCCGCCGCTACACAATGGAGCTGTGTCAAAAGAAGTTTATTGGCCCAGGCGTGGACGTGCCAGCACCAGATGTCGGCACAGGCCCAAGAGAAATGTCGTGGATTATGGATACCTATCGTCAGTTTAACCCCGACGACATCAATGCGCAGGGCTGTGTTACTGGCAAGCCACTAGCACAGGGCGGTGTGCGTGGTCGTACAGAAGCCACTGGTCTTGGTGTATACTATGTAAGTCTATATACTCTAGATCGCGATCGAGAAAAAGAAAGCAAACACAATATAATACAATTTTAATCCGACCTGACGAACATCTACGTTATAGGGTGTCCGTGAGTTCCTTACATATCCCGAAATCCAAAAATTGACAGGTTTGACCGGCAAAATTAAGGATACGACCGTCATCGTTCAAGGTTTCGGTAATGTTGGCTACTATGCTGCCAAGTTTTTTGAAAGCAATGGGTAATATCAGGTGGAGAAGAGCAACTGAGACACGATGGCAAAGTGGCGCAAGTGTAGCAGGTGAAGGGGCAAAAAAACTCAACGGATATCAATTTTTCATGTTTACATCAGTGCCAAGGTGATTGGTATCGGCGAACGCGACTGTTCTGTATTCGATCGCCATGGGCTGGATATTGAAGCGCTATTTAAGCATCACCGCTCCACAGGCAGCTTCCGCGGCTATTCAGACAGCGTGGAAATCATTGATGAACCCACGCAAGTGCTTGAACGCGATTGTGACATCCTTATTCCAGCTGCACTGGAGCGACAAATTGGTTTGCGCAATGCTGATAAGATCAAGGCCAAGATTGTTGGTGAAGCTGCCAATGGTCCCATGACTCCTGGGGCACACGAACTTTTGGAAAAGCGTGGCATTGTTGTCATTCCAGACTTGTTACTCAATGCCGGCGGTGTCACCGTATCTTACTTTGAATGGCTCAAAAATTTGTCCCATGTCCGCTTTGGTCGCATGAACAAGAAATGGGACGAGTCAGTGCGTACAAAGTTGCTGACCGTAGTCGAGGAGAATGCCGGCCGAGTCTTGACAGAGGCTGAGCGCAAGCAGATAGTTCATGGTGCAGAAGAAGCAGACTTGATTTATTCTGGTCTAGAGGATACCATGATCAGTTCATGTGAAGGTGAGAAGACTCTCATTTTTGTGACTATGGCTTATATATAGTGTGTCAATCTTACCAACTGGATACATGCTCATTATTGCACATAGAAACTCGACAAACAGCCAATCTCAAGAAGGTGGATTACCGAACTGCAGCCTATATCAACGCAATTCAGAAGATTGCCACTGTCTATGAAGGCTCTGGCATGATATTTATGACGTAAAAGGCGATAATAAAACCTTTTGTAATGTGCTTTGTTGCCCTCTTCAACATTATGTGCATGTACTCTGCGACAATCTATACATACATCCTATTTATTAAGCAAGGGAAGGTGTTTCTGGGAGATCAAATTCTTTGTTTGACCAGCAATATACAGGGGCCCACAGTAATTATCCTCTTCTTCCATTTGATTCTCTCTGTCAGTAAGTAGCCAATTCACTTCTTTGACAGTAACTCTCTCCCGATTCCAAATTTTATGATGCCCTCCAACTTTTCCCTAGAAAGAAAATATACGAGTTTGTTTCCAATAGATAGTTGTATTGAGAAAAAAAAAAAAGAAAAAAAAGAGGAGGGGGGCTATCATCATCTTGGTAATAAACTTTGTCGAACCTGATTTGAGACGTGAAATGTGAGCTTCAAAGACTTATGGTTGGATAGGTCAGTAATTTGTGAACTTACTACGACAGGAGAGCACGCGCGGATGCTTTTGTCGTATACTGCGCGCGAGTTTATCCTTCTTTGTGAGCGGTATACGATCAACAACAGTCATCGCCTGCCGTCGCCCGAATAAACGCGGTAATGGTCATGATCGTGATCGTTATATATGTTGGATAAAAAAAGCCCGAGCGACATGGAGAAGGGGGCGCCGCCGGGCCCGGTTATTTTGCTTTTGTCATATACTGCGTGTTTCTTCGTATGCTGCTTGTTCTTTGTTTGCGGCTTTGTCAGATTTTTCTTTTTGTTTAACCTTTAGGGAAAAAGGTTCAGTCACGGTTGGATATTAACCTCGTCACGGCCATTGCCTTGCTTACATTGGATCAACGTCCCTCCCAAGAAAGGGGGCCTACAGCCCCCAGTTTCGCACATCAAGTACGATCAAAGTGTCCTTCTCCAGCAAAAGTGATCTGCCCCAAAGTTCTGAAATGCACCAGGTCTAGAACGTCAAGCCGCTGGCCACCGCCAAAGAATGATGATGATGATATTTGAGTGTGTATACTATTTTGCCATTGTCGTGTGTTGCTGTGTTGTTGCTATGTCGATGGAGTGATCCATTGCCTAAAGCTGTGTTGATGACCGAAAAGCTCTTTTCAATATGCCATCCGAAATGGTAAATCAAACATCCATCCGTCACTTGAATACTTCGTCGGAAACAGCCCTCCTCTTTCTTCTTTTTCTCGATTACAGGCACATGTACACCTCGGCCAACCCTGACTCTGATATCTGGATGCTTTGCTCATGGTCTTGTTACGTATTGTATTCACAAGCATTGTGGGTTTGTTTTCGACGCGCATTGAAATATCTGGTTGATCCTATGGAACCCGAAAGCAACCGTCCTCTCTGTTGCCGTCGTCCCCGCCATCGATGTCTTATTGTTCAAACGGACAAGCAAAGTTTCTGTTAGCTACAGGCGTAGCTCGGAACCTTTTTTATTCCTTTGCCTATCAGGAATCTTAAGCACCAAGAATGTCGGAACTGTTGACAACAGTAACACTTTTCAAAAGTGGGTTATTTACAATGTATAGTCGAAAGCACTCGTACTTATAAAATATGAAATAGATTGTGTACCTTGATTAAGTGTTATGAAATGCTGTCGTTTTTGAGAATGCATAGGACAGGTGGAGGAAGATCGTCCTTCGGCATCACCCAGCGGTTGAGCTCGGGCCGGTATGAAAGTGCGTGCGGCCGGGTAGCACACACAAAAGAAGGGTCTGAGACAGACAGAGAAAAAGAGAGAGGGGGAAAGTCGCGAACTCCACATGTGTAATCCCAGAAAAAGAGCCGATGTCCTTTTGGAGACTAGGCAACTAAGCTGCCGTGTAACCTTTTATTTTTTGGTCGCGATGTCCGCACAAGAAGAAGCGCTGCAGTGTGTTACTGTGTGCACAACCGGCCAGCTGGCTGGCATAAATAAGGGGGCGGAAGCTCGCCAAGAAGGTTTGCCCTTTTTCTCCCTCTCTCTCTTTCTCTCTGTAACTCTAACACATTCACACAAACATCAAACATGCCTGGTTTCCCTGTTGACGGTTTCTTCTACATCAAGTCGCAAAAGAACGGACTCGTCCTCGATATCGACGATGGCAAGACCGACGTAAGTATCACCCCTTCTCACTCGAGGGATATGACCGAGTCATGTTCATTTGAGTCTCCAGAAAGCAGATAAGGCTCTGCTGCTGGAAATATTTATACGCGTATTGATTTCTTTTATATTAGCCCGGAGCTTCGTTGATCATGTGGAGCCAGGTAAGTTACTAAGGTGGAGGTGTATATATCATGATATGAGTGGGTGGATACCTTTTTCGGTGATTACTGAAGCGAAAACATGCATGCGCGCTTGTTGAACGAAAACATTAGAAAGCAGCTGATGCTGAGGATAACGATAATCAACTCTGGCGCTATGCTGACGGTTTCGTCACCAACAAGAAGTCTGGTCTCGGTAAGTTCATATCTATTACCCATATCAGTTTGCTATTCTTTTTAAGTATGCACCGAGAAACTTGACTTTTATATTTGCGGTATTTTATAGTGTTGGATATTTCTGGAGGTAAGTTGATATCGGGGACGAGTGGCGTTTGAAGCACCAATAATAGTAGCAGCCTGAAAAATCCAAAATCTTGAGAGGTTGAGGCTTTAACGGGAAGTGGCTAATGGGAAATGGTCGTGTGTGTAGGCGACTTGAAATCCGACAAGCAAATCGTTCAATATCCTCGTAAATTGACAATGTAATACAAAAAAAGAGCCAACGTTATACAAGCAGTGGCGCGATGTACACAGTGGAACCGGACTGACATGATTTTATGGTGAAATTTATATATAGGACAAGTAACCAACGATTCGGTCTTCGTGATGGCTTCATTTATGCACGTGCCGACCCGCGTCTGGTACTCGATATCAGGGTAATAGAAAGCAAAGGAGTTTGGGCAATACTTGAATGGCGGAGAAGAACAAGAGTTATTAATGCTTCTTTCTTTTTCCTTTCTTATCTGTTGTGATTGACAGGGTGATGATGATGCTGAGGGTGCCAAGGTTCTTTTGTACAAGCGCAAAGAAGCGGAAAATGACAACCAACAGTGGGTTGTTGAGCCTCTTGAGGCGTAATTTTTGCAAAGGGGCCTATTGTTGCCACTTCGCTAATCTTTATCATAAACACTTGATGTATAAGTGTACGCTGTAGTAAAGGAGAAAAGATATAATAAAGCTATACCTATCGTGAAACGATTTGAACTCACATTTAGCCTGGTACTATTGTAATATGCACGCGTGCTTGTTAGGGCACTCGATTATTTTGAAGGCGTCTTCTATGTTACAGTATCAACTTGCACGGTGCTATATATGACGGCGACTTCTATATAAAAGTTACATTGCAGCCAATAATGTGTGTATATGATGACTCGCATCAAAATTTATAACGCGGGCTTCCAGGTATAGAATACGTGATCATTTGACAGCAAAGATTTTATAATAAAATATGTATTGTGAGCTTCATGTAGAGCAGAATAAGTTGTATTGTATGTATGGACAATAGTTTATTGTCTTAAAGAAAAGGAATGAGAAAAGAGGTGTAAATAGTAGAAAACTTCAATGTCGATGTCCCTCATTGGCGGTATGTGCTACAAAAAGAATGGATTAGCATGATCTTTTTTCTATTATGTTTTTGACTGTGCATGATTTTTAGGCTAATATTGAGCTGGCGACTTTGGTCATATATTTTTCAGTTTGTATACCAAAGGTTGTACCTGTCGACGTGTTTTGTACCAATCCGATCCGTGTGTGCCGTTGGGGTTTTGTGCTTATGTATAAGGATGTATACGGGGTGTTTTTTTTCTATACTACTAGAAATAATCATTGTCAGCTTTTCCAATCGATCGTTGCACTTACCAATCAATGAGGGGGGACGACATATGAAGCGAAAAATAGCATATAGAAAAAGAAAAGAGGGTAAAGGAACTTGGGACAATGTAGGATGTAAGTTCTTGTGACAGGCTGAATGATGGTCTATTTTCGTATCAGTGCTTTAGTTCATATACGCTCTTCACATGGCAATGACATTCCGTCAATCATGTCAAAAATTAGTAACTTACCACAATTGCAGTATTGACGATACGTCTGCAGACATTTACGGTCGCGTATGGCGAGCATCGCATCCGTGGATTGTTCGTTCGCATTTGGCACAATAAGCCTTGACCAGTGTGTAAGGTGGCAGCTGCTTTCTGTAAGCTTGTATCCGAAATGGTTCGTCCATAGTATCTTTACTACACCGACAGTACGGCATGTTGAGCTGTAGCTTTTGGTGTCTGCATTGTCGTCGCAATTGATGAGCTAGCCAGCACGACGCACACAGAGCTCATGTGGATCTGGATGGTGAGAGTAGTCCTGCTGCTACTGCTTATATTGGATGTTGATGACAACCGTGAGTCATTGGTTGTGCTGTTTGGTTGACCAACTTGGCACTTGTCGTATGTCGACGACAGCCGCAAAAATGGCCGATGAACGTACTGACTACTTGAGCACTTTAGCATCGTTGACGATCCATATGGATTGCTGTGTGTGCTGCATGCCAAGCGTTTTGTAGGTACTGTCACTTGCTGCTGCCGTTACAAGTTCACAATGACACGTCCTTGGAATTCCCTCTTGTGATCGTTGGTAGTGTTATTAAGTTTGATTGATCCGCTTTGTTGTGTGTGCTGCTTATCCAAGGACCTAGTGTTGAAGCCAATCATTGCCAGCAGACCATGTGTTGTAGATAGCCGCGTGGATGGACCGGCCTGTGAAGTGGCAGACATGTCATTGTGTGTTGGACGATGTTGAGTCACTAGGGTGGTTGTATCATATGTGACGTTTTCCGGCAACGTTGATTTATTTGTTGATTGCTGCCGTCATAAATGCTCGCGGATGATATGCCTCGGCTGTGTGTGCTGTCGTTTCGCCGCGTTCGATGATTATCATTGGATTTCCGATCGCTTGTTGTTGACCAGCATGGGGGGGGGGAAACAGTTGTAGATGAACAAAGATTGGTGCCATCCGTTGCTTTGTCGCATTCAAAGTTGCTTACTCCTCGCAGCTGAAATGTGCTAGCCTCACATTGGGACCGCCAAACCCCAAAGTGCCTCCTCCGTGGCTGGGCTGGGCTGCTGTCGCATTCGAAGATTGGATGGTAAAACGTCCATGTCCATGGAGATAGAGACATATAGGAACATGATTGTGCACACCAAGTTGAACTGTCCGACCTTCAGAAAGCTTTCTTGACCAGCTTCTTTCTGATTATCAGTTCGCCTGAGCTTGAGTTGGTGATATCGATTTGCCAGACTTGATATCCACGGCTAATACTTGAATCGCTGTCACACTGCTGTCAAGAATACTGTGATCCTCGGATTGTAGGTCGATAGCCTCCGCATGAGAACCGATTGTTGGTAGATTTCATGCGTCTCCTCCATATTGCTATGTTCTTCTATCGCACATCTGGTCGCTGCTCTTCTGTTCAAAGACATAACCGATCATGACGGTTTGGTTGATGACATGAACGATAGGTTGCCTTGGTTCGATTGATAGAAAGCGAAGCGGATATACCAATTTCGCTCGATGGAATTGTTCTGCTTGTAAAGACCAAGGGAATGCGCGTCTTGGACATGGCCGGCAGGATGCCAATACTTGGGATAGGTGCCACATTCTTGATGAGTTGTCGCGGCTCGATGATTTGCCTTCGTGATAATAGCATTCTTTTAAACACTCTTTTCGCCGATTTGATATAGCAGCAGAAGCAGAAGCAGCAGCGACCCACTCGAAATGAACGTCTTTGACTTTTTTGAGAAATTTAGGTTTCGATTATTTGGAGATCAAGCGCGTACTTTCAGGAAACACCCGGTTTCGTCTCCGAGACCAGGATCAAGCCAAAGACGGGATTCTCCACTCCTCCAAGCGGAAACACTCCCTTGCCAGGGGAGAACGTTCCAAGCCGCCAAAGCCCACAGTAGTAACCATCACTGGCACCACTCGCCAACGGAAGACACCCCAGCTTCAGGAATCCTCAAAGCAAAGGCAAGGGAATGAACGGGGACTTACATGGCACACTGAACTACAACCGGTGGGTGATCCAGGATATGAAGGGCGAGGATAGCTCCGGCAGAGCTTTGGGCGGCGGGGATTGGTGGAACAGCACTACTCTGGTCGCAAGGGTGTGCAGGAACACCATCCACATGAGCTGGAGCTGACTGAAAAGACAACCTCAAGAAGGAATATCATAAACTCCTAGTAATTGGCGCTTCTTCGCCTTCTTCACACCACATCCGAGTTGAATGCGATATGAAGAAGGGAAGAGTGAATGGAAAAAGGATTATTAGTTGGTAAGTCTCTTCTTATTGACATGTTCGTCTTTCATTGAGTATTAAAGAAAATATAGTACTTCCCGTAATCATACAAGTCCGACGCCTTGGGTTTGTCAATTGCTGTCATGAACCGTCGCTGTACATGTGCCTCGATGATGTTTTTCCTGCTACCCAAACAACCAGAGCGGTGTTCCCCTCCCCACCACCGGCTGTGCCGTCCTCGCTATCCCCATTGCTCTTCATACCTCTTCACCCCCGGTGGCTGTAGCCAGTGCTACCAATGCCTCACCCACCCCTTACCTTTACCCGAGGAAACCATCCACTGAGGTGTCTTCCAAAACCGTCCCGCCAGACGGTCGCCACACACAGAGTGCAGCGCACACAAGGCCGCAACAGCCATGACCTATTAATAACTCCCTTTAATCAACGACATGCACACACGGAAGACTTTAACTGATGTTATCAAGGTATCTATATTTACCTGTTGTCCTACACGGACTCGCGTCCAAAGACAGACATGAAAGTATCTGCCACAACAAAGACAGCAGCACAGATAGCAGTCTATATTAAAAAAATAGATTTGGTATCTAACGATTACTCCTGATACCTACAGCCACACTATAAACACGTATTGAAAACGCTGCCCACGTAGATACACCATATGGCGCACCGAAAAACGCCAAGAAAAAAGCAGCAGAGCGGAAAAGTAGGAGTAAGAACAAACGGAAGAGGAGGACCAGGAGGAAGAGGAGGAAAACACCGACAACACGACACGACAAAACACCTAGTAATCGACCAAAAAATCAAAGCATTCATTAGAATTGGTAAATACAACGCGTGGATTCATGATGTATCAATGTAAATAAAACTTACCGATCAACTCGTCGAACCACGCATTATCCTCGTCCGCTTCGGCTTGAAGCTGAAAACGGACGGCATCTACATCAACATCACCGGAGGGGGAGGGCGGAGACAGAGGGGCGGATCCAACGGCGGTTGCCGTGGCAGGTTGTGTGGTGATAGTGGCGGAAGTAATGGTCGTGGCAGGAATGTCGGGATTTGCGGCACTCAAGAGGTCAGAGACCTCTTCGTCGAGCACCGTTGCCCGTTGTAAGATTTCAAACCAAAAGGAGGCAATACCCTCATCATTTGGCTGCACAGCAGGAGTGTCCTCACGCGTAGCGGCAGAAGGCATAAACACGGGTTGATTGCCGATAAACAGCGCATCATCCGCTTGCACAACGCCAGCCTCAAGTGTATCCTCGCCGGCTGCGGGTTCATCATCGTCATCTGGCAGAGGCACACTTGCAGAAGCGGCTTGCGCAGATCTGTATTGTCTCATCGGGACAGGCACTGCAAAGGAATCATCCTGAGCTGGCCCCACGGGAGCGTCCACAACCGAAGCGAGAGAAGGCATTGGGTTGGAAAATTGAGCGTCTTGCGACATAGAGTCGCACGACTCCTCCATTTGCACATCCTCGTGAATCAGTGTATCCTCAACCGTGTTGTCAATTGGCAGGGACGCACGCACCGAAGTGGTGGTTTGCTCTTCAGGCAGGGACTCGCACGCCGAAGCGGGAGTATGCTCTTGGTGCAGGGACTCGTATGCCGAAGCGTGAGTTTGCAAAGCGTATGGGTTTTGAATGGCAGAAGAATCATCTTCATACCACGCGGAAGCGTCCATCCCCAAAGTCAGGGAAGCCATTAAGTTGGCGAGCTCATCGTCATACGACGGCTCCTCCATCTGGACATCCTCGTCAATGGGTGTGTCCTCGACCGCGTTTTCATGCAGGGACGCGCGCACCGAAGTGGCCGTTTGCTCATGCAGGGACTGACACGCCGAAGCGGCAGTATGCTCAGAAGGCAGGGACTCGCACGCCGAAGCGGGAGTATGCTCAGAAGGCAGGGACTCGCACGCCGAAGCGGGAGTATGCACAACGTCAGAAAAATGCATCGTTTGCACGTAATGAAACCGATGCTGTACGTCTTAGATACTCTGCTCGGCTACTGCTTTCTGTTTTTATTGTATGATACTATCTAAGAAGCGAAGGTTTTATTTGCATCTTTCTTTGCTCCCCACTAACAACGTTATTAATCGTGCTTGTATAATATAGGACTTTGTAGAGATCAGAAAATTTATTATGATAACGGCATTTCTTTAAGTACAGTATGCATAATAATAGTATCATACTATGATACATTGATCTTTACATTTACATATTTTTTCAGCGGTATAGCAGTATTTACAGAGCTTACAAAAACATTTATCCATTCCTTTTCATTACATTTTTCATCAGCTATAGCGTCACTTTTAAAGTAGACCCTTTTGCTTGCAATAGGGTAAATTTATAGCTAGAGCATACAATATGCGAATGATCATAAGCAAAAAGGGAATGATTTAATGAAGCGCTTTCAAGTTACTGAAAAAACAAAGGATGGTGATGTAAATGTATGGAAAACTTGTATGCAATAAGGTATGATGATTATAACTTTTTAGTTAATATGTACAAGGAGACCTTGTGGCCGCCTATGGCTATCGGTTTGATTTCATTAATATCCCATGTTGCTGCACACCATGGATAATCCAAGACTCGGTTCAAAAGCTTGTGTCCTTGTGTTACGATATATGCTTTTCCTTTCGATCTCAAAACTCTGCTAATTTGCTTCATGAACCTTGGATAAAGCTATCAAGGAGTATGAATATAGGACTAAATGAAAGCAGTGATGTCGTTGTCTGTTTTCTTAATATGAAAATATAGAACTTACTCTTTGGATTGCCAAAAAAGACCCTTCTCGTAAGCCCCATGGCCAGTCTTGATATTAAGGATCATATAACCACATTATGATTGGATCAGTTATGATATGGAACTAGGCAGAACATTTGTTTGTAAAATCACTTTACCTGTCAGTATAATATCCACACTATCATCTCGGAGACATAGACACCGGCCATCGCCCAGCATAAGCTCAGTATTTTGTACACCAGAATGCAGTACATTTCCTCTTGCTTTTTCGCATAATGTCGTTTCATGAACTACATATCGAGTTGCTCATCGATTAGTATATACACTATGTTGTATCTCAATTACTCGAGATCCGTCCCCCACTATTATAGTATCATCATTTACCTTCACTTCCAATCCATATTGCATCAGGATAACACGACGCGCCTTCAATCGGGATGGTGCCTGTGCCACAGCACATATCCAATACCACCTGTCCTGGACTTGGATTTGCCACTTGTGCCAAACAATACGCGATACATGGATTCAAGCTTGTTTTTCCAAAAAACTGGCGATTTCGGTTTTTTACGACATTCGTTTTGATTGTCACGCCCACCATCAATAGGATGGGTGGATTTTTCTTCATCTTTTTCTTTTCATGCTCATAATCACCACCGTCATGTTGGTTTTGAGGAACAACAGCAATAAGATCCAACAAGCTGTGATTTGCCGTACGCGTCCACAAGCCAACCGCTTCGTAATTGAACTGTTCCAGATTGACCTTGTAGTCTGGATACTGGGTGCCGAATCCAAATCCGATCCAACTTGCCAATTCGGGTGTTTTGATGGAATGCGTCAATTCTTCTTTATAAAACGTGCCGCGAAAGGTCGTTTTTGTCGTTGCTGCGGTGTTATCGTTGTTTTCATCTGTAGTGGGGCCATATTGAAGCGATGTAACGTAAGGATCAAAATCGGTTGCTGTAGCGGTATCCGCAATAATTTGACAGGTCTTTTCACGATCTTCAAATATCTCTTCGGGTAGCACAACCATGGACGCGACAAGCACGATATCTCGAACGCTGAGCAAGTGTATTGACTTTATCATTGTGACAAGTGCTGAAAGGTCAATTGAACAAATCAAGTGGACCCGACCTGTGTTGGGATCGGCCACGATCGTTGTTGTTATTGTTGACTGCTGTTGTTCTTGCAACTTGGGTGCTAGCTTTGAATTGACTTCATTCTTTGCAACGAACTCCAAACCTGCACCGTAGTTGGTTTAATTATTTGTATACGTCAACTACGCGAGTATAGGGGGTTGTATAATTGTTGAATGGGTGGACTGAGACTAACCTTCCGGTACATGGAATACGATATGGACAAGTTTGGAGTTTGGCGGCGTCGCCTTCGTCGTCGCCATTCAGGTTCACCAAAGGGGAAAAAAAAAAAGGTAGGCGGGGTTGCAGCCTCGTAAATGGTAATAAAAATAGTAGGAGAGAGAGCTGGAGCTTAGTTTCTTTGGTTGACCTAAAACTTGCTTTTTCAAAAAAATGAGTTCTTCGATGGAAATCCCAAAAGCTCTTGTTGCTAGAGTCGCCCGTGCTTTTTATGATCCTAAATACATTGTGATTCTTGATGAGCTGAACAACTCGACACCAAACAATACGGGGTAAAGATCTTTAAAGCTTTAGATTCATATAGTATACAAATCTATATATATTACATAATTGTTACTTTTTTTTTGTAAATTGAAGCAAGTTTCACTAAAATGATGATTGCCACGATCATTACTATTGAACAATCACTGTTTTGCTAGTGTTCGTGAAGAAGATCTAGTAATGTCGTTAAAAATGACACCGCGCGATATCCATAGAATATGCGGAAAGCTTAAAGAAGATCGATTATTAAAAATGTGCGTAAAACAAAAACACCACCGAGAAATACCAAAGACTCCAACAGCCTCTATCTACACCATCATTTATCATTTGTGCTTGCTTTTGCTTTTCGGATTTCTGTTCGACTAATACTTGTTCGTTATTAATTAAACAAAAGGGCGACGCGTATGGAGGCTCGTAAACAGGATCAACGACCCGTACCAAAAACATACTACTATCTCGACTACAAAGAATTTGTGGATGTGGTCAAGTGGAAGATGTACAAGATGCAAACGAACGTTCGTGACAATCTGCGAACGGTAATACGCACCTACATCATCATCCTTTTTGAACACCAACACCGTATGATGGATCTAATAATATGATCATTTTTGAATCCTAAACCTTTACTCTTTTTTGACCCATAGGAATCAGAAAACAAGGGTTACATTTGCTCAAACTGTCAACGCCAATATTTGCCTTTAGAGGCCGTACCACTGATGGACCCAACGGACGGACTTTTCCATTGCGACGCCTGCAGCGAAGTTTTAGTCGAGAACGATAATGCTGAAAGCGTACAAGGAAGCCAGCAGGAACTGACACGGTAAAGAAACAAAAGAAAGAACGGCCAAGGGGATGATACTGAACATGGATTCAAGAGTCTAATGATATGTTATTTTGGTTTTGATCGTGTATAACCTAGGTTACGAGAACAGTCTCAACCTATCATTTCTCTATTGAAACAGACCGATACATTAACAATTCCAACAAAGTAAGTGGTTTCTTTTCCAAGGATTACTCTTTGTCATCAGGGACTTGATTGTACTAACTTGCTCATTATCTATAAAAAAAAGCTATATATTCAAACCAATTGGTGTTGCAGCACGTGGCAATGGTGCATCACGAGGTATTTGCATGCTATGTAGCATGAAAAGGATCAGACAGAGAGAAAAAGCAACACATTTTTATGACTGATGCTTTATACTACAGAGGAACACGAGCTTGCTATTGCGCAAGATACAGGTGCTGGACAAGGTGAAATCATTGTCGATCTGCAAATGGATAACGAAGCAGCACGACGGGCAAAACTGGAAGAGGCGGAAGAAAAGCGTCAACAAAACATGCTTCCTGTATGGCATCAACGAAGTACTGTTTCCGATTCGTTGGCCGGCACTGGCGATCGTCCACAGGATAAAGAAAAGAAGGAAGAGGAAGAGACATTTGATGAGGTTGCTACAGAAGAGTTTGATGCCGATAGACATGATTGTAAGTTTCTTGAAAGGGAGAGGAGGATATATGTGTCAGCATTGGAGAAGGGTGTTACTTACCGCTATTTGTATGATGTAGATTATGCAAAGTACTACGAATCTTTGAGTGCAGCTGCACCAGCAGGCGATGCAAATGCCTTGGATGTAGATGAAGATGAAGAAGAGTTCGAAACAGTTACCAATGGTAATGATTACTATAGCCCTGATACCAACGGTGCTGGACAAAGGTTCGTGGTTTGCATATATAAAAGATTACGTCGTTTCTTTATTAAACATGATATGCTAAATGTGACTTTTGACTTTTGATGCAGAGCACCAAGCGAGGACGAGGGATTGGAAGAGTTTGGAGAGGATGAAGATATTCCTTTGGTATCAGGTAAAATTAATCAGATATTTACCGCGATCCTTCAACAGAAAAGTCTTTTACTAAAAGGGGATATGTCTAGTTAATGGTCGGATGGTGCCTCTGAATGAAGTGATGGAAGAAGACCAACGAAATATGACTACAGAAGAATACAAGGCATACTATGAAGCATGGCAAAATTGGCAGGCTAGCTAGACAAAAAGAAAGAGGTACACTTATACATATATGTGTGTGCGTTTGATTTCTGCAAAATGACATATATTATATATGATGAACCGAATGTTGTTTTTTAAGTGGAGAAAAAGATGTACTAGAAAGAAAGAAAAAAAAACAAAGGAGTGATAGATAGGAGAAGAGCAAAGTATGGTACAAATGATGTAGAGAAATAGAGAGAGACTATGTGTGTGTGCTGTGCGTTGTGTGTTGTGATGTTATTTGAGCAATTATGATATTTTAAAGTGATGTTGTTGACAATGGTTCAGCCCTCACTTCTGCCCAGTCAATTGCTGCTTCTTTTTCTTCGTCGACTAGACCTACGGTGACACTGTATATATCATTGATAGATTAATAACTCGCGTGATAAACACAATGCTGATACTCTATCCTTCTTCCTCACTATGCATGTGTGTACACTTCTACCCGTCTATATAATTACATGCTGTCACCGCGGACGAGGTATAAACCGAGAGGAACCACTTGGGTGCCATCCACGGATGAGAACACGCGCTCCTCGCAATTTGTTAGGATCACATTCGCCGTTTGATCGGTTCCTTTTAAGATTCCCTACGAAACGAAAAAAAAAATATATATATAAATTCGCGCATATGCGCCAATCAGCATGTTGTTCGCTATCCACTTCCTGTTTTTGGATATAGTAATCGCTCTATGAAAAGACATACAACCAAAACGCGCCCATCTAAAGTTATGACAAGTACGGATTCTATAACATTTCGTTTAGTCACAATAACAAGGAAAATAAAGGTAGTAGCTTTCACATGACAGATTTTTTATTAGTGTATGTGTATACTTACGATCGACATATGGTTGTAATAAGCTCATTATTGACGGAAATGTGTATAATCGAGAAGAGGGGAAAGAGAGAGTGGGTTTTCTGTTCGTTCGTGTGACGCCAAAGTAATACACCACTAAACCTGCCTCTCTCGCTCGCTGCGTATTTGAAGTGACTGCTCTGTCAAAATCAAAGGCATGAAGCACACCCAAAAGTGGAAACCTAGTGATTTTGTTCTCTCGCTTTGTTATTTGCTACAATGAAAATCGCGTTCATTCATCCCGATCTCGGCATTGGTAATTGACAAAATAAAAGATAGTCTTGCCAACAACTACATGAAATAGCACGCTTAATATTGCCGGATTTTGGTGGGTGGGGGTTTCTTTCATAAGGTGGAGCCGAACGACTGGTCGTCGATGCTGCTGTAGGACTTCAATCGAAAGGCCACGACGTTGTGTTTTATACGAGTCATCACGATCCCAAACATTGCTTTGAGGAAACACGCGACGGTATATATATAAGACATATACTTTGTATCAACACACACACACACATATAATATGCTAGCTCAACATAAAAATCAATTTCATGTTGGGTGGTAATATCAGGCACGCTTAGAGTCAACGTACGTGGTGATTGGTTGCCTCGCACAATCTTTGGTCGGTTTTATATCCTATGCGCAATTCTTCGACAGATTGTGCTTTCGCTTTCATTGATATACCAAGACGATGAAAAGTACGATGTCCTATTCATTGATCAATTAAGCGCATGCATTCCCTTATTTAAATCATTGAGCTCCGCGCGGGTAAAGTTCGAGAACATGATTGTTTCGTGTGCATGAATTATTGGCTAATTGCTGCTGTTGTTAATTTCTATTTAGGTGCTCTTTTATTGCCATCACCCGGACAAACTGTTAACTACTCGCAAATCACCTCTGAAGAAACTATATCGTTTACCGGTTGATAGACTTGAAGAATGGACTACAGGTGAAAAGAGCATTATTATTAGTTATACTATTCCGAGCTACTTAGTATGTCTGGACATGAAAGAAAGAGCCAAACTAATACTTTTTTATATGTTTTGGTTTCTAAGCAATGGCAGATTCGATTGTTGTTAATAGTGGATATACTGGCACTGTCTTTAAAGAGTCATTTCGATCCATCCAACAAACACCTCAAATCCTTTATCCACCCATCAATTTCAGTGGCTATGATCGGTCCGTTGATCTAAATGATGAATCAGTAAAAATTCTGCAATGGTAAGCTTTTCTCTTTGCTCGAACGAGCATTCTTGCTGGCATACAGACTAAACACAGCAACTGGGATGATATATAGTCCTCAAAAGATGTTAATCTCCATTAACCGGTTTGAGCGAAAGAAAAACGTGGAGCTGGCTCTTCGCGCATTTGCCTCGTTGAAAGACATGGTATCTACTGAAATGCTTGCTAAATACCGTCTAGTACTTGCTGGTAAGAGTTCAAATGCATTTATATCGCGAGAACATATGATTCTCACATTGTGATTCTACATGTACAAGCTGACCCATGATAACAACAAAAAACGATAGGCGGATATGATCGACGCGTTCAAGAGAACGTAGAATATTTAAAAGAACTAGACCAACTGGCCCAAGAAGTCTTTAATTTAAAGACGTTTACGATATACCCTTCATCATTGGAAAAACCACCAGCAGATGTCCAAGTAGTATTCCTTTGTTCATTCAACGATGCGCAACGTACGTTTTTGCTAAGCGAGGCGAATCTGATGCTGTACACGCCATCAAACGAACATTTTGGTATTGTGCCGGTTGAAGGCATGTATGGCTCTGTTCCTGTGATTGCTGTTAACTCAGGCGGACCTGTGGAAACTATCAAGGACAAGGAGACGGGTCTGTTACTGCCTTCAGATCCTGTGGCCTGGGGTAACGGCATCAAGGACATTATCACGGGCAAGTACGATCGGACACAGATGGGTCGGCAAGGGCGTGAACATGTCCAACAAAAATTCTCCCTGGAGGCTTTTGCAGACCAGCTGCAGGGCATTATCAATGATCTCATGGATCAACCTTTCAAAAAGTCAAAGTGTGTACAGTACTTTTTAATAGCTAGTATCAGCATTGCTGCAGTCCTACTAGGAGCATTGTATCCAAGTTTATAATGTAATAATAATAACAATAATAGTACTGCGTGGTCACACCACCACCACCACTTTTTTTGTTCTTTACCTCTCCCTACATATCATGTCAATGAGAAGGACCCTCCTTTCTCTTCCTCCTCTCCAACAAACTCGCTTTGCTGCTTTCCCTCTTTTCACTCCCTTCCTTTTGTTTTGAAAAAAGGGCTCCACGTTGCTAAGGCATATGAGTTGTAAGAAAAGCACGACGTTAGGTGGATAGAGTTCCACGTTTCTCAAGTAATTCTAACCCCTTCTTTTTTTCTACGCCCGCCCCAAAACGAATATAATGAAGAGATCGACTAAGAATTGATGTTATGAAAACTGGATTATTTTAAAGTGTACTACTGCTAATTTGATATGTTCGTGTTGTGGTTGACGACGGGTGTATGTATATCATTTTCAAAAATGAAAGAAGGATATAGAAGGGAAGGAGATAATAAATACGTGTATGTAAGGTGTGTGGATGTGTGGTGCGTGTCTGTGTACTAATGCATATCCGAGTATAATAAGAGAGGGCGTTATATGCTGCGTTGTGCGTGGATTGAGGGAGAGGGGGTGTTTCGCGCGTGTGTGTGTGTGTGTTAAAGCTAAATAGTGGGTTGTTTCTACTACTACTACTACTACTTCTGCTGCTAAATTTATGATGCTTGGTGCTGGCTGTTGATGATGGCATGATAATTTTCAGAGTTACGTTTCAAGATATCGAGGACGGGTCCAAGCAATCGGGTAAATGCTTTTTTGCCCAAGGTGGCACATTTCAGACGACCCTGGGCCACCACTGTTGCAGCACGAGGACTATCATTGAGCAATGCCAGTTCTAATAAGGAGAAGAAGCGCAAGAAGAGAGATCAGTCCGACTTACTCCTTACGTGATAGATAGGATTGCACTGAAATAAACAGACTGCCGTCACTTGGTTTGCTATCACCCAAACCCCAATCCAATCAACCTTGGTCGTCAAAACCCGGTTTTTACCCACCTCCGAAATAAGCAGCTCGTCCCAGTCGATTCACCTCCGTGCCATCCTTGTAAACTACCGCATCGCCCGCTTCAATCATGTAAAATCGATCTCCAATATCTCCCTGAACCACGACCTCCTCGCCATCATTAAAGTACACCGACTCGAGAGCGTCGGCCACCTTGTGTCGTTCATAGGGCTCGAGCGATTTCAGGAGGGGCACCTCCCGCAGGAACGACTCATACAAGCGACGCTTGCGAGACGTGTTTTCCATCAAAATTGTACGAAAGGTGATACGATCCAATGCCCACAAGACGGCGTCTGATGTTGCAATAATAGTCGCTGCTCGAGGGGCATTGTACATGAGCGCCAACTCGCCAAAACTGCCGCCAGCTTCATAACTGGTGACTTTGACGGGCGCCCCTTGTTGATTATCTTTGGCAATGTAGCAATCAAAAGTGCCCGACTCGACCACATAGAAATAATCTCCCACAGCGCCTTGCTCAATCACCTTCTCGTCCTGTTGGACCCGTTTCTCGGCCATGGCATGCACCACATCTTGATACTGCTCTTCGTCGAGGTTACGGAACAGGAAATTGTTTGCCACGCTGACCTTGATCCGCTCGCATTGCTCGGCTGACTTTGGGATCACTTTCTTTGGGTAGTCGCTGCCTGAAGACGGCGTCATGCTCTCGGCACTCACAGACACTCGTCGGTCGCGATTGTATGCTGCGGGTTCAAATGAGATGGGAGAGCCCAAAGTGTCCATCTGCTCGTCTTCATCGTATTCTTCGTCGTCGTCTTCTTCGTCGTCCGAGTAAGTGTACGTCACAACTTGCGGTTGTTGTTGTTGTTGCTGTTGGTGAGGGTCTTGGTGGAAAGGGTGTTGGTGTTCGTTGAGTCCTGGTGCGCTGCCGTTGGGGTCGGGACCACAAGCGTTGTCAGCAGCAGACAGTGGGTGTTGTTCCCCAGAGCCAACGACCATAGGATCGGTGAATATATAGGGCCTTGTGTGGTGGCTCTCCTGAGTCGTCGACAACGGTAGCTTTTCTTGTCGGAATGCAGCGCGTTGCTCTTCGAGCTTGTGGTTGAAAAAGTTGGCGCAGAACTGCAGGACATCTTGAGGACCACCTGCTTGACAGTAATGGGCATGGAGCTCCGCAAGCAGATCATTATATTCATTACTCTCAGCACCGAAACTGAAATTACTATCGATTGTCATTGTTATATGCTGTAGGTATTGTTATTATGTGAGAAGGTGGTATATTAGAAAGGGAAAGAGTAGTGAGAAAAAGAGAGGGATAAAAGAGCGAGAGAAAAAAGGGAAAGCAGCAAATGATTAAAAAAGGTGCTTGTACGCAAAAGGGTAGACGGTCTCATGACAAGTTCTGCGCAATATAACAAGGGGGAAATCAAAAAAGGCTTATGTGTATCTGGTATAAAAACGTTTTTTATTTGCTTCTTATGGACTATAAACACCCCACTTTTCCCCGGGATGAACAACTCTACTTCTAAGCGTACTCCTTGGACACAGCAGCAAACAGCTTGGAGAAGAGATATCCTGCAATAAAGATAGAAAAAAACATGTGAGTTTTCTATATCCAACATACGAGACGACACCCACAAGAAGCAGCCATGTGTGTGCAGTGTGTAGATATCAGATTTTAAGGAACATTCGTTCTTTCAGTGATCATCAAAATGAGCTGGGTTTAATAGCAAAAAAGTCCATTCATCATATACACACGCACAACACAGCATCATGACATACTCTCTGCGGTTGAGACAGTAGAGGGTGTGGGTGCTAAAAGAATATTTAAAACTTACCGGTACAAGAAGAGTCGAGTGAAGAAACACAATTGTGCCGCTGCATCGCAGTTTATATAAGCTTTACAAAAAAAAATTTTTTTAACCGCGAAGAAAAAAGTGACGTGTGTCGGGACTCTGGAAGAACGGAATAGCCGAAACAAAAGAAACCTTGTCAAACGCACACTGCTTTTCTATACAATTGTTATGCCTTACTTGAGACTATATCACCTCCCCTTTTCAAATCAAGTAGCTCTACGACAAAGCTCTTTCTTGACTACCACTTGCTCTTCTTTCTGCAAAGATGTTGCCTTACTCGGGGGACCTTGCTAAGGAAACAACCCGACTCCGAATTGAAAAGCGCGTTCTTCTCGTGTAATTCGTATATTGGACCCTTGAGATAATATCTGGACACCGCATGTCCGCAAAACCGCGAGAGAGTCGAGTACCTGGATGAGCTGTAAATCAGCCTCTCTATGTCTTGATCGCCATTGTAATTGCTGCTAAATCAGCTCCCATGTAAACCGCATACGGCCAAAATTAACGGATCTAGTATAAACTCAACTACAAAGTCAGTCCATCGCTCATATACCGAAAAGACATTGAAACATGAGCAGAACTGTTTGGTCACCAAAGAAGACATGAGTATGGGATACTGTAGTGTATGTAAAGCATCTCAAAATAACATACTTCCTTCGATTGAGTGGATTGATCTAGGAGAGCCATTATGATATAACACAGTACAGTTGATATAGGATCCATAGTTTGGTGAAAGCACGCGCATTCATTTCGATTAAGAATAAGTTCAAAGATAGTAACGCGGAATGTGTGTCTGCCATCTTGCAGTACTAATCAAACTCTGCTACAAAAATGTTAGATGGAGAAATTATGTAGCTTGGAGCAACAGCAAAAGTAACAAGCAACAGTCGATATACATCAGTTATATATGATTCTTTTGCTACTGCCGTCGTTGTAACTGTTGCTGCTGTTGTTGTATAAGCCGCCTATGGATGGCTTTTTCAAAGATGTTCGTCGTCGTCCGCCATATTGGGCAATTTGATCTATTGAGTTTTTAGGCATGACTGGTCAAACGTCGTGCGATACGCCTTCAAGTAATCCTTGAAACTTCGATGCTTACAGTGTTTAATGCACCCGGACACGCTTCTTCACTCGTCTTTAGTCTAGGAAATGCAATGGGTCAGTATCACGAGCATAATAGAAATCAACTCACACACTCACACAAAAGTCCATGGGTTGGACGTCATCGGTAGCAAAACAAAAGCTGGTTTACAAACACGCTCCAAGATGCATGTAACGCCGGACTCCTTGTTTCATGTTGGCCATCATACAAGATGCATTTTGGCCTCTGGCATGCGGGCACACTCCCCTTTTTTTTACTCGATGATATAATGTATCGACAGTAGACAATACTGATCTGCATCAGTGCAACGGCAACGCCGATGATTTTAATTTACTCTAATCGATTCTGCTTCTTGTCGCTTCGGTCAGAATATCGCCCCATTCTTCTTGCTCCAAATCCAGTGCACTAAAAAGCAAACCCGCCGCTGTCACGAAAGTTTCGTGTTTGATTTCTGTTGCTTTACACGTCAATTGAGCACCTTGAGCCTGTTGCCTAGGTTTGTTGAGCATGCCCAGTTCATCACTGTTACGATATACAAAGGAACTACAGTCAGCAAGTTGCGTGCAAGCATACTACTTTTCCATCAGACTTTTCACTTACCAATAATAATTAGCTTATCGCCATGCTTCCATGTATTCTTCAATGGCCTTCCGTCATGCGGAGCAATTTGACTAGTGGCATCATCAAACGCATATTGGCTGCTAATATCATCATAATCAGGCTCTGAGTTTGTGGGCTGATTGATACGTTGCTTTTATGACGAAGCAGAACGATGAGGCTGGGCGATGATGGAGTTGGTGTTGACATCAATACCGTTGTTTGTTGCTTGACGATGATGATGATGATGATGATGATGATGATGATGATGATGGTGAGGCGGTCGGTGTCGTCGATATCATTCAGACCAATATCCTGCTCATCCAAATCGAGCCCTGTGCGCTCGTCAGCATTTTTAAGAAAAACAATAGCAAACCTTCCATCATTTTGTTATGCTAATTTTCCCATAAAAGAAGGATACCCGCGTTATCGCTATCATGATTTCTTGCTGTTGTTGGTTTAGATATCGTACCATGGTCTTTACAATATATTATAGACAAGTTAGTTCATTCTTTTCTGTTTTTGGTAGAACTTACAGCGTCAATAATGTTCTGAGTAAACGCGACAGTGAACCCGTGTTTAGCAAGCGCGTCTTCCATTTCTTTCAAAGCAACATCCCTGTGTAGTGAATAGTGCTGTGATTAGTTTGATCATCGCAAATACTTCCCACTCGCCATTCTCATCGAAACAGTAAAAAATGAGTTTTCTTGATGTGCAAGCAAAAAGAGACGTTGGTTTGTCAAAGTACACCCGCCGAGCACGTATTAACAAAGTTACTCATTTCCCTAGCCTTTTATCATCCCACACTGCTGTTATTCTACGCTGTGTCGCACTCTTTTCGCATTTTATCATTACAATGTACTGTAGCATTTTTAAAGGAGTCAATATCAAACCCCTGCTAAGAAAGTGCAAGCGTGTTCCTTGTGAGCTGGGATGAATTGATTAAATTGCCCTTGCGTAGTTGGTCTGTGCATATCCCACAATGGTGACAGTGTATCGAGCTGGGAAGCAGGAACAGATACATAAGGGGAATCAGGACCAAACAATAATCGATTCGTACACCAAATACAACAAGGGTTTCCAGCTGCGGAAGTGATTGCAGTCAGCTCGCTACATGAAGTACAAAAACACAAAAAAGAACCAACAGAGATGTCAGCGAGAATTCATTACTATGAGATCGTATGTCATCGACGTCTTTACACTCGCCAACTCTTCCAGTGTATAATAAATTCACTGCCGTGTGAGTGGTCTATAACGTATATTCATTAGCCGGCTGTGGTAATTTTCCGACAATGTATGTTTTAGCGAAGTATCATACCAAGACGGGTGCATTACCATAATTGACTTGTAATTGTTAAGCTTTTTCCAAATAGGTTTGAACATGGCTTCACCGAGTTATCGACCGCCACAAACGGTCATGGCAACAGTATCGACAGCTTGCTTTTGTGTTCCAAAGATATACCTAGTCGGATTCATCGCGCAAACCTTGGGCATCTGTCCAGTCAGGCTTAGAAGCGAAAAATAACATACGGTCCGGATGATGAATGGTAATGGCTGCGACTTGGTCGTTGAGTGCACGTGTAAGTGTGCGCCCTCATAAGCGTTTCCGGCAATAACTGGTTCTAGCGCTGTTACTGTAAAATGACTCGATGCACGTCGACGCTTTTCATGATTTGCAAATATGCCTCCTCTGCTTCAAGTAGATGTTAGAATACAGTAGCGGGATGGATTGCTGCCACCTTGTCTATGGCTTCGCTATAGCTTTTTGCTATGACGTGGATGTGAATATCGATAAACGAATCAATAACCATGTGCATTCTTAGCCAAGACAAAGAAGGGAGAAAGAGAAAATGGGTTATAAAAAGAATGATGGAATGGAAAGAAAATTGAAGAGCTTTATATATGTGGATTTCAGTGGAACTACAACTGAAGCTTCCAGGCCTGACATGAGAGCCCACTCTACCCGCATATTTCTACATCATAGCATTTTGTTCCTCATTTTATATTACAAATGGCCCGTTGAGTTTTATGACAGCATCAGATGCTTTTTGCTAGTGGTACTTAAAGTACAAAGTTGTCTCATATGCAACTATGTTTAATGGATGGTCTTTTGCCGAAGCGAACCACATGTTTACCTACGACCAGACAGTATACTCGTCACATCATCTACTACATTTTATAGTCTGAAGGAATAACGGCAACTTAGTTCATTCTCAGGTTGGGTAAATGTTCATTATTTTACGGACGGTTGCATATGTACGATAGCAGCAAAATAGGCCAGACACTGCATTTGTTCCCTGTGACCTGATTACTAGGTTAGCTCTGCTTCGACACACTAGCACACTTGAGACCTTTTCATCCGACGCTTGGACTTCAGCTTTTCCAAACGCTTTTGTCATTTCTTAAACTAATCCCTTCCCTGCAGCCTGATCCCTCTATACAGACCATGGTTGTACAAAGTTAAAAAAACAATTACTCTTTTTCTTTTTTTTAATCAAAAAACAAATTTACATTATATAGATCTATAAAGTTCTTTTTCTTCAGTTTTGCAGTGGTGGTGGTATGTACGGTTTTTTCCCAATTTCCTCTTTGCTGTTAATGGTGGACGGGCTTGGAGCCTAATTGCGCAAAAAACACAGTCAGAATATATCCAGATAAGTAGAAACATCTGGGAGAAAATGACAATTACCATCTACTCGCATATTTCGGGTGGCGGAAGGAAGACGCACCGTCAATCCATCTAATTCGTCGTTCATCTCGATTTGACAGCCAAGTCGGGACCTGACAACCCAAATTAATTCAGAATTGTTGCTTATTGCTAACTCCAGTATACAAACCAAAAACTTACGTTTCAGTCAATCCAAATGCCAGATCCAACATGTCGTTTTCTTCATCTGATGGTTCTTCCATCTTGTCATAATACTCTGGTTCCAGAATAACGTGACAGGTAGAACATGCCAATGATCCTTCGCATGCACCTATAATCCATTATCCGGCATCAGTTCGTCGTCAATATCGTAGCCCTTTCCTTCTCAATTATTTCCCATTCTTTCAAATCATATGAATATATATTTACACTCAAGGTCGATATCGTAACGCTGTGCCAAGTCCAACATAGTGTCTCCTTCGACAGCCTTTACCGAGATCTCTTCACCGTCAGGCATAACAAAGTTGACTGTATATGGACTATATAATCACTCGTGACAATTAGCGAAAGGAGAAAACCTGCAATGAAACGTTTCAATTAAAGCTAATCAACATACCCGTCTCCTTTGGCTACACCGGGCTTGCCATGCCAAAGAGCTAATTGTTTAAAAATTAAAAAAAAGGTTCAGCGCTTCAATTATGCGCAAAAACAATAACGGTATTGTAGTTACCTGGTGCTGTTGAAAATGACCGCCGTACCAAGCTCTTATATTGTTGTGTAATGTTCGATCGCAGTGCTGAAGATACTGCTGGAGCCTTGCTTGTAAACAGTCGTAATAATGACATGACTACTATGCTTTTTGTGTATGAATATGAGGAAGAGAGAAAAAAGAAAACAACAAATCTTGTGTGGGGCTCATAAGTCAATCTGATCTCCGAATTATATGAAAATATAGGCCCGTGATGCCCGCGCTCCACGGCATATATATTATTTACAGAAAACTAAGGTTATATTTTATATACAAAATAAAACAATTTAAGCTGTGGAAACGGATAACAAGGCCCTTGATTCTACTGCTGTTGTCGGCCCCCACAATGACATCCTGCCAAACGAGCAAACACGCTTTGGATCATAGACTTGAAGCTGAGCACATGACTCTGCGTTGCCATGACCGTATCCTTTAAAGCGTCTTCCCAATAGGGCGTAGTCCATGGCGACGCTCGGATCTCAGATGCCGCATTTTCCCAAATCGCCCGCAACTGCTTTTCGGCCTGGCTAAACGCACGTTCCGCCCGTGGCTTGCTCTCATCCACAGCCTCTACGGCAGTAGCAAGATCTTGTGGACCCAATGTAATCGAGTTGATAATTAACTTGCGAATCCTCGATACGGCCGTGTACATGGCATCCTTGTGCGCCTCTGCCATGGCCGACAAGCCTGCTGCCTTTAACTCTTCAAGCCATGGACGGAGAGGGCCAGACAGCCACACAATTTTGGCGAATTCTGCATCGATGGTTCTACGCATATTTTTGACCAGCGCTAGTCCTTGGGTGTTCGTTTGCAGCAATAGTTTGTTCATTTCGGAAATATCGGATGATGGTATGGTTTCGTTTTTGAGATTGTCTGTGAACTGCGTGAGTTGATCCAATACTTTGCTGTAGTGATCGGCGAGCTCGTGTGTGGCAGCTGTGGATCGCTCAGCGGCGTCGGTAGTCCAATGGAGGAGTCGAATCTGTTTCGTCAAAGCGCCTTGTTGCAAAGAACGTGGCCGCAAGTGTTTGATGGTGTCGGCAATGGCCCGTCGACGGGTTACTGTATCAGTCATCACCAGCGACGCTTCCTCTGCAAACAGGGGCCACCACGAGACCATACGCCGTAAGTCAAAATAAATGTCGTCCCACGTCAGCAGAACGTACCGGCGTCCAAACACTTGGTTCTCGTGTCGCGCTTGTTCTGTTACTCTGTGAACATGGGCTAGTAGCTCAAAGTAGCGCGGAAACCGTTGTTCAAGATAGTGAACGAATCGGGCGTGCCATTCCAAAACTTGCGAGATGACTTGTTCGATTACAGTGGGCGGTACTGCAGGAGGTAAAGTGAGTGTTAAAGAAGACGACGACGTTGAGTGATGTTGTTTTTGCTGTTGCTGTAGCTGTTGTTGGAGATGCTGTTCGTGTTGCTCTTGTTCAGAATGGGGCGATGCAGCGTAATGTAAATGTAGACCGCCGGTGGAGTCTACAGTGTCTTTGTCGAACTATAACAGGTTAATTGGTGTTAGCCCTGGCCTTAGGTGGAGATATATACAATAACAAGTAGCGATAGAGACGTACTTGAGCATCACACGCGCAAAGAGATAGTAACGTGGCAAATAAAATAGCAAGTAGTAATAGCCTCATGGTTGACAATGTAAGTTGGAGATGGGGAGCAGGAATAGGAAGCAAAAAAAAAAATAAGGAGACTTTATTTTGTTGGATTTAACGCTGTTGGCTTTTAACACCGACTGCATGAAAATGACGATTGTAAAACCACATGTCCTAATAAACACAAGCAAACAACAGGGTGGCGCAAGAATAAATGGTAGTGAATTAGACATCCATTAAGTGCAATATTACTGTATGTACACACAAGAGATAGCATATATATTTATATATATATAGAGAGAGAGAGAGAGGGAATGATAGGTGTTGGGAAGGGGAAGCAAAGAAAGAAATGGTATACAGGTTCGACAAAGACGCAAGCTCACACCCGGTTTTACTTTTGTACGTGGCCACACACTGAATTGTTTTGTTTACGTGTGATTATCAATGATAAACGTGAAGAACACCAAAAGAGATGTTGATGAGCATCCCTGCCACGATGCCCATCTGATGCCTTCGGGTAAAGACAGACTCCCGGAACCAGAAGACGCAGAGTATCCCGAGAAAGAAGCCAAGTAAAAGGCCCCACATCATTTCCTTGTAGGTTCCCTGTACCACTAAAATTGCCCATTCACCAAAAGTGGCGGTTAGTTTCACAGAAAACAATAGAGGCCAACTTCAATGGTTAGAAGACTGCTTACATCCATCTGGTAATATTTCGCCTGTGCTTTCCATCCATTGTTCTTCCATAGCCATCGTTTGTTCCGTCGCTTCTAATTATTTTTTCCGCGACCCCATTGAGTTTTTTCTTTGACGACATGTTTGCCGTAGTAAAGAATTATTTACCTCCATCGAATCCGGGTGAACCATGAAGCCGGTGGAACTGGGTACGGATGTCTCTGATTTCCTCTTCGTTAAAGCCTGATTCCTGCAGCCGATCAAATCCCATAAGCGCTGTCGCTTGATTGTTGTTGTTATTGCCATTGCCATCGTCACTATCATCATCATCTCCCTCTTGTCCTTGCCCTCGCTAGTAAATATGTATTAGCAAACCAGAGCCTCATATTTTATTATTAGTACAAACGTGATGGATCATTTACCCGCCTGCTGCCCGTCGTCGTAGTATTACGGTCTTGTGCTGGTCGAGAAACATAGTCGGATATGGAGCAATGGATATATACAGGTGGTGGTTCCTTGCCAACACGTTTGCCAATAGTATTATAATAACTCAAGGGATAATCACCCTTCAGAATCCGACCCTGGTGAATCAGTCGAATGTTCATGTTTTGTGTCTTTGTTGGTGCCGAATGTCGAATCTAAAACGTTATTTACCGTTAGCCTTTGTTTCAACAAAATCGCTCTCTGTCTCCTGCGTATGTATTACCCCACCACCCCTCACACTGGACTGGAGCAACGTCTTCTTCCAAAACTACTACTCGCCGCCCGCCACTGCTGCCCCTTACTTTTTGTTTCAAAGTTTCTGTTGTATCATGTTGAGGGGATATTGTCACAATAAGATCGGATCCATCGGCCCAGCGAATGTGTACGTCAATGGATTCATAATAATCTCGTATTTCAGTCATGGTGGGGACATTAATTGAGAGAAAGAGAGTGAGCCAAGAGAGTGGTGTATTAAGTATATCATGCAAATAGCCCAAAATGGAAATAAAGTAGAGGGCTTTTCAAGTACCGGTTATGGAATAGAGATGTGCCATCATGCCACCAAGCTTACTCAAAAAAGATAAAAAGCCTATTCTACCTAAGAAGAGCTTTTCCATCAAAACTTAGTTGGAAGTGAAAAGATATGGTATGCGTCATTTGAGTCTTTTTAAAATTTACAGGAGAAAAAAAAAGGTAAAAATTCGGAAGGGGTTGTAGTGGTGGTGGTGGTGGTGGTAGTAGTAACAGCAGTAGGGAATATAACGGAGCAAGGAACCGAAAAGAAGGAAAGAGGAAGGACGAGGAGGTTAAGAAGCATAATATGTTGTGGATGAGCTAGGGTAATAGTAAAATGCATTGACGGGTTGTTGCTGTTGATGTGAGAGAGAATGTTGATTGTTGTGGTGATAATGCTGGTGAGATTGTTGTGCATTAGAGGTGGTTTGGTTAGCAGGATGCCATTCTTCATAAATATATTCTGGTGTGGCACCCCAGCCTTTTTCAGCTTCTTCTTCATCATCATCAGCGTCATCTACTACCACCATGCCACCGTGCTGTAAATGTTGTAGCTGCTGCTGGTGTTGCTGAGTCATCATCGGCGGTACTGGCATCGTAGCTTGTGGTGGATAGTAACAATAAGGATACATAGCAGCAGAGGGATCCGTGCCGTAGTAAACCATACCATTTGCTTCATATGCTGGAGGCCCATATGGCTGCTGCTGTTGTGAAGAGTCACTCGCATCACCGTTGTAAACGCTGCCTCCTTCGGCTGATGATGCTGACATAGGAATAGGCTGTAGCGGCACTCCATATGCTTGCGGCAACGCAGACGAAATTGGCATGTATCCGCCCATTGGTTGCTGATAAAAGTATGGATTTGGTTGCATTTCGTGGATGTAGGGACTGTTTGGATCTCCAACGACAACTTCTAACTGTTCTTCATCCCGCCTTCGCCAATCGTCATCCATTCGTCGCCGTTGTTGTTGTTGCCGCGGCAAGTCTGCTTTTCTGGAATAAGAGATACTACTATCATTACCCCAGTTCAAAGCTTGAGTAGTAGTAGTAGTAGTAGTAGTATTCTCGGGCTCTTCTTCCAATATAATTTCGACGTCTGATTCTTGGTCTTCCTTAGCGTCGTCCTCGATGAATTTGCCGTGACCCCACGCGTCGTCACGTGTAGAAGTGGCAGTACTCCAAGGGACATTCTGTTGAAACGTATTGAAATCGTAAGCTGGCGTTTTTTCACTTGGCATCGCTGCTGAAGTGACTGATACTGCATGAGGTGCTGGGGCTGGCGCCGCTACTGCCAGTGCTGCAGGTTCTGGTTCTTTCGTCATATCTCGCTTGACAGGCTCAATGTTCGTTGTTGTTGTCTTTTGTTGCTCAGAAGGAACAGGAACAGATTTCTTTTGTGAAAGATAACCGCGACCTCGTCTTTGTTGCTGCTGTTGAGAGGTATCGACACTATTACTACTTTTATTCCACGAGACCCATGCTGCTGATGCCTGCTCGCTTTTCTTTGGATCATCACGCTGTTGTTTCGTTGGTGTGACATCTACTGTTGTCGTGTTCCAGCTTGCTGCCTTTTTCCAGTTGCCATTGGCGGCCCCATCGTCGTCGCTATTGTTGGCTGATTTTACTACGCCGTTCGTTATGGCATTAGCTCCCCATGCTTCGTCAGTTGCCTTAAGGGTGTCAATAGAGCCCCAACCCTCTTCCTTAGCAGGTTCCTTTTCAACAGTTGCAGTAGTAGTTACAGCGCCATTGATATCTTCACCGGCAGTCTTAGCAGCAGCACTTGCAGCAGTAGCAGTGGTATTAGTTTTCCATCCAGTTTCGTCCAGTTTAGAAGATGTTGTTGTAGGCCAGCCATCAGTCTTGACTTGATCACCAACAACAGATCCCCAGCCCGTCGCTTCCGGTTGACCGACTGTAGCACCAGTGGCACCCCAACCATCGGATTCTTTGACTACTGTCTTCTTCTTCTTTTCAGGTGTAGTATCAACAGTAGTGGTAGTAGTATGAATAGCGATCGTTTTTTCTTTGCCGTTCATATTGCTGCCGCTGCCATTTTTGTCTTTCGCATTCCATGCAGAATCATCCGAGACGCCCCACCCATCAGGATTCGGTGTTGATAAGGTTTCCCAATCTGTATTTGTTTGTGATTTTGCCCAGTCGTCCTCGAGTGTCGTTGCAATAAAACCATCGATCCGTTCTTGCGCTTTCTGACCTTTTTGCGCGGCTAGATTATTCCATGCATCATTACTGCTAGTACCACTCGTGGACCGTCCAATCGCTTCCAAACCATCATCACTCGTGGCGTCTTTGTTTATCTCGGTGCTATTCTTTTCTTTTGTTGAGTCGAGCGTTGGCCATGTTTCGTGCGTTACAATATTTTGCGGGTCAAACGATTGCCAGTTACTGTTGGCGCCATTAACTATATTACTAACACTTGGACGTCGTTCTCTTCTTTTTTGCTGATGAGAGGGCCGACGTCGGTAAGGATATTGTTGTTGGTTTTTTAGTGGTATTCCCTCTCGTTTTTGCTGATCTTCTTGTTTCTCCATTCGTAATAACAACTCATACCCATCATGCGTCCATTTTGAATTAATGATCTCGTCAGGTACTCGTCGATAGTTCTTATTGTTGTAGTATTGCCGCCGTGTATTACCACCACCTCCTCCTCCTGCTCCTTCTCCTCCTGACATTCCTTCTTTTTCGTTAATGTCGCTATGCTCGTTTTTTTCAGCCCGACGGTGGTGATGATTGCTGTAACGCATGAACTTATCGGACGTATCCGATGCATTATCAAGGGTTGGCCGCAGTGCATCTTGTCTGTATCGATCATCGTGACTCCAAAACATGCCGACGTAGGGTACAAAACTTGGATCTTCAGTAAGCTTTCGTCGGTATTCACGTCGCTCCAAAATTTGTTTTTCACGATTTGTGAGTTCTTGTGTTCGTGCTGTCACCGGTGCTGTCGTTGATGATGATGCTTGCGCTGCGCTTTCCGTTGTCGTCGCTGCTGCGTCTTCTTTTTCTGTATCAAAATATATTAAACCTCTTTGCGTTGATGTGGTTTTCGTGGCGGTCGTGGTTGTAGTGTTGGATGCTGCATGTTCGTCTGGGTATTCTGTCACTGGGACAGTCGCTATCGCTACTGTAAGTTGATGAAATTTATGCGGGTCAAAAATGACCAAAAAAAAGCACTTCCTCTTTCCGATACATTTATTACACACAAACTTACTCGTTAGTTCTTTGTGTGCAGCAGACCCATGTGGAATGGACTCAGCCTCAGCTTCAGGTGTGTTTTCACTTTTAATGTCGCTCGTGTCTTGGTCATCTTCACTGCTGCTGTCGTCCGAGGAAGAAGTGTCAACGCCGTCGTCCTCGTCCTCGTCATAGTCGTCGTCTGAAGAAGAAGAAGAATTGAGGTCATTAGATGACTGGTTAAGGGATCCTTCTCCGTCTTCACTGTGAATGTCGTCTTGGTCATGAACGCGGCCGCGTCGTCTTGATCGCACGTGTGACATTTATATCTTTCTTTTCCTTGGTCTTGAGAAAGGCGATCTAGAGAGTTGAGTGGGGGAGAGTGGAGAACAAAAGAGGTGGTGGGGGGGTTTAAAAAAAGTACGTGGAAGAATAAGCTGGAAGCCCTGTGTGACTTGAACGCAGAGAACAAAAATGCTTTCATCCCTTAATGACCAAACTTGCAAATCAGTTGTTTGTCCAGTTAGAGATGCTTTATTCTTTCACTGAAGAATGGTGCTTGCGTTTCATACTTGATTCTACATACATATTGTTAATATACATAAAGGGTAGATCACCACCATCACAGTATATCACGATATAGGTATTAAAGCGAATTAATGCACTTGCAGATTCTGGAAAAGGAGCTCATTTATTATGTACTCCATCCTTCTATGTAAAATGTACCGTTACAAAGACACCCCTCCGTGCGTCCTGCCGTCGTTGTCGTTGCTGAGGCAAAGAGTAGTGTATCAGAGAAACAATTCCATATTTTTAAACGAAGCCAACCCTCGTTCAAATCATACCTGCATTAGCTCCCTTAAAGTAGTATGCTCGCCAATAAATCAACTAGCCAACGACCATTTTAGCCAAAAGATCATACCCATAGTCACAATTATATTGTACGAAGCTGCCTACATGCCGTGCAGTGCTCAAAAAGATTATTTGGGTTTTTTTGAGCCGACCGGTAAGTGATCTTCTGGCACATGTTTGCCACCGCCGATCCAGGAACGTTGTGAAGTTGTGCCTATTATAAGAATCACTTTCACAAGGAAACCATTTCGTTTTACTGAAACACGGAGCAATATCAAGACAGGTCATCATCTAAGACAAACATTGACCTACGTACAAGTCATTCTATTTAGTGGTACTGTCAAACGGTTTTATTTATATGAATCAGCCCATTCGATGTCTTTGCGCTGTCTGCAACTGCTGTACACGTTCCGTTCATGCGTAACATAACAACACTGTGATACCATGGCAATGCACCAAATTCTTTCCGCCATGGTAACCATGAAACGGGTACATACCTTAGCAAGGTTGTTTCTTATAGAGCACGTTAGCATCACATATCTGAATAATCTCCCTGATAACCAGAAGTTACTAAACAATCCTTCCATGAACAAAAATAAAAAGAGCGAGCAGGACGGACTTTTTTTACTCGTTGCAAGTCGCACGATCTGCCCGGAAAGGAACTGCACTACTCCCCCCTTCTGCTCTCTGTCTCTTTTTTCTTCCTTTCCTTCTTTCTTTTTCACTCTAAACATGCGGCAAAGTCAAGACCAGTCTGGGTGGACCGAAATGAGCGACGATACCAGACTGTCCAAGGAGTTCTCTTCTGTGCGATTATCCGGCGATTCGCAGATGACCTCTATTGATTTAGACAACAACAACCCTTCGACATCACCGCCATCTCCTCGCGCCGCCACTATTACTACTACTACTTCTGTAACTGCAACCACCACCGCCACTGACGCCACTTTAACCGATAATTCGACAACGACTGCAGACAAACTACTCGATGATCTCTCTAGAAACGGATCGTCATTCCCACTGAATAGATCACAATCAACTTCTAGTAATACTTCAAGCGCTTCTTCACCACCACCTCCTCCACCAAAGACGTCGATGTCGGCTTACACCAACAATAACAGTAGCAACAACATCGTTATGAACAATACCAACGGCAGCAGCAGCGGTCATAAAAACAGTAGTAGCAGCAAAGACTGGGCTTCAGACTCTAGAAAAACGTATCAATACGACCAATTCTTTGAAGAAGTATCCTTGGATCTGCCCCGAGATTCTTCGCCACAGTTTGACCAGCAACAATCCAAATTATTAAAATTCATGCCTCGGCGATCGCCACCACAACAGATGTCAATTACTACTGCGGATGTCTCTGGACCGTTCTATTCTATATCTGATGTTTTGAACGATAGTCCATCGACTACAGCAACGGCCGCTACGGCCGCGGCAGCTGCAGCGGCAGCCGCTGCTGCTGCTGCTTCCGGAAGAGAGCCTGATAGTAATGGACATGTACAGAATCAACAGTCCTCATTTCAAAGAGGTGCACGGCGAAATGTTTGTGAGGGGGAGTTCGTCGCAACTTCGGGTGGATCGTCTTTAAAAGCGATCAAACGGAGGTCAAGGTAAATTTACGTCGTTATGAAAATGTTTTGCCTTTGTGTGTATCTAAAATGATGCCTCTCCGAATATCTAAACTGACGTCTCTACTTGACAAATACTGAATTTATTAGCCTCAATCCATTCACACGAAAACACACGCAAAAGCCTTCGCCATTGGATGCAGTTATATCCAAGACAAGACCAAGGTAGGTTTATCGGTTGTAGCTTTACTCGTTTGTGTTACATGAGAACGAACACTAAATACGCACACGATACGCTATACCAGAATGCTTCCACCAAAAGACCCACATGAAGAAAAGAAACACTTACAGCAACATCAAGCAATAATGAAAAAAGCGCGGCAGTTGGGTAAGGACCTTTGACTAATTTGGCTCGCTTCCTGTTATCTGACTTGGAATGGCTGTAATAGAGGCGAGAAAGGAACGAGAATCTCACAAGCGAAGAGAAGAAAAGGACAAGAAAATGTCACAAGCATTACAGATCTGGGAAGATGAGATATTGACGAACTGGAAGATAAGGTGAGCGAAACAAAAAGGATAAATAATTTCGTTTACTTAGCATGGAAAGGCAAAAAATAGGGTTAAAGATAGAAGGACACATGAATTGTGGCTGCAAGGGGTTCCGCCAAGGTGCCGAAAACGGGTTTGGATGCTTGCTATTGGAAATGACATGAAACTTAGCAAAGGTAAACTACAAGGTTTTCTTTCTTTGTACTTGTAAGAATACCGACAGTAATTTTACGAACAACAAGAAGCTAATGCAATATGGGGGATGTGGGTGGCGAAAATACAGAATCTTTCAAAAACGGTGCACAAAATCATGCAAACGGCAATATTAACAACTCTGCGGGATCAGTATCAGCAGCAGCTGCGGATGAACAACAACAACAGCAGCAGCATCGAGACAAGCGACTGCACGAGCCAGAATGGATACGACAGAGTATTGAAGAAAATGATGAATTATACAATCTTCGACGCGTGCGCCGAACGAGTAGTCTTAATGTACTCCAAGAAGACCCATCCGAACGAACACATTATAACGAAAGCATCGAAGAATTGCGGCAGCAACAACAACCGCCTATTGTACGGGAAGAAGGCGAGTTCGAAGAAATCGAGCACGTTAACGACTATGACGATGATGACCTGGAAGAAGTATCATCAAACGGTCTTCGGAGTAGAAAGGGAATGGACCTACAAGAAATGTATGCAAACCAAAAGCAGGAGCAGCAGTCATCAGAAGGAGAGCAGATTGGCAGCGGAGTTGAAGACGACGACGATGATGATAATATTCGCTTTGGTGACGATATTGGCTCTGGTGATGAGGATGAAGGAAGCGGCAGCGACCTCGATAAGATACCCATAGATGATTCCGATTCGCCTTATTTGAAAAAGACTATTGAAGAAGATATATTGAGGACGCTACCAAGTCTTTGTGTATTTCAGGTAACGATTCTTTTTTACTTTGTTCTTACGGTTCGATCTCGTACATAAGGAAAATATATTTAATAATGACTTGTTACCATATCGATTTAGCCCGATGGACCCTTATTTACATCATTGAAAAAAGTACTTCAAGGTTATGCTCATCTCCGAGGAGATGATGGATATGTAAGCTATTAAAAAAGGCGACTAATATCCCGGTACAGCAAGGTGAAACAACAGGATGTCTAATAGATAGCGTTAATTGTTCTATTAGTCTCGAGGAACGTCATTTTTGGCGGGAATGCTCTTATTAAACATGAGCACAGATGAAGCGCTAGTTACCTTACCCAATTTAATTCGCAAGTCGGGTGTACTTTCTGCACTTTACGACGCTGACGAGCAACGCGTGCGTGGTTATTTTAAAATTTTTAACATTGGATTTGCCGAAAACCTGCCCAAGCTGTACCTGCATTTCAAGAACTTGTCGCTGACGCCTGACCACTACCTACCTGACTGGTTCATGACCATATTTTCATCCATTATTCCGCTCGAACTTTCATCGTGGCTATGGGACATCTTCTTACTTGAAGGCGACATCATCTTGTTTAAGACCGGATTAGCAGTGCTCAAGTATCTAGAACCTCTCTTATGGGGCGGCAATTTTGGTGAAACGGCCAGAATACTTAACAGGGGCTTTATTGGCGAAGAGCGTGGAGAGGAAGTCAAGGCGGCACTGGCAGTCAGCGGTCATATAACTGGGGGTGATGAAGACCAGTTCTTTAACGAAGTACTAGGAAGAAATGGGATACAGTTTGATCGGTTGAAGTTTAGGGAGCTACTTGCAGTCCATGTTCTTACACAATAATAATGGAACTCTATTTGTTTGTATGAATACCTTTATATTTCTTACTATGCTGTTTATTTTTCACTTATACTACTCTTATTGTTGTTGTTTTTTGTGTCTCAACATAATACCAATTTTTTTTCTGCACCATCTACTTGAATTCTGGTCTTTCATTCTTGTGAAATTTGGCACTGGCTGCCAAAAGTTACAGTGAGCAAATACTGCAACGAAATCCACATGTCATTACGAAAATATGAACGTCTTGCAATCAATAAAAGCAAAGTATATCTACTAGTGAAGGTTGGGAAGACATGTCACGCCATGGGCTTATCGAGTATCTCTATAAACCACCAGAAGAGATCCAGGGCACATATCTAACTATGAAGACCGCTAATAATAAGCTGCTCGCATTTGCAAATATCAGGATACTGAGGTCACATATTTGTTTGGAGGATTATCTCCATACTGTATACCAAGCTAGCCTCGGTGCCTTTATTTTCAAAGCAAAACAAATACTTAGGAATGGCCCTTACATCAATACCTGGTTTTCTGACTTATTTTGTATCTCAAAGTCTGTTCTGAAAGATAATCAATGCAATCTAACTGATTAAAATATCTAGTACGGGTGGCAAGGTGCTATATGTGTCTTGTCATTAAGTAGAAGTCTACAATATAGACAGGCCGTTTTAAATCAGTGATGATGAACCTATACTACCTTTATGTTGCATAGCACCCCTGGTCTTCTTGTAGACACACCACACTCGCTATACATTTGAATACTATGGATGCATCCGTACTGGAGTACCTAAACCGTTCATTATGCAAAGAAAAAAAAGCAGAATACCAGCATCTTCCTCTTACTGTTTTTTTTTGCGTTTGCATGCCAACTTTGTAATCTCATATTGCGTAATACCGTATAAGCAAGAAACGCTTTGCGCCTAGCAAAAAATGTTATCTTTGCACCGTTTAGTACAGAAGTATCTGGTGGCACTCTGCATCCCTTGCTCCGCTGAAGATTTTAATAATAAAGAAGATACTTGTACTTATAATCACTTTAGCCGTAATCCTTGCTTAAATTACTAAACTTAAACAAAAAAAAAGACGTTATCTGGAGATAACGTACATATTGATGATACAAGCAGCATTGACGATATATATCAGTAAAGGATTCGAATGAAAGGCATACATGTCAACCTTTCTGCCCGCTGCGGCTCGCTACGGTCAGTAATGAGGCTGAACCCTCAGCTTGTTGATGATAACCAAAACTAATCACACGTGGCGAAATAGGCTCGCTCCTGGCTTTTGCGTATCTCAGCATTCTTTTATCACGACATTAAAATGCTTCCTGCTTTTTTCCCGTTGTAACAACAATGTTAAATCCCAAAGCGATCGAATTCAAACCTGGACAATTCGGCACACCAACAACGCCATCGCAATCACCAGAAGTACAAGAAACACAAGAAAAAGCACGTCCACCACCATCACAACAGCAGCAACAGCATTCCAAAAAACGACCACCAAAGCCAAAACACCTACAGCAGCCAAAGCATCGCAGTAAATCAGATCGTCGATCTAGCACAGATCAGCACCCACCTCCTCCATCACCAAGTAAAAAAACAAGCAAGCCCAAGAACCAACAAAAGCAACAGCAACAAGCGCCGTCACCAGGACGCCGGCATAAAGCGTCGTCCTCTGCGCAACAACAAACATCGTCTTCGTCATCCTCAGCTCAACAAGGAGACACTGATGGCTTTGGATTATTGACAAAATTTATAACTATTGAAGAGGCAATTGATCCTGTGTTTCGTACCCGGCCGGGAGAGGATGGTAGCAAAAGTATTGATGGAAGTGAGACGGCAGGCAAACTGGTGCACGGATACGAGCGTTACATTGAATGGGTAAGGAGCAGAAGAAGCGAAACGCTGTGAATGTAAGACGATTTATTCGTGACGATCAAATATAGATGACGCGATGCTTACGAGCATTTGAGACCATAACTGTGGTTGGCATGGACTATGCTATTGCCGATGTGGTGTCTCTGGTTACAATCCTGCAGCGGCGGAAGATAGGGGAGCACGAAGGTAGTAGATACAGACATGCATAGCAGAGAAAGGAAATTCCTCATGACTAACGTATGTACGAATATCACATCACACATCACCTCCTGAGAAACAGAGGTGGAGACGTTTACATTAGACCAGGGCAACAAGCGCTACACAAGTGGCATTCAAGTCAAATTGCATCTGTGTGCCTAATTTAGGATATGCCTTTTCCTTTCCTTTCCTTCTCTTCTTGGCAAAGATTTATTTGTTTTGTACCTTCTTCTCTTTCTCCCTTCTCTTTTTAAAATCACTCTCTTAACAACGAACAAGCCTTCGTTCTATTATACCTACGAAACAGAAAGATAATATAACGGGCCGGTTTCCTCCTTCTCTATTTTCCTTTCATTTTCCATTCCAATGTCCGTTTTCTCAACATTATCACGTATTATACCAAATGCCAACAGAAATTACAATAATAATAACACGTCTTCTTCTCCTTCCAACGATGCTACTGAAATGACTCAGATCATTGATATTGATAGCATAATAGCTACTACCGACGCACGACATCACATACGCTCCTTGACATCTACTGACGAAGAAGACGACGACGACGACGATAATAGCAGCATAACCAACGACAGCACAGAGTACCCGACTACTGATAGCAGAATGGGCAAAGACTATTATAAAGACGAAGACGATGAGGACGTCTTTTACGCACAAAATGAACAGGACGAGTCGCGTCAGCGACTTGTTCAAGACGATCTTGAGAATGGCACAGAAGACACTGCGAGTATAGTTAGTCTAGAACGGGGAAAGGTAAGGGTTCTTTAGTGGGAGGCGGGAAGAGAAGAAAGGGCCTTTTGAGCAGAAGAGTATAACATATGAGGAAAGGAGTGAAAGGGAGACGAAAGGATGGGCTTCTATTACTTATTCTGTGATCCCTTGAAGGCCAGTAATGCTAATGATAATACATGCGATACCCTTTCGATATTAGCGCAAAGGAAACGAAAAATGGATATGCGCCGTTCTAGTTGCATTGCTATTGGTTGTTGGTGTCTTTTGGGGATTGAGCTTTGGCGGTTTAAATGAAGGTATACTTTCCTTTGTCTTTCTCTTCATCTAATCACGGCAAAACTCATCATGATGGATGTCTATTCAGCAGATGAATCAGGGGACGAAAGCAAAATGCAAAATCACGTGGATTTCGATGACTTATACAACGATTCGTTTGTTCCTAAGCGCCCTCATCTAGAATGGGTGAAAAATGGTAACATAAGATTCTGTAATTATATGCCGACCTGTGTGGCATCAATTAAAAAAAAACGTTATATTTTTGTCAGATCCACGTGATGGTGTATTTACGTTCACCGATCCTACAACGAAGGATATTTTGTCCGAATCCGTCCAAGATGGAGAAACAAAAGTTTTGGTGAAAATATCAGATTTGGTATGGAGCTAAACAAAACATAATGAAAGAAAATGAAAGGAACATTACATGGATATGTCTTTATGCTGATATAAACTCACCTGATTAGCGCGTCAACGAAGGAATTTTGGAAGTATCTTCGTTCGAGATCTCTGCGGATTTTGAGTATATCATGCTTTGGACCAATGTCACCCAGGTAACACCCATTGTTTGTGAAACCATCGATTTCTTGCCATTGGGGCTGCAGCTAAAATGATGTGCATAGCAATGGCGACATTCTACGCGATCCAACATTTATGTATACAAAGTCAGTGACAAATCGCTTGCACCGTTGACCGATGACTCTACAGTTGATCTCGAGTATCCAAAAATATCCTATGCCACTTGGAGCCCGACAGGTCATCAAGTGGTAAGCATCATTTCCCTACAATTAATGAACTTACTATAGAATGCATAGAGTTCTTATGAAATGTTTTTATCAGGTTTTTGTCATGGAAAATGACTTGTACGTCTCCGATCTTAAAGATGTCCACCGCATTACGTTTGACGGCTCGCGTACTGTGTTTAATGGTGTTCCTGATTGGGTATATGAAGAGGAAGTGTTCGGCAAGGACTTTACAGTATGGTGGTCTCCTGATTCGACCCATATTGCGTACTTGCGCTTCAATGAAACCGAAGTGCCCGAATACCACATGCCGTTGTATACCGCGTCCAACTCGAGCTACCCGGAAGAAATGACCATCAAGTATCCAAAGGTAAACATTGATTGATTCAAGTTAGTGATTACATTATTCTGGCTTAAGAAATGTGAGCTTACTCTGGTAAAATATACAGGCTGGATCGCCCAATCCTCTCGTCTCGCTTCATATTCACTCGTTGCTCGACGATACTTCTATCATGATCACCAAAAACGCTACCACAGGCTCTACAATTCAGACTGTTGGCAAATATAAAGATTTTGAAGACGATGACCGGTTAATAATCGATGTGGCCTGGGCTACCTCGGATCATAGCCACCTCTTATTCAAGCAGACAAACCGCGTTCAAGACCACGAAATCACCAGCTTGGTTACTATCGGCAAATCGCTTCCAGACTCTAAGGTTGAGCTTGCACGCCAATACCAACCAACGGACGGCGGCTGGATCGATGTTGGTCAGTCCATGGTGTATGTACCTAGCTCCAAGGCCAAAAAGACGCCTGTGCGATATATTGACATTGCAGACGACGGTGCTGGCTACATGCACTTGGCGATTTTTGCTGCTGGTGATGGTAAACATCATAACCCCGTATGGTTGACTTCTGGAGAATGGGAGGTGGAGCCTGAATCCGTCGTTATGGATACTGAGCGAAAGCTTTTGTAAGTCCGGAGTTTATTTTCTACGATGCTTGATGCGCTGTGCACCTGCATATATTAATTTCACTACTGTAGACACTTTGTGTCAACGGAACGGTCACCTTTGGAGCGTCACTTGTACACTATCTCATTCAAAAGTGACGATCCAGCATCCACCAAAGAGTGCTTGACGTGTCCTGAAGAACCAGAAGAACACGGTTATTACAGTGCTTCGTTCTCACCAAAGGCGGGTTACTATGTTCTCAACTACGAAGGCCCTGAAATTCCTACTACTGTTGTAAAAAATGTGGACAACAGCACCTTTGAACTAGTTTTGGAAAACAATAATGCACTACGTGCTTTATTGAGTGATTACGACCTTCCACGATCGCGAATAATCAATGTCAAGAGCGGTGGTATCGGTAAGCCTTAGAAGGGTTGCAAAGACTGTAATCAATAACAAGATAGAGAAAAAAATTATTCTCTAAACGGTTTTACCATTACTAGATATGAACGCTATTGAGCGCTTGCCGCCGAATTTCAATGTTCTCGAAAAGTACCCTGTATTGTTCCATGTATATGGAGGTCCTGGCTCACAGACGGTTTCATATCGATTCGAACTCGGATGGCACACTTTCCTAGCAAGCAAGCTGCAATACATTGTTGTAACGGTACGTCGATTATTGAAGTTTTAGGTTAATCGATGAGTTACCTCTCTCTTCTTACTTGCTCTGCTGAACTCGTGAATATCATATATAGGTCGATGGACGAGGTACGGGATATCGTGGTCGAGAATATCGAATGTGTGTCCGTAAGCGTTTAGGCGAACTAGAAGTGATTGATCAAGTGAATGCCGCGAAGCATTGGGCCGAGTTGGAATACGTGGACCCATCGCGTATTGGTATCTGGGGCTGGTCGTATGGTGGTTACATGGCCTCAAAAGTGATTGAGTCTAATGACGGTGTTTTCTCTACTGGCATGTCTGTGGCACCTGTCACCGACTGGCGCTACTATGGTAAGTGACATCTTCTTTCATAGGCAAGAGGTCGTATAGATTGTTTACCATTGAGACTAATTGTATCATCTAATATTTAGACTCTATCTACACTGAGCGATATATGCTAACACCTCAGTTAAACCCTGACGGATATGAACATAGCGCTGTAAATAACATGACTGGCTTCAACAATGCCAAATACCTGCTCGCTCATGGCACTGGTGATGATAATGGTAATTGTGGACTTCTTTTCTATATTTAGAAAGCATGATAGCATGCTTTCTCCTACTAGGAACAAAATACCTTTAACCTAAAATGAATGTATATAGTCCACTTTCAACATTCTGCAGTGCTCGTTGACAAATTGACGCTCGCATCAGTTCATAATTACCGAGTTCAGTTTTACCCAGACAGCAACCACCGTATCAGTTACCACCATGCCAATCCAAGCATTTATTATCTGCTGACAAATTTCTTGTGGGAAAGGTAAAATACAGAGCTGCTTGCTAATTATTAAAAGTGACTATCCATACAGGTTTTGCATCTTTGCTAATACAAACGGTGATAGTTTTGGCGGACGAGAGTATATGCACGTCAGAACCGAAATGCATGGACGATTCTCAGGACCTTTGCATGATCACTAGTCAGCATTTGTGTTTTCTACTGTTTGTTTCGAGTTACCCCATAAAACACACAATCACACCTAATATGCTTTCAGTGAAATGAAGAGGGCTTTTTTAACATCTGTATATCAAGTGACCAAGATACTGTGGATTCTGGAGGAGTTAGAGATTGAGAGAATGGGCATGTAGCCCATGTACGTGATCCGAGTTTCCATTTTTGGTGGCGGAGTTTCAGACTGCTTTGAGCATGTTATATTGATTCATGGTCAATAACAGTTGGATCCTCCCCTTTTTTTCATCGCCAAGGCGTGTTGTTCTCTTTGTGAGTTAAACTATTACTTCCGCACAAGCGATAAAACAAGTACGTCAGATGGATGGATGAGTTGATGGATGGATTAACGAACGAAAGGATGGATGAGGGGATTTGGAGATATGGAATGAATATTAGCTTACATTGAGATTGCTTGCTTTTGCTCAATTAGATTTTACAATGAAGTATCTTGCTGCTTACTTGCTCCTCACCGCCGGTGGTAAGGCTAACCCCACCGATGCTGACATCAAGTCCCTCTTGAGCTCCGTTGGCGTCGAAGCCGAGGATGAGCGCGTCTCTGCCTTGGTTGCTTCTCTTAAGGAGAAGAACATCGATGAGGTAATTGTTTGAATTTCAAGTCAACGAAAACATTTTTGCAGTCTTGATTGACTCCGCCCTCTACACATTTTCACTTTAGGTCATTGCCGAAGGCAAGGAGAAGCTCGCTTCAGTCCCTACCGGTGGTGCCGCTGCTGCTGGTGGTGCCGCTGCTGGCGGTGCTGCTGGTGCTGAGGAGGCCAAGGAAGAGGCCAAGGAGGAAGAGAAGGAAGAGTCCGATGAAGACATGGGCTTCGGTAAGTTTTCGCACATATTATCGTTAAGCGTGCAAAAAGAATAAGTAACTTACCGCACACTGTTTCTTTTTTCAATAGGTCTTTTCGACTAAATTCGTAGCATCGTCTAAGCATTTGTCGATTGTCAATAAAGACCCGCTTCTCTTGAGCACAACCAAAATTACTTTATATGTCTTTTTCGTATGCTGCTGAATGTTATAGGGAGATGAGGATAGTGTAAGTGGTGTGTTATACTAACGCGCCGGCTCGATCAATGTTCAAGCTCTACTCGATGTCTACGAAGAATTCATCATACGACTCGTCCCTATATTTCCAAAATGTAACAGCGCAGTAAAATGTGGCGTACTTACGCTCAGCTTTATATGTAGCGATATTACTTTATACTTTTATGCATACAAGTAGACAAACGTACACCAATAATAGCCGTAAAATTTGTAGTCTATATTTTTGCTTCTACTTTTTGTTCGATGATGGATTGAACAAGAGGCCATATCTGCTTGCGCGATAACTTGACATTTCCTTGGCTATAAAATGCCACACCACTGCTACTTTGTGCATTGATGAACGGAAACTGTTTCAACCCAACGCTGTCGTCACTCTCTAGTGTAGCTTTCACAAGAAGTAAGGCAGTGTGCGATACGAACAGAGCTAACTCACGTCTGTACAGTCCATCTTCGCCATTGTATCCTGTCAGGATAACCTCCATGTCTAACTGGCGCTCGTTAATGTATTCTTGGGTTTTTTGAACGATATCCTCTGCGCCGTCGCGGTCAATCCAGCCCTGAAAATTCCATGACAACGAGCTAGTGCCGACGCGGTATCCATCGACGACCCATTCCTTGTAGTCTTTTCTTAGAAGATCGCGCGTGCAAAGATGTTGGATGCGCGACTTGACTTGTTCGATGGCATCGTAGGTTAACGAGGGAGATGCGAGCTTACGGACGATATCGTATGCTTTTTCGTCCGTTTCGGTCGTCTTGCCAAAATCCCAGCGTAAGCCGATAGTGTCAACGAGAATGGGTCCCACTGCCAATTGCGACAGCGTCTTGTCGTTGGAAAAAATACCAGGGAACTGCAATACCACAAGCGTGGTACATGATCCAACAGTGGTAATTATGCGTATAGGGGTGTCTGTATATTGATTCTCGTCCACGTGATGGTCCAGGACACCATTCACGCGCTCTCTCCATTTGTTTTCATCAAATGGAGCAGTTAGTCGGTTATGATCGACTAGAAAAACGCGGGCGTTGGCGTCGTAGAGTGCTGGCAGGCCAATGTGGTCGATGCATATCAGCTTTTTGTAGTTGACGCCAGCGGACTCGAGTACGAAACCGACTTCAGGACGTAGTTCGAGATCGGCCAAGGGCACCTTGACCAAAGGAATATATAATACGTCAGGTGATTGCTGATTGGAAATATAGGCAAACAGTAACGCTGAAATGATCGAATCGAGATCTAAAAAACGAAGTTCATTAGGTTTAGCAAAGCTTGTTACTCTCAGAAATAATATTGTTATGGTAACTTTTACTTTTTATATTTCTAGAATCTTACCGGCCGAGTCATTTCCTGTAACAATGACAACGTTCTGATTGTCACTTACTGTGCTGACACGCTCTTTGACGGAATCCAGAAAACCGTCGATATTCGCCATAATACTTATACAGTTCAAAGCGGGCTAAAAGAAGTTTATAATAGGAGAGGCATAATTATCGGAACCGGATCATCCAGTCACGCGCCACAAGGAATGTGTGAATCCCAGACAATGTGTGTATCGCATCTTTATCAGTGATAAATGAAGAGCAAGAGCCGCTGTTGCATAGTGCTGTGAAAGAAGCTAAAGGAGAGGAATCAGAGACTTGATACAATAAAAAAAAAGTAAGCTTATAAAATTACGCTCTTGAATCGCATCAAAATATTGAGAATACGTGTATACTTCTATTGATATAAGCTTTGTATTTTTGGCGGTTTTTCTTAATTATTTTGCGATGTCGAAAGCGCCAAAATGTTTTATGGCCCGTATGTACATCAAGCTTGCCATTTTTTTTATCTCAAGCTAAAGGTGCTATGTACACAGTTTGTTTAAGTCGCATCATCCGCAACAATGATGACGGGATGTTACGGTCATCAACCCTGCTAGTGATTATAAATGGCTTGTAAAAACCAAAAGTAATACATACAAGAAAAGAGAGCTTAGTTTTCTTATTCTATGCTTAGGAGAAGAAGAACCAACAAGGATTGAGTAGGGATATAGCTGCAAAAAATCACGCTAACTCTACTGCTTTTCCTTGCCGTCACACTAACTCGTGATCCCTCCACCGCATTCGGCCTTTCCTCGCTATACTGCGATGTGCTACAAGTGTTCGTTGTCAGGATGATGCGACTTGAGAGATGTATCAAGTAATCCCAACACCATTAATGTGACCGTTTAAGATAAAATACCAAAGCAGTTTTGAATACCGTATTTGAGATCAGATCTTAGATGTAAACGTTTTTCGAAGCCTTTCATCATGGAGTGTCACGGCTAGTAACGTTGAAAGGAATGGTGCGGTATAGATACCATCAACATTTAAGCCTCAGAATTTATCCGGTGAAACCTGATAGTACAAATATCTGTTTCCGTTGATGCAGTTGTTTACACATGCAAAACTATATGCTATATTTGAAAATTATACCAAGACACATTTTTTCGTTCCAATTAGCTGCAACACTTTAAGGATGTTCTCACTATCACTTTAATCGTCGTTTAGCTCTTCCTCTTCCCCACCACCTTTGACGTCTTCGTCTTCTCTATGACTTTTTTGAAGAGGCATCAATAAACAATGGTTATCAGCTGTGATGCTCCATCTTTCTAAGATTATGATGTAGAGCTGCTTCACTAAACTGAGAAAGATCAGTTTCATCATATCTTGATTTCCAGTTTTGCCAATGTATGATAATGACAACCTCAAGAGATGCCAAATTCGTGAGACAGCGGGTTCGTGTTCATTCGAAGATAGAAGTCAACATACTGTGGTGCGCAAATTCAATTTCGTTGGTTTTTAGAAAGCAGCATGACATCAAGTCAGTCGTTCTTGCTCCGAATGATTTACGATGATGCACTTCTATTTCTCGGATGGTCTGCTTCCTAGGAGCTTTTTTGTTTCACCTGAGTTCAGGTTGATAATTACGACACTTCTTACTAGGTCATGCTAGCCATCACATTATCCCTTACCTAAACATAGGTCCATGTGCGTTATTAATAAATGAGTGTTCTCCATATTTATGTCTGATTTGTTATTGTGCTCACAACATCTGTAGCCCCTCGAATGATTTGCTATGGGCTGTTGTTCTCCTCTGTAACAATGCTCTGTAAAAGCAACGGAAAGTGTGTACGCGTCCGTATTGTGTAAGCGTTAACGACGGGTACTTTTTTAAAGCCATTAACGGTAATGTTAGAGCGAAAATTCAGACAAAGACGCAACCTCTTTCTAAGCGATTTTTATACCGGTTCTCTTCTCTATTCTACTACTTGGTCTATTTTCGCCGGCGCTGTTCTTGTACCCCTTATATACTCATTATAAGCGCACAAAGCACTACTAGTTCTCTATTAAAGCAGCTGCGACGTGATAAGGACCCATCCAAATATTTTGTAAGCTTCCAACCGCCTTTCATGTTGGCTTCCAGATACGTCAAAAAGCAGTATGGATGTCAACCATGCTGTTTTGGTTAGCCGATCGAAAGCCTTCACCGGAGCCACAGGAGAAGATATGGGCTAGCTGTCAAAAGGTTTATCCTGTGTAAATACTAAAAATAGTGACCTCTTCCTTATGGGTAGCAGGTTGAAGTGTTTTTGATGAAAGTGAAAGTAGTAAACTTTGCTTTCAGAAGTTGAAATGATTATGACGAAGTGCGAAGGAAACGACTACATAAAGTGCAAAACAAAGAAAGGGGTGTTTTTCTTGCAGCAATGTTAGCATGGATGCGCTCAAACAGAAAGAAGCTGCCTGATATGTTATCAATAAAGATTATGAAGTGGTTTAATGATGCGCAGAAAGGAAGGAAGTAGTCAGTTGTATGATCTTTATATAGAAAGCCTATCTCAGCAACTGGCCATTTAAGATAGAAGAGCATCATCGTGTAGTAGAATGCGCATATTAAGACATATACATCGATAAACTTGGTGGGCGGCTATATATGATAGCCATCGATTTTATTTGACTTGAGTAAATGAATGCTAATTATCGCTGATAAATATCTCGCTGAGCGTTTCACCCGCGATCCCATCACCGGGAACTCCTTGGTAGAGTGGATAAGTCGATCTCCTGTATAACGCAGGTAAGTACTATTCAACGCACAGGGGTCAAAAATGGCTTCTATTATTTTGACTTGGGTCACCCTTCTACAACGACGTCGTTTACATCCGCATGACCAAAAAAGATATTTATTTGCGTTTAACGTGCTGAGTCCAAGGTACGCTTTCCGGGAAGCAGTCTAAGTTTGTGATGCTGAAGTAGCCAAGGATCATCGCTAATTGTTTGTTTACGTCGACGCAAAGGAGAAACACTTGGCTCTGCCAAGCTGTGTAAATCACATTTTACTTGGCTGGCGAAAAGCTTATGTTTTTGTCTTGGCTCGTTTGCAATAAAGTTTGAACACCAAAAAGTTAGAAAAACATATCATGCTTTCTGATAGAAAGTGGAGGTCTGTAACGAGCTGGCATGTTGCGGGATCGTCAGGGTTAGATCAACAACAGCCCCCTTTCCCCTTTTCCCCTTTCCCTCCCTGTCTTTTTTTTTTTTGACATTTGAGGGGATGCGGTAAGGGAAGTAGCCAATATGATTCGCTGATAGTGTTCGCCGGAATGACTTGGTCCGATGAATTTTTTTAGGCCCGTCAAAACAATTCTGGCTGGACTGTCTCCAGGTCGCCAAACCCCAATACACAACAACAATAACAACGAAAATGTTCAATCGGTTACAGGCAGGCAAGTGGTCAACACCGATCTGCAATTTCTTGTTTGTCTGTAGAGAACCTCTACGATTGTAACTCTGATACTAACACACTCATTGTTTCTATACTCTATATATGTTTAAATATACTATATGCAACGCAACTAAAAAAAACAACAGTCTCGCGATCTTCGCCCTTACTCGTTTTCAAACAACAATTCCACGGTACAGCAGCAGCATGCGCAAAGAAACATCCCAAGCAGATCAAAAAGGAAAACTTGGCGAAACGCGCTGCTAAAATAGCCGAGTTCGAACGCACAAAACCCTCGCCCATTGTCTCGCAAAACACGCCATTCTTTGGTGTTCTCCATACACCCGCCAGCGCATATGGCTCGACGAGCGACAGTCAACATTTCCTTTCACAGGACGATCGACAATTCTTGTTCGAACAGACGCCACGGGATTTCGTAGAAAAGAGCCACTTGGGAGCTGTGGAAGGTGTAGAAGAGGCATTGAAGCATGAAGAAAGCAAGGTGGCTGCTTTGGAGAAAATTGTCGGTCTCCAGAACGGTAACGCTAAGGCAGTTCAGTTATGGAATATCCAACGAACGATTGACTGGTTCAAACAGAAAGAGGGTGATACCGGAAGCCCTGAAGTACAAGGTAACGATGATTCCACAGTTATATTCTGTTAATGCACACGTGTGTGTACATTTAAATTAGATCTGGATACTAACTACTGTGACAAATGTTACTAGCTGCCATCCTAACCGTCCGCATACACAACCTCTACTCGCATCTGCAGCAGCACCGCAAGGATAAGCACAACTACAAGCAACTGCGAACAATGGTGCACAAGCGAGCAAAGATCTTGAAATACTTGAAGGCCAAGAGTCTGGATAGATACAACACCTGTTTGAGCGAGCTGGGCTTACAATCACGGGCTGTGGAAGGCGAAATCACCCTGTAATGTTATGGTTTATTTAGTTGTTGTTGTTGTTATTACTCTTGTTTAGAAAACATAAAGCTTTGCTGACTATAATACGTCGTATGTCTCGTGGCATGTGAGCGTGCTGGGTGCGTGTGATACTGGAGTTGATGATCGGTGTGTACGATGTATGTGATACATAGCACTATCCCAGAAACCCCCCTTGCACACGTCTTGGCAGGTTTTCTTGGTACGTAGGCGCTACCCGGAAAGGCATACTCGGCACTTTACCCGATTACTTGCTTATTGAGAAGAGATTAAAAGTCGCCGCTCCAAAACACGGTATATTACATCCTACTTTATGGCTCTGCTCTGTCCAACCCGCTGAGCATTCACCTTTCCTTTCTTCCGCTTTCTCCTTCCCTAAACCCACTTTCACGCTTATGTGCTGGAACAATGACCAATCGTCAATCCCATGACGACAAGGAGCGATCGCTACTGCTCTTCCCCATTGCCTTTCTCCATTCCCACTTGTATTGGTTCTGTTCGGTTATTTGGACCGTATGTACCAACTTTTCCACCGAACCCATCGACCAGCAACAACCACTAGAACAGCAAAAAAAACAAATTGAACATCGTAGCAGTAATAGAAAACTTACCTCTCAACCTACAACGACGGCAGCAGGCTTGAAAGCTGCTAAGCGTCCAAGAGGATTCTCGGCACCACCACCCCACAACCACCCGTCATCTGTCAGCACCAGAGGACGCTGTACAACCATCAGCGCAGGCGCACCCATTGAAGCATCAGCGTCAACATCTACAACGTCAACAACAGCAGCAACAGCGTCAGCAAGACGACGACGTTTCTATCTCGGTCTACGGTCGCATCATCATCATCATCATCATCATCATGCATCAGAAACAGAAGAAGAGCAGATCATCATCCGCCCCAGTTTATCGGACGAACGTACAGGGGCTACGTGTCCTCCCCAATGGTGGCAAAAGACGCGGTTCTACATTGACGCTCTCAAACACTCTTCTTCATCCAGTTCGTCTGTCTGCTCATTGTCAGACGCTGCTACAGACGCGGATCCGAGAATGAGCATAGAGTCTGTTGAGTCTGCTCCTGCCGGCCCTGCAATTGCTGCTGGCGCCGTCGGTAGTAAAGGTGGTGTCCCTATTACCAATAACGCCGCTATTGCACCTGCTGCTGCAGCTAGTACAGGTGCCCTGGTTGCTGGCAGTAGTACAGCCACCAGCGAACACCATCATCAACAAGAGCAACAGCAACATCGTCGTAAGCGCTTCTTTCTCAAATCATTCCACAAACTAGCAGATTCTTCAGAGTCCACGGCACAACTGGAGAAAGCACAAGCAGTTAGTGGCAAGCGCACGAATTCGGTGCGACTTTTGTTCAGAAAGAAGAACAGCACGCTTTGATGATGATGATGATGATGATGATGAAAGAACGACACTATGCATATCACTCTTCTTGTCCCCTCTTCTTCCTTTTGCCACCCTTCTCCCTTTTGCCGACCTTTTGTATATACTTTATCCCCTTTTGCATGATTACACACCCCATCTACACGCACACACACACACACACCAAGCTGGTTCTTTTTCTCTCTCTTTGACTCTTACCTTTTCTTCTGCACATATAAACCTCTCTATAGCATATACATCTATCAAAATGACAACCTCTTTTTCCCCTTGCATTTAGACTCTTTTTCTAAAAATAAAAAAATGCCGTGGGGCGTTTCGCGTCGTCATGATGTAAGCGCCCCTTCAAAAAAGAAACATGAAAACTGCGATTCACGTGGATGCCACAAGCAAATAGCCGTACTGAGCTCTGAGATGTTATCAAAACAAAAAACTCCTATTTAATTTTTGACGATCGAGCCTAATCCTTCGGTGTCTGTTTAACCGCAATACTTCCCTGAGTCTCTCAAATATCGGTTTTATTTTTTTGCGCACGGACACCATTGGAACTTTTTTTTAGCGCGGTACTACCGTATTACCGATTCTTTTTCACTCGGCTGAAATCCTGGAATGAAAGATGAACCGACTCTGCTGCTAAGCACGTGCAGATAATGAAAAAGCTGCCATCATTGTTTCGTAAGCACCGCATGCTGTGTGCGTGAAGCAGGTGATAATGGATGATGACCGTTGAAGATCATGATACATTCTTTCAAAACTGGAAATTCTTCTCGCAAGTACTCATGTCACAAATGCTTTCTCTATGCGGCTCACCACTAAAGCAGGTATGCTACTGCTATTACTACTATAGCGTCAATTTAAGTGATCTTAAGTATATGCATAGCTCGTCATATCGTCGTCATCATCACACAGCCCCCGGAAAAGGAAAGAAGCGGATGAGGATGCGGGAGAGATCGACGTACATAATAAAGTGATCGTCATGGAACAGAAAATGATAGAAGAGATCTCCCCCAGTCTTCTTGTTCTTAGCTTTCAGTGAGATGGACAGATGGAGGTTGGAAGTGTGAGAGAGCTTGTGCACATTCTTAAATCATAATACAAAAGAGCCACGCTGTAACCCATGATGTTATGTAGCTTTAACCATCTAGGAACGTTTGTTTTTTGCTCTTGCTTACTGTTGAGCTGTTACCCTGTTTAACCAATATGTCCTTGCTTGTCTATACCGCACGACCTTTCATGACATATGCTGCTTTGGTGAGCAAAAGTGTAACATCTTCTTATTTTGTCAATGTGACGCCACTGTGTGTTGCTGTATGCGTTATACATAATGTGCTACAATCAGTAAATGTGTGCGTATGCAGAAAGTTTATTTCTCTTCTTGGATATGTACAAGAGCGGAAAGTCAATGACGACATCATCAAATTGTATACTGTATAGGAATTGAGCTTTCTCCAAGCGTTACGTCTCTTTTGGGGTTAGATCATTCCATTCTTAAACATCTTGGATATTTGCGCACACATGCATGCATGTGCACTGTCAGATGTAATGGGAGTACACATCAAAAGAAGATGATGCAGCAGCTACCATTTAACGCGCGTTTAGCAGGTATACATGCTTGTATAATTATAAATGCAAAGACTCTATAGATATATGAAGCTGTTACCTGTTTGCTGCTTGACCTTGCTCTCCATTCGAATTTCTTACTCGGCGTAAAAGTTGAGACCTACAACAGAAATATGATTCAAGATAAGATTGTCTGTTTCCGTTTGTAAAGTGACTTTACCTTATCGTTGCTACTACATTTAATGGGTTTTGCTGTTGAGTGAAGTTCATAAATGCTAGGAATGCGGCAACTTTAAAGTGCTGTTAATGAGTTTTCTAGATGATACACAGTCGTTCTCAATCTACATGTATTATTATGATCTAGATAATCACAGGTTTTGCACGGCATCGTTATCAGAGCTTGACATGCTCAGTCCAGTCCTAGGTTGTTGCCATTAAAACAAACTTTTTCAAAACGGCAACAAGCAAGAGCTGTTGTGCAGCGTCTCTCTTTGCTGCATGGGTTAAACAAGGTACGCTCACATGTGGTCATTCGTTAAAGCTTCTTCTACACTGTAACCATCAGCTCCATTCTTCTTTCTACAAGGTAGTAGTGTTATGCAGCCTTCCAAATGACGAATGCGTTTGAAAACAGAAGTTGCTGCAAACGTATAAGAATACGTGGCCGCTTTATTTTGTTTCGAGATATGTAATTCGAATTAAACACACCATTGTTTTTGTTTCATGTAGATTGAGTTTTCTACTCGTATTACCTGATGTCTTCTAGCTGTTTTGTGTACTGTGTACTTGTGATACGATTCTATTTACGCAATTGACATTCTTCCTTATTTACACCCTCAGGGCATTAAAAAGTCGCATACAGCATAAAGTAAGCGACGTCACCTGTGGCTAGATGTGATGTGCAGGTCATATACGATCGATATGAAGCTGTGAGCTTTGTGCATGTTCTCTAAGACAGTGCTGGACTTTTGCATATTTAAGCAGCAAATGTGGCTGTGGGGCTTATTTCTCTGAATTCATGCATTGTATATAGGCCCTAGCAGTGCATAAATAAGGCTTGTCATTATCCATAACCTGTTTCATCTTTAATCCTCAACCAACTGTATTCCTTCTGTTTAGCAGACAGCAAACCTAAAGAAATGCATACTTTATAAAAAGAATGAGGGGGAAATCGACGACTTTATTGTGGACGCTGCAACGAAGCAGCTCATACAAAGCCAGTGTTGGATAATAAACAAGCACTGGAAGGGGGGTTCTGGAAAGGGGGTATTTCGATAGGATAAAATAAAGAGTGATCATTTTTCTGGCTGGATAGGTTGGCTTCTTTGAGTATAATATATGTGATTGCGTATATATGTAATAGATGTGGTGTTGGTGCGTGTGTGCGTGTGTGTGTGTGTGTGTGTTCGTTGGATCGGTGTTGCTGGATGTTAGAGAGTCTCATTATTTCTGGCCCTTGCCCTTTTTTATCAGCCACTGGAGCGTCACATCAATGTTGACTTGGTTTTTGGCTGAGATGGAGTAGCATGACACTTCGCGATTGGTGATAGATTTCAATTGCCTGATAGTTGAAAAAGAAAGAGTGATGTCCATGTGAGTTGAACGATGGAAACCACCGTTGTCGTTATCCAGACTTTCATGATGAGGATGGTGATCCTGGCCTCTCCTTCCCTTTTGCCTCCCTTTTTCCAAACATCTCTGGCCCTTATCTTAAACTTACAACTGGTCAATAAGCTCTGTCACGGTCAACGCACCGGGTAAATCGTTCTTGTTTCCAAGTACGAGTACCGGAATATTTGCCAATGGCGGTCTATCCAACAGATTCTTCAATTCGGTATGTGCTGCTGGAATCTTGTCGTGATCTGCTGCATCCACCACGAATCTAAGGACCCACCGTTGTCGTGTTTATATATGAGAAAAACACAGAGCAATACACGTGAATAACTCAGTCATCCTAGGTTTCCCTTTTGTGATATTCTTTCCCCTTACACTATTGCATTAACACCTCGACAGTATCGCTCCCACATGCTTCTATAACGGGGCTGACCGCCGATATCCCAAAGCTTCATTGTTACGTTGCCTTTGGTCACTTTACGCATGTTAAACCCGACGGTCGGAATAGAATCTTCGATGAACTGTCCAGACTATATTTCATATCATCATGTTGTTGTCGTTATATGTTGATGGCGACGGTTGTAAGCGATCGTTGGTACATAGTGATGGTCGATGTGTGTGTGTCAACGGTTTTGTTAGCTATTTCACTCCGTTCTTATCCGAAACATGATAGTTTACTTAATACATGTTATTCTTACCGCTATCACGTTGACGAGTGTTGTCTTGCCGCTGTTTTGGAGACCAACAAGCGTCAGCTCCATTTCAGTCTATCGTAAGAAATAAAAAAGAGAACCATTTTTTGTGGATTTTTAGCGTCAAAGTGCACATGCATAACGGAAAAGAAAGGTGTACGGAAGGGATGTTGATATGTGTGTACGTGTAATATATTCTGAAATGGTGTGTGTGTGTGTGTGTGTGTTTGTACCTTGAAAAAAAGGCTCCGGAGCCAATCCAGAATCGATTGTAAAATGTGTGCCATCTGTGCAAATATATGAGCGAGAGTAGAATTGACCCTCTGACGATGGATAAAGAGTTATTTAAAATGGGTTTTGTCTTGAAAGATTTCGAAAAGAGGAGAAAGGGAGACTCGCTGGTTGTCCGACTAGACTTTTTTTTTTGGTCGAGAAGTACCTCCCGCACTACAGACACACACACACACACACAGAGATAGAGCACGCATTCAGATACGTCACAGCCAAAAGCGCACAGAAAGCTTTTACTTTCTTTCTTTTGCTTTTGGTTCTCAAGACTCGATACTTTAGTTATAATCATATGATGAAACACAGAACAATCATCTTATTGAGGGGCATCGTCTATAAGCAACGCTTCTCTACTTCTCATACTTCACTGTGTTGAGCTTCTTCTCTCCCGCTGTGTATAGTACAGTGGTCCATCTTTTACGGTTTAGAGCCAACAACATCATGGCCTGGTGCGTAACATCAACGGATGGTGCCTCGTGAGACATGTTGCTGTGTTTATCCCGATTACGCACTATGCAGAGCCGTTGACAGATTTGTGCTATACTACTCTCCATGCTTGTTTCGACGTACATACAGCTTTCTTTGCTCTTCTTTGTGTCACTACATATGTGCTATATATCACCAAATAGCATGTTACCACTTAGTCTCCCTGTAAGGATAAGGGAACATGGTGCGCTCTTATTATACAAGACGAAAAATTAGCTTATGTTGCACACCGATATTAGTAGGCCCTTGCTTCTCTGGACGGATCGTGTGGCACAATGGATTAAGAGCATTTTTCAAGATTCAAAGTCGTCTAAACTTTCTCTGCTCACATGAATTTTTTATCTAGTAGGGGATGCTGTTGTCTATAATTTCGATAAGAAACATATGACATGAGAGACCAGTTGGGGATCTTGTGATATACTTAAGAATTGGCGATACGGTTCTCCTTCAAAATGATGTATACAATACCGTCTTTGTAAACGCGTTAGTTACTAAGGAATTAATCATCCAGCTGTTGCCGAAACAGCAAAACAGTATATGCATATTCCTTCTGCGGAAACAAACGACCCGGCCGAGATTTTTTTTTTTTAGTTCAGCAGCTAGAAAAAAATAAGTCAAACTTTCCCGCAGATCGCGCGAAATCTCACAGCAACCAAGAAGAATATACAATGGACAAACAAGTGCTAGAGGTAATTACTTGGATGGTTCCTTATGCACAAGTAGTGGATCTACGTGGCCTAAAAGCTCGTTTGTTGTCTAGTTACTCGAATTCCTACATCAGCCACGTCCTGAGGTATGTTGTATGTTTATTGTATACATCAACATAAAAAGATTTAGGTTTATTGATTCTTCCATATAGATCCGAGCACTTGCCGTCCAGCAACTGACTGCACTCACACCCAGAGCGTCCGAGTTCCAACCACTCCTTATCAGCAAACGCGAAACCTTGATTCCAGATCTAAAGTCTTTGTGCCATGACGATACTGTATGATTTGAAATATGAGAGAGGAAAGGAGAGAGGGTGTATTGTTAATATGGAAACAAAAAAGAAATCATTCTCTCTGACCCGCTAATACACATAATCGAAAAAAAAAAACAAAAGGTTGTAGCACACGAAGCCCTCAAATGTCTTATCAACCTCTCGCATGACCCTCGTATCCTTCAAGAACTCGATGACAAGTATTTCCTTAACTTTCTGTGTCTTTTAATTCTGGTATGTCATATGGAACAACGTGGATATATTTACACACGGTCAATTACCAACCTGGAAAATAACGGTGTAATAGATCCCCAAGTCAGTTCTTGCTGATCCCGCTTGTATGCTACTTTCCAACATGACGAAACACGAACCTATATGTGTCAAACTTTTGGAAGGCGAAGCAAAACCGCTGCCAGGTCTCTGTGACTCTACACGTTTGATGGACCATCTTGTTGAGGCATTCCATCGTGGACACAAGAAGGCATATAATCCCAAAGCAGAGTTCAATTTTTTGGCAAGCGTGTTCTCTAACGTATCTGGGGTAAGGTTATTATTTTTGTATCCATGAGTATAATTAGATCTTGCTAGCATGCTTGGACTTAACAGAAGCAATTGATATTAGATCCGTGCTGGCCGAGTATATTTCCTTGAAAAGGCACCTTATGACAAGCTCGCACCTTTGACCAAGCTGCAAATTTTCTCGGAAGACACCAATGTTATCCGTCGTGGTGGTGTGGATTCGACAATGAAGTATGTATAAATCGTCCAGTCCGGGAACATGAGTCCACTTTTGAGGGACATCTCGAGATATTCATTTTTATCTGTTTTTTAGGAACTGCTGTTTCGAAACCCGTGAGCACGAACGTATCCTTGAAGCTGACCAATTGAACACATTACCCTTCATCCTCTTGCCACTATGTGGTAGTGAAGAATACGATATGGAGGAATTCGAACAATTCCCAGAGGAAATCCAGTTACTGGATGATGACAAGGTAAACAGGAAAAGATAATGTCTATACTTCTGATGAAGTGGCTAATATACACATATATACAGAAACGTGAAAGCGATTCGGTTCTCCGTATGATCCTCGTTGAATCTCTTATACTTTTGACTCACACTCGTTTCGGTCGTGAATATCTTCGCCAGAAGCAAGTCTATCGCGTCATCCAGAAATTGCATGCAGTGGAAACAGATGAAAAGATTAAGGAAAAATGTGTGTCAATTGTAGACATGTTAATCCGAGACGAGGCTGGTCCTGAGATCCAGGAAATTGACAAGACTAAAAAGCAAGAAGAGGAAGAAGAATCCGATGATGATATGGTCATTGAAGAAATTGTATAAACGAGTACTCTATGTAGATTGTTGTCAAAAAAACATAATAGCCCAGACATGGTTTTTCTTTCTTTTGTTGTATTAGAAAACAAGCTTGTGTATATATACGAGCATGTGTTTTGGTGTGTGTATATGGAGAGTGGGTGCAGTAAGGGAAAGAGAAAAAGGACATGCGAATATAACTTGGGCTTTTAGTGGGCATCAGCACGCTTGCTGATATATTCAATAGCCTGCTTGGCAGTCTTGATCTCGTCGGCATCCTTGTCTGTGATCTCGACCGAGAATTCCTCCTCAACGGCCATGACGACTTCGACGGTATCCAGGCTGTCCAAACCAAGATCGTTGACAAAGTGGGCGTCCAATGAGACCTACAATAATCAAACATAAATTAGGTTGAAATGCCGGTCCTGTTGTTTTCTTCTTTTCCCGATCGCTTCGTTCAAATCAAATAGACATTGTAACGGTTCGACAATTTAAATGTGTGCATGCATGCATGTGGGTACCTTGCTCTGGTCAACCTTATCGAAACCTCTCAAAATGTCCAAAACACGCGACTCAATGTTGGCAGTACCAGCACCAGCCGAGTACAGACGAGTGAAGGCAGCGGGAGCGGCAAAGCGAGAGACGGGTGCGCGAACGGCAGCAACGCGCGAGGCAGCATTGAAGAGGACGGTGGGACGGAACATTATAAATTGTCTATATGAGAGATAGAGAGAGGGGAGTTGTTCTACGCTTGGATTTATGAACAGAAGTCGTTAATATTTACGTTGCCCTGTGAACAAAATTTGGTTCCGGCACTGACAAGAAAAAAACGGTCACTTATTGGACCGCTCGTCCGCACCGTATACTTAAATTGACACCGCTTAACTTTCTCTCTCAAAATTTACACTCGAACAATCAAAAACTCACGCACCAGAGTAATATTGCATTGGATGAGCACTTTTGCGATAGAGTATACAGCTGTTTAAGCCACTTTCTGTGTACCTTTACAGTTCAACACTCAGCATCTAGTTGTAGGGTAGTTAGGTAGCTCAAAAATAATACGCTGTATAAATTTAAAATACTAGTACCTCATCCGACCTCTGATTTTTCAAGGCCTAGGACGTTGATGCTGTGTTGGTTGTTGAAGCAGTCCCCTGTGTAGGTTTTGGATCTTGCGTTGAGGTCGCCGAATATTATGGTTTCTGGGTCTATGGTGAGCTGGTCTAACGGCTCTGTCCAGGTGTGATGGTCGAGTGAAGGTGGTAGGTAGTGAGATGTGTAGGTGCCAATACGAAATGAAAGCGTGAAACAATTCAATGTTGAGTATTGGTGAACGTGCAAGTTCAAATCCGGCCGTACAAGCAGAAATAGTGCACCTTTCCTTCAGGTTTGATGTAAACAGCATATGGCAAGAATGTTTAATACTTAACTGACGGAATAAAGCAGCATCTTTGATTGGCGCCCAAAAGATGGTGTCTACTTGCTGCCTCGATGTTTCTAGTTGAAGCAATGTTTTCTATTTGGCCCACAAACTAGAAAAGCTTCCAGGCAGCACTTCCAAACGTACTAAATGCTTCTTTTTCGTTGCCTCTAATATCTATGTATTCATTGGTTGCTGATTTCTTGGGTACGTTTGACGTTTTGTAATCAATGATGCTATACTATTTTCTTCCATCACTGCTTACTTTACTACTGTTATTCCTCTTGCATTGTTCCATTGCTTTGTCAAAACTATTTCACACCCATTTTTCTTGAAGATTTTTATGTGTGCGACAGAATTTTTAACCGAACGTGCAACAGCATTTATCTTAACACTATTAAAAACTGCCAAGGAGAATGTCACACGTTTCATCATGATCATGTCGCTTGTGCTCTATTATCTTATGCATTCCCACACGACGACCTTACCTATTTATCAGCTTTTTCGTACACTACTAATAGCTTAAAAGATGTATCAGCAATTTAATGATATAATTCAGCCGCATAATACATTCATAGTGAGAATGTGAAGGCAATCATTTTTCAATTGAAATGATACTGTATCGTCTCTGATTTTGGACTCTATACTTATTTTACCAGTGGGAAAAAAACGTCAAAGTTGATAAAGATCTTAAGACATTGCTATAACTGTTATATAGTCCTCCGCTATCTGCAAATATAGTTACCAATATTGTTTTAGTACTACTGTAGTACGTACTGATGACTAATTTACGTATAGCTACAGCCTACAGGCACTGTATACAACAAAATATTGTAGTAGAGAAGCCTCCGTCCTTCTTTTTTCCTCTTTGTATTTTCTACTCTTTTTAAACACTTCCAATTTACAGGATATGGATGTAAAAATCATTTCATTTGCAATATGTGCTCTAAAGAAAAATATAAAAAAACATTTTAAATTTCAAAAAAAACATAAAAAAGAGCACGTCTTTTCATTGAAAGATGTTCTACTTGATTGTTCCGCATCGGGGAATCGAACCCCGGCCATCTGTGTGAAAGACAGAGATCCTGACCACTGGACCAATGCGGATTGTTGTAAACATAACTTTAAACAAATATAAGACAGCAAACGTTATGGTGATTGATGATGATGATAATAAGATATGATGATGAAAACAAGCTGGTATATAAGATAGTCATTTTCAATTTTACTTATATATTTCATAGTAACTAAATATTTAATAAAGTTTCAAAGAAATTATAGGAATTGACAATTTTATAGCTATAGATATACTTATAATTAATAAAGTTATTATACCTTTAGGAAATAAAACAAAAAAAAACCAAGAAATATATTAAGAAAAATAAATTAATAAATCAATCACTATATATACAATATACCATGCTAGTAAGAAGGTGTCTATAGGTATGAAAATGCATTCTTCAAGTAAGTTATTAGTAGAATTTTTTTGTGGAATAGTTGAGATTATTTTATCAAAGGGCAATGATGAGCTACGTCAAAAACTTAACATATACTTGCCTAAATGAAAGAACAATAGTGGTGTCATAGCTAGCTGCCTAAAAAAGTTCTGGTGCTCGGACGCAAAGGGAAAAAGGTAAAGTGGGTATTGGAAGGGGGGGAGGCAAGTGAGCAGGGTCACAGAATGAAGGTTGGGAGTCATTGATGAGGGGGATAAATTATAGTAGTTATAATCTTTTTTTTCTGTTTTTTTGTCTATTCTTCTTTTTTCCTTTTTCCTATGAAATATATATGATGAGATGGAACGTACCTACTTTCCAAGAGGGACCAAAGGATCGAGCACTTTGAAATATAGGCAGTAGTGGCAGGATCGGTGAAGATATTGGAGTCAGGTAGTGGTAGTGGTGGTGATGGAAGGCAGTTGTTGAGCTAGCTCAAAAACTACTGGCCATGTTCTGGGTCATCTATTGCTGCTGTGAAATCCTCTTCAGGATGACAGAGGATGTCAATGTCTAACATTAACTTAGCAAGGGCGAGCCATGGAGTAGACCAGCAGAAGGTAACAGCAGGTGTAGTGGTGTGTCCTGTCTTTGAGTGCGTAGTTGGTGGCGAGAAAGACGGTTGAGGAGGTTTTCTATGGTATAGATACAATAGGATGCATATCTGCTAGGGGTCGCAATTGGACGGGTCAAAACTGACTTCGATATGGTGATTAAGAAAGTATCAATTAACCTGAACTTGAGCACTGGAATTGCAAAACTCTATATATAAATAGCTCTCTAAGATGATGACACGCAAATTCCTAGCAGTGCTAGCAACATCTACGTTCTGAGTGCTTATTCTTAAAGGTAAAGGGTTCTGTGCCATCACAAAAGAAATCGCTTGGGCTCACATGCTTTAAAGAAAGCATAATATTTATAGTGTGGTTGACAATCGACTTCCCTATATACCCCTTATCCTTTTCCCTTTTCCTTTTTCTTTTTACTTCTTTCTTCTTCCTTCGATTTTCTTTTCTCAATTCCGTTTCTGTCTTTTGTTAAATCGCGTCTCTTACTGCCACCCTCTATTGTCTGTTCTCATTGTACTATTGCTGCTTCTTTACTCATTTTACATATATTGCTTATAGCTTACTTATCCTCTACCCTTGAATATAAAATACAATCCCACAATAAAAAGAATGTAAGTACATTTTATGTTACAGTTCTATAGCAGACACATTGACAACTACATCTTTAATATAATGATGCTTCCTAACAAGAAGATTGACTACTTAAATACAAGTACCTCATACGTATCATATGTGTACACGGGTCACAACGGGTCAGAAAAGCATCAACCCGACCCATTGACCTGTCTTCAACTGCGCGTCAGATTGCGACCCCTAATATCTGCTGTACCTGTAGTCTATTTTTGCTGCTTATTTAGGAGTATGTAGATACAACATCAATATTATTGTATTTTACTATATTATTTCATACTTGTCTGAATTATCAATAAGCAATGTAAAATACAATGCAGTGTAGTGGTGTTGAGTGTATCGGCGCCCAAGGAAGGCAGAAAACACAGTCAGCCACTCGCAAGATCGTTGCAAGAAGCAGTGGCTGCTATAGATACTGAATTATTAGTCGCACATCAGGTGCTTGATAGTGCTTTTGTCAATTATTTTTTCACGACGCAGAAGCATGAGTGAAATATGTGGCAAAATGAAATGATTGACTATGAGCTGAAGCGCTATATGGAGCTCGTTAACGATGATTCTACCTTATTTTCAAAGACAGTTTCCTTCCCTTTATAATGTAGTAATGTATATATTGCTATATGTTACAGAAACAGCACTTTTTGATCTAATTGAGTCTAGTATAGAATGGTCTTTGTCGTATGAGTATAATTTTGGTTTTTTTGGATGATTCTATTTACTCTCCTATGCTTTTGGTTAGCTAGTTGTAATGACTGCATACACATCATGTACCTGTCCAAGTATGTTAATAGTGTGGTAAACTAAGATCCGGTACAAACAGATGTCTTGATAGAAAGTTTCTCTTTACCGTACCGGGATCCAATAAGGGACATAGCTGCGTACATAATGATTGATCGATTTTCATAGTTGCAGGAGCAGGAGCATATTATGTGATGGCGGTAATATTGGGTACGGCGGCGGGTGGAAGCAGATTTAGCGACGTATAAATGCAACAGATCAAGGCACACACCTAAGTGCAAAGCTAGGCGCGACCGACAAAAGTGACGAAGACGATAAAAACTAGCAAGGTTGCAAGGGGGTGGGTGAGAGGTCTAGCAAAGAAGCATGTTGAGATGAAAGGCGAGTGTAAAAAATTCGATCATGGCGGCTGATAAAGAAAAAGGGACACGTGCACCCGCGGCAGACAACACGCTTTTATATTGTCGCCTACGCAGTTAATTAGAATCTCAGTATCTTATGAACGCTTATTCTACGTGGACACTAAGAATATATAACTACCACCATGGAGTAATGGTATCAAGTCTTGTATATTTGCTTAACCAATACTTTTCTAATCTCTGCTCTGGATGTCTTTGCAATGGAGAACATGCTTACATAGATAGTATAGTCGTATAAGATATAGCAATAAACAGCAGTTATTTTGATAGGTTGTTTTCGCATTAATTTCATTATCACTGTTGTTGTTATGCGAGGTTATAGAAAATTAAAGTACTGCTTTACATGTTTCAATAGCTAAAAAGAAGATGACCGCCCATGTCCCTACTGACAGATCTTTTTACATTTCGTCGTTGATATCACGGTAGCTGTTTGAAGTATAAGAAAAACTGTAAAAAAAAGTGAAGAAATTAATTATGAGAATCGTGCGGTACCCCGGCACCATGGAGCATTCCCTTAATTTGCTGTTCCTAATCACCAATCATTTCACAGCCGTTGCCTGCCAAAAATAGTCATCTTTAAGAAGCCTGTGAAAAAACATATTGTAGAAGCATTGTCTTTCGGAGGACAAGGCTTAGAACCCATTTGGTATTTTTTGATGCTTGCGGGGATAAATATATCAGCACAATGTCGCAATGTTCAAAACAGAAGAAGACCTTTTATGCCTATTACTACCACTTTACATGTTCATTATACCAGAGTTTGTTCTTTGTATGAACGGGTAATCGAGTCAGTGTAAATGCTTTGAGACAAAAAGAACGAGAAAAAATGACATGCGGGATGCTATTGTCAACACATGTACATGAGAAAAGGGGATCAAACTGTACCTTTTCGAATTTAATATCAACGTGTGTTAGTGTAGACTGCTATCTTACAGCTTCAGTCTTTCGAAGTGTTTAATTTGCACAGAGGGCTCGGAATACGGAAGCACATCAACTGGCATTAATGAGATATCTTTCTCGTGTAGACCTTTCTTGTGTAGATAACCTTGATGTATTGACCATCAACGATAGTTATACTGATAGCGAAAACTCATATTAACATTCTGAATTTAACGTATCTTCCTACATCAATAACGGGCTTGAATGTGGATGTGCTAAAATAATGTAACATTCATACAGTCAATGAAGAAAAAATAAGCGTCAATGCTGCCTACAGTTCTACTTTCTCATCTTATCTATCCTTATTCTTGTGATTTAAGAGTGAAGATATTGCAATTTGAGCTGCTGATCTTTACATGAGAACAAACCACTACCGTCTTTGCGTTGGACTTCCCGACGGGGCAACAGCAAATCACAATTTTGAAGCAGCCAGTCGTTTTGAGAATTATAATAAGTGGTAGAGAAAGAGGAAGGTGAATAATGATTATAACTAATAACAGCAGCCGCAACAGTGATAGGAGGCATATTTTCTCCTCTTTCTCTCTTCATTTTTCGTCTTATCATTTTTTCTCCCTCGTCGCAATTGTATACACTTGAACACGACATAGCGACCATCTAGGCACATATGACAGGATTTAAGAAGAAACGTTGGATGTTACGGAACAACAATGCAGTTCTCCCGGCACGAACTCAAGCCGATACCAAAACAACAGCAACAAAAACGCCACTGTCGTCGCCAACATTATCGGATCGCAGCGGGGTTCTGCAGCTGCATCGCCCTTTAACGTGTACCGTTAGCAGCGAGGCCTCCTCCACCACAACACCGACAACACCATCCTCCTCTGCGCTGAAACATTTGATTCCATCCATATCATACCTGAATTTCCCCACCAAAATTATACCTGACAACATTAATTCAACATCAACAACTACAATAGTGACCGATAATCATAGTGAAGCAGAAGAAGAAAAAGAGGAAAGCAGCAGCAATCATCATGTCGATCCACCGATATTCGACTGTGACAACCATGACAATAATGATCGATACAATCATGTATCCCTTGAAGAGCACAGCACTGACAATCATGGCGGTATTCGACCCGTTCAAATATTGACCGAACGACTCGAAGCTTGGTACATGCTCGTCAAACAGCTACACCAACATTTCAATGAGTTTGCCAACGTTGAAAGCCAAATATCAAAATCGTATGGACGACTCTTGCAGACAACAGGTGTATTCGGCAAAGGTAGTGGGAGTAGCAACGGTAACAATGTCGATGATTCACAAGAGCATCAACATCACCGACAGCAACAGCATCCAGACGCATCGTGTTCTTTAATACATACTCATTTCAACAACTCGCAGCACGGTATTCGCAACGTCTGTCAGTTATGGCAAGGTCGGCATGACGCCATGGCAAAAGGGCATGCAACTATGAGTGGATTTTTAAAGTCCAATGTGTTACCGAGTTTAAGCAACATGAAACGTGACCTCAAAGGCATGATTCGGTCAATTCGTTTGGATGATCGGCTCAAGCTATCCAAATTGGCGAATCTACGACGCGAGGCTAAACGACGTGTGCTTCGGCTGGATCGGCAACTTGCCTTTTTCGAACAGCATCCTCACCATGGCGAAGGCAAGCAAGATCCATGGCTGATAAATGCAGGTTTGTGTGATAGCCTCTCCGTAGCAGCAGTAGCATAAGAACAAGATGAATCTGCCTCCTCGAACTTGATTATAACACCTTATCTACCCCGATCATATATAGCCGTGGTCAATCAAATGCTCAAGGTGTATCATCAAACGAACAAGATGCACGAAACCATCCTGCGCTTACAAAAGGAAGTCATGATATCCGAGCAACGCATTGTACAGGAATTCCGCCAGTTATGTGAAGACATTGTCAAAGTACGAGAACAAACATCATTGGGCATAGATCCTAGTCTTGCCCTGATCATGCAGTCGATTGAGCAACTGAAAGCCAATAACGACTGGGATGATTTTGTCGGCCGATTCAGACAACACCTGATTCCAGAACAGGCACGGTTCAGACACCCCAACCAGTTGCAGTATCCAAACCATGCCCATCCACTGCTCCAACCTGTTTTTGCTGCACGTATGGAACGCAATTCATCCTTGCTACATCGATGGCATGAGTACATCTACGTCCTAACACCTGCGGGCTTTCTTCACGAGTACCGAACCACCAAAACATACCCTGCACGGCCCGACACGACAATCTTTGTTCCGCACTACAACGTATCCACACTCTCGACCAATCTTCACCACAACTTGATTTTCCAGCTGCAGCAGCATCATCGTGGAGGAGCACGAGGCGCTGGTGGCGCTCTGGTCAACATGTCGCATACCCCATCGTCATCCACTTTGGCGTCTTACTATGCATCACCCATCGCTGCAGATGGGGGACAACGCACCAAATCTAGCTCCAAAACCTTAACCTTCCGCGCCAAATCAGCCCCAGATATGCAGGCGTGGTTAGAGCATCTCACCGAGCTCTCGTATCGTTATCGTCCGTCCGTGAGTTACAATGCTCCTGCATTTCTGCAACCGTCAAATGCTGCAAACCCTGAATATTTTGTACCATCCCCGCCTCCTGCAGAGTCTGTTACGAACAAGTCGTTTTCTGAGCATCATTCTAACCATCAACAGAAAGCTGCTAATGCGTTCTTGCCGCCTCCCCCTGCGTTGGTACTTACATCATCGCCATCGCCATCGGAATCTGCTGCCAAACGAGATAAATTAAAACAAGAGCAAGGTAAAGAAGGGGATGTAGCTGGATGGGGCGAAAGCAAACCGACAGCTACAGCGCCCGAGGATAGTTGGTGTCAAGATAATCCTTGGAAGGATGATCCAGTAAAGAACGAATCGTCATCGGCGGCAGGAGTAACAGTGGAAAAAGAGCAAACGACTATTGGATTATCGTCGTTCATAAGCGGATGTATCGTTTCTGCTCCAGAGCCGACACCGCCAGCAGAATCAGCATCAACAGACAAAGCTAGTAATCCATCGTCATCATTAACATCGCAACAAGGAGACGCGAACAAGAAAGAGGAGGATGAAAAGAAGAAAACAGAAGAAGAAGCTCCAACACGGTCATTCTTCCTTACTGGAGTCACTTTACCCGATTCCATGCAATAAAAAAACCAAATAGCTAAGGAATTTTAGATAGAAGACATACTTCGTCCTTTCTCTCTATTTACTATTGTAAAAAGATAATAATAATAATAACAGGAGTGATATATATTTACAAAGCGAATTATATTAATTCAGCGATCGACTATCATCTGCCAAACTAATCAAACTCGCTGAAGCACCTAGTACTTCTATACTACAAGCATGACCACTCACCCGGAATTGGTGAAGTGTTAATGCCGTCCATACAGTAACCAGCTCCCTGTTTTTTATCATGCGTTATATACAATAGTCAGTAAAAAAAACCATCAAGATGTTTTCGTTCTCACAAGACACTTACTTTTGCGACACCTTAATGAATCCAATGTTGGTCTTGTCATCCCAATCCAAAACATCAATGACAATGGATGCGCCAGCCAACCCAAAAGACGATTGAAGTGCTTGTTGTATACTCATGCGGAAAGTCACTTCAGTGACATTAGGAATAAAGTTTTCAGACCATCTAGATGTGTGGAGATCGCTGCCCGTTTGTCAAAGAGTCTTTTTTTCTAGGTGTTTTGCAGGAAACAAAAAGTAACTGAACAAACTTACACTTTTAACTTGAGGTATTCCCATTCCTTCAAGGGCAAGCGTGTGATCCGCCTTGGTTTTACGGTTTCAGCTGTTGCTGTTGCTGCCATTGCCAACAGTTATACATATACACGAAAGGAGAAAGTGGTATAGTGTGGCTTGTGCGCTCTTTTGCATGAATTTAATTACCTCGTCTCCTTCTTACTGGACTTTTATAATTTTTCGCTAAATCCAAACAGGAAGAGTTTACTTTATGTTCTTTTACTACAATACTTTGGAAGAAAAACAAATATGTGACGATGGATGGTGGATAGATGAATGGGCGTGGGAGAAGGGTATAAGCATATCATGGATGTGACGGTAGAAAAGCGAGAGAGGGTGTGTGAGTGGACATGAACTGAATGAATAAACGTATATATATAAGAAATATGGCGGTAATAGTAAGAACAGTGATGAAAAAACACCAGGGAAGAAGAAAAATACAATGGGATGAGAAGATTAGGGTAAATATGGGAGAGTATTTTAAATGACGTACAAATTTAGTAATGAAAGCTACGTCTACATAGTGAAAACAAAAGTGATTTTGCGTGGTCAGACCATCACGATATTCCAGAAAGTTAAGCGACGCAATGAAAAGAGACAAAACTTACGATGATGATTTCGATCTTGCGTCAGTAGCAAATGTTGGGCTTTTTGGCCTAGTAGGCTCAATAGGTAAGTAGTATGGGATTACAGAAGCCTATAAAAATAACGAAAACAAAGTTGTTATGATCATTTTCTCTTCCACTTTTGCAAGGAAGCAAGAGAGTTAGTGCTTACTCTGGACGCTCGACGTGATGCAGATTGTTTCAGCCTTTCTACTCGTTCCGCTACAGATACGCTGTGTTGCATACTATCTCTTCGCGTTGTAGTAGTCTTGTGCTGTTGTTATGATGTTAAAAGGATTGTTTATATATATGTTCATTGATCACACAGAAAGAAAGAATAAGAGACTTACTGCCATAAGGGATGAGTTAGTGCTGAGCGTTTTATAACTTTTAGCAGGTCGTTCTTCTTGTTGATCATGGATGAGGCTCTTTCGCTTCCTCTTGTTGTTGCTTTCAGTAGTAGTTACCGAGGATCGTGGCAATAGCGGTGGGGTATGCTTCCTAGCGTCCTTGACAAACCATTGCTGACTATCCCGCTTGGACTGTTCAATCACATGAGTCGCTCGAGCGATCCTTTGTTCAATTATCGCAACATCCGATGATGCCGGTGAAGGTTGTTGTTGGTTGCTTGTACCATCATAACTACTACCAACTAATCCTTCAAGTCTTTTCATGTTGCGGATCAAATCAGATTCAGCAGGCTTGATAGCCGATGTTTGGGCCACATCAAGTAGGCTGGATCGAATGGTAGCCAAACGCTGAAACAATGCATCAAAGCTGCCGGTGATATTAGGCGTAGTAGTGGTAATAGTTTCTGGCATCGTGTTCGTCAGTGATAATGATGAACGGTCTGCGTCTGCTGTTGCTGTTGCTAGAATGGTTGACAACCGACTGGTGTCATTATAAAGCGGCAAGGGTGATGATGGTAAGTAAGATAACGATGGTCTGAGTGGCGAATGTGGTGTTCCGTAGCGGAATTGTTCAGGAGTATCATAGATGCTTGAAGAAGTGGGTTGTGTTTCCATTGTGGGTATTTTAGAAGAGCGAGATGTTGAAGGTACATTGCTTTTAAGCAAGGTGTTGGTAGTGGTGCTATGACGAGTGGGAGGCAGATTGTCGAGCCAGCGTTGCATTCTTTTTTCACCCTGTTGATCGTCCGTTGGTTCTACTTCTTCTTGATCATCATCTCTTGTGTGAGAATTGGTGGTGGTTGGTAATGGTTGATCATGACGTTGTCGAGCCAAATTTTGATGGATATTTGGTGTGGTGATGATCTCGCCTTGATGAGACTCTTGTTCTACGTTGTCCATACCAGCAGTAGTGTCCTCATCCATCCGTACCCGATTTTCATCATCATTGTTGTTGTCTTGATGATAAAATCGCTCCTCATTATCCTCATGGGCGGCATAAGTACCACGGTGTTGTACTGGCGACGTCTCAGTTACATTGTGCATGGGTTTCCTTGGTACAGGTAAGTCTTCCTCATTCATACGCGTCGCAGAAACGTTATCGTTTCCTTCTTGGCGCAACGATTTGTTCCTATACCAACTAGCCATGGTCGAATCCTGCGTCGCCTCTTGTAGCCACATATCGTCCAATTCTTCATGTTCTTCAATGTTTGACATACTGGTATCACCGTACTTGTCTTGTGAGCGATGTTGCTGTTGCTGCTCGTTATCACCCGCGGCCAATTCGTCGTATAACGATCGTCCATTGCCTGCATTTGACATTGTTGTTTCATTCGTATCTCGTAACTGCTCTTGGTGTATTGGATGCGATGTCAACTCGTCATGCGATGAGCGTCTGTTGTCAACAATATCAAAAGTCGCATCTTTGTCCTCCAGCCTTCGTCCCTCGCTCACCCCATCAAAAGGATCTTCATGCCGCATAGCCAATTCAACATCCTTTTGTAACAGCTCTTGTTCTTCCTCGTCCCTGGGAGCTCTTTCTGTGGGCATCTGCTGGGCCAAATATTGACGTTCAGAAGGAAGCGTTGGTATTACTCGTCGTCGTTTCTGTTGTGCTTTATGCGGCGGCCGCTGCTCTTCCCGTGTCTGTTCTTCGAATCCCTGCTCTTCTTGTTGCTGCTTCGCAGGCTGTTGGTGTTGTACTGCCAAACGCGATCGTTCATGCGGAGGAACGTTCTCTTTGTTATTCTCGTCTCGATTATTATCTTTACCACCGCTCATACTTGTCATTGAGGCTTCTTTTTGCTTATCAATCGGTGTTACGACGGGTCCACTTTGCGACGGTTTTCTTTCAATAAATCTTTCCGTGATACGCTTGAGTTCAGTAGCCACATCACGTCGTTCAGAGACAATACGCGATTTGCTGATAGATGCCGCTGTTGGTCGAGCGAATCTTGCTGTATTACCACCACCACTACCACCACCAGTAGTGGTAGTTACGCTTTGTGAGGTCTTTGTTGTTTTAGCAGGAACATGATGATGACGCTGCTGCTTTTCGTTTTGTTGGCGTCCTGCTGTTTTTGATGATGGTGCTGTGGTTTTTGAAGAAGCAACAAGTGCGCTAAATATGTCTCGTCGAGTATGCGTCGCGGCTGATGGAACAGTAGTGGTAGCAGCTGTGGTCGTGTTGGGTCGTTGTACTGCTGCTGCTACTGCCGTTGGTGCTTTTTTATTCACAGTTGTTGGCAAGGGCGGTATTGTTCCTTTCTTAGGAGTGGGCCTGAATGGTGGTGGCAGCACTGGTCGACGGCCCCGTAAGCGTAAACGATTGGTACGTGTTTGTAATATTTCAGGAGTGTGCGTCGCTGGATATATAAGTGGATTCATGGTCCAGTGAGGAACTTTGGATTAGCAATGTTTATATAATTTTTAAAACCACTCCACCCACGAAAAAACCAAGAAGTATCTTATTTACCAAACCATGAATCATTCCATAGAGCCAAAGATCGTTCTGGATGCTGGAAATCATAAAATTTAGGAGCATCGAAATCATAAGAAACAATGTCGTCTTCCATTGTCGTTGTTGACTGATATATTCCCTTGGTTAAAAAGAATATGCGGAGGAGGTGGTGTAAACTGATTTCTTGCATTGAGAGCAAGGAATTTGAGTAGTGAGCCAATCAGAAGCCTAGAAGAAGATATATGAAATAGTACACTTACTTCCTTCTCGGAACCCTTTGGGAAAGCCTGTCGTTAACCAGGCCGGGTTGATTGAAAGTAACAGGAAGAAATAGAGTGAGATACTAGTTACAATGAAATAGAGAGAGGGAAAAACGTTTGATTGTGTTCTTTTTTTATATGTGCTTTCTTATGCCTTTTTTCCACTTTTTTTCTGTGGCTTTTTCGTGCATTTTTTTTTGATCTGGTAATCATGATGTATATGCAATGAGTGGATGGTAGATACGTATACAGCGTATTCATAGCGTTAAATTAAAAGGTTGAGAGCAATTATATGTTTTGGATCTGTATCAACAGTCGGTTCCTACCAAGAACCTGCTGCTCAGCATCTTGTCTTTGGGCATCGTTGTGCTCCTGTCCTAACTCAACAACAGGCGGCGGTTCACCACGCGGTGCTGTTCGACGAGGAGGCGGATGATTGTCCCAGTTAACAAGTCGCTCTTGGGGACGCTGCAGGCTTGGCTGATCATGCTGAAACCGCTCAGGATACTGACCAGTTTCTCGGATCGACCGGACGATAGATCGCATGTTGAGTACAGAGACGGTGTCTCGATTCCAGAAACGCGCAGCATCACAGTCATCAACAGGGAGGCCCACAGCTTCTTTGCACATTTGGCTTTTGCAGCCCAGTAAGCCATGAACCACCTTGTCAGTGTCCTGCCGCCACGGTCGTGGATTCGTCGTACTACAACATGTTGTAACACGCCGTCGCCAGTGGCACGCAAGGCTTCATCGTTTTGGTTTTCCCAACCTGGGCACAGGCTGCTGGTGCGGTGCTCATCGATCGGAAAAACAGGTATACCATGACGCTGAAATAATTTTCTGAAGCCTTTGCCTTTGATAGGTTCATGGTACCGCCCGTGTGGGGCGCCCCAATCTCCTATGCATAGACTTGCGTTCTAGCCGAACTTTCTTTTGAAATTGGCGACGAGACGGTCTTCAGAACGGCGAGTATTGATATGTCTTTTGAACTTGCGTTTGCGGTATTTTATTTGGCCCCAATATTGATGCAAATCAAAATTGGTTTGGCCACGCGCATGCAAGTAACGCTCATATTCATCGACACGGTTTGAGCGTGAGCTGCTAGAATTGAGAGTATTGGTCACATTTCTAACCTCGAAGTCAGCATCCCGAAGCTCTTGCACGGATTTTTCTGATGCTCGCGCGACTTTGACTCTTTCTGGCGCTGATTCTGCGTATATCGCATCGTCAATTTGTGCTCAACAGTGCTGCCCGCTCTCATCATGTAGAGCAAATCACGCCTGTTTGGATCGCATAGCACCAATTGGTCGTCAGGCATTCCAACCAAAGCTTCCTGAGAGATGTACGGCACACCTTCTTCGCAGACATGCCTTCTGCGTTGAACACCCATAGCATGGGTCGGCGCAGTCTGAAGTAAAACATGCAGTGCTACACCATCGGTCGTAATTGTCTGACAAAAAAGCAGCCCTGATGCTTCACTAGCAACAAAAGGTTCTCTGTCTACATCAAAGCAGAGTCGATACGCTCTATTGCAGGCTTCGTGGTAACGTCTACCATGTGCAGGCACAGCAAATCCCAAGACGTTCTCACCAAGAATTTTTCCATCAATGGTAACATGCCTGGGCATTTCTCCATGACGAAGAGGGAACGCATTGAATGGCCTTCCGAGCAGTTCCTCTGTCGCCAGACGATACATTGTTGCCAAGTACCTGCCTTCATGGGCGCGAATATTATAAAACAGCCCTTCATCATGAACAGGTTCGGTATTGGCTCTCACACGTCATTGCAACTCTTTATAAACCTGCTCCAGACGCTGATTGTGCTCAAGGCTCACATCTGGGAGAGGTTGAAACAGAGGTGCATGTGTACTACGGTGCGTGATCCAATCATCTATAAACTGTCGCTTCATAGCACCGAAAGCTCGTTTTCGGGAAGTGTGTGAACCACCTTGTGGACGCAGATCTTCCATCCGTTTATGAACAAACAATCGGATATGACTTCCAAGATGCTCGCGGACATTGTTCATGTACACTGTGACAATCTTTGCGCTTTCATACCAAAAAGGGAGATATGTATTTAAAAAGTCATGATGCTCATAGCCAAATAACATGCAAAATCGATTCACAATATTTGGCGTAATCCATTCATTGTACAGTTCTTCAACTGGGTTATTCAAAGTCAAGCTATTCATGACATTAATCACAAATTCTTACGTGAAATCCGTGTTGAATTCAAACAGATGAGCTGGAGCGTCTGGGACCGACTCATCATCCTCCAACGTGGTAGGAACGGAGTCTACACTCATCGCATCAACATCATCCTGCTCTGAAAATGGTGTTGGTCCAAATTCATCATCATCCATCAATGGGCTCAGCAGCAAAAAGTATGGTTGAATTTAGGGGTCGCAATCTGACCCGCGGGTCAAAACCAACCCGCGGGTTGAGGACGGGTCAACGGGTCGGGTTGATGCTTTTTTGACTCATGGGTCGACCCGTCCAACCCTTGACCCGACCGTTGACCCGTCGTGACCTGTGTATACATATAATATGTATGAGGTACTTATATTCAAGTAGTCAATCTTCTTGTTGGGAAACATCATTAGTTGTCAATATGTCTGCTATAGAACTATAGCATAAAACGTACTTAATTCTTTTTATTGTGGGATTATACTTTATATTCTACAGCTTACAACTGACCATTAACATTACGCACAGTATTTTCCAAATTGTAAACTACTATTTAAACGTCGAAAAGGTCGTTCAGTATTAGAAACTTGGTTTTCAAAAGCAGGTTCAGCAGGCTGAGCTGCTTCAGGTTCTCTAGGATGTTATTGTCGATCCTGCTTACCATCGGCATCTTGCGCCAATTGTACAGCCTGTTCTGCTTCAACTGGTCCAACTGGTTCTTCATGATTGAGACCCAATTTTTCTTGGTCATCAGCACTAGGAAGGACATTAACTAAAGCCATTGCTGGCTCTACTTCAGCAACGTTGTCACTGCTTTCGAGTTCCTGTCGAGCTTTCTGGGCTTCTTGTAGAAAAGCTTCACGGTAGTGACGGGTTTGACGACCAAACTGGCGCTCAAAGTTAGGACGACGATGCCGCGACACGACGTCAGCGACACCATACAGTCCCTGCCTTTCACGCCCGTGGTGCAGTCGAATACCTCCCACAGGTACAATATCCAGACCATGTCCTTCCTCATTCTCAGGCACTTCTCCTACTGGCCAAGGCACAAATACATGCCCATCTTCAACGGGGATTGGCTGAGGTTGTGAAAATGGAAAATGAGGTAAAAAGGCTGGTTCCATAGGTTGAGGTTGAGGTGGAGGTGAAGCCTGCCGACCCTCATCCATCAACATGTTCTGATTCGTTTCCAGAGGATTCATATCCCTTACTGCTTCAGGCAGCTGTTCAACTACTTGTCTAATGTTTGCGATTTGCATTCCATCTGGCAATGGGACAGTAAGTAATCTCAAAGCGGTCAGAGAAGCTTATTGTTCTGGAGGGAATTGCTGCAACAATAGATACCGCAAGTACTCATCATCTAAGATGTCACGTAATGCATTCCGTTGTTGCTGCTCATAGCGTTCGTCTCTTAGAACGTTCTGACCTTCGGAAGGCCCGGCTTGTCCAAGATTAATTGTTGGATGACGTTCAATATATGCAGGTAAGGCAGAAGATTGAATATCCCACCAATTTTGGTAGCTGCGTAGGATTTCTGGTTCTAGTGACCTAAGTGGATATATAAAACCTTGATTCGACCAGTTAAAAAGCAATGCAGACAATATCGCATTCTGTTGTCCTTGCGGCCCACCTTGCGGCGGCGGCGACATTTGGTCCAACGGTGGCTCAACTATTGCCTCATCCCGCTCCTGTTGATCTGCGCGAAATAGCTGGTCCCGCACGCTTGAAGACGAATCAGACGCGCTACCCTGCTGATCGTTCGGCATACTTTCCTGTGACAGCGGTTCCGATACCAAAGGCAGCAATACGCGTTCCTGTTGCTCTTGCTCTGCACCAATAGGTACTTGAGCAATGTTCGCCGTAGAATAGGCAACATATGTTTTAACCATATGTATTTAAATATTACTGCTGCAGCAGTTTGCATACTTTGAAAGCAACGGATAGTTCGTTACTGTGGCCCATACTGCGCCTACGTTTTGCGTCTGTGGCTCGAGCACCCATCGTAGGCGTAACATAGAGAATGCCCACTTAACCCTATCAACCGCGGTACTGTCTACTTACTAATTTTGGGTCATAATGCAAATTTCGCTGAAGATTACTGATAATCTTCTTTATACTCCCTATAGCTTATACCTCTCCACCATCACCTGCGCCTATTTGTCAACAGTTCACCTCCACCAACTTTTCACTAGGGTTTCGGATTTAGGGGACGCCTTAACGGGAGGATCTGTGGGAGGGAACGTCCCGCAAATATGATTATCAATGTTATATTAGCAAAAGCATCTCTAGATCGTAACAATTAATAGGGTGTACGGTCACATCTTTAGTAGGTAGTTTGAACAAAGAGTGCTCTGTTTAGGGTGTAACAATCATGTTTTTAGTAAGTATGATAGAGCGAACACAACGGCCGTGGTTTAGGGTGCAACAATCACACCTTTCATGATGTCCCAAATTTCCACCTCAACAAAGTGTTTAATACTCTCAGTTGCGATGATTGCCCGGTGTATTGGACATGAATCGTCTGAGAGTTTGGATTGCATTAACTCGAGTAACTGACACGGTAATAAGCTACAGACATATTCTTAATCGAATGAGGTATCGCCTTTAGGTATTTTTAGAGCAGTGACGACATTGACTTTAAAACCAAAATAATTAAAAACACAATTCTCACCACTGTCACGCAGAACAAATTTTCAGCATTGTTTGAAGGTCAAAAGGGGTGTGGTAGGGGGGCTTTGTCCCCCACCCGGGGTCTGGGACAGAGCCCCAGTAAACTGGTTCCTGGAGGACAGATGCTGACACGCAGCGAAGCGGAGGGGCTCACATCGTCCGGAAGCGAAGCGGAGGGACCAGTTTATTGCAATAATAAGATCGTTTGAGTTCTCCATATATGCATGAATCAGTTGACTTGAGGTTATTCGAGTCTGCTATTGTAATATCATCCTCTCTTCCTCCTGTTTATTGCTGCTGTAGTAGGTCGCTGTAAGTTATTGATTATCATTGCATTGTTATCCGATGAACTGCCCGTCGTACACAAATTGGTGGCTTGCTTTTGAGAATATATATCCTGTCAGCTCCAGCACCATGTGCTGGTCATGAGGCTAACGCAAGTACTAGTAGTAGTCGTGCATAGTATATATTAATTAAACACAATTTACGCTATCAATTTGCATTTACAAAAAGTGTCTCTTTGTTTAAGATTTGTGGCGATGCAACTGGATGTGGGTGGCATTACTATAATTATTGCTTTATAGCGTCAATACAGCAATCACCACCCTTTATACAAACCGACTAAACCCCCAGAACATACATAGTACCCCCATTTTTCTAACGTTGAATGTACTATTACTTACCGAGGAATATCACGAAAGGAGGGGCAATGTGTTCTTCTTGAAATGTATGACGTTTTCTAAAAATTCTTTGTATCAAATTGCAACAGATCGACGCCGTACACATTACATGACAAAAATATCACACCAATGGTTTTACTGTCTGAAGGTCGATCAAACATCCCAGTACCTCCATCATAATCATCATCACTATTACTACTATTAGCAGCTGCATGAAATCCACTCTCATCCCTCTCCATGTGCTCTCTGTAATTGACAAAAAGATGGATCAACAGCCTTGTACTTGCAGTAACGAGCATTATCAACCTGGAAGCTCTTGTATACGTCCATCCGCACCCATTGATCCATCATCGTAATAGTTCCGCTCTACTGCTTTGATCTCCTTTTTCTTTTGGAACGAATCTTTATTTTCTCATAATTAAAGTATGTAGGAGTAAAATCTACGGGACTTTTATCAGATGAAGCATACTGTTAGTATTGCTTTACTAAGGAATCCAGGTCTTATCTTTTGTATTCAAGGATCTAAGGGAAAAGAGTACGAGTCGTTTAGCATTAGCACAGTAGCAGGCACACCCGCCAAACACACAACTCCGCTGGTCAAATTTTCGAGCTTGGGAGGTAAGAGCACATTTTGCTTCTCAATTCCTTACAAAAAATAGTAACACGATGGATCCAGAACAAGAACAAGTAGCAAAGAAAGCAGCCAAGGCACTTAAAGCCAGAATCGATCTCGTTCAAAAACACTTGGATCCCATTTTGTCCGGTCCATTGAGTGAAACTTATGGCAAATTACCAACAACCGAAAAAGCACAGTTTGAAGTTTTGCTGTCATTTGCACTGAATTCTCTTTATTACAGTACGTTTTGTTTGATTCACCTCTTGCGCATGCGTATATATGTCTTTTAACCTGTATATGCTGTCAGTTTATCTCAAGACACATGGCGTTAATCCCCTCGATCACCAAGTAACGAATGAGCTGGTAAGATTTTGTTGATTGCGATTAATCCAATAAATCTGCACAAATAGTGCTGAATGCGTTTGTACTAAAGGAGTAGAGGCTATGTAGCAACGTATAAAACAATATATCGAAAAGATCAAGGTTGCTGAAGGCCGAGGACCGAAACGTAAGTTAATTTTTATTTTATTTAGAGTTAGTTGGCTGCATAAAGATATACACACGTGCTTCGATTGGAGATATGGTGCATTCAACTCCTTTGCGGTAAATATAGGATCGATGGAACTGGATAAGGATGCTGCAGATCGATTCATCAAATCAGCATTAGCTGGAGACGAACAACAACAATCTGGTGAAGGTATGTGTTTGCCGATGATGTGGTTATGCAAGTGCGAGGGGTGGTGGTGTTGGAAAGACACAGTTAGAGAGAAGGAAGGAGGTTTTTTTAAAGTGCAAGAAGGTTTTAACTTTATCGGAATGAAAGACGAAGAAAAAGGAGAGACAAGCAGGAAACGTCATCTCGAAAAGGAAAAGAGCCGTGGTGAAGAAGAAGTATCAGCAACAGCAAGTAGCAGTAATAAAAATGGCACTCGAAAACGGCCGAGAATGGATCCTTTTGCTGCACCGAGGAACGGATCCTATTAATGGTAAGGTCAAGGTGTGCCTTGTTTTGTCGAATCTTTCAATTAAACGTAAAGCAAATGTGACTGATTTGGCATGTTGTAGTAGGCCTTTTTTGCCTCGTTCCATCTCTTTTGTTTTAGCCTTTCATATCCATCATTATGTCATTATCAGAAAAACAAAGAAGCTGTTGCCACCACCTATCCGTCATCATTAAACCTATCCTTGGCAGCACATAATGATCAAGTCTGTATATTTGACTCCCTCAATCCGATCCAACCTAGTAGCGAAATGCAGTTGTCTGTATGTTTCAGTAATGCACTTTTCGATAACAACACAGTCTATCAAGAGCATTTGGTTCTCGACTGGCGGTGCGATTAAGAAAAGGGTGTCAATTTTCGTACAGAATGAGAGTGTGTGTATCGTGACACATTGTACGAAGAGACAATAGCGAATTATATGAAAAAGTATGGTGGGACGGTAATAAAAGGCTGAAAATGAAACTGCTGCTTACCATGCACTTGCTGGTGTGACATGTGAGAGGAGCGAGCAATTTATTAGCAAGTGGAGCACGGTGTAAATTGCCCTTTGCGAAGCCTGAAATGATCGACAGTAGTATGCGGCTCAGCTCTAAACTAGCGGTAGGTCAGGGTGGTGGCATACTCTGTCTGGAGTCTGCTAAGTAGGCGAGCATATACGAAGAGTCGGGGTAGGGGAGGGGGGAAGGTGGATGGGGAGCACAACATACACAGATTATCTGCATTGTTCGGCGGGTCAATATTGGAATTGATAAGGTGACGACGGGCAGAATAAGCAGACTCAGGAGAGAAAAGAGATACTCGTGGGGGGGGGGGGAGGGGGACACACACACACACAATGATGAAGGTTGGGTGTGGTAGTGGCGACGCAACCCAGGCCAAGGCAGAGAGCAGAGGACAGAGGGCAGAGGAGGTTCTAAATATAATGGATCATAAGGCAGTCTTATAAGGGTCACAACTCGCAACCTTTTTTTCCTTTCTTTTGCTTCCTTTCCCTTTATTTACTTTCCTTCCTCTTCCTCCTCTTTTTTTTTGCCACCCACAAAAACTTAAAAAACACACATACCAGCGTAGTAGAGACACTCCCACCCCGTACCATGAACACCACCTCTGCTTCCCGACGAGCCTCTATCGTTGCAGCCACAGCACAACAGCCCTCGTCCTCACGACGCCGTTACTCCACTGCTGCTTCCCAACCGCCAGATGAAGAAACACTTCATCTACGCCAAAAACTAGCCCTTTTGCGCGGCAGAGTCACCCAGCAAAAACAGCAGCAGCAGCAGCAGCAGCAAAAAAATACCACCTCTTCCCCTGCAGCATCCTCACCATCGTCACACCAGCAGCAGCAGCAGCAGCAACAACAACCTACCACCAACACACCCACATCATCCAGCATCTCTCGGAAGCGCTCTTCTCTCATGAGTCGTCGTACGTCGCTGGCAGCGCTCACCGCATCTGCACGGGCAAAGCAGGTTCTTCGGAACCCTGAGGATCATCCCATAAAAAAATCAAACGGTGGTGACACGAATGACAGTAGTAGTAGTAATAACAGCAGTAAACGCAGCCCGGCTAAAAAATTGAGCACAAAATTACCTCGCTTATCCCCGGTGCAACCTTCCAACGAACCTGAGCCAAACCATAATCATCGACCTTCTGCTGCTGCCACTACTGCCACTCCAGCAAAAACAACGACAACGACAATACGTCCACGAAGCAAGAGCGTCAAAACGGATAGCGGTATGGTCCGGTGGAACAGCAGGAGGCAAAAGGAGTGCTGCAAGAATTTTATAGACTCCTCCCCTCCCTCCTCTGGTGTCGGCCATCATTACCATTACTGTCACAAGAGCAACAGTAGCAAGACGAGTACTAAAAGTAGCAGCAGCGGCGAGGAGAAGATTGTCGACTTGAATCGAAGACTGTTGGCTGCATTATTTGCTGACGACGACAACGACGACGACGACGATAAGCCAGTCCCAGAAGAAATGGATCGTGTAACCTTGTTTCCTGAAGACGACGACAACGACGAGCCTATCATTAGCAATCAGCAGCAATCCAAAGTGAGGCAAGCACGACGCCATCGGCGCCAAAGCATGCCAGCTGTCAAGGACGTCAAGAGCAGCTCCTATGTCGATGAAACCAGCAAACCCAATCCTGGCTTTTGGAAAGAGTTGGTGGATATCAAATCGCGATTACAAAAGCTCGAAGTAGTAAAAAGTGATGCAGCCGTCGTCGTCGATTATAGTGACTCTAATCATCCCATGGGAGGGGCAGCAGGAGGCATTGTTAGCAGCAACAGCAGCACGACCACCACCGCCACAGCACCATCCGTGTTCGACCGACCTGCAGCAGGCCTTCATACCCCATCTTCACCCCTCAGCAATGCCGCATCGTCCACATCTTCATCCCAGCAACAACCACGGACCAGTGTGCATCAAAAGCGCCTGCAGGATGCGTTTGCTATCTTCGAGCAAAAGCAGCATCAAATCCCTTCCTCGTCTCCACTCTATTCCAAACCTAACCCGTTGTTAAAGTCCATGGCCACCGTGATTGCTGAAACTATCACGATCAACCAGAAATTGTGGGCGGCCATCCCACAGGATCTCGGTACAGACGCTCGATCACTTGTAGCGATGCAAAAGAGCAGTGACAGCCAAATGCGCGAGTTGACCGAGGCGCTCTATTTGCTCGGTGGTGAGCAAGAACAGCCTGTGGATCCAGTCATCCTTCCAAGGCAATCGCGTCGTCAGTCGCAAATATCATCCTCTTATCCAGTAGTAGCACATCAAGTAGAGCAGCAGCAGGAGCCAGTCTACGTTCCTCCGTCGCCCGCAGCAACAGCAACACGACCGGCTTCACATTATTTCTCACCTAGTAATGCAATCGAGCAGCAACAAAACTATCATCATAACCCATCACCTCGGTCACGACCTGCTACCTATTATCATACGACGAGTGGCAGCACTACTTTTCAACACCTGATCAAGCCCTTACAGCAGCAGCAGCAGCAACCTACTACCGCTAGCAGCACAAATTATTCACATCACTATAGCCAACACGGCCTCCCATCGCCACAGTCGGTCGAACATTCACCAAGAGGTGGCAACATCCGACCGTTGAAAGTAGCAGGCATCCTTGACTATGCTTCTTCCACTGCTGCAGGAGGGACAGATAGCGGCCATCATCCTCATCACCATTACCAATATTACCAAAGTCGACAGATGCCGAAATACTACGAGCAACTCCATCGTTATGCCAGTGGCAGCTTGTACGACGATGTCTAAAAAGAATTCCATTGTTGTTGTTGTTTTTCTTCTTTTACTATTTTAAAACTCGCTTTGTATAATATTACTGTAAATTCCTTCTTCCTCTCTGTTCTATCATCAATCACAACTTCCGATATATCCGCGCAAACTCATCGACAAACAGGAACCCCCCCCCCCACCCCACCAAAGTCACTGTCTGCCTCTCTCCCTTTCTGTTACTCCTCAAATTCGCCCCCTTTCTATTTGCTTCGTAGTACTAGTACATATTATCTATACACATACATACACCTTACATACACACTTATTACCTATAACCTCCACCTTACAAAATAAACTTATTATTGCGTGCACAGCTTTTTTGGCTGCTGCTACAACTACTACTACTACTACTGATGCAACGAGCATGTAGAGACAAAAAAACCAGTTTATCCCCCTCTTCACCTCCTGTCTGTAGCAATACACATACACTTTGATTATATGTCTGTCTCTTTGGAAATATACGTTGATGCACAACGTGTGATGTGTTGGTCCAAGGAGTTACAAGGGTGACGGGAGCTTTCTTTTCTCTCATTCGCTCTCATTTATTGACACTTGGCATTACTTCCGATGACTCGCCTGTTACTTTTCTCTGTCTCTTCCACATTATATATAGAACGATAAAGAACTGCAGGAGCGCAAGGTCGAAAGAAAGGGAGGGGGCCGGGGGAGAGGTTAGCAACCATATCTGAGACTCAAAACGAAAATACATTGCCTCATCTCTTTTCTCTCTGCTGGTTTCTCGCCTCCCCCGAACCCCCGGGTGATGTTTATGCGTATCTCTCTTATCTCCTAAAGTGTATGCCTCTCATTCGCTATGGTCGATAAGCCGAGTAAAAGGACGAACGACAAATAATATATGTGTACGTGAGTAATGAAAGTAAAAATAAGAGCTCCCACACAGATACTACTAGAACTACTGCAGCACAACATCGACCATTTTGCATCGATGCTCCCTCTCTCTCCTCTTATAATGCTATAATTTATGACTTAATTTGAGCCGACTTTGTGGATTTGGTTTCCATTTCGCAGCTACATGTATATTTCTAAGGAGAGATTTGTGTAGTTGGGTGTGTGCCATTGTTATTGCTACGGATACAGTTTTCTTTTCGTGCTTTAGTCAATTAAGTTGCCTGCTACTAACTACATACTAGCTGCCACACCTTCTTCTACAGTTTCTTCGTTCTCCCACGTGGTGGTGCCTACTCTGTTTATATAATAAGTATGCATGTTCGACAGATGATAACAGCAGGGTATAAAAACGAAGATGGATCGTCGTTCCCTTTCCCAAATGGTTTCAAAAGCTATATCTGAGTTGTAATAATCGTTGTTTACATAGTCAAATAAAAATGTTTAAAGTGATCACCAACACATTGGGAATCACTCCTTGCGTATATATTTGTTTTCACAAGCACAACAAATGATATACTTCCCCAACCCCCCAAGAGCTTTTCTTACCTCACCACCGTCGTCGTCTTCATCATGAAGAATAACTGGCAACAGAACTCCGAAATTAGGAGGCTAGAAATTTGGACCACATTAATCTACTAATGATGGTAGAAAATGTACATATTGACAATGGCTGCTGCTAGGTAGTATTGATCTACTGCCATGACTACCAAGCATTAAATCAGCTTTTTTATTATATACGCTGTATGCAATAGCAATAGTATTCAATACAAGATTTATACTAAGGAGCGTAGTGACGATGTGTGAGTATAATGCACATACTTATTAACCCGTTTACTAGTATGATGCTTTCAAGTCTCTCTGTCCTTCTTTCCTTGTCTTCAGTAATAACTTCCAAAAGATTATAATCGGGTGGAGAGCGATATATTGACACTAAACTTACAAATTTACAGGAGATGGTATACTTTCGTACCGGAAAACAACGGACAACAACGTGGATAAAACAGTAGCACAGCAACATCATCAACGTGCTCTTGCTGCTATGTGTATATATGGTAGCACAGGTCCCACACAAAGAAACCGGAAAGCTCTCATCGAGACATAAACAGGATGATGGTACAATGCTGGGGATGGGGATGTACCTCCATAAAAGATTTATAAGAAAAACTCGGGGTGCACGGGCATGGTAGTAAGAAAAGTGGGGTAGAATAATGTATAGAAGGTTAAGAACTGAAAGTCGCTGTAAAGTTCAGACACGCATAATTATATGAGGTACAACATTCTCTTTTTTTCCTGCCTCTGCTGCTATCGTGGCTTGTAAACAAGCAAATAAACAAAGAAGCATTCTCTCTCGTTACTTGTGCATGCTCTTTGAGCCAGAAACGTATATCAATAAACTTGTATAATTGGTGGGGGTGGATCGACGTGGTGCTTCTTGCATGTAAGAAACTTCTTGGATATGGTTCCGCATGGAGAAAGACGGTGGCTCTTTTTGCTTCCCTTGTAGTGGATTTCCTACTCTGGGATTACTCTTTACTGTAAAGATTCTCTCCTCGAGTTGTTGCTATTTAGTACGTCACGAGTAATTACTTGAACGCTACCGGATATATCGTTGCCTTGTCTATATAATCCATATCTCTTGAACAAGATACTCATCAGCCAATAGAAGACATGCTGTATACTAGAGGTGCGCGTATATATTTCTTTCCGAAAAAAAAAAATGGTGATAAACTGCGTGTTTAGACCGTATTATCAGCTAATAGCAATCGGTACTTCCCATCCGTGACTTCAGATCTTGCGTTGCTGCTATAAAGTGACCTCAATTTATGATGACGAATGCGGGTAGCTAGAGCCGTTGCAACGATAAATTATTTCAGTAAAATACTAGCCAAAAGTCTGCCCACGCTGAAAAACATTATTGACAGTGTTGAGCCCCATAAACTCAATTTGTTGCTTTAAAGTAGTGCTGGAATCTATGTCAGAACTAAAAGAATTGACGTTTAGCAATGCTGTAAGTGTACTCAGTAAGTTGAGCAAGAAGGGCTCTACAACTCTCCTCGGCTATGCCTTTCCTTCGTTGCCGAGTGTCACTGACGATTAACCTTGAGCATGACTAGCTAACAGCATGACAATGGTATTACTGAGTATTTAGGATTAATAACAGATTCTGCTGGTCTCTTGTGCATTGATATTATAGCATCTAGACAGCGGATTTGAATTGTTTAAGTTGTCGATTTCGGTCACCTTGTTATTCGTGTTTTGATCCGATAGTAAGTTGAGCAATAGACCACAATACGGGGTTGTCATGAAAAGCCTTTTGAAAATGACAACCATTTCATGATCTTGCGGATCCTTTCCATCTACCACGAAAACAATCTTGAACGGGTCCGGACTTTCAATCGTTGTATTGATATCCAAAGAGCATCGGCTTTAACTATAATCGATTGTTTGTCGCACAAACAATGCGAAAAAGCATGTTTCGGACTTGGTCTTGAGATGACAGTAGTAAGTAGCATATTTAGTCAGATTTCGACGTGTTTGCATATCGACATTGTGAGCCTGCGTTGGAAAATTGGGCATGAGTCTAAATCACACCGTGTCAACCTTTTCTTCTCTGTTTCTCCGTCGCCTTTCGATACCCCACTGATTCATGTAAGGTGCGGAGGGACAGGAACAAGACAAGGCGGAAATAGAATGACCAGACAAGAATGTGTTAGATGCTTTCAGCAAGAACACGACAAACCAAGAAGGTAACCAGATACTGAGGGAAGAGACAAGATATAGAGAAAACAAGAAAAAAAACGTCGCGCCAAGTAAAAAACACCTCTTAGCCAACTTGATGGCAATTCTAAATCCGCCAACTTGTAGCTTTCATTCTGTTTACTCACGCTCACTCTTTTTTGTCCTGCAATGCCCAATTTGTCGGCATAGCCTTTCTTTGTTGAGACATTTACCGTAACACTTGGCAGAATGATGAAAACAAAACCTTGAAATCCACTTAAAGCTATCACATGCTTCACTAATTCTTGTCATCAAGAATTCTTTTTCCAGGAACTCATTTCGTTTCATTTTACTTTTGACAACTGCCCAAGCTGTTCAATTGGATTTAGCCCAGGTGAATATGGAGGAAGATATACAAATCGACATCCTCAAGAGTGAATATACTTTCCTATATCAGTAGATCTGTGGATGATAGGAGCATTACCCATGACAAGGTAATGTCCCTTCATTTCTGGATATTCGTCCATTTCATCGAGAGTAACCTTTAACAATCTTAGATAATGTCCTGTCACTGTAACTATTGCAGGAGTTCCCTTCCTTGACCATTCCATACCACGCTTCACTTTAATATGAGATGCTGATTCATTAAGAAAGACACAGTTTGTTGTGAAGTCCAAGTCAGTTTGCTGCTACTTTACTTTGGCCCCAATCGTATCTTTGCTGAAACCTTCCCTTGCTGTTTCACTCCACAGGTTGGAATTGTGCCTGTTTTAATAGATAGATTACAAACTTTCTACCACTTTAGTTGAAACGGAAAAGGGGTTCCCATCAATGTAATTTAGACTGAAATTGCTTATGCTCCTCCCCAAGAATACGACGTCGACCTGTTTTCTTCTTCTTCTTCTCGAAAATGCTTTCAGGATTTTTGCTATAACATTTGACCCATCTCTGGGCTGTCCGAATGTGAATACCTAACTGTCTCGCGGCAGCAGAAGCATCCAGGCACTTATTAAAGAATAAGTGAAAAATCTAGTTTCTCATCATCAGAGTAAAACTTATAGCGACGTTTATTGCACCTCTGTATGAAGATTTTCTCTATCCTTTCATCTGAAAGGTAAAATACATTACAGGATTAGAAGGTCGTTCTGGGGGTTTATTCGTTAGGAACTGAGTACAAGAACTTATTGCTTTGATAGCGAACAACTCCTCGTGAACAACAAGTTCCATAGGCTCAACCCTATGCTCATGAAAAACATGTTCCTCTTCATCTTCATAAAAAAAATTGCGTACTCATTTTTAATATCTGTAAAACTTACAGTGACTTGGAGGAAAGAGAGAATTAAAAAACCAAGTAAATGTGAACGCGACCCCACTTCTGGACATCGTGACATTATTGTTAGACACGAAGATTCTTGGGCGACATCAACTTCTAAAACACGGAGACCGACACGTCGGGTATTCACACGAGAGAAAGGCGAGAAGAGATCCATCGTGGTACACAAAACCGTGTATCGGCAGTATCGATATATTTTTTTTGGTGTTTCACTCTTTCTTTCTCATCCTTGCTCCGCCCCACGTATCATTTCTGCCAGTCTCGGCTACTACCCCCGAAGATGGATACTTCTTCAAGTAGCAGCTTTAGCAATACAAGTACTGTTACTGGCACCGTAAGAACCAACGACAGCAAAGCAATCTGTGCGTGGCACACAAAATCGATTGAATCCGTCGTAGCAGCTTTTAGTACTTCAGTTTTACATGGTTTATCCACAAAAGAAGTCGAGATCCGTCGAGAGCACTATGGTTATAATGAATTGTCGGGAGACGGCAAAGTAACTTGGCTTACCATTCTCTTGCGACAATTGGCAGACATTATGGTAAGCTTTACAGAACAAACAAACCTTTGCTGTATTACTTAAGTGAGAGAAAAAGAATATATACACTGGCATAATAATTGTTATTGCATGATGTGCAGAACTTAATTTTTATTGTCCTTGCTGCGGTGACCTACTACTTACAAGACTACGTGACTGGATCCTTACTTCTGGCACTGGCTATTGTGAACTTATACATGGCGTTCGCACAAGAATATGCAGCTGAGCAAACGCTTGCGGCACTAAAGAGCCTGTCCTCCCCGGTTGCCACTGTGATCCGTAACAGCCAGGAACGATCCATACCAAGTCGGGAAATTGTACCTGGTGACCTGCTGGTTGTTAAGGAAGGTGATTCTGTTGCAGCCGATGCTCGATTGCTGCACGTCTCAAATCTAGAATTAGATGAGGCCTTGCTGACAGGTGAATCACTGCCTGTGCAAAAACAGCTTGTTGTCATTGGTGATCCAGGTAAGATACGATAGTAATCATGGTCAACAGCGTGAAAGAATAGACCTGATATCTAAAATGGCGGACCCAAACCATCTTTTTATACAGAACAACCGCTTGGTGATCGAATCAACATGATCTACAGCTCAACCATCACGACCAAAGGGCGTGGGAAAGCCATTGTGACCTCGACAGGCATGGATACAGAAATTGGCAAAGTCGCTGCTAAGTTAAATGATGCTGGGGAAGGTGACCGCACAAGATTACAAAAGAGTTTGAATCGGATGTATACCGGTTTGACAGTCCTGGCCGGTGTATTGGCCTTTATTGTGATGGCGTCAGTCAAGTTCAAGGCGAATTACGATATCGGCATGTACGCAATGACAGCTGCCCTTTCGGTCTTGCCTGCAGGATTGACGACAGTAATGACCGTAACCCTGGTGATGGGTGGAAAGGAGATGACCCAACAAAAGGCTGTTGTGCGCAAGCTCAAATGTCTCGAGACGCTCGGCTCGGTAACAAACATTTTCTCGGACAAGACGGGCACACTGACATTGGCCAAGATGGTGGTCGTGCGTTTTTGGACGCCCAACCAAGGATTTTTTCACGTGAGCTCGAATGGATTAGCACCGGAAGGAGAAGCCTATCGGATTAATGACCCGCTCGAATCAGATGAAGCGGCGGTAGATGATAGCCAAAAAGTCAACAAGTCAGACCTTGCCGATGACGTACGACATCTTGTACATTGCTCGGCACTCTGTAACGTTTCGAGTATCTATCGACGTGTAACAGAAGATCAGAATGGTGAAAAAGATAAAGAAAAGAGTATCAATATTGACAAAGAAGATTGGGTACCAAATGGGGCACCAACCGAAGTCGCACTGCAAGTGTTTGCACACAAGTTCGGCATGGGCAGACCAGATTTGAATGAAGCTGGGTGGATACAGTTAGCGGAGTACCAGTTTGATTCCACAATCAAGCGTATGTCGACACTCTATACTAACCGCTACACAAACCAAATAACATTGTTTAGCAAAGGTGCCGCTGAATGTATCTTGCCAATTTGTGACAACATCAAAGATCTGGCAAGCATTATGGAAAAGGTGGATCAGCTAGCATCCAAGGGCTTACGTGTAATCGCACTCGCTAGACGCAGCATGGACGACATCGCAGCATCAACGAGCGACGACGATATGATAGTCCAGGATGACGACAAAGAAGAAAATTGGAGCAGCCGGCTTAAGCGCGACGACGTTGAATGCCACTTGGAATTCCTGGGGTTTACAGGAATATATGACCCACCACGAGCCGAGTCTCGCGAAGCTGTTGCCGCTGCTCATCGGGCTGGTATCATGGTGCATATGTTAACCGGTGATCACCACATTACAGCAACAGCCATAGCCAAGGAGATCAACATTTTAAGTGACCAATTGCTCAAGTCAAAACATATGAATCAACTCGTCATGACCGGTCCACAGTTCGACTCGATGACCGATGAGCAAATCGACGCCCTTCCACGACTACCACTTGTTGTTGCACGCTGCTCGCCTGAAACTAAGGTCAAGATGATCCAAGCATCCCAAAGACGCCATTTGATTTCAGCGATGACAGGTGATGGTGTCAATGATTCTCCTTCTCTTCGTATTGCTGATGTTGGTATCGCCATGGGCAAAAACGGTAGCGATGTAGCCAAACAAGCATCCGATATTATTTTGACCGACGATAATTTTGCAACCATCATCCGAGCAGTGGCAGAAGGTCGACGGATCTACCAGAACATGCAGCGCTTCCTTTTGTACTTTTACATCATTCTGATGTCACTTGCGCTTGTAATTCTTGCATGCCTTGCCCTCCGAGATCCTTCTGGATTGACAGCAGCGCCAGTGTCCACGATTCAGATGATCTTTATATATGCAGGTACGAGTAAACAAATAAGTACAGCACTGTATCTATAAGTAGAGAAATGTACATGAACTAATTAGTTATCATCACTTTACTGTATACGTTTATCCGCTTTAGCTGTAACGCCCCCTGCTGGTGCGCTCAGCGTCCAGCCTGCATCCCCCACTGTCATGGAAGAACCTCCTCGTCCGCCTCGTGAAAGTATCGTTAACAAGGAAATTCTGATGGATACAATTGTGTATTCTATTTTGGCTGGTATGGCTTGTGCCGTAGCATTCTTTATACCACTTTATACTGTCGGTGGCACTGGCGTTCGAGGCGTAGCCTGTGATTCCAACTATCAACAAGGACTATGTGACGCATTCTACCGTGCGCGCGCATCGCTCTTGGTAACTTACTTACTATGCTCCTTGGTAGTCATGACACACTGTCGTAGCTATCGGCGACCTGAATGGGGCCCACGGGGTCTTAAGATTACCTTTACCTCACGTACGGTAATCGGCACATTTTGGTTTGATATCATTTGCCTAATAATCTTTTTCTACATTCCTGAAGTAGCCATCAAGGGCTTCAGATTACTCGGCATTACCTGGGAATGGGGGCTTTCTATTGGATTGACTTCATTCTTCGTTGTATCTGGCGAGCTTTATAAGCTTTTAAAGCGCCAATTAATGAAACCCATGCAAACGCATTTTGTCGATGAGTTATTGACCCTGTGATTCTCGTCACCAAATTCATGCTATTGACTCTTGTTTCCTTTACTAATTCCCCTTCTCTAATTTCTTTTCGTTCTACCTTTGTTTTACATATTCCTCTCTCTTTTTTCTTTTCGCTTCACTATCACTCATTATTCTTTAATAGCACCGAAATTATGTAAGATATAGCTAATCTGAGCTATAATACATTCATTTTTAGTATTGTATGAGAAACATCAAGTAACAGCTATTTCATTTGCATATCCATATGGAAAGAAGTGATTATTATAATTAAGAGAAGTGCTACAGGTACGAGTTTTTTTTCTTACGCGTACGAGTTTTTCTAAGCGGGTTTTTAAAGTGGTTGTGTTGGTTATGAGACTTCATATAGCCAATCCGATTGCCGTCTTACACGTACGAGTTTTTGTCTACCCATCAGTCTTCCCTTTTTGGATGACCTTGTCAAAATAACTAGCTATTATCATACATTTTGATGTAGAACTGCTCACTAAATGGGTGCAATGGTTTCAATTACGCTGTTCTTTTCAAGATCTTATATGATTCTGTTCTGCCACTGTAATGACATTTAGATGATGAAGCATATTCCTTTCATCCTTTCGAGTAAAAAACTAATATCAAACTCGTTTGATTTAGCATTAAAACAAAAATGAGTTACTTTAGGAAAGAAAAAACCCCAATAACCCTAAAAAAAACTTGAAAAAAACCTAAAGCTTTAAAAAGCCTGAATAGACCTAAATAAACCGTTATATACTTCTATATACCTGGTTTCTCTGATACATACTGTTGGCCTGGGAATGTGTGGAAAGCGGTCAACGAGTTTATCATTTGGTACATATCGTGTGTCTCATTGGGCGTTGCACGTACGACTAAACCTGTTTTCGAGCATCATTGAATATATCATCTGCTACTCACATTTCTCCTTGAATTCCTTTTATATTATATATGCAAAACACTGATTTTGTCGGATGACAAGCTTGCTATGATGTATGGTGAAAGTAGAAACGAGTTTGATTCGTATAACTGCGACCATGCCCACGAACACCACAAACAGCACGACCGTGAGAATGAGAACCACGACGAGCACCATGAGCACCGACGCGAGCGCCAATGGTGCTGTCAGTGGAATCGTCAGTAGAGCCATCGCACGAACGGGCGCGTTTGCGCGATGTAGTCGCTGTTTCCATTTGAAATTTGGGCTAGCATATCGTGGACGCTCGTTTTGTGCCATGCAATATGGCTTGTTGACCTACTGGCTACCTTGGTTTAGAGACAACAATACACTGGGAAGTTGCGCCATTTCTTCGTCTTCTGACTGTAATTCTAGGAGCCGTGAGCCGTTGTCTGTGCCTGATGTCGACGGCAACGCCACCTTAATACAGCCAGTGTGTAAATATGTATGTGCTAAAAAGTACGTCAAACACATACTTAACATTGGTAGAGTGTATATATACACCTTCTTCATGAAGTTTCGCGTGTTCCTCTTGTGGAGACTGATTGACAGCTATTGGTGCCTCACAACTATAGAAATGCCGAAGGTAAACATGTCAAGGACTTAAATACTGAACTTACCGTATTTAGAGATATTGCCGTGACAACGCTTCTCTTGTAGGTTGTTACGCGATGCCAGCGAGGTTATAGAATTGTATTTGCAGTCCAGCTGTTCACGCACGCAGCCAATAGTGCTACAACGGATACAATGGATACAAGGCCTACAACGGATACAACGGATACGCAACTCCTTGGCACGCTCTTTATAGCCTTTCTGTAGTCTCTGGTACTGCTGTCCATGGTGTCATAAGCTGATCCACACAAGGCTGACTGAGAATGTGGTCGACAATAATTTCTATGCGTCGCCATGTGTTGTCTGTGAAATCAATGTTGTTTATACGCGTAATTTCCATTCCGTGTTACATGGCAGCCTCGCAGCACAGATAAATTATTTCGTCTATGCTAACTTGGTCCGTGAGTCGTATTTACATATGTGGGTCCGTGTCAGGTGCATAATATTGAAAAGCCCAAAAAAAACGCTTGTGATACAGATCCGTTTGATGCCAAAGACGAAAGCTGACCGATTGTATCTCTGATACTTTCCACATCATCTCCTGAAAGTGCTACTAATCTGCGTATGTCATTTACACGATCACCAAGGGTATCGACTTATCTTGCCTAGGAGCCTACCGGTCGTGCAAGTGCAAGTATTGCATCGCTATTGTCGATAATAACTTATGAACCATAAGTCAGGGAAGCAACGTTTTATGCGTAAAACATAGTACTGTCGAGAAGGACTTTATGCACAATTGCTTCTCTGGAATTGTACCTTTGACACTCCAAGAGATTCCTGTACAGGTCACTGCGCACACACAGGGAAAGACATCTGGACCAGCACAATAAATTTGACAATGAAAACAGAAACTATCGTAGCAGAGATATATTGACAGAGAAGTAATATACACGCACGCATTGGATTTTGAAGCATTGAACGCTTACTAATACGCTTTGAACAGAGACCCACGAGCTGGAGCGCTGAAAACGCAAATTATGATTAATCGCAAAGTCAGCGATGATCTAAGAGGGGAAACACAGGGTAGTTCACAAACCTTGCAAAATTGTACGACAATGTAACGCTCACCAGCAAGCTCTAAAGGTTCTTGAGAGTCATCGGTAAACATTGTCTAGACATTTGTGTATGTCATATTAGATGACTTTTTAATCCACTGTTAGCAACATTTGAACGTAGTGAGAGATCGATGGATTTGATATATCTAGCTACTTGAAGCAAGTTCCAAACCGGACAACTTGAAAATGTTTTACGACAATGCACTTTTAAGCTGCAAGAAGTCTATCGATCAACCACGACGTGAAAATACCTTAATGTAGTGGCGTAAGCGATGCTTCGATCATCTGGCGTAATTTGACGCTAGTATACTGGCATATTGAGGGGGATTTAGGTCGGGATGACGAGTACACAGTTCTACATAATCAATCAAAAAGACTGTGCGATGTTTTTGAGAGTTAAAAAAATGCTACCAGTAAAATCGATCACTGTATACTCAATTATTCGAGCTGTAGTCGCACATCTCTCGATTCCTCCTTCAAAGATTAGCTAATATTTATGCATTAGTTTTTACAAAATAAACATAGTAAGCACGTAATAGATATGCTTACAAAATTGAACAAAATCAAGAGAAGCAAAGTTTCTTTTACAAAACACAAAGAACATATAATAAGACAGGAAATCATGTGTTAGTGTATACCCTACAGTATTTGACCAAAATAAGATAATAAATTGGCTGAAAATAATTAAAAATAAGGTTCTCTAGTTTTTAGAACTAGAGAACGTATTTACTATTAAAGGTCTCGCCGAGACTCGAACTCGGATAATGAGATTCAGAGTCTCATATGCTAACCATTACATCACGAAACCTCGATGTCTGTGGAGGGTAATACCGTTTTTCAATTTATTACGTTTCCACATTTTCTTCTAGTCTAGTCTTCTTCTATCTTCTATCTTCTTTCTTCTCTTTCTTCTCTCTTCTTCTTTTATCTTCTTTCTTATCTATTCTTCCTCCTCTATGTCATCATTAACATCATTACTGAAATTACCCACCTTTTGCTTATACTTCAAACCTCTTTTATACCCTCTTAGATCTATAGGAGAATAAGATTAAGGATTATTAGACCTTTATATTGATGTTGATATCAAAATAAAACTTGAAGTATATATACTTCTCATTTCAAAAAAAAAACAACTATCTTTAATAGATATTTTATTACTAAATTTAAATGTATATATGAAGCAAATCAGGGCTGTACCTAATGTCATGGTAGTATTAAAGGGCCCCATATCTACAGAATCTAATTAACTATACCTTATAGTAGAAATATACTCAGGACTTTTTTAATATCTAGCTAAGTACTATTAGAAAAAATAGTATGTATTGAACTAATATCTAACCATTTTTATACATTAAATATTAGCACATATTCAACTAATACTCATCTTTTATACACCCATATATATGTTTTACTGATATTCAACTTATAATCACCTAGTGTAATTATTGCTCAACCCATTTAACAGCAATTTCACTTACCCAGCATCATGAATAAGCTCGCTAATTGTAAATATAATTAACTACATATCATTAAACTTTTAATCATACTGTATATAAGAATAGCCATGCTGTTTCTGAATATTCTATGTTAGAGCAACTATAGCTTCTCCACTGTGCCTAAAGCAGCGTTTTTCATTCCCCTATTTTGAAAAATACTCTCAATTCCATAATGTCAAATTCCAAAGATTACTGTTGCTATTACACAATCAGCTGTGAAAGCAAGAAAGAAGAGGAGCTTCAAGAGACGATAGAGAGGCTACAGTTTGGTAGATGCTGTCTGTAAGGAATGATATATTTGTATTATCTTAGATAATATATGCCTTAAACTTTTATAGTACACAGGCAATCATTAAGCCTCTTTGTGGTATGACCACGTTAGAACTCTGGCAAATGCTCGAAAAAGGTGCATTTAAGGACGACTAAGAGCTAGTTTAGTACCTTGAGTTTTTCAATGTAACACTATAACACCAGAGGTTATAGGAAAAATGAGTGTAGGACAGTCGTCCTTTGCCTGCTGAATCCTGGGTCTGTGTTGCACCCAAAACAACATTGAATGACGAATATCTTGTTATAGCGTTTCATTGATCGGCCTCTTGGTTACACGATTCATGTGCGCACTTTATTGTCATTGGCGCCAGGATATGGTGAGTGTACAACTAGTCCGAGAATTGAACAGTGTCTCTTGTTGTTATGTATTCATAGATACAATCGATGTCTAACAATAGGTTCTTTGATACAGATTAATGGCCAGCAGGCAGGGCACCACTCGCCCTTTGTATATGTAGGGAAAAAGTTCTCTTGAAGACAAGTGGGATGTGGGCTGTCCATGCTCTAGGAGAAGTATTCTGAGCTGGACCACCAAGCAAGGTTACGAGCAGTAAGAGCTGCATTGGACCTTCCAATCTCGTGATTTTCTTGATGATCAAGATGTGTACAAAGGAGTAGAATATCAACCGGGTTATACACACCTCAGCATATAGGCGAGATAGGAGCAAGGTCAATATACGGCAGTACAAAGCTCCATAGCATTTCCATTGATGCATCAATGAAGCACGAGTTGTGTGTATTTGGCTCCAAATATATTTCGTAAGGCACCGCGTTGTACATGTATACAAGCAAGTATTTGTTCGATAAGTTGCATATATATGTACAATATCTCTTGAGAATGTGCAGCCATTTATATTATCTTTTTTTAGAAGACCTGTTTCGTGGAGCATTTTTTGTGTTGATTGGGGGGGAACAACAATTGAAGAAATAATAACACCAACGGTTTATTTTGAGCTCAGTGAGATCTGTAGAATAGAAGCAAGCATTATTAGCTATATGAGCATCGACTTTATAGATGCCATATAAAAAAAACAAATACGCGAGATATACTTACTTTCTACGCTGATCTGTAGTAGGGGTATCAGCAACTAAAGGTCGCTGATCTGTAGTAGGGGTATCAGCAACTAAAGGTCGTTTCCTGTCAGACATATTTTTCGTGCTTTTCATTCGACTTGTTGACTTCCTTGATTATAGACATGTGTGTCTTCTTTGATCGATCTTTTGGTCGACTTCTTGCTTTGATATTTTTGGGGAGGTGGCCCTTGTCGATACCAGGTTCTACTTTTGTGGCTGTTATCGCCTTTTTGATGGTTCCCATGAGCATTCAAATCACTGATGATCTCGAATGGTAGTGAGCTTTTGCTGTAAACAGCTTATCAGATTGGTCGCTCTGTTTGACAATTCAGCGCTGACAAGCTCCACGGAATCGAATGCTAGATGAATGTAATATAGTGCTACTACTACCAGTGCTGTAACGTATCCAAGCTATCATTGATTAATAAAATCTATCTTTGAGATTATTATACCTTCTTCATCAAGTGCCAAAAAGGATTTACGCTTTCGATTGTTAGCTTAGCTTTAGCATGCATCGTATGGCGGCAGGGGAACTGGTAGTTCTGCTTCGCCACACAGCAGCAATCAGCGTCTACATCCAGGGAATGGATGTTTGCATATTGTTTCGCAGAAGGTTTAACCCACAGTGAGATATTTCTGTTGACACTTTTTAAAAGTATCCATTGAATATGGCGTCATCAGCAATGATTACTGGTCTGTTGATAATTTCTTTGTAAAAAGTACCGGCTTCATCATCCATCTATTAATGTATGATTGTATAGATCATATATCTTCATATTAGCTCTTATCATAGACAGCATCACTGTGATATATGCAGAAAGATAACAAAAATCAATATCATACTTACAGATGCGTCGCGAGTTTCATGTATTTTTTCAAACAAAAAAAGCTTTGCCTAGTCTGCTTTTTAGGCTTCTAAATGGGCACTTTCCACTCTCTGAGTAGTACGATTTCCAAAATGCGCGTACTTTTTGTACCAGGAGCCAGCCCAACGTTCCTTGTTAACCAAAGTTCTATATATCGCTAATTTATGTGAGTTTATGTCATCAATACAGCGGTTATGGTGCAAGGGGTGTTGAAATAGGCGAAAAAAATTACTCGTCTAGATACTGCTCAAACATCTCACACGCTAATGACTTTTTTACGTGGGTGCGATACTCAGTAACTGCTGCATCAAATTCTTCTTTGCTTTTGCTCCAGAGTAAATTCTTCATAATCACATCCATGTAGGCTTGATCTGACAGCCTTTTTCCTTGCTTTTTGCCCGAGAATTTGCCTTTATATCTGTCGACAAAGTTCTTCTGAACGTGCCACGCGCAAACGATTGTGTCGCTCACCAGAAATACTGTTGTAATGCTGTTGATGAGTTGTTGATCTTGGTCAGTGATAAAAAGCTTCGGCTCGCTAGCAATAAATGTGGGCCATACAACTTCACGCAGCTTTTGAGCCATCCATAGGTACGACGGTTCCTTGTCGTTTGTCATCATCACCGAAGCAACAACAAACGTGGATAATCGAGTAGTTACCAAGTTACTGACACAAACAACGTGGACAAAGGGCATGTTGTGAAGATTGGTCTTATAGGCGGAGTCAATAAGCACCTCTTTTGAAAATCGTCTTGCCATTACAATTGAGTCCGGATATGGAAGGCAACAGGATGGTGCAGACCGGTAGAGTTTGGATTGGCTGATTATGGCAGTAATGGCGAAGTTGGATGTATCAGTTTCCACAAAGATGGGTTGGGAAGACATAAAACGCTGTAGGACCGGCACAGTAGTAAAGCTTTGCTTATGTGCTGAAAATTCGGTTGTCTTGTGTAGTGGTCCAATTCCATCCTTCTTAAGCAGCGAGTTAAGGGGGTAGTGAGATGGGAGTAGTGTGGATGAAACGGCAGTAGAAATTAGCGCACCCAAGAGAACTTGAATGTCATGAGTATTTTTTGGGGTAGGCCAATCTAAAATGCAGGCTACCTTAATGATTCCATGCTGACACCAGAGCGACGCATGCAAAAACCAAGGAAATCTACCTCACCAACGTCAGACTCACACTTAGCTTTGGCGGTAAAGGGCTGATCTACGAAGCTTTTACAAGACTAGCTTGATGTGTGCATCGTGCTGTGAGTGATTGTTGCTGAAGATCAAGATGGAATCCAGGTATACAATAACGAACTGGCCAAGATACTTGTGCACGCAGCACATTAAATTGGAAGGAACCTGGCGCATTGGTCAAACAAAAAGCCATAACATTAAATTGGAAATGACCGTACTTTGTGTGGAAGGCGGTTTTCATTCCTCACCCTTGGGCCTTGGCTATACGAGTACAATGATAGGCATTGCGGATATCAAGCTAGGTGAAGAAGACAGCGGCAGATAAAAGACGATCTAGCATCTCATTGATGAGGAGCAACGGGTAGCGATTCTTGAGGGTGATTTTGTTGAGTCTTTGGTAATCGACACAAATGCAGAGGAAGCCGTCTTTCTTCTTCCCAAATAGGATAATAGGATGGGGATCCAGCAGGACTAGTCGAATGACTAATATTGAAGCCATTCTCTAGGTTGATCTTGATATATTCGCGCAGGACACTAATTCTTCTTGTGACAAGGAATAATTCGGGCCATACGGTACTTGGGCGTCTCCAACAAGAGGAGTAGCATGGTCTACGACAACACGGGGAGGAGGAAGGGTATCGGCTTGGTTCTTATTGAACACATCAGCAAAAATGTGGTACTTAGATGGCAGCGAGGAATTAGCGGCGGTACCCTCAAATGTGACAGAAGCTATAGACAACAGGGGCCCTAGGGGGGGTCAACATGCACAGAAAACAATGGGGTGCCCTTTTGAATAAGGGACTTGATGGTGAGTGCACTAACTAGTCGGGTATGCGGTAGACGTTTGGTTGCAGGTGATGGACGTGGATTGCTGTCACACGGGTTGCTGGACAACAATCTTTAGTATAGGTGGCAGGAGTCAGGTTGACAAAGTCGATGCGCCAATCAATGGATGGGTAATGTTTGATCAACCAGGGCATACCAAGAATGATACTATACTGGTCATCTCTGTTGATTTTATCCTCAACAACATTATATATAGACAGTAGGCATAAGTCATGGCTTGGTAGGCTCTATTTTATTGAGATTTATAGCAGGGCCGAGATATAATATTGTATAAATGTAGTGGTATGTTCTATATCACGGTTATCGTGTATGTAATGACTGACAGGCTATAATAATAAAATTGCTATCATTGCTATAAGTTTTGTTCCTACATTTTCTGCACTGGAGAAGTAGCTGTTTCTAGCAAAACCATTTGAACAACCGAAAGCGGTTAAAGGGCTTGTTGCTATTTATTATTGACGTAACATATATTGGTTATCCACTACCAACAGCAGGAGATAATACCCCGGATTATTTGTGGAAATTATCAATTAATTGGGACTTTTTATTTTTTTTAGAGGATGGCATTATAATTTTTTTTGTTATGAACGTAAGCAAATAGAGCATCTTCTGTTGGCTGGATTCTCCATCTTCCGTCGCAGCTTGCCACACTCGCCCTTGATTTCATGACCGCAAGGCAACCGTACAGTGATATTCTTCAAGCAAGTTCCACATTGTTCCCAACACTGTCGAGTGCATTGGTGATTACAACCTGACAATAGTCGTCGGCATGGTTGACGACAGAGGATATCAGTATGGTCGTATGGGTGGCATGTCGTTGCGCACTGAAAAAATAAATTATTTGGTCAGCCAATCGCGTATTTGTTTGTTTCAAAAGTATCGGCTATAGTGATATTTTACCTGATGTCCACACTCAAGCATCTCGCCACACACGCGAGTGCAGCCACCTTCAGGAATGGTCGCGAAGTCTACAGGCCATTGTACTTCGGTTACTTGACCGTGTCGGGCACATCGTAAACGCAGTCGTGTTCCAATGCTGTTTGTTGTATGTTCTTCCATATTTGAAACAATTTCGTTCCAGAGGTCACTTCTTTCACACAACAATCCGGCGTTACCTAGAATATACATGCCCTGGTGAAGGTAATAACACGCACAAATATCAATAACAATTCATCGTCATTTGGATGCAAAATAAATAAATAAAACTTACTTCTCTGGCACGTGAAAGTGCAACGCAAACACGATTCGCAACCTTCAAGAAGCCAATTTGACCGGCAGCATTACTTCTGACAAGTGATAGAATGATAATTTTGTTTTCCTCACCCTGGTAGCCGTCCACACTACTGACTGGGATGAGGAAGGGATCGAGATCGGCTCTACGTTCAGCCCGAAGGGCTCGTCGAATAAGTGACTTTTGTCCAGAGTACATGGTAATGATGGTAATGTCTTCAGGTGCGTAGCCTTGGAGGAGGAGGTACGTCGAGAGTTTTGCTGCCATCAGCGCCTCATGTTCGTTTGTTTTGGAGGCTGTATCTGCAACATGACTTTCGGCTTCGTTATGGCTCAAGAAATATACGGGTGGATCAATGCCACGAACGGCCGGACGGCTCAAAACTTCAGAATGGTCACGCAGTGGTGGATCGCTGTAGATTGGGTCAATTAACATTCTAATTTCAGGGCGCATACGTCGTTGATGTGATAATCTCGTGAACGGCAACTCGTTTCTGACAAGTCGCTCGAACAGAGATACGTTGAGGAAATGCTGTTCGGCAAGCGCGTGCACTGAATTCTGTGGTCGCAGCTGTTGGTGATCACTGGAATATTATATTAGCAAGTAACCAGTTAGCTGTATGAGCGTTCATCATTCTCACAATTAAAAAGACACATACCCAATCAGGACCAAATGTTGCAGGGATCGTGTGAGCGCAGAGACAATATGGGCTTCCATCATTTCGGCAGCTTCTTCAACAACCATGATTCGGGGTCGAATCTCCTCCAACAAATCGTGATACTTGGCCTAATATATTATTTATGCGTCAAGACCCCATTGTGTATCTCGAAGCATCGGAGCACTTACTGCAGCGGTACTAGTCATGCCAATGACTCGGTTTTTCCGACAAATTTGTGCATCGCTCATCATGTTCAATCTCCTGATCTCAACCGAGACTCGTTCGTATTCGCTTATCAAATGGTTGATCGTACTGCATTGGTCCTTGTAACGTTCGTCCGCCCACTTTTTGTGCGCCTCCAGTCGTACAGGCAAGGGCCACATGGTTACGTCTGGCTCCTCTTTCATCCAACGCTCAAGAACAAGGTGTTGCGGTTCGAGAGCACTTTCATCGACCGTGTCTTCGAAAAAGTTGAAACTGCTTGCGTCAAATGTACGTGTTGCTTTAATCTTTTTATAGTTGATAACTTTGCGTTCGTCTTCAGTGCCCTGGCGTTTTCCTTCAACTAGCGAGTCGTACATTGACACCACGCTCGGTCCTCCTTTCTTCTTCTGGTATGCGCTACCAATGTTGATGAAGGGCCGCTTTCGGGTATCAGGTTCCTCAGCAAAATTGGCAGTGATTTCTTGCAGTTCTTCTTCGTCAACCAGGTCAGACTCGTCGACATCATCTTCAAATACGAGGCCTTTTTGTGTATCGAGGAGATCTTCTTTCAACTGATGCGTGTAAGAGTACAAGGAGCTCATCGGACCAACAAACTCGATGGCGTCTTTGAGCCAGATTTCAACAGGGTTGATCTTCTTTTCCTCTGCAGGATCTTGAATATTTGGATTACCACCTGCCCAGTCATTTCCTCCTCTACCTCGTTGCTGTTGTTGTTGTTGTTGACCTCGGCCCTTCTTTTTTGATCCTCGTGGTTCTGGCGGAGGTGTTGGCTGCGGGGTTGATGTGACCCAGTCATCCTCATCATCAACTTGGGCTCGGGCCGTCGGTGCTTTCGTTGCGCGTTTTTCTTCACGCTCACTGAGACGTTGCAGATAATCTCGTTGGAGAGCGTTAAGTCCATTGATTTTTTTGATATAATCCATTGACACACATGGCTCTTCGTACATTTCGGTGATGATGCTGCTAATGCGTTTTGAGATATCGTCGCGTTTGCGATACAATCGACCAACGCCACGTACAGATTCAGACTGCTTCCGCAATTCAAACAGCAAATGCTCCTTTAAAAGTTCGGATTTCGATCGACTGCCGATACGTACAATTTTATCTTCATGGTCGAGAATGTGTTCCAGAAACTGATCCAAAGCTGTAACAAACCCACAGTGCGTTGTCAGTAGCCATGTCATCATACTTCAAGCTTCCAGGGAATAGATAATAGTGCCTCTTACCGTGATTTGTTTGACAGATACACACAATTGGTCCAATCGACGTCGAGAAATTATTTAACAGGACTCTCATGGCATACGTACCGACATAGGTTTTACCAGTACCAGGGGGCCTAAAGACCATGTCAGGATTAATTGCTTGAAAAAATCTAACAGATAATGTTTGTTTACCTTGGACAACAGCAATGTTATTCGAAAGCATCGTTTTCAAAGCGTCCATCTGTGTGTTGTCCATGTTCATATTGTATACTGGCCATGCTTGAGTGATATCAACGGGTTTCGCCGGGCCGGATCTCCTGCCTTCACGATATTCTGCAATGTCGTAGTTTCGTTTCATAGCGGCATAATGAGGGAGTTGCACATCCTTGGAAACATCGACCAAATAAGGAGAAAAGGGGAGCTCTGAAGGCGGGATCTGTTGGATTGTGGACAAGATATGTCGATAGGCTAGTGTTACATACTCGGTTAGACGAATTTCTCATAATGCTACTATAGTACCAAAAGGAAAAAAGCAAGCCGCTCTACCTTCAAAGTAACCTTCGGTGGCTTCAAGCTGATCAACGCAAACACTATGGTTAGCTCGTGTTGCGTTCAAGACATTGTAACAGAAAAAGTCGCACACACATACCATGACATAATTATCCTCTGAACTGAGAGTTGGGTCACCAAAGCTAAGCGGATCGTTTTCATTGTCCCGCTCCAGGTGGATATTGATCAAATATTCGAACCGGTTGGCTCCGCGTGTCGGCTGCTCTCCTCTTTCCACAACGGTTGCAATCTTGATATCATTTTCAAAATTATCCTTGGACAGCAGCACCATGGTTCCCTCAATAAGACGTTTTGATTGTGGCCACGAGATTCGGACATGATAGGGTAGTCGGAAACTGATACGATACGCGACTTGACGCGAAGAAAACACGAGGGCGTTCAGTCTAACCTTTATAAAATATCATGTCCCCATAACCCAGCACTGTGTCAGTATAGCTAAAACCGCCATATCATTTTGAGAGAAAAGCATCGTACATGTTCATAAGCACGGAATCCACGTATAGGTTGGGCTTCCGGATGGTCTGCATAGCTAGGATCGTTTTTTAATCTGGTGACCGATTCTTTGTAGTATTTGACAGCGTTTCTGAGCGGGATCAAGAGATCGTTGCGCATGAGCTCGAAATGCGTGTACAGATATTGTTCCGGGCTTTCATAGGAACCATTGACGCGATTGACAGGAATATTAGGTAACGGCTGGAATTTCTGACCATGTGTTGCGCTCACCATCGGATCTTCCTCCTGTAGGATATCTTCGGGCTCGGGTATGATAGGTTTGTGCTGGATCGAAGTGAAGTCCACCTCTTGTGTAAAGAACACCTTATCTGGTATATCCGCGTTTAATTTGAAAGTCGCCGGTTCATGCTTACTGTATCTCATTTCACCACTATTGTTGCTTTGGAAGGGCTGATTCCAAGCTTCGGTTTGGTACGTGGTGGGTGCAGAATCCCACCCTTGTTGCATATCCATAGTCCACGTCATGGAATGTCCGTCATCGAAGTTACTACTAAAGTCGAATTTTGATTTTTTCGGTGATGGCGCTTGCTGTTGCTGGCTCGGTGCAATGTCGAACTGGTTGGTGTTGAAGTTCAAGGTCGCATTAACAACGGAAGGGCCACTGTCGTTTGCCGTACTGTGATAAGGATTAATATTCAAACTTGTCAACTGAACTAACACGGTCCGGAACGCGAGTCCACCCAAAAAACAAACGTGTTTCTATATACCTCAAGGGATCCCAAGGTGATGGGTCCCATTTTTGCTGTTGTCGATTTCTCCCACGGCGTTGAGACATGTTGATTGACGAAAGGTGGTAGAAAGATAAAAAAAAGGAACGACGAAAGTTGTTAACGTATTTGGAACGGAACTGAAACAACCCGCTCCGGAAGCACTTTTCACAGCGAGACAAGACAAGCCGATTGATTGATTACAAAATCACCCGAGGTGTCAAAACTTGAATTATTCCCTTTTCTTTCCCTCTTTCATTCTTCCACTACTACAATAATAAAAGCAACAGCTGCTACCAAGTACTGCCTTTATTTATACTGAAAACATTATGCCTGGAGGAGGACAGATGCCAAAGGAACAGCAAACACCCAAGGAAAAGGTGTGTTTGATATGCATTGACGGTTGGGGCGTTTCTCCAAAAAAGGACGCCAAAGGCGACGCGATTCGCAACGCGGAGACCCCGGTTATGGATAAGCTGGAAAGCGACGATCCGTTTACTACGATATCTGCTCACGGTCTCGACGTGGGATTGCCTGATGGATTGATGGGTTTGTAGTCCAAGAGAACGTAGCACACATCCATCCTCGATCGTACATACAGCGTAAATGCTAAAATATACACATTAGGCAACTCTGAAGTAGGTCACTTGAACATTGGTGCTGGACGTGTTGTATATCAGGTAATAAGGCGCATATCGATACAAAAGGTAGAAGGGAGAGGAGGGTTAGCACTGACGGTGAGTTTATTAAAGGATATCGTCCGGATTGACCTTGCGCTCAAAAACAAAGAGTTTGGAGAAATACCAAACATCAAAGGTGCATTTGAACATGCCAAAGCAAACAATGGGCGGCTGCACTTTCTTGGCCTAGTATCTGATGGCGGTGTTCATTCGCATATCGACCATTTGATCGCTTTACTGGAGGCGGCTAAAGAAGCCGGCGTCAAGGAAGCCTATGTACAGTTCTTTGGCGATGGTCGCGACACAGCACCCAAATCATCCACAAAATACGTCAAGAAACTACAGCAAGCAATCGATAAGCTTTCGTACGGTGAGCTTGCTACGATTGTCGGACGGTACTACGCCATGGACCGTGACAAGCGTTGGGAGCGAGTTCAAATCGCTTTCGAGGGCCTGACAGAAGGAAAAGGCGAGAAATCGAACGATGCTATCAAAACTATTGAAGAGCGCTATAGTAAAGATGAAACCGACGAGTTCCTCAAGCCAATCATTTTGTCTGACGATGGCCGCGTCAAGGACGGCGACACGCTGTTCTTCTTCAACTTTCGCTCGGATCGGATGCGCGAGATCAACCAAGCGTTTGGTATCTCACCTTGCCCATTCGAAGCCACTGTGCCCAAGGACTTGGCGATATACGACATGACGCAGTACAAGAGCGACTTCCCATTCAAGGTTGCATTTGAGCCGCAGCAGATGGACAATGTGCTTGCAGAGTGGCTTTCCAAAAACGGCATCGCGCAGATGCATGTCGCAGAAACAGAAAAGTATGCGCATGTCACGTTCTTTTTCAACGGCGGCTCCGAGGCCCAGTTCGATAAAGAAGACAGAGCGTTGCTTCCATCACCCAAGGTTGCTACCTATGATCTTGAGCCTGAAATGAGCTCGCATGCTGTTGCGGAGCGTATGGTCGAGGCGATCAAAGCTGACAAGTACCCATTTGTGATGTGTAACTTTGCGCCACCCGACATGGTGGGACACACCGGCAAATACGAGGCAGCAGTAAAAGCAGTTGGCGCGACAGACAAAGGCATCGGGCTCATTCGAGATGCGTGCAAGGAGCATGGCTACGTCTTGCTTATCACGGCTGACCACGGTAACGCGGAGAAAATGCTGTCTGATGATGGCAAGAGTCCTCATACTGCCCACACGACAGCAAACGTGCCTTTTGTTGTTGTTTCCGACAAATACAAATTCTTAGAGAATGCAAAGGGTTGTCTAGCAGATGTTGCACCTACAATCCTTCATATCATGGGATTGGATGTGCCAAAGGAGATGACGGGTCATAATCTTATCGATGAACATAGTATTTGATTATTTGTAATTTTATTTAGCGACCATCATTGGTATAGTACATCCAAACATAATTTTTGAGCTACCATCGCAGTTTCTAGACGATGAGAATTGAAAGGTAACACCACCGTTTTTACAATAAAATGTTATCGTTGTACCAGGCGTAAGTCGTCTGATCGAAAAAGGTTTGTACTATGGTCGCGTCTAGGCACTGTGATGGTGGCGAGTTCGCTAGAAGATCTTGCTTTTCATAAGCTTGCTTAAAGGTGTCTTCGCCGGTGCTTTCACCAGGTTGACAGGGCACGGCTTCTTCCGTCTTTTGCTCTCGTGAAGGGTTTTCGTAACTTCGCTTTTTCTGTTGCGGTCGATATTTGTAGCCAGGGTGTGCTTGAGAATGGTACAGTTTTTCTTCATCGGCTTTTCGCTCAAAATGCTTTTTAATTTCTTCCGGTTCTTTTTTCCATAGTTCTCCAGCTTTCCTTGAGATATCCTTGTTGTGTAGTTTTGGGTCTTGAGAAAGTATACTGGGGCGTACTGCTTGAAGGTACAGCATAAAAGCATTTTGCGGTCTGGGCACTTTCTTACTATTCCACACCAAAGCCCGTTTGCGTCGAAGTCGATTGACAGATGGGGATATTGTACAGCCATGCTCTCGAGAAGAAAACGAGTATGAGCTCTTAAACTCGTTAACAAACATAAAGCTTTGCATTACAGTGATATTGTATAAAGAGAAGAAAGAGTGTTCGTGGTAGGTTCCGCTGTTAATATTGCTACGAGGACAATGAAATTGGGTAGCAAGGGGCAGTATCGGAAATCCAATAGGGTTCCTTTGTCCTCACCTCTGTTGTGCTTCAACCCCTGGAGAGGTGCACATTCATTTGTGGCTCTGTGCTGATTCGGCCTTTCTAGCAAAGCTTTCCAAAATAAGAATCAGTATTGATAGCATATCGTAGAATTTTTTTTTAAAATACTACGCTGTTTATAGCTGATCTTTGATAGTCCCAAGAATAGCATTGATCATGTATCTTCATTTGTTTCTCGTTGTATGCTTTTCTTCATTCTGTTCTTTTTATCAATCGGTGTAAATGGTTCATTCTAGGATAAAGCTGCTTATCATAAGGCTGCAATGCCGCCATTGTTATGTCTACTGATAAATTTGTCTTTTTCGAGTATATAAGTGGTTGATTGACGAACTATTTCTGTTAAATTATGTCTACAACAATTCAGCAAAGTAATTCTCACATAATGGAATCCGCAAGTGCCACGACGACCACTTCAACTGAGGACTTGTTACGCCAGTCGATGTCGGAAGGGCCTGGCGACAATGCGGGAGACACCATCCGTCCTTTGTATGCATATTCCGCTGCTTCACTGGAAGGTCAACGAAGGCAACATATTTGGTGGAAGTCGGATGATTACAAGACGAGCATTGCTTTTAATTTTCAAGACAAAGCAACGAACAAGGAAGAAGCGTATAATTACTTGATTAATTATTATGGCCGGCAAAATATTGTCGCTGCTAAAATGCTTACGAATCAGGGTACGGAAGAGCGAGTCATAGTCATAGAAGTTGTTCTGGCTAGTGAGCACTTACGAAACGAAGCAAGAAGAAGAGGAATGAATATTGTTGTACGCAGCGGAAAATGCTGGTTCAGAGGGACTCGTACATTACAACCGGATGCCAAATACACAGTATTTGATATCTGTAACCTGCCTCTGGAAAACCCTTATACTGTAGTGACAAAAGTACGCAAAGCTATCGAACTTAGCTATGCAGAAAAAGCAGAAAATGTTCTTGAGCTTTATGCTGAGAAAGAGCCTGTCGGCGATATTTACGAGGGACGTATCTTTGCCTTACTAGAAGGCCACCAGCCGGTTCCTGGACGCCAGGTTTATATTTCTGCATACAATAAATTCTACTCAGTATCATTCAGTTTTATGTAAAGATAATAAAAGATGAGTATCGCTTTAGGACTCTGATGGTTTTGATGTGAATACGTTGAATCCGCGTTTCCGCGTGATTTACTTATTTGGGTAGTTTTACGCTTGCTCCACTTTTTTATTTTTCACTTCATAACCTCCTATCAAATGGGACGAGCGATCACTAATAACAAAATAAAGATCATTTGCCGCGTTCGACCATTCCGCAACGATGAATTTCCAGATGAGTCGGTCGAGGTTGACGACAATACTATCAACGTCGAAGATCAACGCAACCCTGGCAGCCTCTTAAATTACAAGTAAATTACTCTGTCTCTTTTCTACTACTAGGAACTAGACCTTATCACTTGTGAGGAAAAGCGAAAGGATAATCTGGTTTTTCTCACTGATGCTAAACGTCTAAATAGATTTGCGTCATGCTACTCAGTAAAAACGACACAATCGGAAATCTTTCAAAAAGACGTACGACCACTGATCGAACGTGTTTTCGAAGGCTACGTGAGTTTTTTGTTATTATTTTAGCCCACCTTTTCTTCCATAGCAGACTCACACACTTTTCGTTTTGATTAAATTCAGGACGCTACAATTTTCGCTTATGGAGTCACTGGCTCTGGTAAAGATCTGTTCATACTTACATATTGTATGAAAAGTGGGTTGTGATTGATTTTCTTTATGCATAAATCAAAGGCAAAACGTATACAATGGAGGGTGCACAAGATGAGCCAGGAATCATTCCCCGCGTTGCAGAGTTTCTGTTTGAAACTAAAGAGGCCTCCCAAGTATCCGATATCAATGTGTCAATGTCCTACATGGAGATCTTCAAAGAGACTGTGCATGATTTGCTGGTATCTCGCCGAGAAAAGGTACGGTGCAATGTGGATGAAAAACGGGGTTGACTGTGTGCGATACGGCCAAGGTTAATAATTATCAATTAATAGTATCAGCGTGGTCTGGATATACGCGAGGGCCCTGACCGCGAAGTGTTTGTAGCGAACATCAGCGAGGTAAATACAATGATTAATGTACAGTATAAGTTGAATGGCTCTAACAGTTTTGATTGATCTCAAAAAAAGCAATCACTCGAGTCTCTGGATGATTTTGAACGGACATTCAGGTGAGGCAACTGGGAGCCATGAAATTCTTCCTTAAACAAAGCTGCGACGATTAACGTGTTGATTTTTTTGCATAAATGACTCCTAGTGCTGCAAGTCGCAATCGTTCAACAGCAAGTACCAAGTTGAACAAACGGTCTAGTCGATCTCACGCAATATTGACGCTCAATGTTGCCATCTCAACGCCGATCGGCCCGCGGTTTGCTGGGACACAAAAAAGCCATATGGTCTATGGTAAAATCAACCTTATTGATTTGGCTGGATCAGAGGATAATCGCAAGACGGAAAACAAAAAGGACCGCATGACAGAAAGTGCCGCTATCAACAAGAGCTTGTTTGTGCTTGGTCAAGTCGTGGAAGCTTTAAATACAGGCTCAGTGTGTTCCGTTTTCTTTTGTAGTTATCGTTTCTAGCTTACTCTATTTAGTTTAACTTACGCGCACGTATTCTCTTTTAGTTACGTATACCGTTCCGTGATTCAAAAATGACCCGTATACTTCAGGTATAACCACCGAGGATCGGGAAGAGAGGATGTGTAGGGAAGAAACCAACCATCACCAGCTGTCTAATACAACCATCTAATAGCCTACACTAGAAGGGAATTCCCTCGGAATGATGATCATCAATATTGCACCAGGCAGAGTAAGTCAGATCAGCATATGAAAGAAGTGATAACTAACCCCGTCACTTATTTATTCCCCCAGGCCTATCTATCTGATACCATCAAGTAAGTCTCGTTTTGAAATGATGACATGTCAGGTGTCGTAGCTTAAAGCAGACATACTCACGATCCTGTTCCCTCTCTTGCAAAGCACATTAAACTTTGCCAGCCGATCAAAGAAAATTCGAAGCCGGGCAAAGGCTATCCAGCACCTTCCTCCTTCACCGTCATCGTCAAGTTACGATAGCTCATCAAACGAAAATGAATCTGGCATCGATCGATTATTGAAACGACGGTACGATGGAGCACTTGGGTGTGATAATAATAATTATGGACAAAGCGATACAGTAAAACAGCTGCGACGGATGAAGCCAACGAGATATGCTCCTGGGTATCGGCGAGCAACAAAGACATCAACGCTTCAAAATGACTTGCATGCGAATCGGTTTATTGACGGGTACAATCCCAATAACACCAGCAGAAGCAATCATTTGATACGGCAACGTGTGCATAATGATGCTGAGGATGATCTCGTCGTTATCTCCCGAAAAGATTTACAGGAGATGCTGGACCAGAGGATCAATGAAGTATTATCGAATCACCCACTCTTAAGGTACATAAAGTGAATATGGTCTTTTATGGTATTAGCTGTAGGAAACTAAATATTTGGAGGGGAGTGCTGACCATTGAAAAAACACCAGTAGCTCTAACAAATCGTTTGGTCAAGAAGAGAGAGCGAATTTACAATGATGTATATAAGAACTCTAGGTATGGGGATATGAAAGGCTTGAACTCTTAAACAAAAAGAGAATTCTGACTAAAGATGATTGCTGTTTAGGATAATTTCCATCTAACTTTCTCCGTACAAGATTTACCTGTCGGTTCGTGTATACAAGCCTTTATGGAGAATAAGCCTGTGCATAATCCTTACTACTAGTACATATATTTAACTATGAACTTGACGACATGTGTATATATAATATGAAAATATTACTATTTTGTACATACACCTTACAACTTGAGCTCAATGAAGATGGCACATACTTCAACACATGCAGCATCGATCTTTTCGCTTTTTCGTTTTATTTGCAAGCAAGCAGAAAGGGTCAGAAACTGGTTGCAGGGAAGACTGCTATGCTAATGTGTGTATCAGATTTCAAGCGTCCGTTCTAGATGTAGTGGAGATGATATATACAATCTATGAAGCTTTCGACGCGTGGTGGTTGCAATTAATTAGCACTGCTCCTTACCGTTGCATAAACAGAAACTATAAACATGTTCGCATGCATACATTTTATCTGCACCGGCCCGCAGAACACACAAACATGTACTTTGACGCGTGTAAATACGGACAAACGTGATCGAAAAGTGGTTTTTAAGCAAAGGATGATGGCTATAAACTTGAGGTGCGCGACTAGATTAAGAAGCGCATGTTGATGCATCTGTAGGTACAAGATGATGTTGCCTTGGTACAAAGTGTACCGAAACCTCGGATTTTTCAATGCAGCCTGTTATCATGGTGGGTGGACAGTAGCGGATCAATCGATATATTCATGGCAGCAAGTGCTGAAGCAGACGTGTCGAAAGAAGTGCACGGTATGATGAGAAGGCGGGAGGCGATTGGCGTTTTTGTGTGGATGGCGTTTCGAAACGTCGTTTCTTGCTGCTGCTGAGTTTTACAACTTGAAACTGCGGGCTAGGCATCATCCCCTTTTGCGTGTCAGACCGGAACACACACATACGCACCTTTGCCCTTTCGCTCAAAACCCCCTCGAGCCCTCTTTTTTATTCTTCTTTTAACACGGGTCATTTTTAACCTTTCCACCAACCTTTTCACATTCTACTAAAACATAATGGTAACCAAGTCTTTTAAACTAAGAAGAACCGTGCGTGGAAAAGAGTTGTCTCTTGGCATTTAACTTCTGCATCTCTCTCTCTCTCTCTCTCTCTCTCTCCCCCTCCTTTCTCTCTTGGGATTTGTCCCTTTTTCTATGCTCCATTTCTTTTTAGGCTGGCGCTCTCGAAAACGCTCAACTCGAATTGCCGAGAATCAGAGACTATGAACGCGAAGCCGATTTCGGTACCATCTTTTCCGTGTCGGGTCCAGGTAATTTGAATGCGTTTTCCATCTGAGCATTTCTACTTTTTTCTTCTTCTTTTTCTTGTCACGCTTTTCTCCGTTTCCCGTGGAGACCACTTGACACATACCAGTGGCTCTGCCCTACTTGCACGCGTGTGCTTCTTCTCAATGTTTCTATGAGGAGCTTGGAGATAGGGAAGGGAATAATAGCTTTCTTTCAAATATGCAGGATGGGCTAAACGTGCATTTTTATGTTTCATCTTAATAAAGTCGTTGTCGCCGATAACATGCGTGGTTCGACCATCAACGAGTTGGTACGTCATTTTTTTTCCCTTACTTGACTTTTTCAGACCTTTTTGCCCGCGTAGTATACTAACCAAGTTCTTTGTTTCTAACTAGGTTCGCGTTGGTCACGAAGAACTTGTTGGTGAAGTCATTCGTATTGAGGGTGACAAATGTACTATCCAGATTTACGAAGAGACTGGTAAAGTAGTTTGTTCTGGATTTGCAATCATCTCTTTCTAAGCACTCCTTTACTAACTTGCAAACGCTTATTTAAAAAGGTGGTTTGACTGTCGGCGATCCCGTCCTGAGATCCGGTAAACCTCTTTCTGTCGAACTCGGCCCTGGTCTCATGTCAAACATTTATGACGGTATCCAGCGTCCACTCAAGGTAAAAACTCTGCATATTTGAGAAGAAAGTAAAGGCAGAGGAACTTAATGCCACTCGAACATATCATAGGCTATTCAAGAACAATCCAACAGTATCTACATTCCGCGCGGTATTGCTACCCCCGCTTTGGACAAGCAGATTGGCTGGGACTTTGAGCCTATGAACTTCAAGGTACCATATGTTCCGTTTCCATTACGCCACCCACCTGACCCGCTCTGCCCTTGTAAACATATGTCTTTAATGAAAAAATATTTTTTAGGTGGGCGATCATATCACTGGTGGCGATATCTATGGTCAAGTCTTTGAAAACTCGCTTCTCTCGGAGCACGCTATCATGCTGCCACCCAAGGCTCGCGGTACCATCACATACATTGCCCCGAAGGGTCAATACACCATCGAGGTACTTTCGTGCTTATTTTCTCCCTGATAATGTTTAACGTCACTATTAACCATTGGTTCTGGTACTAGGATACTGTCTTGGAAGCTGAGTTCGATGGCGAGACCACCAAGTACTGCATGAAGCAGTTGTGGCCTGTCCGTTCGCCCCGTCCTGTCGCTGAGAAATTGAATGCCAACCATCCTCTGCTTACTGGCCAGCGTGTATTGGATTCGCTCTTCCCGTACGTATTCTATACAATCTTCTCTTGCAAACTTAATTAAAAAGCTGATTTCAATGTGTGTGTGTTCGTGACAGATGTGTGCAAGGTGGTACCACTGCCATTCCTGGTGCTTTCGGTTGTGGCAAGACTGTCATTTCACAATCGCTTTCCAAGTATTCCAACTCGGATATCATTGTCTACGTCGGCTGTAAGTCCAGTAACAAGGGAGGAGTAGGCGGTGTTAATTGGTTATAGGAGGGATATGAATGACTCAGCGTTTATTTTGTATAACTGCTAGGTGGTGAACGTGGTAACGAAATGGCTGAAGTATTGATGGATTTCCCCGAGGTAAGACTTGACTTGAAAGGACATTGTTACTCTTATTATTACAGATAACTGAATTTCTATCCCTCAAACAAATTAGTTGTCCATTGATGTCGATGGACGTAAGGAGTCCATTATGAAGCGTACCACTTTGGTTGCCAACACATCCAACATGCCTGTCGCTGCCCGTGAAGCTTCCATCTACACTGGTATTACTTTGTCCGAATACTTCCGTGATCAGGGCAAGAACGTTGCCATGATGGCCGATTCCACCTCTCGATGGGCCGAAGCTTTGCGTGAAATTTCTGGTCGTTTGGCTGAAATGCCTGCTGGTAAGAAAATCATAACTCTTCTTTTCTTCGTCTCTCTCGATGTGTGTATGTTTATAAACTTCACTACTGCTTCTAGATTCCGGTTACCCCGCTTACCTTGGTGCCCGTCTTGCCTCTTTCTACGAACGTGCTGGTAAGAGTACCTGTCTTGGTAACCCCTCCCGTGATGGTAGTGTCACTGTCGTCGGCGCGTAAGTGGTTTTCTTTTTTATATACACCTGGTATAGACATAATCTGCGTCCTATTTATGCTAAATTATCGATGAACGATCTTATTAGTGTCTCTCCTCCTGGCGGTGATTTCTCTGATCCCGTTACTTCCTCCACTCTCGGTATCGTCCAGGTGTTCTGGGGTCTTGACAAGAAGCTTGCTCAGCGTAAGCATTTCCCCTCTGTTAACTGGAACTTGAGTTACTCCAAGTACATGAAGGTGCTTGAGCCCTACTACGAAAGCGCCGATCCGGAATATATCTCGTTGAGAGATCAGTGCAAAGAAATCTTGCAAATGGAAGAAAACTTGAGTGAAATTGTGCAGCTTGTCGGCAAGTCCGGTTTGAACGAGACGGACAAGATTACGTTGGAAGTTGCCCAGCTCATCAAGGACGATTTCTTGCAGCAGAACGGTTACAGTAACTATGACCGTTACTGTCCATTCTACAAGACCACTTGGATGCTCCGCAACATGATTGGCTTTTATACCCATGCCACCCACACCGTTGAGGTGACCAGCAACCAGATGACCTGGTCAAAGATCCGTGAGTCCATGAGCGATATCCTGTACAAGCTCTCATCCATGAAGTTCGAGGTAAATATACCTTCCCATTAAGTCAAATGTCATGCAATTCATGTACTCACTCGGTATGTTATGATTACTAGGACCCTGCTGATGGCGAGGCTGTTCTTGTTGAAAAGTATGCTGCTATCCAGAAGGAGATGGAGGCTAGATTCCGTGATCTTGAGTTGTAGATAGGCTATTATCTTTCTTTTTTGTTGTACTCTGAAACGAAGGTGTCTTTTTTTCCCTCCTATATGACCAAATTGCACCAGTAAAAAAACATAAACCTGTGTACGAAAGGAAACTTTTATATTAGCTCTGTTTTGTTGCTGCGCGTAAGCTGTCATTTTTATCATGCTGTCTCCGTCATGGTCGTTGGGTTAATTATTTCTTGCTCTCCGAACCTTCGCTCTTCTTCCCTTGCCTGCTATTAAAGAATCCACCTATGCGCGATGCAAACGATCGAGACAGAAATACTACGACAACACACTCTAAATGTTCATGACGACTCGATTGTTTGCACCAAAATAGTTTGCTGCTCGCATGGCGTTTCCAAAGTACTTGTAGCGATTGACACAGGCGCGGTCACTGGATTTTGGCCACGATCCGACGCGGCAGAAGACAAAGACAACGACGGTGGCGGCGCGATTCAACAGGTGAGATCTTTATGTTTGACATGCATGTACAAAAAGAAAGGCACCGAAACTCAACTACTTGATGTTGAAACAAAATGAACAATTCATACATAGCAAGCAATTTGGGATTTACATAGTCCTGCGATCCAGTTCGTGGAACTACCAACAGCAACGCAGGCACTCGAGTCTGCTGGATGCACAGGAGTTTTAGCACTGACACAGGACGGTACAGTTTGGATCATTCGTATCAGCTGCGAGCAACCAAGGTATATTAAGATCGTGAGTGTATCACTGATGAAAAGTGACTTGTAAGCTCAATAACTTGTGAATAGATTGGCCGCCAAACGTCAAAAAATCGAGTCGAGTTCATGCGAACGATTGTATCAAAACGTAAATCCGGATTTCACCGCCTTTTACCGCTTTCACTTTGAGCATAAAGCCGTATTAACGTATACAATGGATAGTCGAATTTGACACGAATTCAGCCATGTGCTTCTGCTGAAGGGTTTTATGGGTTACTGCGAGACCAATCTAGTATTCTGTTGTACAACTTGGAGGCTCGATGTACAACTACAGTACCGATCCCAGCACAGTACCATGTTAGCATGCTGGTTGAATGTGGGTAAAAAGTTGGAAGGCTGGTGAGAGGGAAAGGCAAAGAAGGAAGAGCAATAATAGGTTATGTGCATATTTAACTTGGACAATAAACTTAAATGTAGTCAACGAAAATGATCTGGATCCAGTGCTATGCGATAAATTAGGGCTACCTAGGTGAGCTATCCTACTTGCTCTTAGTAACATACAGGATTAACATTAACGAAGTTTGAATCTGTTGCTGAAGACAACGCGGGCTATTATATTGTACCACGACAGGCATGGTGTATTGTCGCAACATTGAACAACAAAAGGATACGCTTATTACAGAACTTGCGGTAAGTGCGTATTATTGTTGCTCAAGTTCTCGATCCTATTTTGACTTTTTTTCTCTATTTCAAAAGAACGAGCTACCTGTAGCCATCTATTTCTTACGATCGAGTGCGAATGGGAAACAGAACGCATTGGTCGTATTAGGGTAGGAGCACATGCTATCTTATTTGATCGAAAGAAGCTTTTCTCGATTATGCCAATGTAGTAACAGCAACTATACATACATTAGATGGGAAGGTACCGTCCAATTATTCATTGTATCGGGCAATCGGTTAATGTTTCAAGAATTCTTTGTGCCTGGAACTATTAACGATGCTGCTTTCATCAACAATGTAAGGAAATCAAAAAAATATCTGTGGATATGGCTATTGATGATAAATGCTGGATATACCGCAGAATTAACACGAACTCCGTATATTCTTCCAGGCAATACTTGTCAGTCTTAAAGACAATGGTCAAGTGTATTATATCGACTTTGGGTTCAAGTCTTCCTCTGCTACGACTGCTAGTAATAATGCAGTTCCTCTACAGTTGGTCCGTCTTGCTGACTTGGATAATCAAGTTGTACAAGTACATGTTGGAAAAAAGTTTGAAAAAAACGGAACTATTCTGGAAGTACTTAAGAATGATCATACAATGGTTACCGTTCGAACCCGCTTCAAGTATGAAACTTTCAACACTCAGCTACATGGAATCTGATAATCTTTTCTAAACGTACTTTTTCTCAATATATAGAAAGGTGCAAAGAAACGTGAATCAGAGCGCTGAACATTTGGAGCAAGCTATCCAAGAAGTTTTAGAAGAGTTGACACAACTTGAAAAGCAGCAAAAGGAGATTGAGGCATATGCTGAAGTAAGCTATTAGCAAGCAAGTTGATGTTTTCTTTCTTTCCAACTAACACGCAGAAAATGGTATAGACCTTAAATGCAAAGCTGACTTCTGTGAACCGAACAATCTATGCGCTCCAAAGGATCAAGGCACAGAAACAAAGAATGAAAGAGGATGAACGATCACCATTTCAATGTGATGTTCAACCGCTGGTGATACCATCTTCCAGCCAGCACTACACGGGTCGTGCAAGCTGTGCTTTACGGATACGGATACATACATCTATGGATTTAGACTGGGACAAGTGGTACCGTACGTAGTAGCAGTAAAAGCAGTGGCAGTGGCATGGAGCATGTAGCGTGAAATTAAATCGCAGTGATCACCCTTTTTCTCTTGAACTATAGTACGCGCAGATATATCAAACCAGCCAACCGTGCTTCAAGAAAATATCAACAAGGAATTAAACACACCAAGCTCAGAGGATGGACTAACCATGCTGATGCCGCTAGCAGGACTTTCCGATAACCATATATGGTATGTCTGCCGTGCCTGGACGGAACTTTTTTTTTTCTGCAGCCAAAAATCTTATCTAATCGTAAAACCTATTTCATTTGACAACAATTTGAACAGGGAGCGGGACATTCCAATTGATATCGAACGACTGTTTCTACCAACTCACGTGAATCTAAGTTTGTCAACGTGTATTGATACAGATCAGGTTGGACCAAGTAGAAATAGCAGCAGTAGTACAGAAGGTAAAAGGGAAATATACTCTATTGGGAAATCGTGCCGAAAACCTAAAGGGTGTATTTTATTTAGGCAAACCGTTCATGTTTCACCTATCGGAGGTGACATTGGATGATCTGCATTTTGTCACGCCATGTCCGGATGCCGTGCTAAAATCGTTAGAGAAAGATGGGATCTTTGAAACGAGCGCACAGCTCTGGAATGAGTACAAACACAGAAAGTTGCTGGACAACACCAATCGATACCCACTTGCTCGTCTTGAGGTAAACTTTGTATCAACAAGAATAGTAGGATGTCCTTTGCTATGAATAATGTAATGACTCATACTGTTTTTTTATTGACTATTCAGAAGTACCATGAGCAAGAAAATAATAGTTGGATACGCAATGATATGGACAAGACGGAAATTCGGCTCGAGGTTGCTGTCAAACCGGAACTAATGACATGGGACGAAACATACCAGCGGATCATTGGTACATTTCTTAAAGAAGGGCACACACTGTAAGCTTATCTCTCTATCTCTTTCTTTTCAGTTACGGTTGCTGTTAATAGCTGCTGTTTAATTTTTTACCACCAAAAAAAGGGGAATAACAGAAAAGATTGCATTGTACTAACTAGTATATAAAAACGACCTCGAATTAATAGGGAAGAAATGCAAAAGATCATGCAAAATCAGGAACAGGCGGTTTTTACATTGGCAGCATACCCTGAAAGCCCTGTCATTGTCAGCTTATCAAAAGGTAGGAAGCATGATGCAGCCTGAGAAAGAGAGGGTTCTAGCTCTGCATATTAACACTAGTGCTACTACCTTATAAAAGTCATGCAATCATCATCATCATCATCGGCATCCATGATGTCCTGGACGTCGTCAAACAAGGTACTGGCTATCCTGACAGTTCAATGTGTGCACCCTGTTGTCTTGTTAAAAACTGAAGCAGCGCTATTGACCCGGTTACAATATCTTTTCGAACCTGTGCCATATCAAGGTATTGTTATCGAATCCCTCCTTTTCAAACTCGTTATGGTGCCCATCGTCTCTGATCATGTGAGCATATCAATTGTACAAAATAGATCAAAAGTCCCAAGATCAACAATTAGGAACAGAGTATCACAAGCGATGCAAAAGGATTACTAACCTGGCGAACAAGCTTGAAGACCAGTTTCGTGCTGGGGAATCACAGGACGAGTTTTGGAAAACTCTAGAAGCAGTTGTCAGTCAGTTGCGAATGTTGCACAGTCAAATAAATTGCGGACCTGTGTCCATAATTTAAGAGTAGCATTGTCGCTGTTAAAAGCTCTTCTTACCAGTTGAATGGATGGAAGCACCCTCTCACTGTTTTATGATAAACCCTTTTTCGAAACGAAACGAGACCTTACTACGACTACGGAGTAAGACGACGATGCCATTGTGATAGCGATAGTCCTACAAATTGAGCTGCTACATAGCAGTGCAGCAGTTAACCGATGACGGTAGTAGTTTTATGCACGATCAACGCGTAAGAAGAGGAAAACAATAAAGGAGGAAGAGGAGGGAAAAAGTGACCCTTCTCGTTCTGTGGACTCAAATCATCTCGGCTTACATGCTGCTATGTCTAGTAAATTGGGTTTCTCTCTTCCTGCAGGGAGAAGTTTTGTTGTTCCGGGCGCTAAAATAAGACGACGACATGATGGAACATATGTTTTTCATCTCTTAGACCTGCAGCAACAACTAAAGCAAGTAAATTATAATATGCAGGTCATCGAATCTCGTTTAAAGGTATGAATCACTAGGAAAGCGGGGCCGGATTTTCATGTACTACTTTATACAGTATGTGCAGTAGTTGCCACCCATTGCTTACTACCATCGTCTCTCAGCAGCACTATACTCGGTACACTCATACGCGCAATAATGCTGGGCTACATGATTATGTTAAAGAGAATGTGATTGTCATGTTGAGAAGAGTGTTCCTTGGCTTCTTTTTTGGAAATTAGGAAATTATAGCTAATTGTTAGTGGATAATTTCTCACCATGATAGATAGCTTACATTATATGGTGAATTTGCCTGGTTGCTGCTGCTGTTGCTTTCTGTAGTTTGATTTCGGTAACTCTCACCGATAAAGTATCCGTTTCTCCTCAAAAAAAAAAAAAACCTCGTGCAATAGGGTCTCTCAGTAATAGCTCGAGACTTTCAACACAAACTTTATTCACCTTCCTCTCCTTTCTCTGACTGAGATGGACGCTTTTTCCTTTGTGTTGGGATGTGTGTGGTGAAAGATACATTTGCTCACACGGAACACACAATTTGTATAGGAGATTTAAAATAGAAATCCGTTACACGATTATCATCTGAGAAGGGAAAGGAGATGACATGATCCGTGCGACTTGGAGCACACAAATTTGCTAACCCTCGGAAGGATTCCATAAGCGGTAGCGGCTGCCGTTCATCGGTTTTGTTTCAACATGGACGTATCTCTAGCCGGAAAAAAAACAGAGCTCCCAGAACACAGGCTCCCCAACTTTTTATTTTCTTTGGGGGTTATTATGTGGTGGTTGCGTGAGTTGTATTTCAACATCATCATTAACATCTATGTTTGCTGTGTTGAAGTAGGTTGGACCCTGACTTTTCTACTTTAATAAGCTTATGCACTGTAGCAGAATGAACAAGAAGCTATGAACTGGCAAGGAGGATGTTGTTGTTTTTTTCTTCAATGTTGAGGATAAGAAGAGTGTACAGTGGTAATACTTTGAGAAGGTTCCTTCTTACTATTTGCCTCACAAAAAAATAACGATGATTGTCGAATTTTTAAATCCTTTGACACGAGAGATCATCACCAGCTTTTCAGAAACAATGCCTCTTTCTTCCGCTTTCAACTAATCGCTACTATTTCTCACTAGTTCGCATGAATTCAATACTTGACTAGTATGTACTAGTTTGATCATCCATTATGCGCACAGGAGCTAACTTCCTAATCTGACACAAGGCGGAAAAAAGGAGCAGCAAAAGTATGTAGTGAAATACAAAGCGTGTGCATGCAAAGCCCCGGGAATACGTAGCGAGAAAACATATTAACACAAACATGCAACCGAGATTTAATAAACGTGCGCAGAGCCCATTAAACCTTGAAGTATATATGCATTGTATACAGAGTACGCACACACACGTACGACAGGTTATGATATGAGGGAGAGGGGGGGGGAGGGCAAGACCCCATCCACATCAAATACCTACACCACCACACTATCATACACACACGTTCACCTGCTGCAGCTATCAACTGTAAGGGAAGAATACAAGCCGAGAATTGGACAACAATATTAAGATTACTACTGATGATAATTAGAGCGCTAATAAAAAGAACCCGTGGTTTTACCTTCATGTACTATTACTACTACTACTACAAGCTACTACAAGCTACGACTTTTCGTCAAAATGATCTATCTCTCCATCCCCTTTTCTTCAATAACCTTTTTATTGCTCCTTCAATTGATTACTAGCTGTAATGACACCATCAGCAATGATAGTAATAAGCGTGTTGTTGCTAAATCCAAAACTACTAGCGTGTGCATACCTCATGGTTTTTTTGCTGTTGTAGTTGCTGTTGTGAAATAAAAAAGGTTATCGCGCGAGCGGAAACTAAACCACGACGGAATTGACCCCACTACTGCAGCTGTTGCAGTAATTTTACAATTGCAAAATAGTGTAATTTGAATAACTATTATCGGCACGATATATTTGCGATCAGATACATATCTATTCGGCATCTGCTACTATCTTGCACACATACTGCTACTATCCGATGCGTCGAAAATGAGGAGTCAAAAAGTTTTCGGACACTTTTGAAAGAATAATCTGCATAAACTGCACCTAGAGAAAGAGAGAGGAACCGGGAATGAAATCCAAACGGGGTATTAACATGCAAATAGTTTAAAAAAGGAGGATGAATGGGGAGGTGAATGTTCCTTTTTCCTCTGGGTGTAATGTGTAAATGAATACGTAGCAGTAATAGTAGTATTAGTAGTAGTTTGTGATGTGGTGCGTGCAAGGAAGCAGGTGCTTCGGAAAAGGAGTGAGTCTCTAAGGGAGTTGAAGCATGGGTCATCGAGATGATATTGACAGTACTTTCTGTGTAGTAGTAGTAAGGAGTAGTGGGGTATAATCACAGCAGCAACAGCACCCATACCATATATCAGATAATGAATAGATGTTATGAATACAGTAACAAGCAATTGTTTCTTTCTGGCGATGAATAAGGGGAAAAAAGGTTGACTGTGTCTATTTCCATTGAGCGATGTCGTATTCATCATCATCGCCGTATCGTAAAAAATTACAGTACTCTGTACTGTCTACTGAATAAACGATGGAAAAAAAGAGAGCAAGATGATTGTATGGTCCCTTTCTCATACACACACATCACTCCCGAGGAACGCCTTTTGTTCAAACACCATCGTATATCATACTACCACCACTACTTTATCTCGCTTAAAAAAAGAAATATAATCCCGTAACAGTAAGTGTGTGAACAATAACAAAAAAAGGGAACACTCCCCCAGTTATTCCCTAAAGCCTTACCCTTCACCATCTTTTTTGTCTGATTGCCTCTATCTTAAAAAAAAGCAAGGGGCACAAGAAAATAAGAGCTGATAGGCCAAGTGTTGCACACCCAGACCACGCAATTGTGGAAAACAATAATTCTGTCGGGCTGCCTTACTACTGCTTTACAGCGGGTATAAGACCTTTTTTAGCACCCAGCAACATTCAAGCAAGGTGGTGTGCACGCACCCATCCCTGAATTACACACACACACACACACGCACATTAACTGAGCTCGAGCACGTCTCTTTTTTGTAGATCCATTATATCCTTTTTGTCGCTCTTTTAGCACCAGCCATCTGTGTAAGAGAACTCAACAGAGGTTGCATTTTCCCTATTTTTCTTCTTTCTAGGTCTTTAAGGATCATGAGAATAAAAATCCCTATACTAATCGCATTTATATAAAGCGGATAATCAGACGGAATAAAAGTTACATACGAGATTATACGTTTTATATCTATTACACTATCTCTTCTTCAAGGCCCTGTCTTTTCTCTCTTTCTACTATCAACCTACAACTACAACTGCAACTACACTTTTGCTAAAGGTAAAGATCCATTACATACTGCTATACTGCCTTCTATTTACTGACATGATTGTTCATTTTTGCTAGAAACTATTACTTTATATAAATCTTCATTCTCTCCCGCTTCTTATCGATTTAAAAACCAACAACGTAAAGTTAAAACCCTGGAAAAAATGATGCGAATGGACAATATCAGCTATGCCGGAACGTCGTCAGAATCGTCGACCTCACCTATGCTATCACCCGAGCTACAGCAGCATTTGTACGGCTCCCCCGCCAGCAGCACCAGTATTATACCTTCTTCTTCATCATGTATCTCTTCTTCTTCCTCGATGATGATGTATTCGGACAGCCAATCAACCACACCTTTGACCCCAGCTGCCGTTTCGCCCATGTCGACAGTTCTGTACGATCCGATTCAGCAGCGTAAATTCTCTGTCGACGTAGGTCCATTCGGTTATACCAGCCAACAATCGTGCTTCGATTCATATGGTATGATTGAGAGCAACAACAATGGCTATGCCATGATGGATCCTGTTGTTCCGCAGCCATTCAATCCAACCATCACCAACAACAACACAGCCCCTGTTCCCCCCTTTTCTCCTCCTCAGTATCAACAACAGCAAGAGCAAGCCTCCAACGACTCGTGTTCATCGTCGTCCTCAACAACAACAACATCGTCATCATCATCATCCAAGCCAAAGCAGCAGCGCTCGTCCGATGCCCCTAATGTTCAACACAAACATGTGTGCAAGTACGCTTACTGTGGCTGGAGCTTCAAGCGTTACGAGCACTTGAAGCGACACATGCTGGTCCATACTGGTGAGCGTCCTCATGTGTGCCATTTCCCGGGCTGCGGAAAAAGTTTCAGTCGGTCCGACAACTTTCATGCGCATTGTCGTACGCATACGAAGAAAAACATGATGCAACAGCAGCAACAGCAACAGCAACAGCGTCGATCTTCTTTGTCACGTAGCAACAAGTCAGCGAGCAGCAACACAGCAACGTCAGTAGGCATGGAAACAAGCATTCCCATGCCAACGTCAACTGGTAATATGCTTGCACCATTCGGTTATCCTGTCTACGAGAACCGTCCAACCCAACAGGTAAGAATCAAGGACAAAAAGGTTTTTTTACATATAGACTCGAGAAGAACTCAAAAATATGCATTATTTTTCACAGTTTCCGGACTTTAGCAACAATACTATGATGGGGCCAACATCCGTGCCCACGTTCAACCAACCAGTACAAGAGCCTACTACTGCATCATCCTACTTGACCGCAGGACCTGCTTCTGACGAGTACTTTTTGCTGCAGCACAACAATGCCAACGACTGGCCTGCAGCTTACCCAACAACAACAGGATCGATGATGCCCACGACGGCACCAACGCCAACGACGACTTCACGACGTGCTTCGTACCCTGTTACTGCTGCCACGAGTACCATGGCAGCAGCTACGGCGCAAAACAAGTCGCACGTTTGCCCTATTCCACAATGTCTGCGACGATTCAAACGTTTGGAGCATTTGAAACGTCATATGCGCATCCACACGTTGGAGCGCCCGTTTTCATGCACATTCCCCAACTGCCATAAGACATTTTCGCGTTCGGACAACTTGTCGCAGCACATGAAGACACATCAACGTCATGAAGATCGACGCAGGCGACAGCTTCAACAGCAACAGGAACGACAGAAGCAGCAACAGCAAGAACAACAACAATTTATGGCAACAACAACCTCAACCCATCCACAGCAGCAGTCCGTGTCAACAGCAAGTGAAGCAGCGTTCCAGTATGGAATGCCTGCCACTAGTGCGTCAGCAGCCGGTTTACAGCAGTGGAATGATGTCGTTGCCGCTGCCGCTGTAGCTGCTGCTGCTGTACCCCTGTAAAGACCGTCCAAAGAAGGGGGGGGATGCGGGCATGGTGGATTCTACTTCTTTTTTCTCCCTTCTTATTCCTTATGTACACACGCACCATTCAAAACCCAACAACAACAGCAACAACAACAACAAATTCCTCTCCTCATCTTTCTAAATCCACCATAAACATCCCTCTCTTTCTTTCATTTATTTACTCTATATTCCGAAATTATATCAAGCACTCCACTCCTCTTTACCTTCCTACAAGCCTATATTTTCTCTATATTTCTCTTTACTACTACATTACTACCACCGCTACTACTACTACTACTACTACTACTACTAGTCCTACGCCGCTTGATGCCCAGAAAAACCTTATCTCCTCCAATTGGGGTCTGCCTTTCTTTGTTCGCGTGCATCAGCACCTCTCGCATACTATGCAGAGAACAAGCCGAGCATTACGCAACAGACAGCCCCTCCTCCTTTTCTTATACATACATTATTTCTATATACATATTTTCCGCTTATTTTCTTTGTGTAGATTTTGTTTTCTCTTTATGCTTTGTTTCCTATCTGAAAAGGGCTTTTATGTTACTTTTCACACACACACACACACACACACACACACACGCACACGCACACACCTTCTTTTTACTCCCCACTCCCATTTATATAAGTAACTTATGTTCTTACACTCATCTATCATATTATATACACAACAGCACACACACACGCATTATATATACATTTTTGCCTTACATAATCCTCTTAATAATATGGCGCGCCAACAATAACGACATCATTAGTCTTAGCAGACACACACACACACACACTTACTGTTTTTCCAAACATTTTAGCACGCGATACCACTGCTACTACTAATTAACGATAAAAATTATAATAAAAAAACACACCAAAATTATTATAATCTCAATTACCTATCCATCAAACTTAGTTATCAACCCAAAAAATGCGGATCCAAAAAAACCCCAAGGTTTCCCTTCCGGTTGGGGGGTGGGGGACATTGAACATCTGGCACCGAGGCAGACATGCCCAAATCAAGCCTATGCCCTCGGCAGCTGACCAAAAATGGCAACGGGATCAGCCCAGTCACACGAAACTTCACCGGCAAAAGATGAGCTTGCCAACATGCTGTTGGAACATTACGGGCCAAAACGCCATCTTGTCAAAAAAGCCGGATAGCCAGACAGCTACTAGTAAAGCTGCATTTGATCCCAACAAAAAAAAAACAGTATAAAGCACAGCTTGCATATTCCTTGTCTCTTTCTTTTACAATCTGTTTTCTTTTCCTTTTCCTTTTTCCTCTCTTTTCTTACTTACTTCCTTACCTTCTCCTCCTCTTAATATATCACATATAAACCATGTCCGCCAAGGCCATCCGCGAATATGACGGCAAGCTGTTGCTGGCATATCACTTGCTCCGTGCACCTCTTATTTCACAACAGGAGTCTCCCTCCTTGTTTGCACCCGCCGCCACCAAGCTGGCCCATGTCCAGGTGGACACCTCGCTTCTGGACAACAAGGCTGCCTTTGACAGCAGCTTGAAGCAGCAGCTCGACACCCTTGAACAGACACACCCATGGCTCTTGACTGACAAGCTCGTGGCCAAGCCCGATCAACTTATCAAGCGACGTGGCAAGCACGGTCTGTTGACCCTGAACAAGGACTGGGCCGAGGCACGACAATGGATTGAGGAACGTGCTGGCAAGGAAATCCAGGTAATGTCTTGTGTGTGTTTTAGAGCGTGTGTGATTTTTGTGGGCATATACACTGAGACCGTGTATGCTTGTCTGGCGTGTGTGCGTGGGTGGTAAATGGCGGGTCGGAAGAAGAATCGGTATATCTCGGGTTTATCGGGTCTTCAGAAATTATTGGAAAAAAAAAGAGATGTGCTAATTGTTGATTATCAATCTCGTATTTTTTGGACCGACAAACGAACGATGGTGATGGTTGTTGTTGTAACAGATCGATCGCACTAAGGGCATGATCAAGACCTTCTTGGTCGAACCATTCACACCCCATCCTGCCAACACCGAGTACTATGTCTGCATCAACTCTGTCCGCGAGGGCGACTACATCCTGTTCACACACGAAGGTGGTATCGACGTTGGCGATGTCGACGCCAAGGCTTTGAAGCTGTTGGTCAAGGTCGACGAAGCTTTCCCATCGGCCGACACGATCAAGGAGACCCTGCTCAAGGACGTGCCAGAATTCAAGCGCGACGTGCTTGTCGACTTCGTCACGCGTCTGTACTCTGTCTACGTGGATCTTCACTTTACGTATCTGGAAATCAACCCGCTGGTTGTCACCGATCCCGCGGAAGGCCAGACACCTCAGGTCATGTATCTTGATTTGGCTGCCAAGCTTGACCAGACCGCGGAGTTCGAGGCCGGTCCCAAGTGGGCTATTGCGCGTGCTCCCCAGCATATCGGATTGCCTGTTGCTGAGAAGCAGCAGCACGCCGATCTCGGCCCTCCCATGGAGTTCCCTGCCCCCTTTGGCCGTGAACTGAGCCAGGAAGAAGCCTACATCCAAGAACTCGACGGCAAGACCGGTGCCTCGCTCAAGTTGACCGTCTTGAACCGTGATGGTCGTATCTGGACCATGGTTGCCGGTGGTGGTGCTTCCGTTGTTTACTCGGACGCCATCGCTGCCTTGGGCTATGCTAACGAATTGGCAAACTACGGTGAATACTCCGGTGCCCCTACCGAGACCCAGACATACGAGTATGCAAAGACCATCTTGGACTTGATGACCCGTGGCGAACCCCATGCTGAGGGCAAGACCTTGTTCATCGGTGGTGGTATTGCCAACTTCACCAACGTTGCCACTACCTTCAAGGGCATCATCCGTGCCTTGACCGATTTCAAGCAGGCTCTCATCTCCCACAAGGTCCGCATCTTCATCCGTCGTGGTGGTCCCAACTACCAGGAAGGCTTGCGCGCCATGCGTCACCTTGGTGAGACCTTGGGTGTTGAGATCCAGGTGTTTGGTCCTGAAACCCACATTACCGACATTGTCCCCTTGGCCTTGCTCGGCAAGTCGTCCTCTACCGGCAACGACCAACCCACTGGCTCGAGCGGTAACTTGTTCCAAGATCAGATCTTTGGTGGCGACAGCGGTGCCACCACCCCTGCCAACGGCACCCGCAGCCCCAAGCTCAAGCTCGCTGACGACAACCAGACCCCTACTGCTGATGCACGCGAACGCATGGAATACTTTGACAAGCAGCAGCAAGAGTCTTCCGAATGGTACCGCCCCTTCACCGGCAAGACCCGTGCTGTCGTCTACGGTATGCAGCCCCGTGCCGTCCAGGGCATGCTTGACTTTGACTTTATGTGCAAGCGCGAAACTCCCTCTGTTGCCGCCATGGTCTATCCCTTTGGTGGCTCGCACGTGCAAAAGTTCTACTGGGGTACCAAGGAAACGCTTGTGCCTGTCTTCACCTCGCTCAAGGAAGCCAGCGAAAAGTTCCCTGAAGCCGACGTTGTTGTCAACTTTGCCTCGTGCCGTTCCGTGTTCGACTCGACTCGCGAGATCTTGACATTCCCTCAATTCAAGACCATTGCCATCATTGCCGAAGGTGTGCCCGAACGCCGTGCCCGTCAATTGTTACACGAAGCTGAGCGTCGCAAGGTGCTTGTCATTGGCCCTGCTACTGTGGGTGGTATCAAGCCTGGCTGCTTTAAGATTGGTAACACCGGTGGTATGATGGACAACATTGTTGCTTCCAAATTGTACCGTGCTGGTTCAGTCGGCTATGTCTCCAAGTCCGGTGGTATGTCCAACGAGTTGAACAACATCATTTCGCGTACTACCGACGGTGTCTACGAAGGTGTTGCCATTGGTGGTGATCGTTACCCCGGCTCGACCTTCATTGACCACTTGTTGCGTTACGAGAACGACCCCAACTGCAAGATGCTCGTCTTGCTCGGTGAAGTCGGTGGTGTTGAGGAATACCGTGTCATTGAGGCCGTCAAGAACGGTACCATCAAGAAGCCCGTCGTTGCCTGGTGTATTGGTACTTGCGCCAAGATGTTCACCACCGATGTCCAGTTCGGCCACGCTGGTGCTCTTGCCAACTCTGACTTGGAAACCGCCGACGCCAAGAACAAGGCCATGCGTGCTGCTGGTATCATTGTCCCCGAGACTTTCGAAAAGATGCCCAACTCTTTGGCCGAGGCTTACCAGAAGCTCGTCAAGGATGGTACCGTCGTCCCTGTTGCCGAGCCCGAAATCCCCAAGATCCCCATCGACTACTCGTGGGCCCAGGAATTGGGCTTGGTCCGTAAGCCTGCAAGCTTCGTCTCGACGATTGTGGATGACCGTGGTCAGGAACTGTTGTACGCTGGTATGCGCATCACTGATGTGTTCAAGGACGATATTGGTATTGGTGGTGTTTTGTCGCTCTTGTGGTTCAAGCGCCGCTTGCCCGACTATGCCTGCAAGTTCATTGAGATGGTCTTGATGTTGACTGCCGATCACGGCCCTGCTGTGTCTGGTGTAAGTATTTAGCTGGGAAGGATGTGTGGTTTGCAGGAGGCACACTTGGGAAGGATATATGGACTAGCACATATCGCTTGGGAAGGATGATCATGAAACAAAAGGGAAAGAGTTAGCTCACAAAGCGTAATTATTGTTTACTATAGGCCATGAACACAATCATCACCACCCGTGCTGGCAAGGACTTGATCTCCTCCGTCGTCTCTGGTTTGTTAACCATTGGTGAGCGTTTCGGTGGTGCTCTTGATGGTGCTGCCACCAACTTCACCCGCGCCTACGACAGCGGCATGACTCCTCGTGAGTTCGTCACCAGCATGCGCAAGGCCAACAAGCTCATTCCCGGTATCGGTCACAAGATCAAGTCTCGCACCAACCCTGATATGCGTGTCGAGCTTGTCAAGAACTATGTCAAGAAGCACTTCCCCCACACTCCTATTCTCGACTACGCCTTGAAGGTTGAAGAAATCACCACCAGCAAGAAGGACAACTTGATCTTGAACGTCGATGGTTGTATTGCTGTTTCGTTCGTCGACTTGTTGCGCGATTCTGGTGCTTTCACCCGTGAAGAAGCTGAAGAATACTCCCGCATTGGTACCTTGAACGGTCTGTTCGTCCTTGGTCGTACTCTTGGTTTCATTGGCCATCACTTGGATCAGAAGCGTTTGAAGCAGGGCTTGTACAGACATCCTTGGGATGATATCTCGTACCTCTTGCCTTCGCTGGATCCCGAGACCCTTGATCCTCGCCGAGTTACTGCTCGCGTCAATGTTCAAGCTAAATAAGTACATACAACATATATCCCCATTTACTTGCTCCTCTATTCTTCCTCTCACAACAACAAATAGTCCACATACGCAAATGTCAATCTTCTCTCTTTCCATTCTTGCATTTTCACCACCTTTTTCCACATATACAAACAAACGCACATATCACTCTCACTCACTCTTTTTCTTCTATTCCGATTCGTTTACATTACAAAGAAAAATATACAGTATATTATAATAAAGACCCTTTGTTTATTCAGTCAATTTTGGTATTGATGCTACATGATCCAATATATTTTCTTGAGCTTATTATTTAATGCATCTGAGATGCTGGACAACAAGATGTCATACTTGTTTGTTTAGTCAAATAGTCAGAAAGTATCCTTTTGCCTCAAGATTAAACTGAACGTTGAATAAGTTACTGTATCATTTTCATGTTTATTTTATCTCAATAGCGAAGCTTATTTATTGTGTTTTCATTGTCAATCAGGTACTTGGTGTGCCAGACTGGCTTAGCGTGTATGAGTACTTATACCAGAATGTCCCTGTTGCTGCCACTGCTGCTGTCTATCCTTCGACGAATACATCCACACAAACATGTAGATTTTTAGAGCAAATGAGAGAGGCACATCGGAAGATGCAAGACAAGTGGGTGCTGCTATCTGGCATTTGTGTCGAAGATACGATGGTTTAATATTGTAGCACACTGGACTTTAAGCAGTAAGTACTATCGTTTAGCATCATGGTTATTTAGATATCATAGATGGCAAAAACTAACCGAGTTATAGTGCTGGACATAGTTTCATTCTCAACACAAACGATAGCTGCTGGGAAGATGTCTTCAGCGATGAAGATATGAACTACATCAGAATTCATTCCCTACCAAAGATAGCATCCGTTGAAGACGAAGAAGTCATTGCATATTATATATGCTTGTTCAAGGATGAAATATGGGCTTCTTTTTACTATGGCTTCCAATCACAGTATTATATTGAGTAGCCCTTAGGGGTCGCAATCTGACCCGCGGGTCAAAACCGACCCGCGGGTTGAGGACGGGTCAACGGGTCGGGTTGATGCTTTTTTGACCCGTGGGTCAACCCGTCTAACCCTTGACCCGACCCGTTGACCCGTTGTGACCCGTGTATATCTATGAGGTACTTGTATTCAAAAGTAGTCAATCTTCTTGTTGGGAAGGATCATTATATTAAAGATGTAGTTGTCAATATGTCTGCTATAGAACTGTAACATAAAACGTACTTATATTCTTTTTCATTGTGGGATCATATTTTATATTCAAAAGTGTAAGATAAGTAAGCTACAAGCAATATATGTAATAGCAGTAAAGAAGTAGCAAAGTAAAAAAGTAGCAAAGTAAAGAAGAAGCAATAGTACAATGAGAATAGACAATAGAGAGTGGCAGTGAGAGACGCGATTTGACAAAAGACAGAAAAGGAATTGAGAAAAGAAAATCGAAGGAAGAAGAAAGAAGTGAAAAGAAAAGGGAAAAGAAGGATTAGGGGCATATAGGGAAGTCGTTTTTCAACCATACTTTAAATATTATGCTGTCTTTAAATCATGTGAGCGCAAACGATTTCTTTTGTTATGGCGCAAACCCCTTTACCTTTAAGAATAATCACACAAAACGTAGATATTGCTAGCACTGCTAGGAATTTGCGTGCCATCATCTTAGAGAGCTGTGTATACATGTAGTTTTGCACTTCCAGTGCTCAAGCTCAGGTTGATTGACACCTCCTTTGTCACCAAATCAAAATCAGTAGTGACCCGTCAACCCGAGTTTTGACCCATCAGGTTGAACGGGTCGGGTCGGGTCAGTGTTTTCTTGACCCGACCTGACCCGTCCAATTGCGACCCCTAGTAGCCCTACAATAACTTCTAAAGGATAGCTAATAAAAAAATATATAATTATACTAAAAAAGAAAAAATAATAAGAATATTTTTTAAAAGTAGAAAACAAATTATATAGATTATATTTATATATGTGGTTATTAATTTTTATAAAATAATATAAGTTACAAAAAAAGATTTCTACAAATAAAAATTTATCATCTCTAAAATAATAAATGGGAAATCAACTAAAAAGAAAAAGAATATGTTCTAAAATATTATAATTTAAATTTTAAAAATAGTTAGTTATTAAAAATATATTTCCTTCTAAATTTTATTAATTTTTATTTTTATAATTAAAGTTACTCATTGTTGTAAGCAGTGATAGTGCAAGCTCCTTATCATAGATTTATTCATTTAGACCCTTTTTACTATACATAAAATATATAAAGAAATAATGATGCATCTGACAAGACATGCGCCATATACCCCTGAAGAAAACTATGATGTCATCTGGCTACTATGCCAGTCAATCATGAACTTGGCGAGCAACTACAGATCCAACTTCTTCATAAAAGCAGGAACATCAGAGGACGATATACTAAGCCAAGTATGGTCGATTATCCGGTATCTGTATGATGATACCAAAATTGATGTGCACAGGTACTTATGATCTCTTCTTATCTTATTGCATCTCATAATATAATCTCTTGCTGACACCAGACTATATGGATTATAGTGGAGAACAGGAAGCCCTAGCAACGAACGAAGGCAGAAATTCCAACAGAACATTAAAAGAACGAAAGTTGCATGGTACACGAGTCGATCTACGATTTACAGTGTATAATGGCACCAAAATTGCTTATGGTGAGGCCGGTCGCAACTACGAAGGCGAAAAGGGAACAAAAGAAATGAAGGAATCCCAGTTAAAATGCCCAAAGACCCTCCATGACATGTTTGTCAGCTTAGCGAAGAGATACACAGGCACTAAGCAAGACCTGATAATACTCGGCTTCATAATGATAGATAAACTACATGGCCGTTTATTATTTCTAGAAAGATATATTTTACTGACACCTTATATTATATATTTGAAATAGCAACTGGTTGTTAAGGATAGTACTCAGATGAGATGATAAAATTTATTAAATCTTTTCATCCCTAATGTATTGAAACAATTATATTTAAGAAATCTAAAAATTAAGAGAATTTTTTTTAATCATTTATGGTGATAACTACCAATATTTGGAATCTGATATTTTATTAGATTTTAATTTAAAGAGCTAACTAATTTAATAATAGATATATATATATGAGAAGTGCTACGGGTACGAGTTTTTTTTCTTACGCGTACGAGTTTTTCTAAGCAGGTTTTTAAGGTGGTTGTGTTGTGAAACCTCATATGGCCAATCCGATTGCCGTCTTACACGTACGAGTTTTTTGCTAAAGGAACTGAACAGCATATGCGTACAAGTTTTTGTCTACCCATCAGTCTTCCCTTTTTTTAGATGGCCTTGTCAAAATAACTAGCTATTGTCATACTTCTTGATGTAAAACTGCTCATTAAATCGGCGCAATGGATTTAATTACGCTGTTCTTTTCGAAATCTTACAGGATTCTGTTCTGCCACTATACAGTGATGGCATATACAAGTTTTGCATTCCTTCTTTTCTTTAAGTTCTTGGCCTTTTCCCAATATTAGATAGCACACTAAGCTCGATATCAGGTTTCCAATAAATCTAGCAATTCATTTGTTTGTGTGGAGGAGTTTTCTACTGAGTCCACATAGGTAACAATCACTTATAAAAGAACTCTGGGCAGCGCTCTTTTACGCTTACGAGTTTTTTTTAATCTGTTTCCACGTAAATCATAATTAGTGGGGACAGATTTTGACAATTGTCTGCTTACGCGTACGAGTTTTTTCTATCCTGGTTCTACGTAAATCATGACTAGCTGGGGCAAATTTTGACAGCTATCTGCTAACGCGTACGAGTTTTTTTAACCTGGTTCCACGTGGATCATAACTAGCTGGGACAAACTTTGACAGCTATCTGCTTACGGGTACGACTTTTCTTAAGCCTGGTTACAGTGAGTTATTTGTTAATCTGAAGACCGTTCAAACAGCTCCATAGGAAGTTGGAGGTTCATAGGAGACTTGCTCACTGTACTTTCGAGTACCATATGCTTTTCAAATGTAGAAAGACTATGATCTGATATTTTAAGTAGAAATAATAGTGAGGGTAAGTACTGGCTTCCTACTTCATAGTAAGACCAAGACTCTAACATCGAAACATTGCGCCTTACATACATGACTTACATTCAAATGATCCTTGCACCC